ATGGCACCCTTATGCCTATGGAACTGGCCCCTATCGGCCCCCTTCTCCTCAATATATCCCCTCAACCTGGCTATGGGTTCTCTCCTCAACAACCTGCTTATCCTCCCGGCCCTTACGAACATCAACACCCGCCGTCAAACCCTACATACGGGTCACCATTCCCTGGCCAAGCATATCCGCCTCCCTATGCGCCAGCAGATCCAGGACGTCATCCAGGACCACCATACCAGCCACCTTATAGCGGACCAAGCCATCCACCTGGACCGTACAACCCCTCTTACCCACCTGCTGCGCATCACCCTAGGCCCCCAGCTGGTGCCCATAAGCCCAACCAGGGCAGTCAGTCGTTTGGTCTGTACCAAACGCATCTGGATGAGGTTGCCAAAAATGCCCGAAGTGTCTGGAATGGCACGTCTGGTATCAAAGATCTCCCTCACAACGTACGAGCACACGTTGTAATCCACCATGTTACCACTCGGTTTGTTGATAAATTCGGCCAAGAGCCAGCACTGACTCTTTTCTCTGATGGATTGAATTCCCACCCTCAAATGAAGCCGATCAGAAATCTCAGTGGTTTAATTTGCAAGGCATGTGCTGACATGTCTAGCTCACGTCGTTCTCGCCAATACGAATCTCGAAATGATCGAAAAATGTATCATCTTCCCGCTCTGTTCGGTCATTTCCAGTCTGTACATACCGATGCCACAGCACCTGATGGCACGCAGCCTGACTGGAAAGTACATATGCTGTTGTTGCCAGACAATAGCGTTATATCGTCCCTAGGTCAAGCCCCAGGCATGGACCAAGCAAAGTTCCACCTGATCACGTCTGCATTCCCTTGGGTATTTTCTCCTATCGCTGCACCAATTGTCCCAGCGTCAGTTAAAGCTATAAGCAAACCAAGTCTCCATAGCACGTTTGAAGCAAAAGCCAGTGAGCATGCAAAATATCCTGGGGGCCATGGTGCTAAGAAGTCAGCCAGCCATCATCCAGTCCTCGAGGTCGCCGTTGATAACTTCCCGAAATTCGTTGAATCTGCTGATGATCAAAAACAGTTCGAACCTCCTCGGGAAGATGAATATGACCCGCACCGACCAGCTTTTATTGAACATGTAGATGCTTATCCCCGAGGTCCTCGCGGCAATGCTAGATCTTCAGCTCCGCCTCGCGAGAAGCTTCATGGGAAGTCCCGTGTGATGGAGTCGATCCCTAAAGAAGATACTGAAATGCAAGTAGAAAATAGGCGCCCCCGACAACAGCCAAAACCTTCAGCTACTCGCGGCCCCGGAAAAGAACGGGCGTCTAAACCTGGAGCCGCCGATATTGCAGCTTCAACAGCTGGTGGTGGGCCTTCGCAATCTAGCACAAATCGCCCTACAAGCCGAAACGTTTCGGAAGATGGTGAAGTTGTTGAATCTAACGAACAAAGGCCTGACGAAGCGCCTTCCCCCACAGAGGAGATGAATGCTGCCGAACATTTTTTGAACAACTTTGTGCCAGGACAGGATCAGGGAGATTTCGGAAAGACTTCTCGAGGATCTAACCCGCAAACACATTCAGAGTCTAGAAGTAAATGGTCTAAAAATACTGCAGCGGATGAGCGGGAATGGCGCATGTCATCCAACCCTCACACTGGTGCTGAAACTGGCCACGGAAGTCAATCAGGCCGAGGTGGGAAGCATAATGGATGGGCAGGGCGAGGCAAGAGCCCTGCTGTCAGCCGTGAATATCGCGAGTTTGACCCGAGAGGTGACGGATACGAGTTGCAGAGCGGCCCGCCCTCAGTTCGTGGAGATGTGTTGACACCCGATCAAACTGAAGGCCGAGGTCGAGGCCGGCTAGCTGCTGCTGAAGCGAAAGGTGGGCCAGAGGCCCGAGCCGGGCGGTCGCATAATAGATTTGATCGATACGAGGCTCAAAGACAAGAATCTCTTCGTCCTCGCTCACGATCACCGCAACCCCAGGAACGTGCTCAGGTAGAGTACTACCGTAACCGGAGTCCGAGAGCAAGACAGAGAGCTCCCGCGCTCGCATCTTCCCATCCACCGGAAACTTATATTGAGCGCATTCCGCTTGACCACCCTTCCTTCGCCAGAGCACCGCCACAGGGCCAATATCGTTACGTTGAAGAGTATATTGAGCCACCGTACGACGGTGCGGTAGAGTACGTTCCCGTGCGGGTTACAGCTCGTGATCCGCAGAACGCAGGACAGTACTACATCGAACGCCCCGTCCACCGTGGCATTCCACCAGAATACGTCGACTATGATATGGAATATTCTCGACACCCTGTCATCGAGCAGACTCCACATTATTACCCTGGGCCAGGAGCTCGAGATATTCCTGACGGCCATCCAATCGGTCCCCGCCGTGCTAGGTATAGGTAACAAGGCTCCTACTTGTTGCATCTTTTTTTGCTCGAGCTGTCCTTAATGTGCCTGTTTTCGATCTTTTCTTCTTCTTGCTTTTCACCCAATCGCTCAATATATCAAGGAACAGGTCTTGTTCCTTTTCTTTTTATATCTTGAGCTGTTGCTTCCCTTATTCTTTCGCACGGTCTAGCATCGCAGAACTATTTCTGCTGCAAGTGCCCTGTTTTGACTTAATGTGCCCCCCTTTCCATTTTTTTAACGTTTTCCCTGAGGAATTGCAGACCAGCTCCTCATCCTCCCCGGTATTCTGATTTTTTGATCAGCTTATCTCTTGTTATATTCTTTTTGGATCTCCTTGTACTATTATCCCGCCTTTTTATACGCTCCGCCCGACCCTTACTTAATTTACCCCCTGTCACCAACATACAAAAGTTATGCTTTCGAATTTATTTTGAGAGAACTCTCTGAACTGAGGGTGCTAGAGATGAGTGTGTTGCTCATTTCTGCACCCATTGGTGCTTCTGTCTGTTGGCGTGGATTATATTGCATATGTGCTAGGGCATATATAGTTACTTGGCTCAAGTTACGCAGATACCTCATGGGGAGCAACGGTCTATGATGGCTTGCTTTAGACCTTTGTCTATCCAGGCTCCATCCTCTCTCCGCCGATTCTTCTAGTCTTTCAATGTGTTCTATCCTTCGGCTCCTTTGTGGAACCGTTGTTTTGTCTTGTTACGTGTCATGTGTGTTTTTTTTGTTGGCTACGGCGGCTAAATAACTCAGAATTATATAGTTACCATGTATAATTACTTTTGTACACCTTTCCGGGGAGCGCTATTAGTCGCTCCGTATCCATATAGTAAATATTAATACTCGCCTGGGTATGGTTGATACGTGCAATTTGTATGGCGTACCAGCACCCTCGTACAGCAGAAGCCATCTGATTGCTAGCTAAGCCCGCCTTACTCCGTATAATATGATGCATAAGATAGTATAAATAAGACACCTTGTCCCTGTAGATTATTTGCTATGTACTAATTCATGATAGCCGAGTTCCATTTCGTGTGAGGATGGCTGGGCCGACACTCGATGCGGAGCTCTCCGCCCAGCAAGGCAGAAGTTGTGGCTCCCCAGCGAGCCCACCTCCTCCGTCAGTACAACATCCCATCGACGAGCTTGATATCACAGGTAATACTAGACCAACCACGCCCAAGGAGCAGCCTGACAGCCTCGTCCAAGCTCTGTTCATCACGGGAAGCATGGAGAAGAACAATCCAGCCCCGCCAGCAGAGGATACTCCCGACACCAGCGCCGCAACGCAGCCTATCCTCCCGCGAGACCGCCAGGCACGAACAGCAACCTATGACTATGCGTACGAGAAGTCGATGAGCCATGCGGAAGCACGGCTGTTCTACCAGCGGCATCAGCTTGCCTCCCGTAGTGTCGATGGTGACTCGCCGCAGAGCCCTGACATGCCACCAAGATCGGTACCGATTCTACCAGGTCATGGCCCAACGTCAGCAAGCAATTTCGATAATGAATCGATCAGTAGCATGTTGCCTGGTCCATCATACTCGGTGACATCGACACCGCCGGGAAACTCGCAGTCAATGCGGCGAGAGGATAGCAGCTTGAGCATCGCGGAGAGGTCGGCAAGAGCTCATGTCCTGCCGACGGTGGGTATGCCCGGTGACGCATCGCAGAGCGCTATTCAAGGAAACGTTGGCATGAGCGTGGGAACTGGTATACCGTATGCGATGGGAGGTTATGCGCCTAATGATGGAGCGATTACGGCTGAGTTGAGCGCTATATGTCGCAAGATACAGGGCCTGCTAGATACCAGACATAAATACATGCGTCTATCATTTCAGCGAGCAGGTGATAACCCTAGAGATGAGCCAGGTTGGGTCATCTATCCGCCTCCACCTGAGCCAGCGTGGGAGGAAGATAAAGAGCGGCTCGGCACAGGGAGCATGTCGAGCAGCTTCGTCATGGCCTCGAAGGGAGGGTCCAAACAGGGTGAATCAGACCCATCACCTCATGCAAGTTCTGCTAAGAAGAAACGAAAGCCTGGTCAGGACATAGGGGAGGATTTTGACATGAACGACCTGCTTCCGTTACCCGAAGCATCGACCATGACCTTCAAATTAGATGATAACAGTGTTTATCAGGTTTATGAGACTAAAGCTGCCTGTGACCTTAACCAACCTGTCATCCAGATCCCTTCCATCCGTGATTTCTACATGGATCTAGATGGCGTTCTCGATGTGTCTACTGACGGGCCTGTGAAGTCGTTTGCATTCAAGCGCCTGTCCTACTTGGAAGGCAAGTTTCAGCTCCATACGCTGCTGAACGAATACCAGGAACTCGCAGACAGTAAGAAAGTACCACATCGAGACTTTTATAATGTCCGCAAGGTTGATACCCATGTCCATCACTCGGCGTGTATGAACCAGAAACATCTACTTAGGTTCATCAAGAGTAAGATGAAGAAGTGCCCAGATGAGGTAGTGCTGTTTAGAGATGGAAAACATTTGACACTAAAGGAGGTGTTTGAGAGTATCAATCTCACGGCTTATGATTTGAGTATTGATACTCTAGATATGCATGTATGCTCACAACTAAAAACAACCTAGGTCCCAATGGCTCCGCTTGCTAACATTCCTAGGCTCATACGGATTCATTCCACCGGTTTGACAAGTTCAATCTCAAGTACAACCCCATTGGCGAGTCCCGTCTGCGAGAAATCTTCCTGAAGACGGATAACTACATCAAGGGGCGGTACTTGGCGGAAATCACCAAGGAAGTAATATCCGACCTCGAGTCGAGTAAATACCAGATGGCTGAATGGCGGATCTCCATCTACGGCCACTCCCTAGGCGAATGGGACAAGCTAGCTGCCTGGGTTGTTGACAACAAGCTCTTCTCTCCCAATGTCCGCTGGCTCATCCAGGTACCCCGGCTCTACGATGTGTTCAAGTCAAGCGGTAAAATAGAGAACTTTGAAGACATCGTGCGCAACGTCTTCCAGCCGTTGTTTGAAGTCACTCAGAACCCCAACAGTCATCCGAAGCTACACGTCTTCCTCCAGCGTGTTGTCGGGTTTGACAGTGTTGATGATGAGAGCAAGGCCGAGAGAAGACTGTATCGCAAGTTCCCAGTCCCCAAGCAATGGGATACTAAGCAGAACCCGCCTTACAGCTACTGGATCTATTTCATGTTTGCAAACATGGCGTCACTGAACACATGGAGAAAACAGCGCGGATTTAACACGTTTGTTCTCCGACCTCACTGCGGAGAGGCTGGTGATCCGGATCATCTTGCTTCATCCTTCCTGTGCTGCCAGGGTATCTCTCATGGTATCTTGCTCCGTAAAGTCCCTCTGCTGCAGTACTTGTTCTACCTCGACCAGATTCCGATTGCTATGTCGCCGTTAAGCAATAACGCGCTGTTCTTGAGTTACGATAAGAACCCGTGCGCTAATTACTTCCGTAAGGGCCTAAACATCTCGCTCTCCACTGACGATCCGCTGCAGTTTGCGTTTACCAAGGAGCCGCTGATCGAAGAATATTCTGTTGCCGCACAGATCTACAAACTCAGCGCAGTTGACATGTGCGAGCTGGCCAAACACAGTGTAGACCAGAGTGGGTTTGAGTTGGCATTGAAACACCGCTGGCTGGGGAGTAAATGCCATCTGCCCGGCCTGGAAGGTAATAACATGGCGAAGAGCAACGTACCGGATTTACGTGAGGCGTTTAGATATGAGACACTAACCGGAGAGCTATCACTGTAAGTCCCCCCTCTCCCCACCGCTCTTTTTTTTTTTTTTTCTTCTATCCTCTCTTTAGTCGTGCATGCCAGAGCCAATTGTTGGGGGGGTGGAAGGAGGCTAAATGTTGATGATATGCAGGCTGGACCGTTATGCGTCCGCCACACCGAATAACGCCCACACCCCCAAGACACTGACCAAGGTACCTTCGTTCTCCTACCTGAAGAACAACGACAACCCGCCCAGCACCGTTGCAGGGGCCGGTACTCCAGAGCACGCAACCCCCCCGGTGGCTCACACGCCAGGGCGCCATCCCTCGTACTCCGATGCAGAGTCCTATGCCAACTCGAGCAAACCCCAGACCGCCAGTGGCACGCCACAGGAACATGGCTTTGGCTCGATGCCAGCACAGGCGATATTCCCGGGGATCGTGCATGCGCGGGCTCGCAAGGACAGCACCCTTTCACGGACTTCCGAGGATAGAGCGAACTCGGAGGACGCACACGAGCTGTCGTCGGGGCAGGGAGGACATGTCTGGCGCTCGGAGAACCTAGACAGCGACGACGACTGAAGGTGCGAACCTGTCTTCTTGGATATCTTTTCTTCCTCTTCTCCAGGCTATTACTTCTTCCACTATTGACCACGATTCCAACTTGTTTTTCTCCTTCTATTTATTTTACGACAAACCGCAGCATGTCATCTTATGTAATCAAATAGATAAGAAAACAGCGATAAGCCAATCACGTGTCACCTTATCTCGTTAGTCATCTTCTTCCCGGAAGCGGTGAACACGCGCTAGAGGGGCTGCGCAGGCCTGGCCAGGGAGAAGGCACGTGAAGTTCATGTGACCCCACTGCTACGTCTGACAGGTGCCCCACTCCCTGTGCTTATCTAACACTCTGCCCAATCACAGCCCGCAGCAGAAAAAGCAACCTTTTGCCCCCTTTGGGATCCACTCGGACCATCCCAGGCTTTTTTCTCTTACTCTCAAAGTTCGCCTTCTTTGTGTCTCTCAGCTACTTTTCGCTTTGCTCTCTTGGACATAAAACATACACACAGCTTTGTGTCTCACTCTCTTTTTGTCTGTTTGCTCGCCCGACCGTCCTGCCGCTCTCTCGTTTTATGCAAATGGTTCAGCTCGCTGGCCTGGCGAACCCTTATCGCATTGTCACGAACAGCCGTTTTCGTCACCTTGTACAGCAGCTACAGCCCTGAATATTGCTGTCTCGCCTTTGGACATCCCGACTATTCGAGGCTCAGCTTGCTTGTTTCATCTGCCTCCGATGGCCTCGGTATCGAGTACTCCTCCCAAACGTAAGTTCGTGCCGGAGCTTATCGAGTCGACCACGAAGTCGTCGTCCTCGTCATCGCGCAGGGATGGGGGGAAGACAAGGGACGGCAGTGCTTCCGTTACACCTTCAAAGGGGACCGGCAGGTTTCGGCCACAGCTGATTGAAACGACGACGGAGACCGGCCGGAAAGCTGTCAGACAGAACAAAGATGGTGAGAAGGCCACGCAGAGGGGCGCTGGTGTCAGTGGTAATGGTGGTTCCGGGCTAAGGGATGCGGATCGGCATCAAACCAAGTCGAAGGATGTCGTCACGAAGCCGCCAGAGTCATCACCCCGGAAGTTCACTCCACAGCTCATCGAGACGGGGAAACGGTCGTTTCGTCAGAATCCAGCAGGGAGCCCTGCTCGTCAGAATTACGGTAGCACGACCAACACGCTCAGATTTCGAGCCACTGACTCAGAGTCCAAGTACTCGTATGCGAGCCTATCTAGACGCCAGGGGAGCAGACGGCAGTCGTTCCAGGTGCCCAACCTCCCGGCGATCCCTTCGAACAGCAGCGAGGGCTCCGGAGAGTCCCCGAGCTCGTCGCTCTCGACCTCCCCTACGAACTTCTCCAACGATGGCGGCCATCAGAGTGTGCAGGTTCACTACCCGGACTCCTATACCGGCTCCTATCCGGACCACCACATGTACAATCTTCACTCTCGCCTCGTCTCGGAGAAGTTAAAGGACCAGGCCCTCGCTGCCTTTCCCAATGAGCAGGTCTACCAACCAGTTTCCCACTTTGCCATCGACCAGGAAGATAGCAACTCAGAGGAAGATGACGATAGCATGGAGACTGCCTTTAGACAGCTGTCGATTGACCTGTCTAGGTTTCGCCGCGAGTCTACCGCCGACCTTGCCTGGGAGCTGGAGGAGATGCGGAGACACAAGGAGGAGTCGGAAATGAGGTCTCGTGAGCGCCTCTTTGCAGCTAATCGTACATCCAAGTTCTCCGCAGCCGCGCTTGCCGCACGATACAAAGATGAATGGGAATGTCTCGAGACTGCTAGCTACGATATCATTGGTGGGTGGCAGAAGGGAGTCAACCTTGCGCCTATGCGGGAAGCCGCAAGCCCGCCAATGCTGGGAGACGATATAGTATTTACCCGATGTCAGTCTCCCACGTCGACATTGATAGGAGCCGACCAGCAGCCCACTCCAGCCACCAACCAGAGCAAAAAACCTGCTTCCCGTTGTAACGCTGGCGGACTATGGGCTGCGGACTCGGATATGTCTGATTGCGGTGAAGTCGGGCTTTGGAATGGGACTTGTAAGAGGAAGTCGGCCAACAAGGCAGCCTGCGATGGATCGTCGCAGGACTCATCACCCCATCATTCTGGTCTCGTTACTCCTGCTCCAGAGAGAATAGACCTGTCTCTACCACCTACCCCCGTATCTACTCCGCCCGTTGGCTCCCTCCTCAAACCCTCAAAGGAAATCTCCCCCGACCTCGTCACACTCACCGCTATTCCTGACACCTCATCTCCAGCCTCCCCCCCTGCTATCCTTATCCAATCCTACGATCCCGACCTTGAGCGAGAAATCGTCGCCGAGTTCAACGATAGCTTTGTCACACAGATATACAACTATCTATCACTGGGATATCCATGCTTAGCACGCGACTTCGACGCAGAGCTAAGTAAAATCACAAATATTCCTATCGACACACTCCGGAGCGATGATCAGCACGCTAACGCAAAAGGATACATCGACTTGCCTGATTGTCGAAATGGTGCATGCAATCCCACCACTACCACGACTCCCGGATGCATGCGCTGGAATGCGCTGAAGCAGTATATCCACGAATGGGCGAGACAGCAGCCTCGCTCGGGAGCTGACAGGGCTGTCGACTCTTGGGGCGTCCCAGAGCGAAGAGGCAGCTGGGCTGTCTAGCCGAGTTTTCTTGTCATTTCATATTCTCTCTTTCCAATCGCTTTCCTATTTTCCTTTTTTTTTCCTGTCAGAGATTGTCCTGTTTCATTTTGGCCAAATGGAGTTCATTTTGTTTCCTTTCATTTAACTTTCGGAACCCGGATCCTTGACTTTGGTTGGCATCATAGGCTCGTCTCGTTGTTTTCTTTTTCTCTTTCTTTTGTTCTTCCCATATCCTCATGCCCCGTCTTCACTGCCTGTCCAACATTCGGCTGGCATCTTTATCTCTCACCCGCGCTTGCCTCTTGCTTTTGTCGCGTGACATAGTTTTGCGGCTTATACATACGCACTCACATATCTTTACTCGCAGGTAAACCCAGCCCAGTCGACCCAGTCGACCCAGTCAAGTCCCCAGTTCACGACTTTTAGTCCCGCAACATTATAGAGGGGTGTCCCCATCTGCCTTTTCTGCCTTGCTCCCAGTCATTTTGTGCCACCCATCCAGAGAGTTGGAGAATCTGCCTACGGCTTTTTGCTTTTGCCTTTTGTTTTGCTTCCTCTCCCTTGGTTCGATTCCCCTTAGCCTTTACCCGGCTTCTGCGCCTTTTCCATTTCTGTTTTTTTCTGCGCGGGATTAGGATGGGTATACTTGTTTCATCTCTTCCTTTTAATTCATGACCCCATGGCGTTTCCGTTCTTAGTTTTAGACATCGTATATCTTTTAATAGAAGCTTCAGTTCCTTTTTAATAACTCTTGTCGCCTATTTTGACTTCTTCCCCTTGTCCCTTCCGCGTGCCGCTCACGTGAATAGCCCTAATGGTATTATGTCATATTTATTTTTAGAAACAAGGATTATTTATGATCCGTAAGTGTACCTTGCTTACTAATCGTGACTTGGCTATTTCTGTTTCAACCTTGATGGATCTTGGATAGACAACTAACTTGCCGGGGAAAGGGGATATACTATGTATTTAGGGGTACCAGCAGTACTCACTTATTGGACAGGACATAGCCACATTGGGATGGCAAATTTGCCAACACTAGTCTTTATACCCGGTGCATGGCATAAGCCTACTTGCTATGAGAAAATCACCAAAATCCTGCATGAGCAGTACGAATTCAAATATGTCCTGGTGACTCTCCCGTCGACCCAAGGGAATCCAGATGCGACCTTCAAAGATGACCTTGATGCTGCCAGAGACGCCATATCAAACGAGACAACTCAGGGGCGCGATGTTGTAGTTCTTGCACACTCATATGGCGGCATGGTCGGCAACAGTGCTATCAAAGGGTTCGCGAAACCACGAGACGACGGTACGAACAAAGACCAGCAACCGTCGACATCAGGGCATATTATCGGTCTCATCCTTATCGCATCCGGCTTCACCTTCACGGGGCTCGCTTTCATGGACCCGTTCCTCGGTCGCCCGCCTCCCTCATGGCGCGTCAATAACGAGACCGGTTATGCCGAGCTTACCGTCTCTCCATGTGACTTCTTTTATCATGACTTACCTGCAGAAGAGGCAGAATACTGGGCTTCTCAGCTCACCACCCAGAGTCTCAAGGCATTGTTTGAAGGCGGTGAGTTTTCATATGCTGGCTGGATGGATGTGCCTAGTTGGTATATTGGCACCGCCGAGGATAGGGGCTTGCCAGTAGTGATGCAACGAATGCAGACGGGTATGGCGAGGGAAATGGGTGCTAGCGTGGAGCACAGGGAGCTTCAGACGAGCCATTCGCCGTTTTTAAGCCAACCTGAAGCCACAGTGAGGCTTATACTCGATGCCATCGGTCAGTTTACTGGCAAGCCAGTGGACAATACGCCCGCGATGAGTGAGTGTGATAAGATGATAACGGTTCTAGGGGCCACACTATGGCAGCCTTATACGTGGTATAAATTTGGACTGCCACTGGTCTTTGGTCATCTTCTTGGGAGGTGTGTTCTTCTGTTTAACTGGAGTAAAAGGGTTTTCACAAGATCCCCTTAACCTGTTTCTCTTTAGATATATACCTTGGTTTGATAATGACTAGGTATTTATTTACAAATGTAGTTATAATAGCATCCGGAATAGCACGGGGGAGACTTTTGTTCTAATTCCAGTCATAGCCATGATGATGACCCTTACATTGCCATTTTTAGAGCAATACCGAGTCACTGCATACATTAAACAAAAAAATGTAGATAAAATAGGAAACAAAAAATAAAAACATACGAAAGTCGGGATTCGCTGGTGGTCACCCACCCAACTACTAACCGACCGGCAAGTGGCTTAAGTACAGCTGAGCGGACGGGAAGCTCTGTTTTCCACTTCCTATGTTCGTATGTACCAAACACAAGGTCGACAGGGTTGATCTCCTTTAGGGTAAGATAATATCACGTGAATACTTGTCAGATTATGTAATGATTCCTGGTATATAAAAGTTTCAGACGATCAACTTCAACATCTTTTTATCGTCACGTACAACATTGAATCACTACCTATAGTCTTCTCTAGAGCCTCTTAATGGATCATTTGCATGATATATAATCATAAAATGGGAGAACAGATCTCCCTGGCACGTCTTTGAATATCCATTTCATCTTCAAGCCTGCCCCTATTTGACCTCCCGCTCCCAAGGTGGATATTGAAATAACCAACCATTTCTCAACTCCAAAGAGTTAATTTTATATCTTGTTTGTGCCAGGGCATAAATAGTATTAGGGCGCGATGCCTTGAAAATAGCGCCGTTAAAACGCAAACTTCCCTTAAGAGTACACGAACAACCTTCACGACGATGCATGAACAGCTCACATTCCACTTGTTATATTATATTGGCTGTGACATATGTCCGACTACAAAGAAAGGGGAAAGAATAACTATGTCTCCAATCAAGTACTTGCAGGCAGAAATGCGGAATGCATCTAGTTTGCCCAGCCCCGACACATTTCCACTGCCTTCTCCCAGCGGGAGAATCGTTTGTCGGCCTCCTCCTTCTGGATACTCGGCTTGAAGGTTGTCTGACCCTCAGTGTTGATACCTTGAAGCTCCTCTGTGCTGCTCCAGACACCTACGGCGATACCTGCTGCAATTGCTGCGCCAAGGGCGGTAGTCTCCCGCATCTTGGGGCGGTTAACCGGAATAGAGATCAGATCCGCTTGTGTCTGTGGAGATGCCACTTAGCAATCTGACAACTCAAGCATAACCTTGGCAGAACAGTATAAGACATGAGTTGGCACGTACCTGCATCGTTAGGTCACTGTTACACATTCCTCCATCAACAGCAAGCTCAGTAAGCTTGTGTCCACTATCTTTTTCCATGGCACCGAGAATTGCCTTGGTTTGGAAGCATGTCGCTTCCAGCGTTGCTCTCGCCACGTGGCCTCGCTGCGTATACGTTGTTATCCCGAATATCGTTCCTCTCGCATCATCGATCCAGTATGGAGCAAACAACCCGCTGAATGCAGTGACAAACACACACCCTCCGCTATCAGGCACCGTTTCAGCCAGGGTACTCAAGTCCTTGGAGCTATCCATAAACTTGAAATTGTTGACCAGAAACTTCACGCTGGATCCGCCAACAGCAATGCTTCCTTCAAGGGCGTAGTTAAGCTTTCCACCTTCGCTACCGCGAAAGTCGAAGGCAACCGTTGTTAGTAAACCATGCCTCGATGCTACTGGCTTCTCGCCAATATTGTATAGGAGAAAGCACCCGGTGCCGTATGTGTTCTTGGCCTTGCCAGGAGTGAACCCCTTTTGGCCCACGAGTGCGGCAGATTGATCGCCTAGGCAGCCTGTGATTGGGAAACCTTGAAGGGCCGACTGAGCAAGTTTGCCGTATGCTTTTGGGTCGGCAGAGTGCACGATCTTAGGGAGATGGATCTTGGAAGGGTCAAGGCGGAAGAAGTCAAGCAGCTGCTCATCATATTCCATTCGCTCAAGGTTCATGAACATCGTTCGTGATGCGTTTGATGGATCCGTTACAAATACACCTCCTCTAGGACCACCGTTGAGTTTATAAATGAGCCAAGTGTCGATGGTTCCGAATGCAAGGGACCCGTTATCATATGCCTCTTTGACTTTGGGCACATTATCGATCAACCATAACACCTTACCAACAGATGGATAGGTGGACAGTGGTAAACCACAGATTGGCTGCAGTTCATTGTGGCCCAGGCGGGTTTTCAGCTTGCGTACAAGAGCCTGTGTGCGGGTATCTGTCCAAACTATGGCGTTGTAGAGCGGTTCGCCTGTCTCTTTGTCCCATACCACTGTGGTTTCACGCTGGTTAGTGATGCCTATTGCCTTGATAGAATCAATCTTATGTCCTTGTGTTTCGAAATCTGCGACAGCCCCATTTATGCACGCAACTACGGATTCAACGATCTCATTGGGGTCATGTTCATGCCATCTTCAACACCTGAGTTAGTACCATCACTCACGCATGACGGGAAAATGGAACCGGTGTCTGCCAGAAACTTACCCCGGATGAGGGTATATCTGCGTAAATTCTAGCTGGTGTGAAGCAACTACCTCTCCGTCCGTGTTAAAAATAAGGAATCGAGAGCTTGTTGTGCCCTGATCAATAGATCCGATGAATGACTTTCCCACTCCGGCCATCGAGCTGGATTATATCTGGACAAATTCAGGGAAGTTGGATGGTGGGGAGGCGAAAAGAGTACAATAGAGTGATGAGGTGGAAGGAGATACATGCAGGACAAGATATATCCATTTTATCTGACAAGCAGGCTCCCTGACCCCGTACCTCGGGAGCTAAGGTTATCCTATATGTCGCTCGCACGTAATCTCTAATAGGGAATGGGGTGCGTCTCGGCACATAAATGTTTGATGATACCGCGGGTTCACGGAAGAAGTGCGGATGGTGTCTCCGCAACTACGGGGATAGCCGATGGACCAGCAACCAAAGTTCGCCTTCACTCCATCCCTAACCAGCTTTATTTTTACCTCTCTTTTTACTCCATACTAGAACCTTTAGATATATCGACGAAGGCGGCCCTTATACCACAGTTCATTTACCCCGGAGTCTAGATGCTCATCAATCGGGGGAGAAATGCGGAGGTGTTCATCGCAACCGCCACTGTCAACCATTCAGTGGCGTGAGACCGACCACTCGGTGGCAGGGGATCCCTTGTCTAGCGCCCTCCTTTACTTGCATATATGAAAGTCGACAGGACCCCAGGCTTGCCATCGAACCTGATTTTCGGCCAATTAAGTTTGGCCCTGCTGCATCACAAACTCAGTTGCTATAACTTCTGTTCTTCGTGACATTAAAGAAGGATTCGTTCATTCGATACCTAATTTTTATGCTTTTGTCGGTTCCGGCCGACCCTTAAGCTTGATACTGAAGTATATGCATAACAAATTGTGACCGGGCCAAAGGGCGGGCGAAACGGTTAAGTTTGTACAATGTCCGACACAAACGGAAGTTGAACACGGCATGGCACAGCATGGCACTGCACGGAGGATACAAATCTCGAGCGGCCATGCGGCCATGGTACCAGGATCTCCCTCCGTGCACTCATCTCTCCAACTGTATAAGATCGTCGATCTGCCCGCGGAGAAATTTTGCAGAAATACGTGCATCTGCTTCCATCTTCACATCTACTGCAGATATTACTCTACTCACTCTAGAGGAGTCTTTCTCCCCTAGCTTTCTACTTTTGTTGCTGTTCTTTCTTCAATTTGCGCTCCCCTGCCCCTGTCTACCTTCATACATGGATGATGGATGTGTCCGTAGTAGAAGAGACTGTGCCCCTTGAACCAGTTAGAAGAGGAATATCCTCCTCCCAGACCATGCATAACCATAACTTTGGACCCCTTTCCCGAGGGAGCACTGAGAAGGGACCCAACAGCCCTTCCTTGGATGGAGGCAATCCTCTTATCCATGCTTTTACTGGCCAATCCAAAGTTCCTTTACGTTCAAATATAATCGTTGAAGATGAAATCCAACCCGCCGAGGAATTACTATGGCCCAAGATACGAACCAAATTGCGCGAGCCATTCGCTGAGTTTTTTGGAGTATTCATTTTGATTCTCTTTGGCGACGGCGTCGTCGCCCAAGTTGTCCTAAGCGACTCAAAGAAGGGGGACTACCAATCAATATCTTGGGGTTGGGGGTGAGTGAACGATGCAAGAAGCAAATTCATAAATGACAAACCAATGTAAAGGAATGATTCATTTTTCTAACGATAATATTGAATAGCCTCGCAGTCATGCTGGGTGTCTATTGCAGCGGAGGAATCTCTGGTGGTCATCTCAACCCTGCAGTGACCTTCGCCAACTGTGTCTTTCGGAAATTCCCTTGGAGAAAATTCCCCGTATACATGTTAGCCCAGGTTCTAGGTGCCTTCTGTGCTGCTGGTGTTGTTTATGCGAACTACAAGTCTGCCATTACCGTCTTCGAAGGTGGCCCTGACATTCGAACCGTTGGACTGGACACCTCCACTGCCGGCATATTCTGCACATACCCTGCACCGTTTTTAACCAAAACCGGGCAGTTCTTCTCGGAATTTATTGCCAGCACAATCCTCATGTTCTGCATATTTGCCCTGGCCGATGATAAAAATCTCGGAGCTGGAAACTTAATGCCGCTTGGATTGTTCTTTCTTATATTTGGCATCGGTGCTTGTTTTGGGTGGGAAACTGGATATGCCATCAATCTTGCTCGGGATTTTGGGCCTCGGCTGATGACTTATTTTCTGGGATATGGACACGAAGTTTGGTCTGCTGGGGGATATTACTTCTGGGTAAGTCACAGTTCTAAAATCATCGTACTGTTCCTAGTGGACCGTTCCAGCTGACACGTCTCTCTCCGAACCCAGATACCTATGGTCGCTCCATTCTTTGGCTGTATGTTTGGTGGCTTCCTGTACGATGTGTTTTTATACACCGGAGAAAGCCCTATTAACACACCCTGGATGGGGCTGGGCCGTTTTATGCGACCAAGCCAAGACGTTTGGTCGAATACAAAAACCATAGACCATGACGTGTGAAAGGAGACGAAAAAACAAAAGGAGGGAGAGGAGGAGATGTCAATATTTTTAACACTTTATACTCATCTACCACGATTGACCTAGTTGACAAATTCACGAAACGAGTATGATTTTACGATTTCACGCTCTTACTCACACTTTCTAGCTGATATAAACTGACCTAAAATACTCTCTTCAGGTTGATGAACTGTACTGGAGTCAACAAATATCATTATACACACCTCAAGCGATATGTACAGTATATTTCTGAGCCTAACAGGGCCGGTGAGAAGGATAATCTAGCACTCAGGGCCTTTACCCCGATAATACGAATCGCAGTTAATGCATCAAGCACATATGCAGTGCTGACCTGGCCAACTTAACATGGGGCCGAAGCAAATTCATGGGCAATGTGCAAAATTATATACTTATCAAGCTCAATTCGCTGCCTCCAGGACACCAGAGTTACCTCGATATGGGCATAATAAGTTCTCAATAGACCAAAATCAGATACCAAACACAGCTTTAGAAGCATACACTCCATACTCTCTCCTCCGCACCCCACACACCATGCCCTTGCGGAGCGAAGGAACAGGATTAACAGGCCACACTAAAGGCATGGAGGAGCGGTCTAGTCCCGTATCCCCGGCCTCAGAGTTAAGAGTCGCATCCACTAGCATAGTAGACTTGTCATGTAACGTGCCATTCAATATTGATGCTTGTGCCCCATGTATCTTCGATCTAGTGTTTTAAAATAAAACATACTATGTAATAATTCGCATGTTGTCCGGATCTGACCTTGTGAGTCTCAATCACGTGACATTTCAACTTCCCAAGGTTCCTTTTTTTCAACTTCATCTCAACTTCACGATGGGATGGGATGTCAGAATATCAAAACAGTCCATGAAGTATTTACTGGTTGATCTCTTGATCTATCTTACTTCTCTGGCATTTACCTGTACGTTATCCTCTAGATTGTATTCAGCTGCAATCTAGTGGCACGCGTACCACACTTCAAAGGCCACGCCTTTGCTAGAGCCATAGATGAATGAAATTTAGCCCCCTAGGATTCACGGGAACTTCCGCCAGCTGAAATTTTAGTGACTCCAAATCATGATACAGATATTCATAACAATACCCATCACGGTGTCTACTCAGTTTTTTCCCCAGCTTATTGCTTACTTTTAGGAAACCAATTAGACGAATTATGCCGACTCTCAAACAGCTAACTTGCCATATTGAATGGGCTAACTGCAGTGTACCATTCAAAGAATATAGCGTTACCTATGGAGACGGGTCTGTTGAATGTTTGATTCCAATTCAGCCCGCCTCGACCCCGTTCTCAATCCGCCTCACCTCTAGTGGCTATATTGCCCCTGGCTTAGCCATGTTCGTTTACATTGATGGCGTCTATCAATGTAATCGTAACAGAGATGATCTGATCTTGAGAAAGCCCTCCGGAAAAGTTAAGAAAAGAACTCAAAATGTCAATTTCTGCGTTCGCCAAAAAGAAGAACGCCTAACAGACGGGAGTTGGATTGGAAGGCCGTGGAGATTCGAGCCGCTTCAAATAGGTACGCTATCGCGGTGATGTTTGTCTATTATTAAAGGTTATTCTAATGGATATATCTATTAGTACAACTTATGCCGGGTATGCCAGAGATCAATAGATCCCACTTTGATAACCTAGGCCAAATATGCGTTGTCGTCCTTAGGTGTGAGTCACCATGCGATCAGTATTCGTCAGAGGGCTCCTTAAGCCCAGAATCAGCTATGGCTTTTGGGCCTAATCTAGATGGTAAGAGGCGTTTCAGTCGCGAGGGTCTTTCTTTGGCGCTGATGTACGACACTCATACTACAGATCTCCAGAGCATATCAAGTGACGAATGTTTCCTTCAATCAAGTGATACGGATAAAGAAAACGATACTAGCTGTGGAATTATGGGAGGGCTGTTCGACGGAGTTGACGATTATAGGCACCGCGAACATGATATACAATGCTGCGAATCCTGCGTACGTGAGGAACGCCAGGGGAACCTTGCGGGCCGTGAAGGTCATCGATCCCCTAGAAACCATGAAAATTTCTCTCGTCGACACCATGCAAGCTCAAACCGATTACACTCTCGATGTCAAGTTCATTGGGAGGATAAACCTCGTCGAATTGAAGTATCCGACTGGGAGAAAGGATGGGAGTCATATGATAATGAATCTACCGCGAGCTCAGATTGCATTTATCGAGGATATCGATATTACCGGTCAAGTGGCCCCACTGACCCGATATATAAACGCGAAGCTGAGGACTCGGATAGTCCTCGTTTCTATAGCCGACACTATCTCCCCAAACAAAGACAGTCTCTTTCCCGAAGGCCAAAGGAAAAGCAATCTCCAGAACAGAAGGATAGGAAAATTTATGGGAAACTTCCTCTGGAAGAGACAATGCTCTCTCAAAATCCAGGAGCGCAAGAGATACATAGCGGTAACCGTGGATGCGCCCCTTCCATTGTGCTTAATGTCAACTCTACCCTACCAGCACAGAGGGTGGAACCAGAAACCAACCACCCCTGGCATCAGTGTGCCACTGCCAGATGCTGCACAGAGGATGATACAACAGATGATGCCTGTTATATCGTCTCTAATGACGAGAAAATTAGCAGAAAGTGTCTTCATCATAGTCGTGCTCGCCCTTGTTGCAAACATAGGGAGCCAAGCCGTAAGTCCAAGGGAAATGCCAGAGATACACCAGCAAAGACAGATAATGACGGGAACCACAATGGCAACTGGGATACATCAAATGGGAATCAGAATAATGACAGTTCATCTTGGAGTAAAGATCAAGGTGATGCAAAAGGGAACAGCGGAAACAACACAGAAGTTCCTGCTGACTGGAATGGACAGACAGAAAATCAAAATTACACTACAAACGAAACCAGTTGGGATCAGGGCCAGGGAGATCAAGGGGCCAATGGTAACCCGGATGACTGGAATAAGAACAATTCTAACTCAGGCTCCAATATGCTGGGACAACAAGAAAATCCTACTTCCGACAATGACAATAAATCAAGCGGCCAAGACTGGCTAGCACAAAATATGGATTCAGGCAACGGTGATGCTCCAGCAGCTGGCTGGCCAAGCAATAATTCTAATGACAATGGGAGAAACAATTATAACAGCCAGCATGCCCCTTTAACGAGCCCAAATAATGGGTATAGCAATCCTCAACAGGTTCCATCTAGCCCACCACCACCCCCGATAATTCCAGCCCAAGCGCAAGGGCCAATGTGGGAGACCCCGCCGCCCATTCAGAGAGTGCATACCCTAATAACACCATTTTGTCAAGGACCAGAAGCCAGTGAGCCGCCTTTATATACGGTTCCCGAGCAAGTGGCCCAAGAACGATCACTATCACACCAAGTTCAAGTTGGTAAATCTTCAATATATTCTCACAAGATCAAAGTGCCACAATATATCGATACCATGGAAGAGCCATATGCAAAATTTGTGTTTAAATATCGGGTTAAAGGTGAATACAGCGCTTTCGTCGCCGCTGCCGTTATACTAACTTCTGATTAGGCGTCATCGAATCAGAGATTGGCAAGTCGATTGAACGAGATGTCGAAGCAGAAAGAAAACTTTTGGAGTCTCTCCCTCGTGAAGAGATCCTGAATCAACTACTTCACGCTCAGGTATGCTCTGTCCTCTACCAGACACCATCAATACTAATGGTTTGTAGGGGTTGCTAGCTGCTCAGGCGCTTGGCCAGCCGCTTACTGTCCCATATCAAGTGCAACAACACCAGCGGACCAATTCACGTAATCAACAATATGCCCCAGTTCAACAACAAAGCTCACCACCAAGTAATATCAATAATCACAATCAACGTTCGCAGCCCGGTCCTACGCACTGGAACAGTGCCCCAGCTCAGGAAGAGCTCCTGACTGTTCCATCAAAGCTCACAGGGTATAATGATCGGTCAATTAACGCACCTCAGAGTCCTCAAAACGGTAATTGGGCAGCAAAGCTCACCGCTGGATTGCAAGACGTTCAGCAACAGCAACAGAATGGTTCTAATCACAGCAATGATGCTGCTCCTGCCTGGAATGCCCAAGCTGGACAAGATGAAGCTGGAACCAAATGGTAAAACCGAATGATATTCGTTACTTCGGTGATAGCCAGTAGAGCCAGTAATGTATGCCCAGTTTTTATTCATCATAGCTATAGGAGCATAACCTTTATGAGTTTTAGTGTATTATTTTTACTCCAACTATTATGTGAACATCTTACTCCAGTGCAACAATACAACAGCAACTTTGTGAACGGCTCAAGCTCTATTCACTTGACTCACTTCAAATTATTTTATTTATAACTATGCTACGTCTAGCTCTGGAACTATTTGATGAACAAGCTTTTGTATGCTCTGTCAAGTATGAGTAGTGAATGATGGTCGGTGGAATGCGTTTGCGGGCCCCTCAAGGGGCCCTCAACGCAAACCTAGACACGCGTTCCACCAATTTGGTAGAACGCGTATCCGAGCATATATATAGCGTAAAACAGGTATATTGGCGAGGTTGTAGAATTGTAGAATAAAATCTCTACTTGAATATGTAACTCAATTGAAATTTGTTATATATAAGTACGGTGAATATGAGCCCAACTATAGCTCATTGAATCGAAAAACACGGAGACCAATGGAATAAGCAATAGTTTGGTTAACAACAGTAAAGTCCATCAGCGGACAGTAAAGTACATTAGCAGGGGGAGTAAAGTACATTAGCAGGGATAAAGTACATTAGCAGGGATAAAGTACATTAGCAGGGATAAAGTACGACAGTTACTGAGTCCAGCTATCACTTATTAATCGAAAAACACAACGACCAACTGAATGAGTGATAGCTGAGCTCATCACAGTAAAGGACATAGCAGGGTAGCGGATATGAGCCCAGCCATCTCTCATTCAGTTGGTAGTTGAGCGATTGTCAAAATCTGCCATTCGGCCAAAAAGGCAAGCCCGCGCTAATTGGTGGTGGATAGATCGGTTTGTTGGCAAAATTCTATACTTTAAGCTCCACTCCTGTTGTAAAGAAGGTTATCTGTGGTGTTGACACCGGAGTTTTTAATCATTAGGTTGGCGAGTTCCTTGAGACGGCCTCACGTGGCCAGGTTTCTTCAACCGGCAGACGTGAGGAGAATTCATCAGAGACTTGATTCTTCATGATAACGATGTAAGCACCCGGGATGGCGCCCTACGTTCGAGGTCGAGGAGCTGGGCCGCATCAACAGCGAAGAATACGGCAAGTCAGATGATCAGGGGTTTGAAGAGAGGCATGATGATAGAGACATCTGTTGTATGCAACCTGACCAGTGATTTCTCCTCTTAAAGATGTTAGGTCTCTGTTCCTTGTAGAAGCCAGTGTGCTTATGGCTTGGTAAAGGTAGGATGTTGAAAGGAAGAGGAAAGATTTCAGGGAAACAAGACAGGGAAGGGCAGATATATACAACCAAGAAGCCCTCGTCGACGACTACTGTTGGTGAAGGCTGTGTATTCACATATCCGCCCCTGTAATCTTGTCAGGTTGCATGCAACAGATGTCACTATAAGGTAGTGTATGCACTTCAAAGAGATGGTATCAAAAGAATGTAAATGCTTGACCATGGGTCCTATAAAGGCTGTATTCGGGTGCCAAGCAGTAGTATTTCTGCTTCTGACTTATAGCATGGTGAAAAGACTTGATATAGGCCATCTGTTCGGTATATCAACTGCCTTTCCCACAGTTGGGAGTGTCAGCAAATGGTAACAACAAGCCTTGGTGAATATGATGGCTATACATACTCGTCAGTAGCATGTCTACCTTCCTGAGAGTCTAATACCAGGGGAAGCTGGCATCTTGTATCGCGTATCAGCTCAGCGAGGGTATAACTGTGTGCTTCCTAGAATTAGCTCGTTTCCATAGCGTTCGAGTGTGAGAGAGCCTCTGTACCTCTGATAGACGGCAGAGTAGACGATAGACACGAGATGATCGCTCATGGGGCGTGGTGGAGCGTGTCGTGTCGTGGTATATAAAATAAGCGACGTTGTGTTGTTCTCAGCCGAAGTTGAAGCTATTTGTGCGCGCTAGCCAAACACGGTAGCGAGCGGATGACTAATACACTAATCTGACAAAATCGCACCCAGGAATGCCGCAGGAAAATAGGACGAATGATGGCACCGTAGTAAGACTTATTTGGCAGTTGACTAGAGGACTGTGTAGCTAGTCCAGATGGAGATGTTATATAACGTCTCGAAAGCCCGAAAGCTGCGTCTAAGAACAGAATGTGGCTGTGGTATGGAGGTTGTCGTTCCTGAGTGGTCGCTGGCCTTGCTGAGACTAATCATACAAGATATCACGTGATCCACTCCTTGCCGACAAAGAAAATCTTCAAAACCAGATATAAATCCGGCTGTTTTCTCTATTATTTATCGTCTCTCTCAGTCTGGATAAACCAGACAGTAGCTCCCCTGAGGCGAAATACTGCGATCAACTGCATGTTGGCCCTGTGTCTGCCGCCCAAGGGAATCCTACCAGAGGACGTGAGCTGCGTGCATACCAGCATCGACATCATGAAGCCTCAAAGAAGCCAGCCAGCTAACAATATCAATGTGAGGCAGGCTCAAAGAGTCCTCGTTTGCTCTTATATCACTCTTAGGGAACTCTCCCTGGGGCGTCCTTTGGATCATATCGCGACCCTTTGTCGGCGCATCCTCGACCTCATCACGACCCAAAAGGCGAATTCCGCCAGCTCTTTTATGAGTAGCATTTGGTCTTATAGAGAAAACCGCTATCATGAACAGATATATATAGCCATATATATAGTCATATATGGGGACAAAATGTAGTTTATATATTTTGTCTCCCACTGAATAAAATGGTCTCTTTCCCTCTGATTTTTTCTCTCGCCGGCTGTCGCTTCCACTTGGAACTTGATACTGCAGGCAAAAAAGCCCCTGCTGGATATCTTTAACGGCAGGCTGGACAGCTTGTAGGATTGCTGATTTTACTATTGTTATTATTATCATCATTTTGGCCCTTTCACTGCCGTCGATTTACCTCCGATACCCAATATATCAACTACCATTCAATTCTCCTACTTCGACAGAGAGCCCTTCTTATACTTCATATCCTGTTCGTGGCAAGAGTAATGGCAGAAGAAAGGTTTGCTCAAGCACATACCATCTGCAGTTGGAAATATCTAACAAATATTCATACATGAAGCGAGACAGCGACAACGTTCAGGATGGAGCCGGGGACTACCTATGTACAAAAACTCCCTTCAGGAAAGGTTGGATTCGTTCGTCGTCCAATAAAGATCAAACCAACAAAATCGATACTTGCCGATGCCTTTCTACCTAACCGGGACGGCCCAGCATGGACGCCTCCTTATACCTGCAACCTCGATCCGCCTCCTACGGATACTATAGACCTTAAAGATACAAACCGGCCACTGCCTCTGACGGACGGGCCGTCTCAATCTTATCATCACTGCCGAGAGTGCCAGCTAGCTGCAAGAAAATATGACCCGGTAGTTTCTAACTTGGGCCATCGTGATGCAGCCGCCGATGCTCTTCCGCCTGCGCCATCCCCTATTATAGAACCACACAGTCCGACATACCCTAGGATTCATGCTGCTCCAGCGGCAGAGACAAGACATAGGTGTGCCGTATGTGGACGGTATCGCTCGCCTTCATACCAATATCGACATCCGATCTTACCAGGCCGGATACCTCCCACTAGTGTGTGTCGTAAGTGTCGATTTACCTACACTTCTAGTAGTGACAGCACCGAAAGCGATGATACAGACAGGCGATCTAGAGGGCGAAAGCGTAGTAGAGGGAGGCGTAGCAGTTCGAGACAGCGTCCTAATAAGGAGCCTTTCATTCAACCCTCTCCGCCCCCTCAAATATTACTTCAAGCTCCTCCTCAGGCCAGTCAGCCTCAACAAGCTCCTATTTCTCCTCCTACCCCTCCGCTGCCCCCTGCAGTTACGAGGATAGAGTCCTCTCCTAACATATTCCATTTCTGCCCTAACCCTCCGGGCCTATGTACGTTTCGCAGTCGGAGGGACTCCTACGATTACGGCCTTCCATCTCCCGCGAGTAGTCCTCACTGTTGCGCTACCCAGAGCCGCCATTATATACCTGATTATAAGGAGACAGGCAGTTCTTGCTGCTTGCATAGTCATCATCACCACTGTCGCCATCGTGAATCCAGGCCTTACACTCTTCGGAGGTCAAGGAGCGTTGATGAGCCTCAGATTGTTCCACCAGAGAGCCCCAGAAGATCAGCTGTCCACGAGGATATATCGCCTCCTAGACAAGTTGATAGACCTAACACTCAAGATATTGACCCGTGGTCAAGGCCTACAAATGAGAATTGGGCTAACAGCCACGAACGCTTGAGAAAACCCCGATCGCCAACTTGCTCACCCTCACCGGTGCGGGAAAGGCGCCGCGTAGAGTCGTGTAGTTTCTCTCCACCAAGAGACAAGCAGCCATCTCGAACAAAGATGTGCAGATTTGCTCCAGAAGAAACGAGAAGCCCATCAAACGTCCAATACCAAACATGGGATGGAGACCGTCCAGGACGAAAGTATAGCCATACGATATCAAGAGACGAAGAAGACAGCGGCTGGTATAATGCCCAAGAGTACGAGAAGCCGGTTTACATCCGGTCTTCCAGGGGTCTCAACAACCAACCGCAACCCTCTCAAGTCATTACAGACAGGAGCTCTTCTAGTAAGTATTATAATGATTTCTCATAATTCGGGGATTCCATGTACGTGCATGCTGACCTATATGCAGACACTATATTTATACCAAAAGCTCGCCGTCAGTTCGGAGTAAGATATGGTGTGTCCCGGCCAGCGCAGCAGTGGAGCTACGAATCCAGAGAGCGTGAACCTGAGAGCCGTTTCCGGGAACACCAGCCTCCTATCTCACGGAGAGTGACTGCCAACAGACCAAGTTATACCTACCCGACAGTACGTGATGAGCAGGATGAACAGGACGCTGTTCAGGGGTATAGCAATATGAGAAATGAAGAGTGGGATAACAATTATTCTGACAATCATAAGATTATCGAGGGACAACGCGGCATCTATAATCCTCGAGCTGCCCGAAACCCAAGTGGTGGGCACCAGGCCAGGGCACGGGAGCGATCGGTTGTTTGGTAACATCGTTATTTACAGTGTTACATGGAGATTCCCGCGAACCGATTGTTGGTTAACAGTGGCACAACAAACTATATATACTTACTCCAAAGGCAGCGGAGCTGCCTGCGTGGAAGGAGATCAAGCAGAGCTATCATTATATTATGGGCATTAATTATATTTGATAGATTAACCTATATACATATCCAGTACTCATGTCTACGTATAATATGTAGTAGATATATATCTATGAACTCTGAGAGCTGTCCCTTACTGGGAAAGATCATCAATTCTGCCCAACAAGTACTCCAGGACTCTGTACGAGGCAGCTGGGTTGTACTGAGGACCCATATGGCCAGTCAGATAGAGTTCGACGTAGGTAAGTTTTCGCTCTGTATGGTGGCGACCCATAACACCTGCTCCGGTAAGGGTGCTCAAGCTGCCGCGTTCATGATATGGCACGAAAAGAGGCTTGGCAGGCTCCTGTGAGAAACCCTGCGCTCCACCCCAGGTCATATTCTGGATACTCAACAGAGTTCCGTTGCTGATCAGGACGTAGTCCAGATCTCCATGTGCAATGATCGTACGAGGAGACTTCTCAATGATATCCGGTATGATAGTGAAGGACGAAGGCTGCGAGTTATCCTTTCCATCCACGAAGACGGGATGCTCAGAGCATTCAGTCCATTTCTGAAGTGGCGCATTAATCGCCTTTTGCACATCGGTGCGGTTGAAGTATACGTTTGCGCCGGCGGGCAGGTATTCGAAACTTCCTGGGAAACCAAGCACATCGTACAGGAGTGGGCAGGTGGTGGCCACTTGGTACACGTCGAAGCATGGGTTGACGAGAGAGATGGCGTCGAAGATGGCGGTCCAGACGTCGCACTCTGGGGTAGCCTTGGGGAGGGCGGGGAGTTTACCCTTGGGTGGGTAGACGAGGTGTTCTTTCATGTAGGAAGTGTAGCCGCACTTGTCGGCCATGTCATGGATTTGCTTGCTGAAGGTCTCGTTGAATGGGAAGAGACCCTTCCAGTGGTCTACGAAGGGGACGGCGGGAACTATAGTGGATTTGTCGTTAGTTATGGACAAAGTGGCATGAAGACAAGAGAGGTGGCGGGTAGCTTACCTTGGGTGAGAACTTCATCGGCGTTGATGGATGGGTCGAAGATCATAGTGCTCTCGACGTTGAAGTATCTCTTGTTCTTCTTTTCAAACATCGCATGGGCAATATAAGGGACGTATAGTCCAGCATAGCTTTCTCCGACAATGTAGATCTTCTTGCCGTGCAGGTCGAAGGTATCCACAAAGTTCCTGAAAAATCCCAAGAATTGAGTGGCAACATCTTCTTCGGACCTCGCAGATGGCTTTCCTTGCGAGAAGCCAGTTCCAACAGGCCTAGATAAGTTGTTGTTAGTTTAAGTTGCCGTACGAGCATACGGGGTAGATTCGTAGTTTGGTTGACTCACTGTTCCACCCAGACCATGTTGGTCAACTTGTTCCAGGCCCATGGGTTAGGGACTGGGTAAAGGGTTCCGTATTGCCAGCTGAAGGGACCATTCTCTTGGAGAAAGCCTTCCAGGGAACTGCAGCCTGGGCCCCCATTGAGCCAGATGGTGATCTCATCCTTTGCAGCGGGGTTTTCAGATGGGAAGTACCAGAAGTAAAGTTGACGGCTTTCACCCCGCCTGGTGGAAATGGGCATGAGACCAGCATATGATTCACCAACGTCAAACTGGACCTCTGGAATACTCTTTCCATCGACAGCATACTCTACAATTGGGGGTAAATGTTAGCTATCTTGAGCTCATTAGACTGATCATGCAGGGGGGCGCAATTTTCCCACACGGCCATTGACCGGGTGTTCAAATTACTCTAAACAACTGGACAGAGTTGAAGAGGGTGACCAACTCTTTGTCTTGTGGTTCAAATGAGAACTCTGACGCTTTTCCACCGTGGCTCCTGGGAATGTTCCGGTGAAGTCAACGGTTGGAATATTGCGGGCAGCAGGCAATGGGTCTCTTCTGCCTACATGTTGCAAGCTTCGTCGGTTAGGAAGAACTGCAACGGCAGCATCTATGGCCGAGAGGGCCAAGACGAAGAATGAGAGTCCACGCATCTTCAGAGAGTAAGGGTGGAATTCAACCACTCAGGGCTTGCTCTTGAAGAAAGGAAAGAATTGGTATCTTCTGGCGCACACAGAAGGGAGGGAAAAAGAAAGAAGAAAAGCCAGGGAGATCCTCCTGGTAAATATATAAGGAAGCATTCCAGAAGACAAAAAAGAAAAATTTTCTTTCCCCCTCCCTTGACAGCTGGGTTCGTGTGCAGGCATACATTTTCGTGTTGAATATCATCATTTCCATTCCCGGGTATACGGCCATATGTGGAGAAACAATAGGTAGGGATTCCCCATCCACCCCGCGCAGACTCGCAGTTAAACTCGTATATCCTGGGCAAGCGATAAGAGTACCCCGTATAGTTAGATTGCAGTCATGAAAAAAACCGAGCTAAGCTTTCCAAGCCGGCGGCGAATAATTCGTTGCTTTTCTATACTCGCGGCAAAAGGGAAACATGGCAGGCTGGAAACCATCGCTGTCTTGTGAATATAAGCCACAAAGAAGGCACACGAGGAAATAGAGCCCAAGGTGAGGGGAATTAGATGGATGCGCCAACGCGATCCCTGGCTTAGCTCGATATCACAGGCTGGTATTCCCAGAAGCCACCGAATTAATCCTATCAGTTAAGGTAACATCGGCCGGGGTTGTGAGCTAGCGAACCCTGGTTGTCAGCGGGACTTCCGGAGACACGACCTTGGACAAGCAACCTGCCCGGCGCTTTTATGTTTGCGTCCTAGCATGCTGTGGCGAGCTGCATCGCTCGGTTTGTTTATATGCTGTTTTCTTTCTGGTTGTCTGCATACCATATATCGACGGTCCCCGTTTGCCCAACCGGGAGTCGACATGGCCGACCTGGAGTTGCCAACGGACAAACGGTGGATAAATATCGTCATCCGCATTTCCGCTCGTCAATGGTGACTTTTTACGCCCTTTAACGGCCAGCAACATCGCACGAACTGGCTGGCTTGTCGTCTTCATCGTGTTTTTATCAGCTGAAAGTTGAAAAGTCGAACTTTTCGAATCAAAAAAACCACAAAAAATCTTCCGGGTTTCCGTTTTGGGACGAGAGATTATATAAGACAAAGCACGTGATATTAGTAATGAAAGAATCACGTGACTATATTTATCAAAGTTGATGAAAAGAAGAAGAATAGAAATAAATAAAGAAGAAGAAGAAGAAGAAGAAGAAGAAGAAGACGTCATAATGGCAGGGGCTTATGGGCCGGTAATGCCACCGAAGCGCAAGCTTGACAGTGAAGAAGGAGACGAAGATGTTGGCCCAGCCAGACCAGATACGCCGCCGAAGAGGACCAGGGTGATGGGACCGGCACTTCCGCCGCCCAGCTCACGACCAGAGAGTGATAAAGATGAAGACGACGATGAAGATGAAGAAGATGATAGTGATGACGAATATGGGCCTTCCCTCCCTCCTCCGGCCTCCTCGACCTCTGCCGTAAAGCATGAGACGCCCACGGAGCCCATACCAGGCAGCGCAGAGCCCGAACCAGAAGTGATCAAACGAGACGACTGGATGTTGAAACCACCCGATCAGCTCAACCTCTCGGCCCGTATGGACCCTACAAAGCTGAAGAACCGAAAGTTCAACACGGGCAATCCTGCGCGGCCGGGAGCCTCGAAGGCTGGCGGGCCGTCGAACACCTGGACCGAGACCGTGGAGGAGAAGAGAAAGCGCCTGCAGAATGAAGTCATGGGCATACAGGCCCCGGCCGCTGCGTCGGCTGCGTCTGAACAGGACCCTGCAAAGGCATTGGCGGCCGAACGTGCAGAGAAGATGTCAAAACATATTCGCGAGTATAACGTGAGCATCCCCCCAAAGCTTTGTATCTTGCGTTGAACAGGCAGACTAATCGGGCTGTGAGGACGACAGGAAAACAATAGGAACAAATCACTGTACTCCCAGCATAAAACTAGCGCGGAAGAGCAAGAGAAGGACGACCCGAGTGCTCGAGCGTTCGACAAGGAGAAGGATATCAGGGCTCCGTCGAAGATCAGCCATTCTCAACGCAGAGAGATGCTCAACAAGGCTGCCGACTTTAACTCACGCTTTTCCGGTGGGAGTTTTCTATAGATCAACGGGGCACTACATAAAGATACCATTATTGTATAGTTCGGCTATTACTACCAGTACTCTCAAGTCTAGCTATCATCGATCTCCATGGGATCCGAATCGTAGACCGGTGATTGTTCACCATCGACAGATACGGCCGGTGTGCCCTCCGCCTGTCCACCGTAGGCCTCAGTCATCCTTTCTCTGGCTCTCTCTCTCGCATCTGTCATCGCTGCTCGAACACTGTCCTGCTCAGTCGGTATGCCCAACGATGCCGGCACACGATAGAGCACCAGCTCGTTGTTCCTCTCCTCAGGCTTTGGTTTATGCGTAAGAACCGACTCGGGGACCGACATCAGCTTCTTTTCCATCCCAGGCATGAATTTGAAGGTCTGTCTCCTCTCTTCTGCCTCTATCTCGGCGATCTCCTCTTCTAGATCTGTGATGTATACTCGTGTTTTTGTCTCGTCAACCTGCATGCCATCGCCATTACTGACGCCGGAGAACGCATCTCTCGACGAGCCGGCCGTCTCACGTCCGTCTGTCCGCACTGGAGCTTCTGTTGCTGCTGCTGCTGTTGTCCCAGACAGACTATCGGATAATTTCTCTGTATAATCCACCAAGAAGTTAGCCTCAAGCTTTTATCAACTTTTTCATTCTTCCTTGCAAAGGACAAAAAGCCCGTCCTTCTATCCTGTCAACCGACAATAGAAGAGGCAGAGAGAAACAGCTTCAAGGCATACCAAGTCGTAGCCGGTCGAACTTCTTCCTCAGTCGTCTCTCCCCGTCGAGCTCCTCGTCCGCAGCTCTCTTCCCTCGACGTTTTTCGACTCTCCCCGCCGCTGCTGGCGCCATCGATCGTACATCACAGAGACATCACAAGAGACATCGTTATATATATAGCTTTGTCTTGGGGCTGCTGCGAAGAAGAAGAACGAAAGCGAGAGAAACTGGAACGGAGAAAACGTTTGGATGGGCGCAAGGTTTGCTAATCCACTCTTGGGTGTGACTCGCTCACTCAGGACGGCCGCAAGCTCGACTTTTCTTCCTCGCTGCAACAACCGCACTTCTCGCAGTTCATATCGCTGGACGTCGCTCAGGATGGCTGCTTCGACTACTTCTCAACCGCCCGCGGGCCAGGAGACGGTGGAATGGCCGGCGTTGCGCGTGCGTGATACGTTCCTGGACTACTTCAAGAAGAACGGCCATACCTTTGGTATGATTATATCTTTTGATACCTACATATATTACATCCTATCTGTCCTCAGTATTGGACTGCTAGCTGACTTGTCTCTCAGTGCCCTCCTCCTCGGTTGTCCCGTTGTCGGATCCCACACTGCTTTTCGCCAACGCGGGGATGAATCAGTATAAGAGCATATTCTTAGGCACCATTGACCCCAATTCAGATTTTGCACAGTTAAAGCGTGCGCATAACTCGCAGAAGGTCGGTCTTCTACTGGATACGGCTCTGTTGCTTATGGTCTAAACGCTAACCTTGCTCCTTTTTGCAGTGTATACGTGCTGGAGGGAAACATAATGTACGACCCCGCCATTGTAGAAATGCCCTATATGAGGGAGTCTAACCGGTCTATAGGATCTCGATGATGTTGGAAAAGACAGTTATCACCATGTGAGTTGGACTCTGTTCAAGAGTAGACGGCTGGAGCTGACGAAAAAAATCCTTCATAGACCTTTTTTGAGATGTTGGGCAACTGGAGTTTTGGCGATTACTTCAAAAAGGAGGCCATCCAATTTTCCTGGGAGCTTCTCACCAAAGTTTACGGTTTAGATCCTGAGAGACTCTATGTTACCTATTTTGAAGGAAACGAGGGAGCCGGCGTTGGCCCTGATATAGAAGCAAGGGACATATGGCGGAGCGTCGGAGTTAAAGACGACCATATCCTCACCGGTGACATGAAAGATAACTTTTGGGAGATGGGAGACCAGGGACCGTGTGGGCCTTGCAGTGAAATCCATTATGACAGAATCGGAGGTCGAAATGCCGCCCATCTCGTCAATCAGGACGATCCGGACGTTCTGGAGATCTGGAACAACGTTTTTATACAATATAACCGTGAGCCGGATAGGTCCCTGCGGCCACTCCCAAACAAGCACATTGACACTGGTCTGGGTTATGAGAGACTGGTGTCGATTCTGCAGGACAAGTCGTCGAACTATGACACCGACGTCTTCACTCCACTCTTTACTGCCATCCAGAATATCACAGGTGCCCGGCGGTATACCGGCAAATTCGGTGCTGAGGATACTGATGGAATAGATACCGCCTACCGAGTCGTTGCTGATCATCTAAGAACACTCACCTTCGCAATTACCGACGGAGCAGCTCCTAACAACGAAGGACGGGGTTATGTTGTTCGTCGCGTGCTCCGAAGAGGTGTGCGTTATGCCAGGAAATACCTAAAGGTCGAGATTGGCAGCTTCTTTTCCAAACTTGTCCCTGCTCTCGTAGAGCAGATGGGTGACATGTTCCCGGAAATCAAAAGAAAACAAAACGATGTCATGGAGATTCTGGACGAGGAAGAAGTATCCTTTGCCAAAACCCTTGATCGCGGTGAGCGTCAGTTTGAGTATTACGCTCAACAAGCGTTGGAAGCCGGTGCTGGGAAGCTTCATGGCGCTGACGTTTGGCGACTCTATGATACCTTTGGATTCCCCGTTGACCTTACTCGACTGATGGCGGAGGAGCGGCAGCTGACCATCGACGACGCCGAATTCGAAGAAGCTCGTCTTAAGGCCAAGGAGGCCAGTAAAGGTCAAGCCAAAACTGCATCAGATCTCCTCAAACTGACCGTTCACACTTTGAGCACTCTTGAGAAGAACGGCGTACCAAAGACCAACGATGACGCCAAGTTCGGAAAGGGAAATATCGTTGCCAATATCAAGGCCATCTGCCACGGAAAGGAGGTTATTGACTCAACAAAGGATATTCCTGCCAATGAACAGATCGGCATCATTCTCGATAAGACCAATTTCTATGCCGAACAAGGCGGGCAAGAGTACGATACCGGAAAGATCATCATCGATGGTCAGGCTGAGCTGGATGTCCAAAACGTCCAGATGTACGGTGGTTATGTTCTGCATACCGGCTTTATCAAGTACGGTAACTTCTCTGTCAACGACTCTGTCATTGCAGAGTACGATGAACTACGCCGATGGCCAATTAGGAATAACCATACTGGCACTCACATTCTCAATTTTGCTCTCAGGGAGGTCCTAGGGGATGGCATCGACCAGAAGGGCTCCCTTGTTGCAGCTGAGAAGCTGCGTTTCGACTTCTCGCACAAATCTGCCGTCTCAGACAGTGACTTAGAGAAGATTGAAGCCAAGTCTACCGATTACATCCGTCAGAACTGTGCCGTCTACTCACAGGAAGTACCTCTCGCGACTGCCCGTGAAATCACCGGCGTTCGTGCCGTATTTGGAGAAACATACCCCGACCCCGTACGTGTGGTATCCGTCGGTGTTGAACTTGATGAGATTCTAAAAAACGTCAAAGACCCCCGCTGGGAGGGTGTCAGTATCGAATTCTGCGGTGGCACCCACGTCCAGAAGACCGGCGACATCAAGGACCTTGTCATTCTTGAAGAAAGTGGAATTGCCAAAGGAATTCGTCGCATCATCGCTGTGACAGGCGAAGAGGCACATGAGGTCCAGCGTGTCGCTCGCGAGTTTGGCGAACGTCTTAACCGCTTCGAAAAGATGGCCGCGGGCCCTGAGAGAGATGCTGAAGTTAAGAGTCTACAAGTTGACCTCAACCAGCTCACTATCTCCGCTGTTGAGAAGGCCAAGTACCGCAACCAGTTCACTCAGATCCATAAGAAAATCACGGATGCTCAGAAGGCAGCTCAGAAGGCTGAGGTGAAAACTGCCATTGATGCTATCTCCTCCTACTTTGAGCAGAACAAGGACAGCCAGTCGTTGGTTATCAAACTACCAATCTCTGCCAATCAGAAGGCGATTAGCGAATCTTTGGCTCATGTCAAATCGAAGTTAAGCGGCAAGGCGCTATACGTCTTCGCCGCCGATACATCCAAGGTTGCCCATGGATGTTACGTTACTCCGGTATGTTCTGCACAGTACATCCTATCTACATTCTTATACTTGCGACTAATATATAATAGGACCTCACCGCCAAAGGGGCATCGGCTAACGAGTGGGCTAGTGCCGTATCTGGCATTGTAGGAGGCAAAGCAGGAGGCAAGGCACCCGTCGCGATCGGCAACGGTACCGAAGTTAACAAAGTCGACGAAGCCCTGGATGAAGCCACAAAGTATCTTGAGAAATTTAAACTCTGATACGAGTTCCATCCCCTGTTGACCCTTCGTTAACTTATTTGCATCTTTCCTTTTTCTTGCATTTGTTTTAAACTTCTTCGAAAAGGGTATATCATATCATCGGCGGGAGGGTTCATATAGTATATCAAGATAACACATCATAGATTTGATGCCTTGTTTATTTAAAACAAAAAACCTTAGGTGACATAACTAAGCATTTAACCATATTGTAGATAAGGAGTGACAAGCATGCTTTTTAGGAGTACAGCAACGGGCCGCCCTTAACGCCCAACGCTTAAAATGCTTATGCGTGACCGAGAACTGCACCACGTTGTACAAATAGTTCGTAGAGCTAAGGAGACCATATGATCCTATTAATTGTTCCCCAACTGCAGCCACAGCTCCTGTTACTGCGTATTTAGCCTATTTTTAGTGAATCTTGAGGAAAATACGAATATTGGCCAATGATCTAATTTGGGCCTAATTATCACCTTCTCCATCACATCTCTCCGCACTGCGCAATTACAACATCCTGGTTCGGCTTATCCCTTGTAGTGCGCGTATTCTCTATCATACGCACAATATCCATACCATCTATTACGCGGCCAAAGACGACATGTTTGTTGTTGAGGAATGGAGTGGCGGTGGTAGTTATGAAGAACTGGCAGCCATTGGTGTTCGGGCCCGAATTCTTCACCGGGAAACAAGTTCCGGTTAGAATGGATGGTATGAAGAAAAAATTAACTGGGGTATAAGGAAATAAACACGTACAGCCATGCTAAGCACTCCCGGCCCGTCATGGGTGAGATTGAAGTTTTCATCTGCGAACGAGGCTGTTCCGTAGATACATGTTCGGCCAGACCCGTCGCCATTGATGAAATCTCCTCCTTGGATCATGAAATCTTTAATCTATATACGGATTAGCATTTACCGTAAGGCAGGAATACTTGGTTCATAAATAAAAAAGTTGGAGACTTACCACTCGGTGGAACTTACAGCCCTTATAACCCTGTGGCCGGCCACGGGCATTCTTCGTCTCGCCGGTACAGAATTGTCTGAAATTCTCAGCTGTTCGAGGCACAACATTGGAGAAGAGTTCTATTTTAATACGTCCAAGCGGTTCACCTAGATATCGTGTAAGTAATTAATGCTAGGATATAGTTATGCGTCTGGATCTAAGCACCTCCGAGGGTAATGTCGAAAAACACGATCGGGTTATGGTTTCCCCCTGCAGGAGTAGAAGGCTGTTGTGCGCTCATATCGAACCGACTTTGAATTAAATGCGTGGTATGGGTAGTAGAAATGGTAACTGGTGAATTTTGTATCAATCGAGTTTGGCTATTAGTTGAGATGTCGGATAAATTAAGCGCCAGCCGCGCACAACCAACAAAAAGATTCGTATAAAATCTACCTTTGGCCGCGAACACCGATGATCTCTAGGGAGAGTGGATTCTCTCTCATCCCAATCAGAGATCAATCAACTTGGCAATAGAATAATGTCATATGGAGAAATTACCGATACCTAGTGGTTTGAGCTTTATGCGTCAATGGTGTATGTACAAGTATGTATATTTATATTCTGTATCTCCAAGATTCGTGATCAACGTAGAAATAGCCTCCCTACTCTATATCCGACATTTCAAAGTTTGTTCTGAAACTATTACAGGGAAGCAATTATATTATAGTGCACTTAGCCCGCCCGGTTCCCCTGCAATATGTCTGCCTTCAACCCAGAACTAGCCTACGAAGAGGGCGTAGGAGTGGGCGTGGGAGTAGGCGTGGGGGTAGGTTGGGTAGGTTCAGGCTGGGTTGGCTTGGGGTCAGACACAGGCTTGCATAGGAAGCTGCGGACTTCGAATTTGAACCTGGAAACATTCTCTGTGAAGTGTTCCGTCTCTCTTCCCTGGCAGTGAAGTTGACTAGAACAATCGATTAGTTACAGAGAATACTCGGGCAGGATGAAATGGATGATAGATTTAGAACAAGCCCAAGAGTCGACGTACGAATAGAAGACACAGTCATAGCCTTTGGGGAGATCCGCAGACCTAGAACAAGCCGGTTAGTTTAATACGCGACTCATGTTGTGGTGAGTGAGGAATGAGCATACATAACCCAAGAGTCGTGGAAGTCCTCACACTCGCCGTCATGGACGGTCACTGGGAATGGAGATTGCGCGCCATTGGGAGATTGGAAATAGCCAATGACCTAATACCCCAGTGTCAATAAGAATGCCACCCAAGAATGGGGAGAAGTGATCGGTCTGATAGCCAGATACTATGTAAACACATACTTTTGGTTCTTCACCAGCAACGGCTGTGGCACAAAGGCCCAGGAACATGGCAACTACAGCGCTGGCGACACGCATGTTGGCAAGGATGAGAATAAGAAAGCACGAAAAGCGGTTCGTTAATGGTGGCTTAATATTTAACGAGACAGTAAAGACGGTCGAGCCCATTTATTTATATAGATGAGCAAGCGGCGACACATCTGCCGGAGCCTCGGTTTGTTAGGGGATCCCGTATTCCTGGGAACCATTTCAGAAAAGACTCGGCTTAAGCGAAGTCCACCAGTAGCACTGACGCGATATCTACTAGTTAAACGACTAATAGTTAGACTACTAGATCGCCCTAACCGTAAATACGGTGGCGTCGTGATGGAAGATGCGATGGCGATTCTTCTTGTTTGGACATGATATCCGACCAAGTCGGATGCATAGCAGGATAAAGCTGTCATCATGACCGTTGAGCGGCTGGGAAAAAGGGGTATTTGAGTTGTATATGGTAATATCATATATCAGGGATGCCCTTCGTATTGTCTGTGTTTGAGAATATATAAAGACTTTTTTTGGTGCGATGGAGCCGCCCTCTGGAGCTGCCTGGACTGATAGATCTGTGGACAGGGTACTCCATACCCCCGCCAGAGATCCTTTCTTTCCGCTCTATGACCGATGACGAAGGGCTGGAAGTCCATAGTTCATCGTGAAGTTCGTAGCTTATCCGTTGTTCGGCAGATGTACCCGCACATCAACAACCACAGTTCATGGCTATATCTTCGGGAGACGGGAAGATCCCGGGGCTCAGGATTTATCCAACATTACCCCAAGAGCCCTTGTCGATTAGATGTCGATATCTGTCGATGATCGAGATCGAGATCGCAGATGACGACGGATTTTAATTGTTTGATAGAAAAAACTAACCTAGAGTCACGTGACGGTACTTCTTCCCCCTTTTTTTTAAATGTTTGAACTTCACTTGTACTTTTGGTACATTTTTGTATGAGAAGAGAAGAAGCGAAGACTAACACGACAGCGAGGAGGAAGACACACAGGGCCAGACAGCCCTTGGCTGGCGGCTATCTTCTCCTGGCACAGCAGCAAACGAAATTCGGAGTAACAACGAGGCCCAAAATACCTTGAAACGCGGGGGATATACGACTGGGATACTTACGCTACTTAGAACCCCGATGGCTCTGCAGGGCTAAAGTCACAACCAAAAGAGGCATCCGAGTGCGCCACCAGCGCTGTTAAGAAAAGCCCGGAGGAGGCGCTGACGGCGATCAAGACGGCCGAAAAAAAAAAGGAAAAGGAAAAAAAAGAAACGCTCAGTCGCGTAGTTACAGGAAGGCCTTTGTCGTACTGGACGCTCAAGGACCTGATACTGCAGAGATCAAGACCTTCATCGACAAGACAGCAAGAGGACAAGACAAGACAAACGAATTTGCGAGGGAACAAGCGAGAGACAGGGGACGTATTAAGACGGGACGACTTGCTGCAGGCTTGTCCTGACCCTTGATTCAATCGCAAGTGCCAGCTAGTGTGCTGCGTGCTTCTCCACCCGGACCGGCAGATATTACGTTGGCGTCTCACTTTTCCCACGCTCTGAGGCGCAAGCCTGACGAAAATTTATGGTCGAAGGAGCCAGACAAGACAGGGGAAAAGCAAGGCAAAAAGACGTTCTTGTCCATTGAAGCTGGTCTTTGCTGTTCTTTTTTATTTTTATCTTTATTTTTTTTGCCTCTTATTCCTGGGACTGTCCGTCCGGGTTCATATATTTCTTTCAACCTGCCTGGGCCTTTCCTCTTCATCTCCATATTCTTCACTACTCCACACCATCAGCACAGTTCGATCGATGAAGAATCCGCCAAGATCGGCTTGTTTCGCCCTCAACGCCCTCGAAAAGGCTGCTGGCGATCTTTTTTAAGGCCAGTTGGCTTGCAGCATCGAATTGGAGAATTGCATTAATTGCATTACGGCCAGCCTCCATTTGGGCCTCTCACAAAACATAATCGCCCTACACTCCAGTGGCTGAGGGTAAATACTAACAACCCCCCCCCTTTATCCTTGCGGGCTTGCAGCCTTCAGACTTTTTAGAGCGCTCAAGGCCAGTAGATTTGGTCTTGACTCCTCTTTCCGTCAAGACCCGCTCTGCGCCGTATCAAATCGTTTCCTGGGACGCTGGTGCGGTTTACGTTCATGCTTGCGCTTGAACATCTGGTTTTGCAGACGGCTTGAGTCTTTGATCGTTTTTTCTACATATTCGTTCGCTGGTCTGTCTGTTCATTTTCCTGACCGACTGACCGACGGCGTCGATCGAACTCGTTTGGTTGTTCTTGCGCTGCTACACAACGGCCTCCCATATCCGTTGTGCTTACAACCATGGCTACCGCTTCGCCGTCGCCTACACCCGGTGGAGGTGGCGATTCGAGTTCCAATAACTCGCCGTTGCTCTTCTTTGTCGCACTCGGTTTTGGAGTCGTCTTCACTAATCTATGGTACATTTCACCACGCTCCTTACATCACTCGCTCTCTTTTCTACCATTTACACTCGTTTGAATCAATATCTAACCGATGGACAGGATCATCGTGGGCGTGAAATACTGCTTCCGGTATAACCAGCGGCACCGCCAGGCTCGAAATGACGAGAACGGTGACCCTATCGATATGGTCAATGTCCCACGCACCCATCGTAGAAGAAGGGAGAAAAAACTCATGTCGATGGAAGATGTCAACAGTCGATTTCCCATCACAAAGTACAAGAGCTGGCGTGCTTCAAGGGCTGAAGCAGGCCTGCCTACTGCAGGTGGCATCGACAACAACATAGAGACACATACAAGCCGGCAAGGAGGCCAACAGGAATCTGGAACCATCGATACATCTCACGCAGTAACGACCACGACAGATCGCGCAGAATGTTCAGGTGCAATGAGCCCTGACAGCACCTTAGGCCGGAAATCAACCGACATCCAAGTACCCGCCCCGGCTCACATTCCAGCGGAAAAATCTACTACTGTACAATCTCCTACCAAGCCTAACGCAATCCAACGTTTATCTAGCGATAATCATAGTCTTAAACATACCGACTCTCACCTCCAGGAACACGATGATGACGACCATGACGACCACATATCCCATGCTATGACCACAGATCTCATCGCTAATCCGGGCGACTCATGTGCTATCTGTCTTGATATGATTGAAGATGACGACGACGTGCGTGGCCTAACTTGTGGCCATGCATTCCATGCCTCTTGTGTTGACCCTTGGCTTACCAGCCGCCGTGCTTGCTGCCCGCTTTGTAAGGCAGACTACTTCACTCCCAAGCCACGGCCTGAGGGTGAGACCCAAGAAGAGGACCGTCGGGAACGCGGGAGGAGGCACCACGGTTCTAACAGCGCTGGAGCGACCGAGGCTGAAACGCCTTATCAAACTGCCCGGATGCCGCCGTTTGCCTCTAGAATGGTTCTGGCCGGAAGATTCATGCCGATTCTACCGGGAGAGGACAACAACAGATCTGCCAGAGATCGAGGCCTTCGTATCGCCGGGGATAACGCAAATGTCAACAATTCTGGGGATGGCACCCAACCACATTCTCAAGGATGGAGAACTCGTCTACCACGTTTGAATATCCCTGCATTTGGGAGGAATAGATCCAACGGCTCTCAGCAGGGCGATGCGAATGCCTCTTCAGTGATAGCTGATCCTCCCACGCCGAGGCAACTGGAATCTGGCACTCAGACAGCAAGATAAACTCCTCGGCTTGGACAACTTATGTTCATCGCCGCTGTATCATACGAACTCATGTATCCGACTCTCATTTTTACCCTCCTACACGACACATACACGACCCTTTACCACCACAAAACCCACCTATCAATCGAACGAATAACGACCATCCAGCTTTCTACCGTCATATCCCCATATCCGAACCACCCAAACTCTACGGTTAACTAACGGACGATCACTCTAGCCTCACTAGAGGATACATTTTACATACTTGCCTCACACAATATACTATTTCCTTTTTTCGCCACTTATCCCCTCGCGATATCGAGCAGTACTGATATTTCTCAGTTTTACGAAGCTGTTTTATATTAACAATATACTTGCTTGATTTATGTTCTGCTTGATGTTCAGTTTCCCTTGCTGATTTACGCTCCTTGATACCCCCATACACACACCCCCTCCTCCTTTAGCTGCATCATACTATTGGTCTTCATTGCGCCTGTTTTAACTCTACGCCTTTCCTGGTCTGGTTGCCGAATATTTCAAGTATTTCCTTGCGGGCGCTGCATTTGTTTTTCTATGAGGTGTAAACGGTTCTTGATTGATTAGTTGATTCGCATGTTCTGGAATTTGTATTCTATTGATATCCAGTAGTAGCTTATCTATCTAATGTGAACAAGAAGCAGGAATAAGCTACTCTACATTGTACATGAAAAATATAAACTTGCATGACTTTCTAGTTTTAGATTTTTGCCTTTACTCACGAAACGTTAATAGTAGAGCTGTAAAGTGAATATTGATATCCGCCCTAAATAAGGGTGGAGCCATAGTTGGGGTTGTTATGGAGTAGGATATAACTATATAAGATTCAGCCGAATAGCAGACGGATAGGAAAGTACTATACAAGCAAATTAATAACCCGCACGTACATAAGCTGCAATATTTATATAAGCAAACACTAACACGATGATGGAATCTCCACTCCATCACTTCTGTTTGGGCGGTGCAACACCCGCGCTCAGCACACCGGGCAACTCCTCTTCTCCAATGCTAAACAACATTCCAATTCCGTACCCAACTCCCAAAACAAGCAGCAGGCTCAGACCACCAATAAGCCAGAACTGCATACTAACGTCTCTCTTGGAGCAGTCAGGGCCTCCCCACTGAACAGTCTTTGTCTTGCCATCTTTGTTGGTGGAGACCACGGTACGGTGACATTTACAAGCATAGCAATCGTTTTCATGGCTAGATGACGTTGAATTCTTTGTTGAAGTCCGTTTCAGGTAGCATGATCCGTGGCCTGAGCAGCTGTTTGTACGCTCAGTGCAGGTTTCGTTCTTGGTATAGCATACAGGAAGGTGGAATGGTGCAGTGGGGTTGGCAGGTATGGCCGTGGATGCTGAAGTGGCATCGGCACGGGCGGCCTGGTTAGCGCTGGGGGAACGCACTTTATGCACCTTCGGCTTAGCTTTGTCTGCGGGAGAGCGCTTCTGTCCCTTGTTCTTGGTGTAAGTATCATAGGGAACAGTGATGACAGTGGATTCCACGTTGGAATCAGAGCTGAGAGTGGCAAGGGCCTTGAAGAGAGAGCCAAGTTCTCCGTTCTGAAGAAGGGGAGTTTCCTGGTAACGTGGTTTGTTAGAATACGTGGTGAGAAATACCGTAATCGAGCTATCTACTTACGGAGGCTCGTAGGCGGACGACGATAGAAGTGTGTTTATATGCAGATGAGCCGTCGATAGCTTGATCGATGAATCTTTGAAGCTTGGCCGAGCCTGAGGTACAGTCTGGGATCTCGGAGTAAAGTTGGGCATCCTGGGGACAAGCACCAGAGCTCTGGATATAAGTTAGTTTGCGGTTATAGTATCAAATCACGGTTCGATTGCTGGCTTACCCGGCTTCTCAGAGCAATGAATCCAGTGCATGAGGGTTCCTCTTCACCATATAGACAGACATTCGGGCTACGATCGTCCTGTGAGCTCTCTGACATGAAAGAAGACAATATTGAATCGTCTAAGTAGAACGGTGGAGGGTTTGAAATGGCAAAATCGCGTGGTGATTCCGTCTCCAGCATTTTAACTGACCCATCGTTTTAATTAGTTATCCAAAAACCATCGAGTTTGATCATAATGAGCTATCCAACTCACTTTCTTCAGAGTCTACTCCTTCTAAGATCAACAGCAACTTGTATGCTTGCTCTCTGTCGGTATCAGTAAAAGGCAATGCCTGCTGGCCGCCAAAGAGATTCAATTCCCGTATAGTCTCATCATCCACTTTTCCAACCAAGGCCGACGATTCAGGCCACCCTAGTCTCCGTTCTAACAGCAGCTTCGCGATATCTGGACTCCGTCCTCGACTATCACCGGCCTTTGGTTTCCAAGAGTTCACGCCCGCGCGGTCTTCGATCATATGGACCAAATAGTCTTGGCCAAAGGATGTAGCTGTAAACGCGGACAGCACCACCGCCAGGCTAGAGAAGACGTTCTTCATCCTGATGGCGGTAGCTCTAGGCCGTGTGTCTAGGGAGGAGCTTGCCTGGTATCGATGGCGGCAATCACAGTCGTTTTCCAACTATCCTCCGCAGCCAAAAAACGTCAAGGGGGGCTTAAAATCAGGCAGAGAAGAAGCTATTTCATCTGCCGGATCGTTTATATCGACGACTGTGTCGAGCGAGGGTGACGGATGTTGGTCTTGTCGTCTTTGCTTCTTCGTCTTCGACTTGCATGTTACTCGCCGCTTAGTCAGGATATTTTAGTCATTCAATGGCTTATTAATAAAACGTTGTATCACGTGATGGTGCATACCAGAGAAAGTCTGTCCTTACTACGTTTACAACTTATACAAGGACTACTTTATATCAGGACTACTCTGATGACAATAAAGATGCTTGGATTCACTATTATCCATGGATATGCTGACAGCCGTGCAGGCATATCGTAGCACAGCCCGCCATAACCGTCGTGCCACGGCTCGCCCGCAGCGTCGAGGCTGTCAACCGCAGATATGACACCAGCCACGCAGTACTGAGTAGAAGCCGAATCAGAACAAAGCCTCCTCCAGGTACAACGGCGCAGCAGAGATTTGCCTACTAAAAGATTAACTGCACCCGTGATATCGAATTTCCATCTTCACTGTCTTTGATGCCGCCCGTCAGCTTGAGCTCTTCACGCAACAATCTCTCCTCCTAAGCGGATACGCCCTTCAAATCTCCACGGGTTCCGCATAGGTGCAGATTTTGATTGACCTTACAGCCACCCTGCTCGCGCATAGCGTGGTGGGTACCATAACTTGTTCCAAGGGATGGTTGAAGTGCATACCACATACCCTAGGCGCCAGCACGAAATCCGGCGGGTAAACATTGTAATATAAAAAGGGAGCGCTATCTGCTGCCTTACTTACAGCTTGACGACTGTCGCTTTTTATTCTGTTCTATTCCCCCCTCTTCCCCAGGCTCGAATTACTTAACTATCGTTCCAATCTCCGTTATAGTCAGGCGAGCCTAGGCTTGGATATACCTGGGCAGAGCTCTCTACATCGTTTTGCACAGAAATAGCGGTTCAATAGCAAGGCTCGATTGGCCATGACTTCCCCCAAGGCTCACAAAACCACCGGACTACTTGCATTTCCAGTCGAGTTGCAACAGCTGGTTCTCAAAAGCGCCACGGACATCCCCTCCCTCCTTGCGTTAACCCAAAGCTGCCATACTCTGCAAGCCGCGTTTCAAGATACCCAAAGCAGTATTCTCCATAGAGTCCTTCAAAACGAGCTTTCCCCACAGCTAATTCATGAAGCTTGGATCGTTACGGGTTCGTCCCGCCCCGGAATCAAGCGGGACAAGAAGTTCACTCTTGAGTTAATCACGCATTACTTTGATGAGCGGGGGCAGCAGAAGCATTTCCAGTGGACGGTTCAGGAGGCCTTGGCTGCCAGTCGATTTCACAAGATTATTCAGTTCTTCGCCTGCGATTTTGCGACTAGAGCTCTAAGCATTAAAAAAGACTCGCATAAGGCTTCAGGGAAATCAAACATATATAAACCCCCGTCACCAACGGAGCGCCTGCGTTTCCAGAGAGCGCTTTATCGATTCGAGCTTTACTGTAATCTCTTCGATGTTGACCAGAGGGCCACCCGCCTTCTCTTTGATTCAGAGGAGAAATACGAACTGTTTTGGTCACGGCTTGCTGTCTGGGAAAGGGAGCAGTTTGCATGTGCTCATGAATATCTATTCAGAACGTGTATCCCCGGTAAGACGGACATACTTCCAGTTGGTGACATACTCGCTCACATATGTTGCAGCATATAACTACTTTGTCGAATATGATGTTTACTGGGGCGAGTTTTCGAGAGAATACGAATATGGTTTTTCATACAACAATTCAAATATTCAAGGCTATGTTAGATCCCTGTCCTACCCTTCGCACTCTCCACGATATTTATTCTAACGGGCTCTCAGCTTCGACGGGGCCTTAACTATGTCTACAAGATAGCCCATGCTCAATCTTACGAAGAACGCCTTCCTCTCATTGACTGCGGCCTACAAAATGAATGTTCGTTTCTATGGCAGGGCATTGTCTATGATGCAAACCTGGATTGGCCTGAACCCTTCGACAACATACCAGAGGAAGAACTACTGTGGCTTATCAATGCGTCCGCGTCGTGCGACTGCGACCCTGGGCCTTACGAGGCATGGCATTGGGGTAATCCTAATGTAGATCCACAAATAATGGTTCAAGCTGGAAACCAAATTCCTCTTAGGAAGTGGGCGTACGTGATGTGGGACCACGATAGGCTACTGGCATGGGATATCTTTTCCCAACCCTTTAATCCGTTCTGTAGGAAAGATGAAAAGGCTGCGTCGAGCGAGATCGGGAGAAAACAACGAGAGCTATATCGCTCACGTTCAGCAAGAAGCAAGATCTTCCTCAAAGGGGGGAAGGGATATTGGAGTGAGAATGATGAGACAAAAGTAAAATGAAAATAAGGAAATATTGAAGTTCCTTTTTATATAACATTGGGGAGCTCTCTTACATTGTTTAAGAGATCAAATGCTACATTTAAACATACCTACTAGTATGAAGCCGTAGCTATTTCCCCGTATATATGTTTTTATGTTAGATTGTATTTATAAACGTTGTTCCCGTCATGGGTATGCTTCTCCCTTCCCGTGTGGCTGGCCTGGCTGCAGGGGTGCCCAATGATATCTGAGCATACTATGTAAGCTAACTCAACGCTGCGGGCCGAGAACTGGGGTCGAATTGATAGCTTGTGGACAGAAAATGCCAACGTACATGACCCGCTTCAGCCTCGTCTCTTCAATTCATCAAAAGTTCACCTTGCCCAAGAAGTGTACAAGATTCCCACCAAAACGCATCATAGGCACTTCTGGCCCTAGTGTGGAAAGGCCTTTGGCAAAGGTTTCTGAAGCAGTTATATATTCCACTCGAGAAGCCGACTGGCTGAGTGGAAAGTGAAGGAGAGGCTCGAAACTAGAATTTTGTAGGATCAAGCCTGCTCCTTGGCTACTCACAACTGGATTTCATAATACGAGAAATAGCCTTCTTGTCAATATGGGACTCCAGTTATTTCGCGGCCAGAAGCTCGCTTGTTGGAGTCAAGGCGTTTTGGGAGAAATACCTTACTCCTTCTTCGCTCCCATAAACAAATCTATCAATCTGTTTATTAAACCAGCCGCCGAGTCCAGCAGAGCTTTGTGAATTTGAACCTTCTGATCTCCACTCACCTCACTCGACATTACAAAAGGATCGGTATCGGCAATGCGTCCAAAAATCTCGACAATAACTGCGCTTATACTGCTGTCAGTCGCAGCGCCAGCCGCAGCTCGATCAACAAGTCAATTTCGAAAGTTCTTCCCGGCATGGAACGGCTACTTGCTGAATATCATCGACAATGAATGCCAGGAACAGCGCGACAAGTACTTCGATCCCTCCAATGGCGAAAGGGTACTGTCCTACCAGCTGGCCAACTGCCTACTCGACGGAATGGAGGAGTTTCGAAAGACCGAGATGGGTATAACTTCCGTGATTCTCGGTCTTCTTCCGACTATGCTGCAGACCTTTGGCCCGACGGTAGTGGAGGTGAGCGTTCTCGCCAGCCGCCGACCTCTGCTCGCTTTCCTGCTCGGTATCGCCATGCCATCAGTCAGCACGGGAGGGCCGCTGGCTAATCCTGCCGAGTCCTTGCGACGCACGATCGACTTCCGTATCCGCTCCCACGTTCTCCCTCAGGCCAGATGGGCCTGGCTCTTAATATCCGTGTCTGAGTACCTCATTGCCGCCGCCGCCGCTGCTAATGTGTTCTATCAGGTATACCAGCTGGCCTACTGGTCCATTTCCGTCTCGGCAATTGCGGTGGATAGTGGGACCATATCGGAGACCTACACACCCTGTCTCTGGCTTTTGCTCCTTATTCCCGTTCATCTTCTTAGCTTTTGGCGCTTAAAGCTGCGGTACAAACCATCAGAAGAGACCGCGGACTTCGAAAAACAGAAGTCATGGCTACGGGCTGTAAAGAGTGAGTTTGTGCCTTGCGCCTTGGGCAATCCATTGCTCCTAACGAAGGTAGATAAAGGGCTTCTATCTATTGCCGTGCAGTTCTGGACAGATATTGCTTCCGCCGTTGTATTTATATTCAGCACTGTGGCTTTGTCAAGCCAGATCTTCATCAGCTTAGGTGACGTAGTTCCTATTATAGCCCGGTTTCTGATTGGCACTTTGGTCTGTCGGGCCGTCTTGTTGTTCGAGCTGCATGGACTAAGAGAAGTGACGAGCCAGTCACAAAAGGACGCTATACACAGTGGTTACGAATCGGTCTGCGGACAAGATGGGAAGGGCGTCACCGCAGAACTCGGGCTCACCCTTTGACGTTCCTGGGATGCTGGCGGGATAGGACTGTTGCGAGTGTATGCTGTGATGAAGTCAATGTAAATAGTCAACCATATAATCTGCCATACTTTAGCAACCTTCTCGAGGGCTAAACAACCTCTTTGATCTGTCCATCTACCTCGTAAGCTCTGGCAATTTCATTAAGGTCGGAAAAATGGTTGATATCAATCACTGGGAAGATGAAGAGTAAGTACGAAAGAAAGACGAAAGTCGGCTTAGAGACTATCACGTAACGGATATCTCGCCTGGCGCCAGTTGCAATATGAGGGTATAAGATATATTAATATAATAAGTTGTTCCCGCCCAGTTGTTACCCACGATCCACTCTACTGAGCTACTGCAGTCAAGATGTAAATGTTTAGTCCCTAGCAAAGAAAACCCTGCGGGGTTCTATCTTTAGCAGCAGAAATGGAACTGGCCAGATGGAGTCCGTTTGCGTTCAAATATCTACCAAACGAGAGTATAGCCATGGGGAGAGAAAATCAAAAAATAGCTTACAGTGGCTATCGTTTCACAATAGCCTAACACTCAAGTAGTCAGGCAGTTATATAGTTAACGGTCGAAAGAATCGATCGGTGGAAAAACGTGCCCTGAGCAATGCATCGATAAATAGGTTCCAGTGGTACGGCAAAGTTGGAACTGAGGGCGACATGCCGTGCGAGAAGGTGACGACTGGTGAACAGCGCGTCAGATGGGGTATCTACCACACCTAAGAAAGTGGAATCAATCGATAAACGATGGGATATATTTGCATCTTTCACTATTTTCGTTGCCCGGCTAACCTTGGTATAGCAATTGGCCGTAGCCACCGTCGATTCAGAACATGGGAAGCCAAAGATCGCAGCCGAGAAAATGTGGATAAAGAGAGATAGCAAGGCCGCCTTGGATATTAATAGGGTACATCCATTACTGAACCAGCTCTGGTTTCCGTCAGAACATATGTACCTTAGGCATTAAAGCTAATCAATGGATGCTGCTGTTGTCCTTTTGAATCCTAGATAGCAACTCTAATCTAATAGGGTATTGTCCAGATAACTAACCAGTTATCAGGTTAACTAGTTAATTGCCATTTGATTAGGAGCGCACCAAAACCTGATAAATATTTATAATGAGAAAGTGTTGACAGCTAGAAATAACTGCTAGGTTGAAATCATTGGGAGTTCGGCTTCTTAGGGTTCCAACCTTGCTCCCGTGCCAAGCCATCAAGCGCGCGCGACCAAACCTTCGCGGTAAACTGGAAAGTTTGTGTGCGCCTCGTTCGATGGATTTTAGGTCGTTTTTAGCCAATCCAGAGCCAGCGTTAACTGTTATTATGGAGAGAGGATGTTGGTAGTATTTCCGGTATATCGATGGTAGTTTTCATATCGGGCCTTCTTTGGAACGTATAATAGTGAGGATATATGACCACAAATCTCTCAGGTGATGGTAGTAATAATTAGCTATTCAGATTCTCAGAACGATATATGCGTCACATCATAGTGTTCGCGGCCTGGGTAGCGACGTTATGTTCAACTTGCAGTGCAATCGGGTCATTCAATTCAAACTCAGAGTTCCAAATCACTTTCGCAGCATTATCGCCGGAGCCATCTTGCTTCGAGCTCTTGACGCCAATATGTTGGAAAACACTCGGAGTTAGTGCCCACCTAATCTCGTTATTGCGATTGGCATATTCCTCTAGGAGAGAATCTGCAAATCCAATTTTCTTCGTCTCATACCAAGATATCACATCCGCAACACGGTCATGTGGAAACACGAGAGCTTGGGAGCAACATCCAAAACGTGGCATTTGGTGAACTCCAGGCTGAGTTGGTAGCATTGACAAACGGCCTGAGGCAAAAAAGAGCAAAATGCAGATGGGCCCATGGACAAGACAGATAAGCAAGATGACCTTATTTGAGAGTTGCTTGCTTAAACGGGGGATGTACCACCGGGCAGTAACAAGTATACCCCAGAGAGCTGCAATAACAGCCATGGAGGAGATAAGATATATAAGCCATTCTTCGTTATTCCATCCTAAAAGGCCTTGGGTATAAAATAGCCGAAGGTATAGATCTACTCTCAAAGGATTAGATAACATGATTTAGATGTAAGCAAGCAATACTTACAGTTTGAAGTCCCTAACTGTTTAGTCTGCCTTTCTGCATCTATCAAGGCCTCTTTGGTTCGATGGTACCAGCCATCCATCGCAAGAACATCATCTTCTACCATTATAACATGCGGTGCTCCCATGGCTTGACAAGCCTTGAGCAAATATACATAATCAAATAAACCCTTCTCCCTGAATAAACCACCCTCTTCTTCTAGCCGCTTGAGATGATCAAGCTGGTCTTGGGTGACATTATAGAGTAGAACCCTATCTGACATAGCCGATATCCAATTACTTTTAAAAGACGGATGAATCGTCGGATCTACATGGGGTATAAATAGGATCAGGTGGATATCTTCACGCTCTTGCGGGCTTAAATCCATAAGTAAAGACCCAACTGTTGCTTCAATATAGCTCACATCCTTCCGAGCAATGGAGGCAATACCGACACAGAGACTTGCATTTCCGGCTCTTGCGGAGTTGAAGGTAGTGGTATTCTGAGAGCTGACGGCTGCCTCGATGTGCCGGATAAAGTCAGTGGCCTTGGATGCCCTGAACCCGGAGTATATAGGTTCATAACCCTTGTTGGCATTGAAGAAGGCGGAAGTTGGGTCGCGATAGTTATAAGTTCGGCAGTATTGAATAAGGAGAAGGTAGCAAAGGAGGGAGGCGAGAATGAAGCGACATGAATTCCGAGAGAACAAAGAGTGAAAAAAGGAGTGAGCGTTGCGAATTCGCATGATTCTTTTTATCTGTTATATAGCAGTCTCTTTGACTATCTTTGTCTGAGATCGGAAGAAATGAGACGAACATTCCAAAAATTGAAGGCTTGTCAGCGAAATCTCTTTGTTAACCAGTACATTACTCATTATCTCTGCTGAATCATCACTGACTAAGCATCCGGTTTATATCGCCGACTTGGAAATTTCAGAAAAAGTGACAAGATTGAGATCTCAACAACTTTTCCTCGATCCTTTTGCTAGGACTTGGATCCTTCTTTTGCTGTATTCCTGTAGATACCCTATCCTTCTCCGTGCTCAGCCTGCTAGCGATCCGAGGCGGTTTGTTTGGTGTTCCCCCTTTCGAACGGGCGCAAATCGGCGCGGCGAGTCAATCAAGACCGATCTCCAGATCTTCAGAATGCTTTTTCGAATATAAATAAAAAAGTAAGCCGCCTGGTCAAATGAGTCTACACTTTAGGGCGACAGGTTTTTCCCGTCGTCCGTTGACATTCTTTCGGATACGACGCTCGATTTACCACCAACCATCTGGATTAATACAAATACAACGTGTGAGACTAAGGCAACTCTGGTTTCGGTTCGTTCATTTCATACATTCGAGCTTGGAGTGCTATACAAATTTTTAATAATGGACGCAGGCTAATGGTTATTGACCACATTTAGACGAGCATTATGGACGATCGCAGCTTACGGCATAGCAACATTCGTTTGGTCAGAGGTCGCCCTAAGACCCTTTGATAAGGTAGACTATGATGCTTTAGAAGAAGAGTTCAGGAGGGAGAAAGAAACAAAGAAGGCACAGAAAGCGGTTAAATCATCAGGCACCGACAAGGAAGAGGATGGTACCGAGGAAGATGACGATGATCCGTTGTTCATTCCACTTGGACTGCCCCGCCTCGTAGAAGGGGAGTTCTACTCCGGACTTGACCCTGAATGGCAAACGTTTATCAAAATTTCTAAGGACAAGAAGTCATTAGAAGCACTTAAAGGTACGCCAACTGGGAGACGCAGACTGGTGCTCAGCATTTGGCAATGGATGAGACTAACGTGACATCTAGGGCAACTTGCAATTGAGGTATCGGAAGCACTAGCCCGTGATTTTCGTATTGTCTCGCGAGTGGGAGCACCTCTCAAAGTGAGATGTAGCTGGTTAAACCATGAGTTTCCATACAGAGCACCGCCGACATATGTGCGATCCGGGTAAGCCTACTAGGCATCTTAAGTCTGAAATATCTACTTACTGCTCTTATAGGTTTGAATGGTCCGAGAACGGGGTAAAATGGACGTCCCATTCCCTACCAGTAGAACAAGGGGACCGGATATGGAATGTCCTTGAACCATTCCGGGTCACGATGGCAGCCGCACGCGCAGTCCATTTCTACTTTCTAATAAAACGTACTAGAGTCGAAAACTATCTAAAAAGGCTACGTTCCGAGAAGAGCGGCCAATCTGAGGATCAAGGTCAGAAAGAAGAAAAAGTCAGAGTTCCTTACCCATTAACCATGCCTCTCATATCCAAGGTGCCTGGAGACATCGGGAACGCCTCGGCATATAACTTTCCCACTGCCGAAAGCAAAGCAGATGCTAAGCGCAGTCCTTTCCAACCACTTATCATACATGATGAGACTTCAAAGGGCGAATATAGACGGAAGGATAGCAATACTGATTTCCGAGCTGCGGCCGGGTTATTCTTATTCCTACTTGGGCGATCACCAGGCCGGTATGAGACACCACCTCCTGGCGTCTTCATCATCGAAGGCATGATTTCGTTGAATGGGCCCAGGGGACAGTGCAATGTCTACACAAAGGCATTTTTTGACCCAAAGAAGAGCCACTTCAACACGGTTGTAAATGTGAGGTCCGTCTTACCATTTGTACAGAAACCGCGCCGAAAAAATTGATGATAGCAGCGGTATCTTCTTCGGTGATTTTTTTACACTCTTCGACTCGTATTGTCGAGTATATTGCTTGCTGTTTTGCTTTTCCTGTCAGTGCTTGTCTCTTATTACCCCTTTGCAGTAGACGGAGTTTGGAGCGGACATTAGGCATATACCACTTTCTTTTCTTTGGGTTCTGGAGCTTGTATTGATAGAAATAGATGTATTAAACCCAAGCTTTACCTGAAGCTGCTTGTCGTATATCAATCATCCTGACCTCTATTCAGAATCCTGTATATGACGTAATCGAAGATGTCCTTGTATAACAACATCGCGGGGCTCCAAACAACGAACTGGACTCGACTCTCCATATCACAGAATTGAGAGATTATTTCTATCTGATATACTGTAAAAAGAGACAAACATGGCTCTAAATCCAAAATTTGCTGGGATGAAACTTGGTCCCACTGAAACTCGACATACCCTTGAATTATGTACGTTCTCAACCCATCTATGAGCCATCAATTATCCTGAGATATGAAAGTCGACTAATGTGGAGCTCTTGGGTTAATAGACCTGGACTATGTCTGCCCCGTATGAAGCTCCTCTGATTAGGTCTACACATATATAAATACCTGCTTACCGGTTATAGTTCTCTGCCCTATTGTTCGGGACGTTCTATAAAGACGTCCTCCCTTCTCTCCCCGAAAATATTTCTTCATGCCTCACCGTTATTTTCCGCCCACAAATACAGCCATGGCATCCGTCTTCTACCCTCGTGCATGAAGCAGCATTGGCGGTGCTCAAGCTTGCGCCAGAAAAGTTCTGGCACTTCAGCTCTGTCTTGTTCGAGCATCAAAAGGAGTATTTTGACCTCAGTGTGGTGAATGAGACGAGGGGCATGACCTATAAGCGTCTTGCAAAACTTGCCAGTGAAGAAGCGGGAGTTGACGATAAAGCTATGAGGGACTTATTGTATGTGGGATATGAGAGGGTTGGTGCGGACAAAAATCTGAACATCGGAAACGGGGTGACGGAAGACGTGAAGGCCATAACTAGGGTGAGTACTTCGAAATACGTATATACGTGCCCTATGAGATAATTATGCACTAACTGTACCTGCTCCCGTGTCTCATAGGCCAACAGGGTTGTGGGCGTGCATGTTACGCCAACAGTGTTCTTCAATGTAAGTGGACCTATGCATACTAAGAGCCAGGTTTCCTGATACTAATAGAGCTGGTGCAAGGGTATCGTGGAAATGATTATCGACAGCAAATTCACGAAGGAGCAGTGGATAGAATGGCTGGAGGAGAAAGTGGTTTGATGAGCCGAGAAGGTTACCGGGGAACCAGCGCAAAGGCCGAATAGGGTTGGGATTTAATTAATTGCACTTCCTGTCAAGATGTGGAGACACTCTCAGGAGGGAGGAAATGGTCGAAAGAAACTGAGTATATCTTATTGGAGATTCGGGCTCTGACTAGTTTATCTTTGTGAACAAAAGATGACAACAAAAGGAATGGGGGGAAAGGGGGAGGGGGAGTCTTTTGTGGCAGATGAAAGAAATCTGGCTCGCTAATATGACAACCCACGATGCTTATGAAATGGGGCGGTAGAATCGAAGGATCTTTGTGAGAAGTATAGCGGAGTAAACGAAGAGAGTAAGATGCCGTAAATTTAGATTCGTGAGATAAAAATAACATAAAAGCAATGGAAACGCCTGCAAATGGACAGAGCAATTAACGTGGGAGGAGGAGGAGGGTCGGTAAGTGGGCGGACGGGGTTACTGCGAGACGGGCGGTTTGTAGTTCACTGGTCGCCTAAACGGAAGGTTAGCACTCGGCTGTGCGTGGCAGTCGAAGAAGAGGTGGGGGGGAATGCTCACTTGAACAGTAAGATGTGTGGTTCTGGCTCATGCACTTCGTAATGTTCCCAGCCTAGACTCTATATTCGCCAAGTTAGCATGTTATCGTGAAATTGCTGTGAGGTGGCGGCTGGCCATGCCTGAGTGATCCCTAGTCCCCGCCATTCTTCTTCCCACAGCAGCTTCAGTGTCCCCTTAGCATGGTCGAAGTATTCGTTTGGGATTTTCTTGAGCATAGGCTTGGGCAACTGAACATGTCGGTATTCATATTCACTATCGGAGTACCTGTAGAGGAAAAGAAAATGGCGGAGTTAACATCCGACTGTAGAGCCAAAAGGGGTAGGAAAAAAAATTTCCTGGCTTACCTGGGAGAATAATGGATGCCCTCCGCAAACTCGCCTAGCTCCTGTTTCTCTGATTCAAGAACGGGTCTGGGTTTCTTATTCCGTCTAGACATCTCGATATCCATGATAGGGTGCGCGCCGTACAACAGGTCTAAGCTGGTCTTCGGTGTAGGCTTCTCCTGTCAGTGTGGGGAGGAGAGGATATAGTCCAACGTAGGAGTTAACCGGGCCGAACAGTGCGCAAGAAGCTCCAACAGTAGTTAACCAGTGGATGGCAGCCAAGCAAAATGTTCAATGGGTGCTGAAAATATGTCGAAAATAACGGCGTGGTGCGCAGGGATTTGGGGGCAGCCTGTTGCAACTGCTACGGGGGGCCCTTGGTACGGATCACGTACGGAACCCTAGAGTATGCGAGTTATATCTGTTGGCTCCTTTTATTATTATGTGTATAGCGAGAGGCGACGTTATCGAATTATAGAGGCGGAGCGGCAAAGTAGAAAAAAAAAGAACAGAAAGATAGAAAAGGAAGAAGACCGTCGAAGGTTCGTCCCGCGCTTAAGAGGGGGAAAAGTAAACAAAAAAGGAAAAAGCGATGGTGGGGGATGGCTGCCTCTTATTGGCTAAAGCTGGCTAAATAAGCCAATGGAAAATGACGATGTCAAACTTTGAGCCAATGATATCTTTATTTCAAGCGGAAATCCGACCAATGATTTGCTGTAAAAGCGAAGAAGCTTACTCATATATTACTAATCTATATCACGGGACTTCCCAAAGAGGCAGCTTCACGACGCCTTTTCTCTTTCGCATTCCTCAACTTTCGCATCGACGAAGATAATCTCCAGCTTCACTTCTGGCTCTTCTGCCCGTTGCTGCGCGACTTGGATGCCCTCGCGACGCCGCGAGCTGAGCAGCCATTCACCCTGGCCTCCCGTCCTCCAAACCTCCCCCCAATCGAAACACGAGGCTAGCTAAGCTCGAACTCGTCTGATATGTCCACCAAGCGACGCGCAAACAATGGCGGGGTGGCAGAAGGACCCCCCAAAGAACAGAAGCGGCGCAGAGTCTCGGTGAGTTGAGTTGTGTGCTTGGGCGTCTGCTACGAGTGCAATATGCCAGGATAATCCGGCGTGTGGGCCGTCAATGGCGTCCGGTTCAATGGCGCTGCGACTGCTCCGGGCATAGACCATACAGCATGGCTGCTTGCGCCTGGCAGCTTGATCGCAAATGCGCCAACTGGGGTAACTTTGCGCTTAACACCCGCGCTTGCTTGCCAGGGAGCGTCGCGGGGCTCGGGAGCGGCTGGATACTCTTGTAACTCACCGGTCACCTGTGGTGTCGAAGCTGGTGTTCGCGGTGATTTGGCATCGTACTTGCACTGTTTACCCTTATCCTTGACAGACTTTATCGTGAAGAACCATGTACTAACGCCCACGCCTTGTTTCCGTCATAGAACTACACTCCCCAGACCGACGAGACACCCGAACGAACCACAAAACATGGTCTAGAGTTGTTAGAAAAGATCAAGGTGGCGGTTGATAAATAGTATGTCGTAGACTCTCTTTTTCTCCGTGACATGTGGTGCTAACGATACACACGTAGTGGACGACCTGTTGCTACCGAGTTCCTCCATCTTCCTGATGCGGTTCGTCGATGTTTCGATTCTATTAATGATATCGACTTGCCCGGACGATAAGCTGACGATGATAACAGAAGGAGTATCCGGAATATTACACTACCATCCGACTACCTTTCGCTCTCGATATAATCGAGGTACACGCTCATCAACCCATCAAACCGCCATCACCCCCCACAACCGGCACTCGACTGACTTGCTGGCATCTAGAAAAAACTCAGAAACTACGAATATACCCAATTGACCTCTGTTGAAGCCGATCTCCGACGCATGGTCGCCAATGCCAAGTTTTACAACGAAAAGAGCTCCCAACTCTTCTCAAACGCAGAACGAATCCGCAAAATCGTTGTCGCAGAGATGCCAAAGGTGAACCCTGCCTACAAGGATCCAAATTACTTGCCATTTTCAACGCCACTTCCAAACGATGAGGACGCAGAATTCGAAGAGGCAGAAGGAGGAGAAGAAGACGAAGAAGAGGTGGAAGAAGTTGACGACGATCAAGAGGAAACGCCTGTGAAACCTGCAGAAGCCGAGCCGGAGACAGGGACCAGAGAGGAACGAACGAGATATTCAAAACGCACCAGCACACGTACGCCGACGATAGACCAGGCCGCGGAGGCTAAGGAGGATCCGGAGGCTTCTGTGGCCGGTAGATTCCGAGCAGCCCTGGAAGCAATACTCAACGAAGCTATACGGATGCTAGATGAGAAGTATATTCTCCTACTTTAGTTCCATTTTCGCTTGAAATCTGGGCAACTAACATCTTATACAGCGGTGAGGAGAAGTTTGCACCGTTCATTAATCTCCCGGATAAAAACCTGTACAAGGAATACTACGACGTGATAGAACACCCTGTCTCGCTACGAGGCATTTTGAGAACGGTTCGCGGCACAGATAGACGGAAATCCACGTCCTCAAAATCAAAACCATCGAATCCATTTAGATCGTGGAAGGCATTTACGGATGAAGTGAGCTACCTATGGAATAATGCACGGATATTTAACGAAGACGAGAGTGAGATCGTTGTCATTGCAGGTGAACTGGAGAAATTCTTGAGCACTCGGATAGCAGAGACCAGGAAAACAGTACCTGCACCGGAGGAAAAGGAGGGTGGAGGCGGACCAAAGATACGGCTGAAACTAAGCGGTGCAGCAACGCCAGAACCACCTGTGACGACATCTAAAATTAAGCTACGACTTCCTGGAAGGCATCAGGGAGACACCGGCTCGAGCACTTCTACCATTCATGGCGTGAGGGTAGATACTGAGGCGCTTAAACGACAACAGGATCTTGTAAGGGCCGGGACAAACGGGATCGAGGTGCCTACATCGAGTCATAATACTGTACAACCGACGCCAACGCGGACATTGAGAGATCGAACGAGCTCTGCACGCCCGTCTATGGGTACTGCCTCACCGGCTGCTGCCAGTGTCCCTGTTAATGGAACCGGGGCCGGTGATACTACCACTAGTGGCCCGTCCCTTAGGTCGCGGGCACCACTTACACGACGAGCAGAGGCAGAGTTGGAGCAGGAGCAGGCCTCACTAGCAGAAAGGACGAAGCCTTCGCCGAGTCTGCAGGATGCGGCCACTCCAGGCCCAGCTCCTGCCGCAGAACTGCCGTCGAAGAATACAAACTTTGTTCCCACATCCCTTTCATCTGCCGACTGGGAGAAGCTATCCCAAGTACGAAATAGAGGTATGGCCGCCTTAACCACTTTTATGCTGATAACAATGCTAACTTCGTGTTTCCCAGCGTGCGGCAACGGCCTAATCTCACAAATATCAATATCATCTCACCCTTCACTTCTCCTTCAACGACCCTATAACATCTCCCTGCCCTGCACACCCATCCTCCCCTCGCAACCCATAAGTGTGACACTGCCGTCATGCATCAACCTTATCAGCTTCAGTCCTGTTATAGCCTCGACATCTCACCGTCGCCCAACACAGCACTACTTTACCGTCTGTGATCAAAAGAATCCTACACCGCCGACCAGCGTGGCCGTGCCGTCTACAGACTATACCAGGTTTGTATACGATGTACGGCTGCGAGAAGGAGTTAACAAGCTGGTTGTCGGTGTCTCAGGGCGGGGAGACGGCGAGACAACAGAGCGAGTTATTCTTTTTGTGAATCTCTTACGATCTTGACCTTGACCGGCTCCAGTCCCTTTTTCCTTTTCTTTGGCAAACGGCCCGGCATTTGGCTAGGTGTTATGGTGTTGTGGATGGATCCCTGGCGGCTGATCCTGTCTGTAAACTACTCTTTACATTACTCCTACATTTCTACCTCCAAGACCGTCATCTACATTAACGCCTTTGTATCTATATCTTTTATCTCTACAGATACATCTTCATCTTCTCTTCCCCCGAGCGTAGAAATGGAGACTTAGCGGAACAATGAGTCCTATAAGCGCATTATAGACGCCGCAGCAGAAATACGTAGCATCCAAGGCCGTACCAGCAAAATACACCTCAGGGTAAGTTATCCGTTAGTATATTTCTTGTGCACATTATTTCTTTATTTTCCCATGTAATGAAAGTGGCTGAAGTTGGATAGGACACATGCACGCTGCATAGCTGCTGACAAAGCGGCTGGGGGCGGCTGATGAATCATCAATCAATCAAGTCCATCAAAGGACCGATTTTGGACGACGAAATAATCGACTCTCGACTTGATAGCGATGAGAAGGTCAACGCAGCCCAAGGGAGCCTGTTTTCTTTCTTTTTTTACCTATTTCTATTGATTTGTATGTTATCAATATATCCATTGTTACAAGTACACTCTTTTGAACCTCAATAATTGACCATTCTAAAAATAATAGATCGCGAATTTAATTGGCAGCGCTAGAGCAGTGTGAACGGTACCCGGAAGACACATTTGTTTTGGCTTTAATAATTACATGATGTGGAAGTTATCTCGTTTCCGTTCATTATTTCATCTCCCCATTCGCAGCAGATTGACCGGTGGTTCTCGAAGCTTCACGAACTCAACAGCGCGTAGAGATGGACACGCGGTACATGATACCAGTTTGTGTAGTCCTTTATCAGACCTTTTTTGATTTAGCTATAACTAATAGAATATTAGAGTTGAACACGCATGGCCCTGACAATCTGTTCAGATATACCTCCGGACGGTGGTTGATCGATGAGAAGCGTCAGCTCGAACAGCGCTTTGTGAAATTTAGCATCGACGAGCTTTGCTCCCGTGCCGCTGCTGTCTTTGGACCCAAAACGAAATGTGTGCGAGTTGTCAAGGTCGAGGGAAATTCCAACAAGGCCTTCCTCCTCACGATGGACGATGGGAACGAAGTTATAGCGAAGATCCCTTGTCCAAACGCTGGAGCTCCATTATTGACAACATCCTCCGAGGTAGCGACGTTGAAGTTTTGTAAGCTCTCCACTGCTACTCTATATTTTGATGTACTTATATTTTTGTGTATAGTGCGATCCCATATATCCATTCGAGTACCAGAAGTATATGCTTGGAGCTCAGACTCGTCAAACCCAGTGGGAGCGGAATATATCATTATGGAAAAGATCCGTGGAGTTGCTCTTGCAGAGAAATGGGAGTCAATGAACTCCTTGCAACGCTACAAGATAATTGACAGAATTGTGGAAATGGAGACAGAATTTAGGAGCTTGAGATTACCGGCATACGGCAGTCTTTTCCTGCGAGATTCGCTACCATCCGAATACCATTATTATCCACTTCCCTCGGATTTGGACCCGGATGGATTGTTCTGCATTGGCCCATCGAGCAGTCGACCGTTGTGTCATAATAAACCCACCGAAGTATCCAAATTAAGTATTGGACCATGTGAGTTCTATGGTTCTCACGTGGCCAAATGTTCTATTATCTGATTCTATTAAGGGGATACGATTTCGGACTATGCGCTATCCATACCACACAAAGAACTAGCCCTAATTGCAGCGGATAGAGGCAAAGTCCAAGCTCGTCTTAACCGCTTCGATGATCACCAATCTGTCAACGAGTATTCTGACCTTTTACAAATGGCGATGCAGGTTCTTCCCTACCTGTCGAAGGATCCACAGGTACTCAAATGGTCCGATTCGGTCATTTGGCATAATGACCTTCATTTCGGGAATATTTATGTCTCCCCTGACGATCCAACCATGGTTGAAGGCGTGATTGATTGGCAGTCAATTGAAGCGTGCCCGCTATTTGTACAGGTGCAGTTTCCCGAGTTCCTTCGGCCGCCAAAAAGCTACCGTCCAGGAACGGAGATCCCCGAATTACCAAAAAATTTCGACGACTTAGATCCCGATGAAAAAAAGAGAGCTGAGGAAGAGCAAGCTCTAGCGACTCAATCGAAGTACTATGAGATGTATTGTCTTGGGTATAACACACCTGTCTATAACGCAATGAAGCTGGATCGACGACTATGGGAACCTTTTGTTTGTTGCGAGCTTCCCTCAACAGGCTTCTTGGTTCCACTACGGAACTCTCTCATACAGGTTTTCCGTGACTGGAATCTCCTTGGATTGCCAGGCAGCTGTCCGTTTGAGTTCACTGAAGACGACTTGAAAAGGCACAACGAACAAGTCCAACGATACGAGGACAACCGGTATCTGATGGATATTATCAAAGGCCAACTGCGTACCGACGACAACGGCTGGGTCCCAATCGAGAGGTGGGAGGCAGCAAACAAGATGAACGAATATCTTTTCGATACGTACATGAAGACCGTGAGCGAGGAGATGTCACCGGAGAAAGCGGAGAGGGCTTGGCCCTTTCCTACTAAAGCTGTCTGAGCTTGTTCTGTTTTCAGTTCGACACATGTCGTTCGATCTCCTGTATCACCACTACCTTGGAGTTACTAATCATTAAGTGTACTCTCTTTATTAAACCTGAACCATACGCAAAGGTTTATATTATAAACTCTACAACCAAATAACCATTCATCAGACTGGCTCTTTATTTGCGTGGCAGCGGAAAAGATAACATAGGAGGCCTATTTCCGTTGGTTGGGGTTACAATACGAAGCTTGCAAAGTAACCATGTAATGTGAAAAAAGTAGTACTCAATCCATCCAACCGCCGATATTGCCATAGAAGAAATTGGGCAGCTTAGAGATTCTTCTTGCCCTTTTCAACCAGATCCTCGATCACACGACGTCCTTCGTTATTTTGCTCACTCTCTGGAACATTTTTGTTTATTTGTGTTGTTGCAAGATTCCCGTGTGGATTCTTTCGGAGCCATTTTTTGAGTCCTTCGCTTTTCGCTTGAGTGTTGACTTGAAGATACACGTTGTAATAACCAGGCTTGTCCTTAATCTCTTCTCCCATGTCAATTCGGCATTGATACTCCGCATCGTTCTTGTTGGTCCTAGTTGGCAGGATGCGACCTCCGGCGGTGACCTCTCTGAATAACTTGGCGACTTGTTTCGAATCACCCAGGATCTTTTCACCAAACTTCTTCAGAGCACTCGCCATGTTACCTTGTCAGGATAATTAAGCTGAAGCTAGGAGGTTGTTGCCGTCGTTGGGGGCTTTGGTCGGCCTTAGCTGTGGTCCCAGTGTTTATAATTAGGAAGTTTGAAAGATTGTTACTCACATCGCGCAGTGGAGTTGGGTCAGTTAGTTAACTAGAAAGCATTCGATTTAACAAGATGAGCGTAAAATGTTGCGTTTCTGAAGGAATGCAGCGTAAATATCAGGTTGGCCACTTTTCCAAGTTGAAGGAATAACTACCTGGTTATTTATATATCTACTTAGCTAGTTGACTCGTTCGTTACATCGTTATATGCTGGCTCATTCAACCCCGCCGCCTAAACATGGAGATTCGGCATTCTAGGAAGGGGCCGGCAGCTGCAGGGGATTCATATTTGTGGCAAAGCGAACACATGCTTGTTCCATTAGTTCAAGTTTTTAATAAAACCACCACACGCATGATGCGCTGCCTGCTCATACAGCCCCTAGATGATATGGGACCGCTTGTCAACGAGGGCAGGCAACGATCCTCCTGGTAAAATATGCCGCTCAAGGGCACCTCTGCTGGCAGACTTTGCACTTTCCCTCACAAGTATTCCTCTTGAACTCCCGTTCTTAGAAGCCAGTCTACTAGAGATTGCTTCTAAATTAGAACCGATGCTGTTTGCAGGACCCGACACTTTTGCCAGCCGCCCCTTGACTTTATGCCCTTGAAGACATCCCGGTAATAAAGCAAGTAGAGGAAAAATAAAGGGCACAGCACACTTATCAGTTTCTGTATGACTCACTCCGGTTATTATTAGAAACATTCCCTTCTACTTCCATACCTCAAAGGAACAAATTCAAGGGAATCATCGCGTCCAATCAGTTATGGCCGAAGAGCCGGTGGAAGGGTTGGTATATACGTGTGTTTGTCGGTTGATTCACGATATAGAATATACCGCGGTGGCTTTGTACAGGTAGGGTTGTATGGTATATAATAAGTGATCTTAGATAGTCGAGCAGAGAAGCAGACGTATGAACGGCAAGGGGTAAGAAACATTCACGGGCTGCTATTGGAGTATTTAACCGCGCAGAAAGTCAACAGTGGGTCATGTGACCTTCTATGTTACGTAACATGGATCCCAGCGAAGACAAGGAAACAAAACGTATTGGCACAAACTAGTACTCCCTGAAATAGAACATCCCCTGGCTCAGAGGGTATAAAAGCATGAAGGACACTGGAAACTATTCCCGGGCGTTAAAACATGCACCCTTCACAGCTTCATACCTAGTATTCCGCTAGCTCGGCGCCAGGGTTAACGATTTCCCGTTGAAGCGCCTCGCTAACTTATCCCACAGTGTTTTCTCAGGAGGGCTCTCAAGGTCCATAAAAGAACTATGCACCTTGTCTGAATGTAATGGGCGCGCGCTGCTGCCTGGGCTCTTTCGGCTATTCGGTACCGAGGAGAACGGGCTCACCGGGTGGTCGAGATTCTGTCCCCTAGAACCCGCACTTGGATGGCGACGTGGGAGTGTGGAGCTACCCACTTCCTTGCGCCCGTATGGGGCACAGCCGATGGGGTTGAAGTATGCTTCATCTAATGACGGCGAGGGCGCGGAACACCCCTCCAGCTGCGGCTGTGAGCGGGACGGGGTTTGTAGGTTGTTGGCACATTTGAAATTATTAGCCTTAAAGGAGAGACGGCGATCGAGTGGTTGCAAGTGGCAGCCGGTAGACGTGGGTGCCGGAGTTTGGTATGGCTGTTTTGGGGGAGCCAACCTGTCGATCGAACCCCTGTCCGGCTCTGTGGAAGGAAACACAGATCGGATCTCGTTTGGAGAAGGGGACGAAGGCCGCTCTCCCCACCAAGGAAAGCAGCTCAGCCAGGAGAAATCAAAAGCAGGCATCCTGCCAAACCAACCGTCAGGTAACCAGGATTAGAGGTCATGGGTAGGCACAAGGCCGGAAGGCAGAAAGGCATCCAGAGCTCATGAGCGGCGAGCTTGCTTTATAGATCGCCTCAAATAATATCAGACGGACGGAGTTGCTATGTTCACTTGATAGCACCTGAGGCGAAGAAACTAGCAAGAAGGTTACGGCACTCCCGCCCGAACCGCAGCTGGGGGAGCAAGAGCCACCAGTAGCCCAAAAGGAGAAGCATGCCCATGGGTAAGGTTCTCCTTTGGGTCTAGCGCCTACACGAGTAAAAGGCCGTCTGCTAAGAAGCATCTCACCTCTTCTCTCTACTTCTCACCATCTCGTCCACCACTGCTAAACAGCGATATAATGGGTTCACACCCACAAGGCCGCCTTTTTCGGTTTAAGGGAAATGATACTCAATACCTCGAGTATCTCGAACGAGAGCTTCTTCAGGCTCAAAAGTACATCACATTAATCTGTCCCAGTTCTAATTATTCGGGGTCTCCCGGCGGGCTTAGGCCTTCTCTAGCAGGCGATGGTATTCGCGTTGCAGGGAAGTCCGGATCCCAAGGCCAGCTGGGACCTGTTGCTCTTGAACCCGCTTCACCCATTTCTCCCCCAGCGCAAGTTGAAAAAACAACGGACAATACCACTTGTTTCACTGGCAATTCTAACTCCAAAGTCGAGTTGGAGTTTATACCCTTTAACCCTGTTAACCCTTCCGTCTCTCCCCCGACGCAAGATAGCGGTAGGTGGAAAACAGAACTAAATGACCTCTTGTCGAATATCCAAGAAGCAAGAGATTGGGGCGCACCCGTCCCTCCGGAAGAGATAGATGGGTTACTCCTTCGATACAAGGTTCAATTCAATAGTGAAAGCGATGGAGTTTACGACAACGATAAAGGGGATAAAGGATACGATGAACCCATCCCCACGAGCACCGATGTGGCACCTGAATTTTATTCGTGGTATAAAAGCTATTATGCCTATGCTGCCCATACATCCAGAGCGTTAAAGAGCCACTCCGGGGCAGGAAGTCGATTGGCGTTTCGTGTCGTTATTGTGAGCTTAATGTGCATCGTTCTGTTGGATGTTGGCGTTTCTCTTGATACAGTGAATTCGATTTTAAGTTCCTGCTTTCCCAACCCCGAGAAAATGACCAAAAACACTCTCAGGGAATATCGGAGAGGAGCACGGTGGGTCAATTCACGTGTACTTCAACTCATTGAGGAGGGATGGTCAAATAGAAGCGCAGAGCTCTTCTTCCGATGTATGTATCCGCCGTGTAGTAGATATATCGCTTACAGCTAGCTAACAAAATACAGATGGGCGGAGTATCTGCCAGTATAAACAAATATGCGGAAATAAGAAGAGTGAGATACTGTTCATCACGGAATTAAGAAAAAAGGGGAAACCCGTGCCGCCGCTGGAGGGTGACCAGATGCCCATCTCTATTCCTTGTATCATTAAGCGCTATATTGGAAAATACGTCTCGTATGTCTGTTATACCATCCTCCTTATAAATCTTTGACTAATACTATCTTAGGCTAGAGAGGATCTGTGAAGTACTCTCCTATAAAAACCTTTCTTATAATTATGAATACACTGCCTGGATATACAGCCGGTTTTATTCTCCTGATTCTGACAAGACAACCTACCCCAGTCCTCCGCCAATAAGCCTTAATGATGACGATACTGGGGAGGTTAAGAGTGCCACAGAGACCCAGAGTTCGTTGATGCTGCCATCAGGCAGATCTGAAGGCGACATCAGTGACTACAGACCTTACACCGAAGGTGACCTAGATGATAGTGAAACTACCTCCACCCCTCACCCTAAAACGAATCAGAGGACAGATAATCCCCAGATGCCCGCGGATGCCGCAGAAACTCGCACGAAACAGACGAACAAGCGACCCTACCTGGCAGGGAGCGATAGTCGAGATTCACAGCGAAGGAGATTGAGCAGCGAGATAGAAGGTAAGCGACTCACCGGCTATGGTCCAGTGATCAAGTTGACACCAGAAATCCTTCAGGCATTCCTCGGGGTTCATCACACTCAGTTACTGAAGGGGCGACTGAATCTAGAGAGCAACCGTTCCTCGAGAATCAACCATCGCAACCAGATAATGGTGCCTGGCGGTTTCCTTGGGTAAATAATGCTACCTTGTCGAACACTGCGCAACTGCCTACGGAGACATTGTTTGAGTTGGATCCAAACTTTGTGATAGACTCCTTAGATACAGTGTCCCTGTATCAGTCGCCTCATACAACAACAAGTATGTGATATATATCATAAAGCATATCGTATAGAATACTAACAGCATATAGTTCGAGAAAATACGGATACAAGTATTGAATATTATCAAGTTGAACCAAATGCTCTACCACCATACGATCTCAGTATCAGATATTTTCAGCTCTTTGACTATCTTGCTTGGCCTTTGACCGCATAGCGGCGTTTAAATGCAGCCTTGGGCTAGCTATTTCGGCTTTTCCTCCCTTTCTTTCGCCATTTCCCCTTCCCCTATATGCTCGGTATACCCAGAATCCTCCTGTTGAACACCGATCAGAAGGAAATCCAACACGCCATCAATAAAAACCTGATCTTGGAAAACGACAGATGTTCCAATTCGAATTACTTTGTGTATCGAACCCGGGGCTCCAGGATATCCGGAGTATACCCTCGTAAAACCATCTGGTATACGAAGTGGATAAAGATAGTGTATGCTTTTACGGTCGCCATCGTGGATGCGGGTTGGCCTATCGTTGTCTCGAGTGCGGAATAGACGTATGAAAGCGGATGGTGGATATTTCTATCAGTTTCAAGTTAGATGGCGGATGTATTGCAAAGGGGTTTAACAGCCATACAAGTTTGTCAAACAAGCCTTGGAATTCCTGTAGAAACGTGTTGTCGATATTCAAATACACATCTCCCCGCCTCACAAAATCGTGTGTAGAGACAAGCCATTGTTGTCGAGCATCGATAAGACCCTTTAATTCCTCTGACAGCTCTCTAACTTCAATCCGGTTTGCCTATCAACTAAAATTGAGTGTTGAGAATTTTGATTATTATTGGCGGGGGGCACTTCATACCTCGGAACCAGCTTCCTGTTGGCTCTCTGGTTGACTTGCCATAACTATTGTAACTAGCGCGATGTGCCTCCAATATCGTAATATAGATAAATAAGCCAGCCAGAAGCCTTTATATCTGAATTGTCGCTTTGGAGAGAAAACCACTTCCTTTGCAGCAAATTACCCAGGCTACGGCTACCCCACGACGAAGCACGCAGCACGTGAAGAACAAGGTTGTCTCTGGGGATGTTTCTCACCTCGCAAAACGCCTTCATCTACTCCCGATGCATCTGTACCTAACATCTGTCTCTATTGGCGGGCAGGAAGGATAATTTATCTATCTTCGTGTGCAATCCGTGAGGGCCGTGGATCAGTTACCCTTCTGGAGACCACAGATTCGGACAAACTTGGCCAATGATAGAGCTCCTTAGATACTTCTTATATATCACGTAAGCTTAAAACCGTCAAATGGATTCGTCTCCAGAAATACGTTGCAAAGATCATTAAGCATCGTTTTTATCCAGTACGTCATGAATCGCGACCTAGGTTAGCTTATGTATAACGAAGCCGGAACAATCGAACAGAAGGCACCCCAAAAACATGCATGTCTGGCCATCTTTGATAATGATGATGTCGAAGCTAGTAACTATGTTTGGTACCGCCCGAGATGTTCCACTAGCGCTGTGATTTTTGATGAGAACAGCACGGACAGAGGTTCGAAAGATATCAATATATATATCAGTCTCTCTGCCGCCAATCAGCGGACTCGCCTTTTTGGCCGAATGGCAGATTCTGACAGATCAATAAAGCAGGGAGGCGAGTGATAATTAAGCTAGACATCTAACTATTTCGTCGAGGAATGGGTATTCCCAAGGCTTTTTTGTGAGAGCCAACACTGCGAAAAAGCTTCGTTGGTATAAGCACTAGATAGTCTTCATATTCATCTCATCTTCATCTTCATTCGTCTTCGTCTTTGAGGCCTTTTATATCACGTGACACATACCTATCTCGGCTAGCGTAAATTACAGTATTCTTCATACCTAAAAGTGTTCTTTCGTATTTTTCGTATTTTACTTTTTTTTTTTTCTTCTTTTTCTCCATATAAGAAAATAAAAAAAAATTCCACCACCGCTTTTCTCAACGCCCACCACGACCAACGTCCGACTTTTTCTTCTAGTCGTTGAGCTGCAAGAGACATAAAAACAAGACAGACGAAAGGATCAAGAAGACGAAACAATAAAGAAACAGTTTTCGCCTTTCTTTTCTGTGGCCCAGCATGACTACCGAATCTTACGACGGTGCTATCGGCATCGATCTTGGTAAGTGGGATGTCCATGCACAACAAGCGAGAATCGCAAAACCACAGTCGAGCAAGCAGAAGAGAGAGAACAAAACCGTCAAGAGAGTCTCTGGATGCTGCTGGTCAAGTGTGTTTATTCTATCTTTGGACAATTGGCTAATTGTGTGTTAAATTGCAACAGGCACCACCTACTCTTGCGTTGCCAACTATGAAGGCGCAAATGTTGAGATCAGTATGTGGGATAGCTTCGCTTTGCGCTGAGCGTGCCTGTTAACGTGTGAAATAGTTGCCAACGAGCAGGGAAGCTTCACTACTCCCTCCTTCGTCTCTTTCACCGAGGAGGAGCGTCTGATCGGTGAGGCAGCTAAGAACCAGGCTGCTATGAACCCAGAGAACACCGTCTTCGATATCAAGTGAGTTGGCTCTAGGGAGCGGACGGGGGGAGCAATTGCAAGACGGATGACGGTATTCTGTCTGGCGAAGTGTTCTCTCTATGTTTCGATGATCAATTGAGGATGGATATGCTAATATCTGGTGTGACCAGGCGTCTTATTGGCCGACGATTCGACGACCCCGTTGTCAAGAAGGATGTTGAGTCCTGGCCATTCAAGGTCGTTGAGCAGGGCGGCAACCCAGTTGTCCAGGTCCAATATCTCAATGAAACCAAGACCTTCTCCCCACAGGAGATCTCCTCCATGGTTCTCATGAAGGTACTATCTCTTACCTTATTTCTTTACAATTAATACGCCAATGGAGGGGCTAATTTTTCCATATAGATGAAAGAAGTTGCCGAGACCAAGCTCGGAAAGACCGTCTCCAAGGCTGTCATCACTGTTCCAGCCTACTTCAACGACAACCAGAGACAAGCCACCAAGGATGCTGGTGCCATTGCTGGTCTCAATGTGCTCCGTATCATCAACGAGCCCACTGCTGCCGCTATTGCTTACGGTCTCGGCTCTGGCAAGTCCGAGAAGGAGCGTAATGTCCTCATCTACGATCTCGGTGGTGGTACTTTCGATGTCTCTCTCCTTAACATCCAGGGTGGTGTCTTCACCGTCAAGGCTACCGCTGGTGACACCCATCTTGGTGGTCAGGATTTCGATACCAACCTCCTCGAGCACTTCAAGAAGGAGTTCACCCGCAAGACCAAGAAGGATCTCTCTGGCGACGCCAGAGCCCTCCGAAGACTCCGCACTGCCTGCGAGCGTGCTAAGCGTACTCTTTCCAGCGCTACTCAGACTACCGTTGAAATTGACTCCCTCTTCGACGGTGAGGACTTCAACGCTCAGATTACCCGTGCTCGTTTCGAGGACTTGAACGCCAAGATCTTCGCTGCCACCCTCGAGCCCGTCCAGCAGGTCCTTAAGGATGCTTCCATTGATAAGAGCAAGGTCGACGAGATCGTCCTTGTTGGTGGTTCTACCCGTATCCCCCGTGTTCAGAAGCTCTTGAGCGATGCCTTCGATGGCAAGAAGCTTGAGAAGGTGAGACTATTCCTAAATTACCTCCCCTACGAGTTTTGTATATCGTTACTGACGCGTATTCAAGGGTATCAACCCTGATGAGGCCGTTGCCTACGGTGCCGCCGTCCAGGCTGGTATCCTCTCCGGAAAGGCCACTTCTGCTGACACCAGCGACCTCCTTCTTTTGGATGTCGTCCCACTCTCTCTCGGTGTTGCCATGGAGGGTAACATCTTCGCTCCCGTCGTCCCCCGTGGTCAGACCGTCCCAACCATCAAGAAGCGTACCTTCACCACCGTTGTCGACAACCAGCAGACCGTCCAGTTCCCTGTCTACCAGGGTGAGCGTACCAACTGCGAGGACAACACCTCTCTCGGAGAGTTCACCCTCTCCCCCATCCCACCAATGAAGGCCGGTGATGCCGCCCTTGAGGTCGTCTTCGAGGTCGATGTCAACGGTATCTTGAAGGTTACTGCCACCGAGAAGTCCTCTGGCCGTAGCTCCAACATCACCATCTCCAACGCCGTTGGAAAGCTCTCCAGCGCCGAGATCGAGAACATGATCAACGGTATGTATTGCCTTTATATTTTCTCCCACTCTGCACGTCAAATGCTAATCAGTTTATTCTATAGATGCTGCCAAGTTTAAGTCTAGCGACGAGGCTTTCAGCCAGCGCTTCGAGGCTCGTCAACAGCTCGAGTCCTACATCTCCCGTGTTGAGGAGATCATCACTGACCCAGGCATGTCTCTCAAGATCAAGCGTGGCAACAAGGACAAGATTGAGTCCGCTCTCAGCGACGCCATGGCCCAGCTCGAGGTCGAGGACTCCTCCCCCGAGGACCTCAAGAAGAAAGAGCTGGCTCTCAAGAGACTCATCACAAAGGCCATGTCCACCCGATAAACGTTTGCGCGTAAGCCAAACCAAAAAAATCCTCCAAAAGTGCAAAAAAAGAAGACGAAAGAAGATTTTGATCTGTTTTGCAAGACATACATAATGATATGTGTTTTGTATACCATTTCAATGAGGGCTACAGCCCGGTGTGTGGGCGAACGATGGGATGAAAAAATGGAGTATGAACATGACCGTCCACCCAAAACTTGTTATGTCTCTTACCTTTTTTTTTTCATAATTCTCTTGATTTTTTGTGGGCTAAATAAAAACGGGATGACCTTTTACTTTGTTCCTCCTTTTGCTCTCTTGCAAACGCTTTTCTTTTACTTATTCCCTATGTTGTTATGCCTGTTATGTCCGTCCGGATGCTACTCCTTAGGCTTTGGTAGGTAGTGTAATGGATATATACTACAGAAAACATGTGGGCTTGTAGCATGAATCAATCATTAAACAGCTGTCTGTATGTAATATCGTAATCTCTTTGCGTAGGCAGACCATTTTATAAGGCGATGATGTAAAACTTTTTTATCAATATCAACAACTTCAATATTGCAACAACCAAACATCACTGCAAAAGCGAGCTCATAACCTCATCATGTCGAGTACAGCTCAACTAGCACAATGCGCTGCTCTCCGCAGCTTGTTACGAAATAAACGACTGCCTACTTTCTTTCCTCGACGCTCTATTCATACTCACACGACCACTAGCCATATACAATCTTTTGCCATCCTACACAACACAGGCAGACGCACACTGCAGCCCTGTACGATACAGACGAACCGTAAATTCTCCCAGAGCCCCGCCTTGCTGAAGAAGAAGGCCTCGAAGGACAGTTCGAAGGATAATGACAAGGCTGCAAGTTCAGGTGGTGCGGTAGAGGACCCATTCGACTTCGCTCCGCTGCATGACAGCATCAAGGATGCCGTGACAAGGTTAAAGGAAGACCTTGCAAAGCTGCGAGGGGGTGGGAGAGTCACTCCTGAAGCCATTGAGAACATACGAGTGTCATTGCACAAGGTGGGCGGTTCTGATGGTGGAAAGGGGAAAAAGGCCGCCAGCTCGGGCAAGGAGACCGTGAGACTGGGTGAAGTCGCATCTGTTATTCCAAAGGGAGGCAGAACGGTCTCGATATTGGTCGGAGAGGAACACGTGTGTATACCCTATGAGCCTCATACCATTCAGAGCTAAAGATATAGCCTGCTAATCAATTTTGTTGTCTAGGATGTTAAAGCAGTCATGTCTGCGATTACGGCCTCTGATCTATCGCTGAACCCCCAAGGAGATCCTCACAATCCACTTCAATTGAACGTTGCAATTCCGCCTCCAACTAAAGAATCTCGAGAACAGACGGTGAAGGATGCTAAAGCGGCTATGGAAAAGGCGTCTAATGCAGTACGTAATGGTCGTGCGGCTCTGAATAAGAAGCTGAAGGGTAAAGAGGTGAAGAAGGCTAGACCAGACGACGTACGAAAGGCCATTGACCAGATGGAGAAGATTGCTGAGAAGGGCCAGAAGGAAGTCAAGGATGTTTTTGATGTTGCTAAAAAGGCACTGGAGGCCTAATTCGAAGGATTATATCGTTTAGTGGGAGGGAATATGGCCTAAATTCATATATCGGAGGTTCGTTGCTCATTATATTGTACAATAGAATCAGAAGGATATCACTTTGGTAAAGACCAATCAATAAATTCGTACGATGAAAAAGTTATTGTTACATGAAATTTCTATATCAATATTATACACCCTAACCTGCCACCATTCTAAGGAGCGTTAGCCTTAGCAGCCTTTGCCTTCTTGAGAGGGAGATTCTGCACGAGTTTATCCATAAACTTCTGAGTGTGCGCGGTATGATAGGTGTGGTTGTTTGACAGTACTCTCAAAACATTCTCGAGGATAGGAGACGAATTGGTGTCGAGCTTGACTGGTTTGTCGTATGCTCCTCGGACCAAGGAGGCGATCATATCTGATTTTTCCTTCTCGCTCACGTTTTCGAACTCGACGTTAGCTGGCTCGACAGTCTCGCCTTTCCTTTGGCTGAGCTTCTCGGCATGCTCGCTGGCCAGCTTTTTAACAAATTCCATGGTTTCAGCTTTCTGCGTCTCACTAGAGAACAGCACTCGTTTACCCTCGTAGACTCTCTTGGCTAGGTCTTCGGGCAGATCAGTGCATCCAACATATGATTCACCAAACCATGATAACTTCTCATGGACGGTGCTGGTACTCGAGACCCCACCTGCAGCCAAAGCCGGCCATGTCTCCTTTAGTCTCTCGACGCTATACGGCTTTGGGTTGTAACGGACAGGTTTCCGTTTTTCCTTGGCCATGAGTTCCTCCTGGTAGGCCATAATCTCACCATCTATCTCAAGCTCTGGCTCATTTTTGTCTTCCTTGGCACCCCTGCGCTGCCGACGTTTATCACGGGGTCCTTGTCTTTTGTCGTTCCGAGCAAACCGGGAAGCACCAGGCATAGCTGGCCCTCGTCCGCCGCTTCCCCTATTCCATGTGTTTGCTCTTTGTCTGAGTCTCTCCTTCAGTTGATCGCTGTTCATTGATAGCATTGGTCCGCCAGGTCTGTTTCCGGTGCCCGGGGGGCCGTTTGGTCGAAAAGATCGGGTATTGAATCCTTGTCTATTAGGCGTAAATCGAGGGCTCTGCTCTCCCGCTCCATCCTGAGAGTTCGATGTCCGGTCGAAGACGTCCTGGACTCGTCGCACGGCCGCTCCTCTGCGGCTGGAAAAGTCACCTGAATTCGCGGCAGGCCGTCTCGGAGCTATACAGACAAAATAATAAGCATCTAGACATAGAACGGTCGAGCTGTACATTCCACTTACACGACTCGTTTTGTGGTTTGTCTGCTTCAGCATTGCAGCATGTCGATGTGAAGTCCCGAGTCGTAACAAGCGAATTTCTTGTCAATTGCAGCGCCCCTGTCGCAGGGCGTCGAATCATCTGGGCCGCCATGTCTGGCAATCGTTGCAGGTCCTGCTAACGATTGATTTATTCCAACCGACGCAAGTTTCTTTTCTGCTTCTTCGACTTTGAAGTTTCGCAAGAAAGTTTTGGGAGAAAATAGTCACGTGGTATTACGTATTTTATTGTGTATTAAACTTACCAAATACAGAACGATGGTAATATTAGTCATCCAAACAAACAAAGCAAACAAGCAAGTGTTCCCGATCTGGAAAGTTTTGATTTCATCTTTTTTTCTTCCTTCAAGAATTCGTTTTTTCTTCTTTCGTGACGGTCATAAAATCTGCGGCGCTGATTAAGTGTTCTGCTTTGCTCTGCCAGCCATTGGACATATATCCAGCATCGTAGCAAGATACCGTCCCTTGATACCACCCTGTCGACACTCCCCGTATCGGTAGAAACGGCAGTTCGTGTGCCCAAACAGGCAGACACAGCGTACGATCAAGGGCTCAGGCATAACTCTTACAGCACCGTACGCGCGTTGATACCTGCATCTACAGCGGTCAGCAACCATGATCCGCCGCAAGCCAACGGCTATAACGGTGACGTCCGAGGACATAATTGCCTTTGAAGAAGCACAGCTCCGCCGTCAACAGGAAATCATGAACAGAAAAGCCAACAAGACTGATTCCACTGGCACCAAGGCTGAGAATGACGGTACGCGAGATCGAGACGCAGACTCGCCGTCTAACTCGAATCGAGGAATCGATCCTAATGATGAGCTGAAGCCGTTGCCGGGTGACAAGGCGAGGATCGTGAGGACTCGAGACGAGAGAATTGGCGTTGGGCGGTAGCCTTCTAGAAAGACGAGGTTAGAACATTCCATACGAATACATGATGGGGCGCATGACCATGACTGCGAGAAGGTCTCGGACGATTTTGATGAACGGCATTATGATACCCATTTGTGCTATTTTTGTTTTTTTGGGGGGGGAGAGTACGTATGGTATGAGAGGCGGGATGGTCGGGACACCAATGCTCGGATATTGCATAATGGTTTGCAGGCACGAAATGATTGTTTTATGCTCATTGGGTATGGATTAAGGGCATGTCCCTACCTCTCGTGCTTGGACGGGGCTGTGACCTAAAAGGGCTATTCGGAATGGCCTGCATATGCATGAGCTTGAAATGCCGGATGATCGTGGGTATATACTTCATTTATATGCAAGTACGGTATTCCATGACTGCATGCAATTATCCTTGTGTTGGCCTTTCCAGGCGGGGCGCACCATGCAGTGAGCATGGGAGGAGTTTCGGAATATGCAGCTCATCACTGCATGTACATACATGGCTAGGCAACGTCTGTATTGCGCTTTTATTGAACGGGCCAGGAACCCAGCATACTCCAGGTGTTCGTGGGCAGTGCGGATATATCTCATCAGCTAATGTATACACATGTATGTCGATTGTTTAGTAGCCTGCTCTACTGTTCATCCACACACCATAGCCCGTGGAGCGGTGAAAGACCATATATTGTCCCGCATATCGATGTATAATCATAACAATCCCAATGATAATTCCTTTTGAGCACCAAGACAGAAAGGCGTGTATCCCTGCTATATGTATGCATGTATATGTATGCCAACTCTCCAGGAAGCAGCGGGTATCGGGGACATGACGGGACGATGTACCAAGTAAGTCAAGCAAGTCAATGATCCAGAGATAGGAAAAATAATATACATTGTATAGCCATCCGAGGCTTCTCCCTTTTTTTTTTTTAGTATAACAGCAGCATAGTTGAATTAGACGAGATAGGGAAAACGAGCGTATTATGAACTAAATGAAAGAGATGAGGAAAACGAGAATCCCAAGGCGTAAATCGTAGCATCGAGTATTAGATAGAGAGTGTCAAGGAGCAAAGCAAATGAATGGATGCAAAGCGGACGATCTTAAAATGCCATGAAGAACCAAACAAAAGAAAAGCGTATATCAGACAGATCCAACCACGATAACATGAAACCATAGCCAAAAAAAGAAAGCAAAACAAAGTAAATGATAGAAATGTATGGAGACCACTCTTCATCTTCTTCGCTTAGATTGTTCGTCGCCGTAACCGTCCGTATCGTCCCATCGCCTCTTTGCGCCTTCGGGATCAATGACGCTGGCGACGCTTCGTTGCCAGTCGCGCGCCCCCATGACGACGGGGAGCATGTTATACTGCTGAGTCGGCATGGAGACCTGCGTAGGCTGGTTTGGATCAGCCAACGGTATGAGAGGCTGTGAGTAGTCGGAGTACTGTGCCGCGGACGCAGGGCTGGTGTTGGGGAGGGATGAAGGAGGGTATAACGAGTGCGGATCAGGAACTGCGGTGCTGTTTGTGGAACTGGATGTGGCGGATGGCGGAGAGTTGGAGTTGATGTTTCCTGAGAAAGCGAGGTCCCATTGTCTGTGGCAGGTTAGTATATGTATAAGATACGTGATTGTGTAAGGTGGACATACGTTATAATTCTAGAAGGGTTCCAGCTGTTTTCGTCTACGAGGGGAACAGTCATGGTTGGTGGTGGACGGGTGGTGTCGTATGGCTGTAGCATGCTGTATGTGCTTGTGGCAGGCGACTCGAGCTTGACGCTTGTTTGCGTGGATACCGGGGGACTGATGGGATATGAGTCGGAAAAGGAGAGGCTCGGGGCACCGGCTTCGTGGGGCTCGCTGTAGGATGGAGAATGATATATCGGTTCGCTGACGGGCGATGGATGAACAGACTGCCCAGCCGGGCTACCGTACGGGAAAGTTGGTTTGAGCTCGAACGGCTTGGTGATATCGGCTGAGAAGGCGAGGCGGAGGGCAGCGAGCTGGGACTGCAGTTCGGTCATGGGCCATGATGAGCTACACTGCTCTAGCACCCGCATGTGGCGGGTAAAATATGATCGAGAGTCCTTGTTGAATTCCGGATCGGGAGACGTGATGGCAACCAGATGTAGCATGACACTGGTTAAGATGCAGTAGATGGAGAAATTGATGCCTCGCTGCATGCATAGGAAGCCGGATACCCCGAACGTGGAGAGCAGAGCCTCCTGCAGCCGGCACAGTGCCTTTGCCGAGCTGTAGCATATGGAGAAATGGTGTCTCCATTCTCCACCGGCGGAGAACGAGCTGGCGGCAACGAACTGAGGACGATGGAGCATGATCTTGGCCAGCTCAAAGTGCGAGTGCATGTTGGCGACGAAATGCGAGGGGATCCACGGCGGCGAGCCGTCCGGTGGGTAAGTGACCATGAGATCCGGCGGGAGGCTGTTATACCATGCTTCGAAGAGGGGGTTGTTCCGCACGAATTGTGGGTTGGCGCCCCAGTCCTTTGTCTTCTTTAGCCGATGGAAGACGTCGACTATGCGCCGGATGTTGAGAGCGTTGTGAACAAAGTAGCTGAACTGTCTCGATCGTTCGACCTCGTAGGCGTCGAGGTTAGGGATGTCCCACGACGGACGAACCTCTACCGTATCCGTTTCCACTCCGAATTCCGAGCGGCCTGTCCCGGTTAGTCTATGTGTATGTATATTTAAAATGGTGTGTACTCACCCTGAGGCCCTCCGACCATGATTTCCACTACCATGGTAGTCTGCCAGACACGCGTGCGAATGAGACACTCGACCGTATCGTAGCCACACAGCTTCCCCTCAGCATGGTACTGGTAATGCTGATGGAGTTCGAGGTCCTTGGACATGGAGATGATGGTCTTGATGGTCTGCCATGAGCGGTAGTAGTATCCCGGACGAGGCATCGCTTCTCGCGCCTTCATGAGGAGCAGAAGAGCCTGTACGGTGCTTAGACGGGGCGCTTCCATGAACTCGGGCTCGAATTCTACACCAATTAGTACGTAAACACGAAATATACTAGTTGGACAGGGCTTACTGTTGGAGAGCGCAAGCCACTTGGTAGCCTTTGCGGAATCGTTCAATGCCCTGGCGGAGCAGGCAAAGAGTGCGCTGAGGAGCAAGGGTGAGATATCCCACTTCTCGCGCCTCCACTGCTCGTAGAAGTAGTTTCGGGGTATTACGGGGAGGTAAGGGTGCAGATCATCAAAATAGACTCTGAGATACTCCATGGCCTCGGTGTCGGAGGGCATCAGCTCCGCGGGGAACTGGACTGACGAGTTGGCGCCATTGAACAGAGGCGGAAGAGACCGTTCACACTCTGCAAGGGCGGCCTGCGGTTTCGAGTGCTCTTTCGACTCTTGGTTGATGTAGGGGGCTTAACCGGTTAGCATGTTACTGCTACGCATGTACGAAGATAAAAGACATACCAATGCCAGTTTCGTCAATCTTGAGCTCGTTGAAGGCGGTGGTGAGGTCCTGGGGGGCCGTGGGAGTGCGGGGAGGCGGCTCAGCGACCTGTATGATGGGCTGCTGGGGCGTGGTCGACACGGGGAACTGTGGCGGGGGAGGAAGCTGGTTTCTCGGGGGTTGGGTAGAGGCATAGTGGAAGGAATGCTGGAGCGATCCTGACGAGGGGTCGATGGGGTGGTGGTAGAACCGACTGTCCTCTGTAGGGGAAGTGAGATAGGCCTGATGCTGCTGTTGATGCTGCTGCTGTTGATGCTGCTGCTGTTGATGCTGCTGCTGTTGATGCTGCTGCTGTTGATGCTGCTGCTGTTGATGCTGCTGCTGGGGCTGATAGAGCTGGGAGTCGCTCTCGTACCCTCGCAGGTCTCCGGTCCGTCTCGACGGTTCGGCCGGATAGTACTCTCGCGCGTGGAATGGAGCCTGTGTGCTCGCTATCTGAGTAGACGCAGTAGTAGCAGCAGTAGCAGCCGCAGCAGAAGACGAATCAGCAGCAGACGAAGAAGGTATCGGGGCTGCCGCAGTCGTGGAAGGCTGGGAGAAGCTGAGAATCTGCTCGTGGCCGGTGGGCTCGCCGTCCTGCTCGACGGAGGGCGGGATGCAGACGAGCTTGAGTCTGGTGCAGGCAGAGCAGGGCCAGATGTTGGTAGTGGCCGAGTCGCACTTGATCTTGCGCTTGCGACAGCCATTGCAGGCTCTCATCACTGTTTGAAGCTGTCAGTCTTCGTGTTCTCGTCTGGTTCTGCGTCCATGAAGCTACCTTTGAGTCGCTTGTGTCTGTTGTGCTCGTCAACGAAGACGTAATCTAACACAGTCAGTCTCTCTCCATCCGTCTCTTCCGTCACAGGCACTCACTCTTGCGGCCTTCATGGCGCTCCCCCTGGCCGGGCATGATGGTGCTCTGCATGGCTGTAGTCTTGTGAGCGCCGGAGATCTAAGACGTAACCGAGAAGACGTCGTTATATAGAGAGATACAGCCAAATATATAGACGAAGATGTGTAGTTTGTGTGAGAAGGTCGGTTGTTCCGCTGTATGGATGGATGGATGGATGGATGGGCAGACGGAGGCGACAGCGCCCGCCAGAGGAGGAGAAGCCGGTCAGCAGCAGGCGAGCAGGCGAGCAGACGAAGAGCAGAAGAGCAGAAATAAAAGACCTGGGATGAAGAAGAAGACCTGGGATGTTTTTCTGTGTTTCTGGCGCAACCGAGGGAGGCGACTTGTGGGTTCTTCTATACTCAAGCTGGTGTCTTCTTCCTCCTCTTCTTCTCCTATAGACTGATGGATCCCCTCCTGTGGACCGCCCAGAACTACTCGACCAGCATTTAATATCAGAAGGATATATTAAGGCTCCCTCACTCTCTGTCTCGCGCTCTCACTCAGTCTTGTCTGCAAGGGATTTTTAACTCGTTCCAGAAGCAAGGAAAAAGCAACGAAGACGCCGGCCATCAGCGGGACGAGCGAGACTCGTTTTGGAGGGATAGCCCAGTTTGCGCTGCAAGGATAGACAGGATCGAGACAAGATACAGAGAGAAGAGGAGATGCAGAACTCGAATCCGACGCTGTTGAGCGCGGCCGACCTGCCCAGCAGACAGCCGGCGGCGGCGGGCAGCAAGACGGTCGACAGCATCTTCCACCAGACGACGCAGACGAGCTCTGATCCGTTCGCAGAGTCCGTCTCGTCCGGCAGCGAGGATGGGGACGAGCTCATGGAAGAGCCCATCGACGAGCAGGAGATCTTTGGTGTGTCTTATCATTCTCTACTATACGACTACTTGTGTGTATGCTGATGGTGGGCAGACTTGATAGCGACGATATCTGACCCGGAACACCCCATCCCGCTAGGCGAGCTGGCGGTGGTCTCGCTGCAGGACATCTCGATCAGCCCGGCGCTGCCTCACAGCCCGTCCTCCCCGCTGCGCAAGGTCACCGTCCTGCTCACGCCCACGATCACGCACTGCAGCCTGGCCACCGTCATCGGCCTGGGAGTGCGCGTGCGTCTGGAGCAGTCCCTCCCGCCGCGGTTCAGGGTCGACGTCCGGCTCAAGCAGGGCTCGCACAGCACGGCAGACGAGGTCAACAAGCAGCTGGCCGACAAGGAGAGGGTGGCTGCCGCCCTCGAGAACGGCACCCTCATGGGCGTCATCCAGAAGATGCTCGAGACGTGTAGATGACGGCAAAGGCTCTGTCCCGTACCAAGGGAGTACCGGAGTACGGAGTACAGGAGGGTACAGAGTACAGATACCTCGATGACACGTCTTATGTACTTACCTCTCAACCGCATCCTGACAGCCACCGTCTCCTATTTACAGGCAGCCGAATTATTCACCCAAGCCCCACGCTAGAGCGTCGCCAAAACGACGATGCCGGAAGGGCTTTTTTTTTTTTTGCCCGTCTTTTCTTTTTCCCACTTTTCTCAGCTTCTGCCTTCCCGCCACTGGGAAACCGACGAGTGACCAGGAATGGGCATCCGTCGACTTGTCACCGTCGTCGTCTTACCCACCTGGCGATCTTGTTGACTTTGACCTTGGTGGCCCTGCAGGTCCCACCGTCGGAATCACACTATGTAGTACGGAGTATGTACATACACATGTCCAGGGGCGGTAGATGTGTGTACCTGATGCTCTTCTTTCGCTTCTGTCAGTCTGGTTCGCAATCCTGAGCAGTCACTCTGGAATATTCCATAGTCTTATCTTCCGTAACCATATAAATAACATGCAAATAGTATATATATATTGAAAGATAGATAATATTATACGTATAGACTGGCGCCTCGACTCCGCACCCGTGGCGCAACGGGAGCCTTGAGATCTTCGCTGGACCAGGTAGGCAGTTGGACTGATGCCCGTTTGCGTAGCGGACAGAAGATATATAAGATGCGATGGTGCGTAGACTGAAGCCTCCAAGACACGGCCGTCGTCGAGGCCTCTTCTCCCGACATGAACACTCTTCTTCTTCTTCTTCTTCCTCTTCTTCTTCTTCTTCTTCTTCCTCTTCTTCCTCTTCTTCCTCTTCCTCCTCTTCTTCCGTTCTTCTTGATCCCGCTTAGTCAGCTATATCAGCCCCTCGATGCAAAATGGAGAATTTCGACTTCATCAAAGACGAACATGAAAAAAAGGAGGAGGCAGAGAGAGTGCGAGAGTGCGAGAAAAGTCGGTCTTCTCTCCCGGCCTATGACTCCTTTTTGGTGCGCCACGAACAGGATCCTGGATTTCCCCCCCCCCCGGAGGGTTTGAGCGAGAGTTACTTTCACGACGGATACAGAGGTTGTTACAAGAAATCGCCCCAATATGACTTCATCAGTTGCAATCGTGACGGGCGGCGCCGGCGACATCGGACAAGCAATTGCGGTAAAACTGAGTGAGACCCACGACCGAGTGATACTGGTTGACATCGACGAGAGGAGTCTTACCGCAGCACTAGATGTGCTTGGCCGGGGCAAGTTCAGCGGCCAGACGTGCGACATCACAGATAGCAAACAAGTAGCAGAGCTTGCTCGCCGGGTTCTCCCGCAGGAAGAAGCAAAGGGAGAACACGACGATGATGAAGAAAAGGAAGAAGAGAAAGCAGCAGTAGTACGGGGGAATGAAGGGAGTGGTCTTGTCGTGCGGACGCTGGTCAACAACGCGGGCGGCACACGGGCGTTTAGCCTGCACGACATGACGCCCGAAGAATGGAGAAGAGAGACTTCACTCAACCTCGACGGAGCCTTCTTGTGCTTCAACGCCTTCCAGCACTCGCTCAGACGGGCCGGGGGATCGATAATAAACGTTGCTTCGGTCAACGGCCTGTCCGTCTACGGGAACCCTGCCTACAGTGCTGCAAAGGCCGGGCTCATCCACCTCACCAAGTCTATCGCCGTGGAATATGGCAAGTTTGGCATAAGAGCTAATGCCGTGGCGCCCGGCACGGTACGCACCGCACCCTGGGAGAGCAGGGCAAGCAAAAACCCAGACGTCTTTAAGGATGTGGCTCAGTGGTACCCGCTTCAACGCCTCGTCGAACCACACGACGTAGCAAACGCAGTGGCCTTCCTAAGCAGCGCCGAGGCCTCTGCTATCACGGGCGTCTGCCTGCCCGTCGACTGTGGTCTCACTGCCGGCCATGCAGCCGTTGCTCGGACTATTACGCAGTCAGACCACTACTAAGTTTCTTGAGCTCTCCGTCCGCTGCTATAATAAGCGCAAAACGGAAAAAAAGAGTCCGTGCAGTGCAATATAGAAATAGTCTGGGGAACTAAAAAGACGGGATGCAAACACGCTATTAAGGCAGGATACCTCCAATATTTTTTCTACACATTACCAGCGCCTCACTACAAGCTGTTTTGCTATTTTTTTACCCTTTGCCCAATATATATACTGTGCACCTACATAATTCCCATCAATAGATCGACCCAGCCCCTCTTGTTATGGCACTCGATATCTCTCTTGTCGTGTACACAAATATACAGCGGAAAGAACAAAGAGAAGGAGAACAAAAAGGAAAAGAGAATTATCATATCACTCGAGGATGACCCATGGAAGCCAAAAAAGAACCGCCAGTTTTTATCTTTTTGGTCTTCCGGTTCGGCTCTTGAAGAAACCCCGGCGTACCATGTACCTTCCAAGGTTTTTTACTTACCCACAGCTTATGCTGGGGCCCCAAATCTTCGGGAGCTGATCGAATCACACGACACTGGACCGCTGCGGGAAATAGGACAAACGGACAAACGGAAACAGATCGAATTTTCGGATCCAGAACCCTTGCCCCGCAACAAGCTGAGTGAGTACATATGGAGTGCCATACAGGTTGGATTGAAAGATGATGGAGGATCACGATGAGGCCAAGTTCGTCCTACTGGCTGCCCCTGCACGGTATCACAGTGCCAGAACTCAGAAAGCGTCTGGACTAGAATCCTTCCTGCAACCTGCAACCTGCAAACCCCAGAGAGAGAGATATGGTTGACATTGACGAACTTTCAACCTTGCCTAACAGAACCCCTACACACACTTTATGCATCGCCCGAATCCGTTTCCCTACAGCCCATGCCCTACATCTGCATCTACCGTACTTAAGCAGGTACCTTATTTTGGAACTTTTTTCTCCCTTCTACCCTGGGGGTTTTAGATTTTTGTGATTACAGAATTAACTTAACCTTGGTCTATACCTTGCATCAGCACACTTGGTATGGAATATGGCTTAAATAAGTTATTTAGATCACATAAGATAAAGGGTTTTGGTATATTAATGGATTTAAAGGTGGCCTTGTTCCCAACTGATATAGACGGCGCATGTATAACTTGTATGGAGTAGCAAGATCTTGTAGTGAGCGAGCCTCAGCCTGTTGAAAAGGAGTACGATGCATCTCTTCTCATTGTCATGCCATGCTGGGTTTATAGAATAAGCACGTCGTTTCGAGTATACCTTCATATTTCATCTCATATGGGTGTCGTCAATCATGATACATTGCTTTTTCTTGATAACTAGCGGTTAAACTTGTTGGCGCACGGTATCAACGCCACCTCACAGTACTATGTATTGACTATGAGAACCCATTATTCCGTCTACACACAGCTGGCATGGGCACACGTTCAATCTATTTGAAGCATTGTCTTATTGCCTGTAATTATACCTGTTGCATTTACTTTAAGATATCCTAGGGTATGAAACAGTTCACCCTCCTATGCCTGCGTTATTCTCCGAGCCTCGGAAATAGTTCAATGCTGCGGATAGAAACATTCCAACGTACAAGGTGAACTCCTGCAAAACATGCGGATGCCCTGGCACAGCCTCGGATGAGGCGTTTTGAGACTAAGTCTAACTTGTTGTCGGGCTACTTGCGTCAATATTGCCCGGGGATGGGATATTGCAGGTTTGTGAGACACGTTGATGTTGTTTGTTATATTTTTTTCAAATTGTTGCGGTTTCAAAGCAGCTGTGATACCTTAATGTTGGCCTTTTGTGTCACTTCGCGGCACATAACCGTCTCGTCATATTGTTTGATATTTTCTCTGTTACATAGTTCATCAGGTCTATACGTAGCTGGAGGTGGTGTGCTTTTAACCCTCACCTAATGACATTCTGCATGATCAAATCAAATATTCAAAGTGCTATTTTCCTAATCATCAGGTCAAGTGTCAGATTATAGATGCCGAGGAACAGTCTTAAGGCTCCAACACTGTATAACGCTGTCATTTCCCGCAGAACCACATATCGATCGCAATGTCTCAGACTATAAAAAACGCAGTGTGACATTGGTTCCCGCTAGAAAAAGCCGTATCTCCCACGCACCTCATGTTAGTATAGCGGAGATAAACTCATACACTAAGATACCTTCATTCGAAGCCTATGGTCTTCAATGGCTTCCAATGCAACGTTTAGAAGTGATACCTACAATTGCTACCCAAACTGTCAGCAAAGTGTATAACTTATTTGTTCGCGTTGACCGCCATCTGTTAATGCAACGTGTTGTACACCTATCTTTCAGAATGCCGCAATTACCAAACGCCTCGATTGTTGGGTGTCGGGCTCCCAAACTGATAAGTATAAAGGGGGGATAAAACCGCGATGTTTTACCACTCGCCATTTACCACTTACGGAGAGAGGACTTTATCTTTGATGTAATCACCCTGAACAAGCTGTAAGATATCCAGCTTTGATGAGTTTATAAACCAGATACAATCTCAAGTTAGTGTTCAATACTAACACTGAGTATAGTGTGCACTCTACATTCAATTGAGCATATATCAAAACATAATGAGACTTTTCATTATTTTTGCCCTTTGCTGCGCTATGGTCCAAGCAAGGCCAGCTGCTCCCGAAAAGCCAAGGTTTGGCTGTGTTCCATGCCAAAATCAACAACAGCAATGTTGCAATACGGATCTTCATTGTTGGATTCGATCTTGCGATACCTCGCCGACTCATGGCTGGTCAGTTTTTTTTATCTACCTTCATTCTACTGTGACAATGCAACTAATTTTTAAACACAAAATTGAAGATCAAAACATGCCCAAGCCAAATTAAAGTACCTATCATTTACATTATATTCAACTTTTCGATATGAACAATTTAATCCACGAGCTTCATCCGGGCCTTTTTCGGAATAGTGCCCCAAACTACACCTGTTCCACTACCCACCCCAATAAATGTACCTGACCCCATATTGTATACCTGGTGGGTTAGTGCTAGACTCTGAGCCATAAAATAATAACATTTTAATACGTATTCATACTCAACAAGAGAAGAAAACCAGATAGAAATAAGGTTGTATAAACTAAAATAAGGTTATTATATAATAATTAAACGCACTTACCTGAGCCTTATTTCAAATTTTATGAGATTATCATTGGCTGCACTGGCCGGCCAAGCGCAATGCCAAGCGCCAGCCGCGTGATATATCCATTTTAGGTTTAGCTTTTTCTAGAATTGTAAAGCATGGCCGCGCACAACCTTTTTAATGGCTCCTCTTACACCCTTAAATACGAAACCAAGGTAAAGGAGCGTCCCTGCTTGGCTACTCGATGTGTATTTAAAGATGCCAACCACCTGAGAAACTCAACTGCGTATATGGAGAGTGCAGCCGTTTTATAAGTTACGAAAGAACTATGCTGCTTCCCGCCCCTTTGTCAAAATATATATCGTCTCTTAAGCTGTTGAAGCAGAAGTGGCATAGCCATGTTGCTTCACGGCGGGAAAACAATCGAAACGCTCTTCCCAGTAGGCTACTTGACGTTTTCCTGTCCACTTGGGACCTTGGATTTACCTCGTTTGGAGGACCGCCAGTGCATTTTCGCATACTCCATGGCAGGTTCGTCGAGGGTAAAGGGGTGAGCGAGAAATGGATCGACGAACAAACTGTGAGCTTCGAGTTTTAACCTTTCAGCAACTTTTACCTATCTTTGACTAAACAACTAATGTGTATCTGTAGTACCAGGAGCTTTTCGCCATCTGCCAGGGCCTTCCAGGCCCAGGTAGCACGAAGTTGCTCTTCTGTATTGCATTGCTCCATGCTGGTTTTGTTCCAGCACTCGTTGTATTCTTGATATGGTGGTAATTAGTAGCCTCTTTACACCTCTGACTTTCCCTTGTATAGTTAGTAAATTCGCTTACCATCTCTAGCCTTCCCGGAGCAATCGGCATGTACGCCCTATCCCTAGGCGTCCAACAAATTAGCGAAACTCTCCCCGCACCTGTTTACCCTCTTCTTTCTGGACTAAACTCATCAACTGTGGGAATAATTGCTCTAGCAGCAGTTCAGTTAGCGGAGAAAGCTATCAATGACAAGTTAACCCGCATTCTGGTGACCCTTGGTGCCTGTGCTGGCCTTTGCTACAATGCATTGTGGTATTTCCCATTGCTTATGACCCTTGGTGGAATAACTACTGTTATCTGGGATGGATGGCTTAACCAGAAGATTCGAAGCTTTCGGTTGAGCAGAAGACGAAGGAATACCCACCCCGAAGCAGCAGAGGAAGCGCCACAGAGTGTACAAGTAGAAGGCTGGCAAGATAATGGTAACACAAATGGACGAGAGGATGGTACTATAATAAGGTCTCGAAGAACGAACGCTCCCGGCAACAGTATACCCAGTGATCAGACGGATCTAGTCTCCAGCTTGAACCAATCAGGTGGAACTGATAATTCACATAACCATGTTATTCGGATCAGATTTGGAATTATGATCGTCATTCTGTTCTTTGGTAAGTTTATCTAGTTATATATATTGGCGATAACTGCATGCTAACTACCTTTGTAGCGTCGTTCATATCCATTCTTGTAGCCAGAGGTGCCCTTCGCACGCCACCCCTAGCTCTTAACCTTTTTGCCAATATGTACCTTGCTGGAACTGTGATTTTTGGTGGTGGCCCTGTTGTCATTCCACTTCTTCGGTCATATGTTGTAGACCCTGGCTGGGTCTCAGGCCGAGATTTTCTCCTCGGACTTGCTGTTATCCAGGCATTTCCTGGTCCAAACTTCAACTTTGCCGTCTTTCTCGGCGCATTAGCGCTGCAAAAATCGCCGTTCCCAACCATATTTGGCGCTATTCTCGGTGGGTTTGGGATATTCTTTCCAGGGCTTACATTAGCAGTTGCGGTGCAGAGTTTTTGGACTGCTCTCCGCAAGAAGAAATGGGTTACAGACTTCCTTCGAGGTGTTAATGCAACTGCTGTTGGCTTGGTGTTTACTGCGGTCTACCGCTTATGGGAAATTGGATATCTTACCCCTCTAACCACCAGTGGGCAGAGCTTGGGCAAGGAGCCTTGGTGGGTTGTTATAGCCGCTGTGACTTATGTTGAGAGTGCATGGTTTGGAGTTCCACCGCCACTTGCGATTGTTATGGGTGCAATTCTCGGTCTCTGCTGGTATGGTGCTGTAGGACAGTGAATTGCATGGTCATTTTTCAGTGCTTTAAGGCATGGAAAATAGTCAATCCCTGCAACATCGAGCCGTCTATGATATACCCAGCCTAAGTGGCATTCCAGACTTTGCTCCTGAGTTTAACCCGGAGAATAACCTTCTTTTAACGAGTAACTTTGAATGAATGCTAGCAGGCCTAAGACGCGTGTTCATTAATAAAATGCTTTATAGCATCTCCCTCCACTATTTCATCATAGTCTTTTCCTTCCTCCTCCTTTTCTCCATCTTTCTCCCATATCTTATTGTCAAACACAGCCAGTCTATCTGCTGCCAATCAGCGTGGGCTCCCCCTTTTGGCCGAATGGCAGGTTTTTGATACTTATTTTCATGGCACAACAAATGCGACCACACACTTCGACGCAACACAAGGTTCATCGGATACCTGAATGCATTCACCCTCCTTGATCGGGACTTGCCCGAACCTTGGTTGCCATGATACAACATATATAGGGATTATTATGATCATTTCTGCCGGGCTCTGTACGCGAGCCGGTGAATAGCCATACGTCCACCCGCATTTCTAAAGCAATTAGTTGATAGATTAGTATATAAGGGGTTGCCCACTTACGACTAGACCTATTTCCCATCTTAATACTGTTATCTCCGCTTCAAGGCCTTCTAAAAGGGAGTAGTTTTGCAGTGAAGTCGTCTCCGCATCTCCAGCGATTCAATCTTTCATCCGCACAACTCGTTATTTTATAATCAAAGGAACTCACAAACTAATGATGCTTCAATTGATTGTCACCTAAGTTTGATGAAATGTTTCTCTTGATCGTATGTCCGTAATCATCATATATAAAGAGAAAGGATCTTTCCTTTGTTCCTTTATTTATTAGAGGGGAAGCTCAGCAGGTGCAGCTCATATAGCTAAACTGATGTACTAAGAGCGCTAACATTGTACGACGCTTAAGGGAAATGATTCTAGCAAGCAAGGAGAGGCCCAAGGATCGGCTGTTTTATTAACTCCATCATTAATAGTAGTCTGTACATTCATGAAAAAATAACCGATCCTCCCCCTTTTATGGAAATTCTATGAAGATTTCAATCATGTTTCACCGAGAAGACCGCTCTCCTTCAAGCCCTTCCAAAGCTCCGGTTCCAAAAACTTGCTAACCGTGATATCCTCCGCAAGGCCTTTTCTTCGGCGAGTTTTGAGCACAAAATCTCTCGCGGTTGCCATGGCGCTTGCCATCTCTAGCGGTCGGAGTTTTATGTTTTTGTCCAGTGGATCGCCCGGTACAACACTCCATTTGTCAAATACTAGGCTGACGGTGGCCTGACCTTGTGTATGTATTCGGAGATCGGTCTCAAAACCAAAGGAGTCGATGACCGGAATCAGGCCACGCACGGAGTATAACGGAGTTCCGGCGATAGGACCGTCGGATAAGACGTGTCCACGTCGTCGTGAAAGAACGGTGTAAATGGCGGCAACCGAATCTGGGGGTCCTGTCATGGAACATGTGTAAATAGGCTCCATCAATCGGGGGGAGGCCATCAGGAACGATGAATAGATGACACGACGAGTGGCGGGGATGATTTGCCCACCACCTCGAGAAAATGCTTGATCTGCTAGAGAGATATCCGTAAGACGGAATTTGGTGTTTCGGATAGCTATAAAATTGAAGATTCGTTAGCAGTGATCGATAAACAGCTGTTGATATATGGCTGAATTTGCGGGAGGACTTACGTTCTTCGCATAGCGGGCCTTCTCTTGTGCCCCAGCTGAAGGCCTGGCGGATGAAGTCTCGTACGGATCCAAGCAGCTTCTTGTCCACCTTAGAAGGTAACGTGTCATCTTGGAGAATATTTGGGCCCATATCATCCGGACCGAATGCCCATATACTTCTCGAAGCTAGCTTATCCCAGTCGTACTTTTCTTCGAAGAACTGACCGACTTTTCGGATTGGATCATGAATGTTGACGCGACCACTTTCAATATCTTCACTAATACCATCGTCAAGAGGCTCAGCAATCATAGTGATTTTATTTTTTGTGTTGGCGGTGATAGAGTAGCACATAATCGCAGAGGTCTCAACAACCGTTTCACAGAATCTCGTGACAGGGTCTGATACTTTGAGCTCCATTTCGGCGTATAATCGGCGAAGGTCGTGTAAAACACAATCCATATAGAGCTCACCCGTCCCAAGTACAATGTGTTCGCCTGATTCCTCAACTCTCGTCGATATCAAGGGGTAACTCTTATTGACCTTTCGAAGCCCCTCAAGCATTTTAGGTAGCTCGGATGGATTGATGGGCTCGACCGCAACCTTGAAAACAGATTCTGTCATGTGCTTGATGGGTTTAAAGATGTATGCTTCCTCATCGTCTTTGAAGGTCAAAGGGACAATGGTTGCTGTTTTAATAATGGAGTTATCTACTCCGCTGAGTAGTACCCAATTGCCAGCCGGAACGCCACTCGTAGGAATGTTATAGCGAGATTCGGCAATAAACGTATCTGTAATAGTTGCTACAACCATATCTTCATTGTCATCAATGGTATATCCTTCTCCTAGAACTCTGACTTGCTGGCCCGCCCTTGCGGTTCCACTCATGATACGTCCAAAGGCATTGAATCCGGCAGCGTCCGGCGTCCCATATAATTTAGTGACGTGCACAACTAATGGGCCATCTTGATCACAAGCTTCCATAGCGGCAGCAACTTTCGTATCCCGCGGCCCCGTGTAGTACTTGTCCAATTTTTTGCTAGCCCCTTCAACTGGGGAAGGGATGTGCTGAACAACCATATCAACGAACCCAGTAACGGGGCCAAAGAACTGTGCACAAACTAGCTTAAGAAGTACCTTTGCGTCTGATTTCAGTTGGGAAGGCTTCAAATGAATCCCAAGAGCTGCTAAAGTCTCTTTCAAGTCCTCGGGGCTCTCACTAATGGTGTGCGAGTAGAGCTTATAGATGGGTTCAAGGATAAAATGAACGAAGGATCGTTTGGATTGTTCTTCCATGCCCTTGCGTGTAAATTTCCGGCTTCGGGGGTTAAAGAAGATGTCACCCCATAGCCTTACAGCAAATTCTGAAAGGTCAACTTTAGCGTATGTGTCCGCATACATCTTTGCGAATGATTGAAGAGTAAAACACCAGTTCATAGAGGAACACGCAAAGGCAACATTGCCCTTTTCGGGGCTCAGTCTTCTCTTTTCACCTTGCCCGGGTATTGTTTTCTCGATGGCGGTATTGACTTCTTCCACCACATGTTTTAATTTGAAGTAGGCATCCATTGGCGGTAGTTTTAGCTCTAGTATGAGTCGATCCACCTTGTTAACGATTAGAACGAGAGGGAGATCTTCTAATATGGCGTGCTTGATAATTTGTTCAGTATTGATCTGAACACCCTCGACAACGTCTACCACGAGAACTACTCCGTCCACCAATCTCAGTGACGCAGCAACTTCATCAACAAAGTTGACATGTCCCGGGGTATCTATTATATTGAAAAGATGGGATTTTCCTTTCGTGTCCTGCAAAACAAGGCTCATTGGCGCAGATTTAATTGATAGCCCACGCTCCCTCTCCAAAAAGTGCATATCTGTATATCGGAGCTGTTCATCCTTTGCTTTACCAATTCGTTTGTCAAGTTTCTCCGATATATCATGTGTTTCCATAACCAAAGTATCCATAAAAGCAGTCTTGCCATGATGTAAATGGCCCGCAAGCGCAATGTTTCGAATTTGATGGGGGTAGTTTAACAGGTCTGACATGAATTCTCGAGAATAAAAGACGGGAGGCAGGTCAGCTTCCTGAACAGCGAACTTCTTCTGCTGAATTGGCGCTATAATTGGTTGCGACAGCGGCTGTGTATCCTCCTCCTGCACTTTTGTTTCCACATCTTTCCCGTAAACTTGTTGTGCTGTTGGATAGTACTGTTTATCTTCGTGAAGAATTACCGCATTGGACGGACCTTGGTCTATAAAGACGGCGAGTTAGTTATATAGCCCAATGCCTGTAGGTGAATTTTCCTACCATCTATTTCCATTAGCTCCTGGCCATGGGCAGCCGGTGCCTCCACCTCTGACTCAAGGTCATAATCGAACTGCTGTGCCTCGACGCCGTCATGCTGTGATTCTTCCTCGGACTCTTCTCCTCCAATATAATTACCGAACCTAGAAATATAATTAATACCAGCAGTCCGCTATATATTCTGCACGCAACCAAAGATCCATCATCTATTCATTTCTGCAGCAGGAACGAGAAACTTACTCGTCGTAGAGGTCATCCATGATGTGTTAGCACGCGATCGCAAAGTACCGGACCGTGAGGAGTGTGCTGATAAAATATCGCGACTTGGGTAAAGGGTATATAGCGGCACTCCAGCCCACTCTACCGGCCATGAAACAGAAGAAGAAGCAACGTGTCGTCGTCTGGCAGAGCTCTAGAGATCCTTTGCTCTTCTTCCAGATCTTCTTCGCGTTTATCAACTTCGACTTTTGATAGAAAATAGAAACTTGTGCCAAGACTTTTTTGAAGCTTGGAGCTTTTAGTCACGTGATAGGACATAAAAAAGTACATCTTCAAGAGTTGGACAAAGAAGCAACAATATACAGGATGCAGCTTGAACCAGCATCTTCCCAAGAAACACTGTTTAATACCATGCTGCGGAATGTCGAATCTGCATGATTTTAGCTGCGCTGTTGGACGATGGGCCCAAAAGGATGCTTTTTCTCAGAATCAAATATCCATACCAATGATGATAATGAGCTATAAGAATATTTCAAAAACGACATTCCCACGATAATAAAGAATTGTCTTCTTTATGGGAAGATTGACGAGGAAACTTTCTTTTGTTGCTTATGTGGTTGCTCATATCGTTGCGGCTACATATGACACGGTCGAGTTAACAAAAGCTTGCTGAGTTGGCTACACATAATTTCCAATTTGGCGAGAATGCGGTGCAAACGAACATAATACCAACTGTTTCGACAAAGCCTGAATGCGGAAATAAGTGGGAGGTCGCGCGATTATGAGAATGTGGTGGTTAGCGACCACAGCCTATAAAGAAGCCGGGTTTTATAAGACAAGGCATTCGACATTTTTCGATGATCATAGATTTCCCAAGGATCACGATGAAGAGTTCAAGTTTTATCGTGGCCCTTTTTACCAGTGTCGTAACTGCAGATATCCATGGCACAAAACCGAATGGTCCGAAATATGCGGGCACAAACCCAGACTGTACTTGGTATCTCGACCTCGTCGACGATTCCTATACATGCGAAAATATCGAAAAGCAATGGGACCTAAGCCATGAAATCTTTGTTGCATGGGTATGTCGGTTAATAGTCGACTCATCAGAATGTTTCGAATGATTCGAGGTAGTGGCTAATAGAGTGGTAGAATCCTGGCGTGAAAAAAGACTGTAGCGGACTTCAAGTTGGCCTCTCAGTTTGCGTGGAAGCGCCGATGGAATCAATTACTTCAAGTTCTACATCAGAGGCTTCGACGAGCTCGGAAACATCAATCCCGTCACCTACTGCTACCGGGCCTCCATTGCCATCCCCAACACAGGATGGCCTAGTGGGTAATTGCACACAATTCTACCATGCCGTTAGTGGTGATACTTGTGGGAAGATAATATCTCGACATAAGCCCATCACGTTGGCCCAACTCATAGAGTGGAATCCTGCACTTGAGAAGGACTGTACCGGGCTTTGGGCTGGCTATTATTACTGTATTGGCATTCCCGGAATTCCCAATGCGTCCCCTACAGGTATCTCAAACAGCACCATATCAAACACAATTGCGACCATGCTGAGTACGGCTAAGCCAAATTCTACTGCAATCTCTACCGGTGCTGCAGCGCCTGGGCCAACTCAAGCTGATATTGTCAGTAACTGTCAAAGGTGGCATAAAGTGGTATCCGGTGATACCTGCACAAGCCTCGCCAACCAATATGATACCTTTACTCTGGAAGAATTCATCAAGTGGAATCCAGCTGTTGGGGAGGACTGCTCTGGCCTCTGGTTGAACTATTATTACTGCATTGGTAGAGACTCCAAAATCAATACACAACACTCTTGTGCTAACCAATGTCGGATAGGTGTCCCCGGGACCCCCACGGCAAAGCAGACAACATCTAAACCAAGTCCTACTGGGTGTACTAGCCCGGGACTTCCCTCACCCACACAACCTGGCGCTATATGTAAATGCAAGAAGTGGCATAAAGTCGTGCAAGGGGATACCTGTGAGAATATTGTTCGGAAATATAGTATTTCGACTAAAAATTTCAACAAATGGAATCCTAAAGTTGGAGATGACTGCTATAGTCTATGGCTTCGGTATTATGTTTGCGTTGGGGCTGCATGAAGCTAACCGATCAAAAGGAGCCAGAGACCGATGATAGTAAGTGGCCGTGAGACAGCAGCCAAGGAGGTTGTTTTCGAAGAGTTTAGTACTTTCATTTAGATCATTATTAATTATGAAGCACTAACATGTCTGATTTGACAAATATTCTTATATATTATCCTTTAAGGAAGTCATCAATTATAGCAGAATTAAAGCACAAAGCCCTTCAGATACCTCTTCAAGGTAGGGAGGTCTCGGCGTCCTATTAAGCGCCCTTTGATAAGCCTTTGGAATGCGGGCCCTACATAGTACAAAACTTTACCGTATATATCACGTATAGCCTAGCCCGGAGGCAGGTTGCATGAGGTGCAAAGCCTTACGCAGTACGGAGTACTTCAGTCCTGAAACGATACACATATTCAACATGATACCCTTAGCCAGCCATATATTTCAGATAATGTTGCTTTTACTCAAACATCAGTTTCCGTTCCCAGCAACTCCACCAACTGTGACGAGAATATCACAGATATTATATTTTATCTATACATGGGGCCTTTGTTAACGTCTGACGATAGCAATGCCCATCTCCGCCAAGGTAGCTTCGGCATGCGAAGAATGAGGATGACCGTCATAAAATGCGTTCGTAGCATCTGTCCCAATAACATCCTGAAGGATCTTCTCACCACCTGGGTGGTTCTTTATGAAATTTGTGATATCATGAATAATACCATCTATACAGATCAGGCGCCGGCCGCGGCTCACTTCTTTGAGATAGTTGCCCCAGCCCATCACTGGCAGCTCCTGAACCACCCCTTGGGCTCGATCTTTCTGGCGGAGGATCGCTTTCTTAATCTCAATTGGGTTTGTAGTATGTAGGCCCCATGCAAGCCCAAGTTTTGCACAAACCCAGATGAACCATTGGGTGACATCAAGTTCGTGCCAGTGCACCCCAGCTCGATAGTCTCGAGGAAAGGCATGGTGGAAATTGTGGTTACCCTCTCCTGCAGCAATAAATCCAACAATGGGGACGTTCGTGGCCGTTGAAGCATCGGAATATGGTTGTGTACCAGCCCACGGAGCATGAGATATGGAATTAACCAAGAATGTACTCTGAGTTATGACGGCAGTTCGGACAAGAGTACAGTATACAAACCCTCCTAACCCATCATTCCACCCGAAATGAGCGATGGTAACTGGCAAAAAGAATGCGCCTAGAGCGGCTATAAGCACGTAGTACTTCTTTTGCCATCTAACTACTGGGTTGCTCTCTATATCCGACATGTTGACTTCGCCCCATGCTTCAGGGTTTAACCCAATAAGCCAACCTATGTGGGAATAGAGGAGTCCTCTCGGGGCGTTATATGGATCCTTGTCGGTATCTAGGTACTGATGGTGGGAGCGATGATGCCGCACCCACCATAGGATTGACCATTGGCATGAACTGGCTCCCCAGATCGCATAGAAATATTGTAACGGCGTGCAGGCCTGGTAAGACTTATGGGACCAGAGCCGGTGATACCCTTAGAAATATTTAACATGCATACGTTCAAATAATGACCTATGTATGGTGTACTCACCAGCGGTTATGCTCACGCCTGCCAACCAGAGCGACAATAGGGACATCACCCCGGTATTTAATGTTAAGGGAACATGCCAGGCGAAGACGGCAATGGGAATCAGGGCAACTATCAGCCAAAGAAAATGGAAGAGATGAAAGTACTCGCAATACCACTGGATTTCGTATGCCCAGGTATATACTCTTGTAATGCGTTTGCTAGTAGGGTTTCGTATTCTATGCTTCTCCATGGCCATTTTGGACGACACTTGATCTCTGAGCTTGAGAAGAAAAGAGGTAAGGGAAATATCATTGCCTTGTTGTGTATGTAGGGGAGATACTGTGCCTTATGGCTGAGTTTTAGACCTAAATATTTGTTCCTTGATATTTCGCTGTGGCGCCCCCTTGGTCAATCTTCTTTTAGTATTCCCCGTGTACTATTGATATTGACATTTATATCCTACGTAGTAGCTGAACCAAGACGGCTCAGGGGTTTTCTCATTTTTGGGAAACGCCACACTTGATAATAATTATCTAGTTGATCATCACTCAGCATTAGTCGCTGTGACTAGTCCGTATGGAGCGATAATATAACATGAACGGGTTTAGCCAATTCCCTGGAGATAGTTTTGTCTTATTTTGCTTTACAGGGAGATACATGGTTAGCAGTGAGTATGGATTATGCCCCGCCCTTTGATATTTATTAAAATAAATTCGTAATCGCAGATATACGTCCATTATTTGATTAATTGCTTGGTAGAATAATTTGGGGACCAGAAGAGATGAGTGATAATGGTTCGTTTTACTCTTGACTAAAGGCACAAAACCAGCTCCTCATAAAAAGACCATGTCCAAGTACCCTCCTAATTCACAACACACTTCCAGATTAGGCTTAGGACTTAAAGCTATCGATGATTTCCTGGGTTAAGGACTCCTTTTGTTGATGAAGTTCGGTAAATCTGGGTGCATGGTCTGGAGACATTTTGGGGCCGATGATATCCAAAAACTTGGTCATATCTGACTTCATAACCTCGACAAAGGCCTGACCGATGAATCCAAACCCGGTTGCGCACACCTCAGGTGACTGCAATTATTAGTTACCGGGAGAAGCCTATAGTGAAATGAGACAAGGTATATACCTTCTTGGTAACGGATGTCTGGGCCTTTCGCACAGAAGTGCAAACGCGCTTGATCGATTCCATAATCTGGTCACTGTCTTCTGGAGTGAAGCTACCACAGCTTTGGGCACCGTGAATGGCAGCTACCTGGGCGTTATGCAAATTCTGGAGGGACAATAGTGGTGGAATAACGGTAATGATCCCACCACCCCAGGCGTCAAACGAAGACGCGACAGCCTCATATTTCTGGGCGATAGCGGCGGTATGGTCGATTATAGTATTTGCTTCATTGCTGAGTGCAAGGGCCAGAGGAGCCAAGCACAGCGTAAGAGGGACAAGCACTTTGCTGAAGAGCATGATGGGTAGCGGAAACCGAATTATTGAGGTATCACTTCTTTCGTAGGATAGAACCGCGAGTTGTAAACAAGGACATGAAATGTTTCATTTTGCTTGGGGTTTATTTGCTATATACTATTTATTAGAGACATCCATGCTGCCTGTGAGTAAAAAAGATCTGCATTCGGAGCTACATTGCCGCAATGTTCACTCTGTACATAGTAGAGAGGTTTGAAGATATCGTGTAGCTTTAACATAGTTGAGTTTGCCAATTAAGCTAGTTATGGGTTCGATCGCCGATATGAAGCACAGAGATTTGTCATTTCTGGTGGTCAGCTGTGCCCCAAAATTGAGAAGCATCTTAGTTACTAACAAACAATGATAGTTTGATGTAGACTAAGTTCGTTTCCATAGAGCGAGGCTTTCCTTAGCCAATAAGAATCTCCATGACTATCGGGTGACTAAGCATATATTTCTTTATTTGAACGCCCATTTTTTTTCTTTTTAAGAGCTCATCGAATATCGAAAATTAATCAAGATCATCTTGCTTGTGGAATATTTACTATGTAGACATTTTGGAATAAGATGATCACGCCTTTTCCATAGTGCCATGACTGTGTATTTCTGCTCAACCAACCACTGGTCTTGTTACCCTGAGCGTGTCGAAATGGCACATGGAAAAACAAAACAAAGGCTACACCTCTCCTTGAACGATGCCCTTCCGCGATGAAACTAATGAGGATAATGGATAATAGTCTTTCCTGTGGGCTGGGGCGTCGAAAAATAGTCAAAACGCCATTTGGTGTAATGGTCAATTTCTGTCTAGAGAGTGATACATTTCAGGCAATTCTCTAACTGGCCTTGACATGGCGACGGTTAGAAAAGCAGAAGACCAGCTAAACTGATCATTGAATTTCTTCACAGAGCGATGCTTTCCATCTTCATATATTGAATCAAAGGACACTCAGCGCCGTCTGCAATCCCATACCTTGTTTTAATATTTCTAAGCAAGTATCCGTCCTGGCCTGGGGTTGCATCATTATTTGTCTTTTTCACATATCTGCATACCTGAAAATAGACCACGGAGTACTGTTTGTATAAACTGTGCATACCGATACCTAGAAAATGGGTTCAATTGCAATCGAAGAGTTGGTTGAAAGGAAGCGGACCGTGGATGGCATGAATCATTTACACCATGGTGAGTTGAATGGTGTATCCACTGCACCTATCAATGCTGGTCCCAAACCACACGATGTGCCTCCCCCCATCGCAATCGTGGGCATGGCAATGAGGCTTCCAGGGGGCATCAATTCCGCGGAAGAATTTTGGGAGTTCCTTGTTAATAAAGGAGATGCGCGCGGACGGGTCCCTCAGTCACGATTTAATATCGATGCTTTCCACAATAGCTCAAAACCTGGCTCAGTCAAAACGGAGTATGGCTATTTTTTACATGAAGATCCAGCATATGTAGACGCGCCTTTTTTCTCCATGAGCAAATATGAAGCGGCAAAGCTAGACCCGCAACAGAGACTACTACTTGAAGTAGTCTGGGAATGCTTAGAGACTGGCGGCCAAACCGGATGGCGTGGGAAAGACATTGGGTGTTTCGTTGGTTCCTTTGGAGAGGATTGGTTAGATATGTCAAGTAAAGATACTCAAGATATTGACAGAATTCGAGCTCTTGGTACCGGAGATTTCGCTCTCTCGAATCGCGTCTCTTATGAGTATGACTTAAAAGGTCCCAGGTCAGAATAGATTCCAAAGTCTTTACGAAGTTTTATTAGCTAACTCTTTCAAGCATCACATTTCGAACCGGCTGCTCATCTTCTATGGTCGCTTTACATGAGGCATGCCGTTCTCTCTATTCAGGAGAATGCTCTGCTGCTGTTGTTGCCGGAACCAACCTTGTTCTTGCCCCGACCATGTCAACCACGATGTCTGACAACATGGTTCTGTCGCCTAATGGAATTTGCAAATCTTTTGACGCCGAAGCCGATGGCTATGGGAGAGGTGAGGCAATCAATGCTGTCTATGTTAAACTACTTAACGACGCAATCAGAGATGGCGATCCTATTCGTGCTATCATTCGCTCGACTACAACCAACTGTGACGGCAAAACACCCAATATCACAACACCTGGAGCGGAAACTCAGGAATACCTTATACGGCAGGCCTACAGCCAGGCTAAGATTCATGATATCTCAGAAACTGCCTTTTTTGAGTGTCATGGAACTGGAACGGTTATAGGTGATACTACAGAGCTATCGGCTGTCGCTACTCTTTTCCAAGGCAAAGGTGTTTATATTGGGGCGGTTAGTTATCAATATCTATAGCGGAAATTGCTGAGTTCGCTTGTTAACTTATTCTACTTAGGTCAAACCCAATGTAGGACACTCGGAGGGCGCCTCAGGGCTAACAGGAATCATCAAAGCAGCGTTGGCGCTTGAGAACAAGACTATACCACCAAACATACATTTTAATAACCCAAACCCGAAAAGTATGTGAATACCCAAATGCATTTGAGGCCTTTGTTAACATAATATCTCTAAGTACCATTTGAGAATGCTAAGCTCCAAGTGCCTGTGGAACCAACCCCTTGGCCACTGGATCGCAGTGAGCGAGTTAGCATCAACTGTTTCGGGATAGGTGGGACAAACGTACATGTAAGTATGCATCACGCAAATGTAAAGCTTCATCTACCTAACCTTTTACTTCCATAGACTATCTTGGATTCCACTCTATCGTTTTTACCAGCAAAGGATGGCCATAACGCTCTTTCTGAAAAGCCTAATGGGCCTCGACTTCTGGTTCTATCTGCAAATTCACAACATTCACTCCAAAGACAGATCGAAAACCTGACCTCTTACGTAGAAAGTCGGCCCGGAATTTCTAATGATGATTTATGCTTTACCTTAGGTAGTAGAAGAGAACACCTCAAACATCGGGCGTTTACGGTCCTCAAGGACGAAAAAACTATTAATGCAGAGAACTTTGAGATGTCTTCGTCCACCAAGGAAAGGAGTATAGTATTTATCTTCACTGGCCAAGGAGCGCAATGGCCGGGTATGGGTAAACAGCTACTCTTGGAATTTGATACCTTCCGGGGTGACATTAGGGCCATGGATAGAGCTTTGCAAGCTCTACAGGATCCACCTTGTTGGAGCATAGAAGGTATGGTGTTTCCATATTGTTTGTTCCCCAGTTATTAATGACGTTTTCTTCAGAGGAGCTTTTGAATACTAGCGATCCCGCGAGGATTGATGACCCCGAATTCGCGCAAACTCTTTGCACGGCTGTGCAAATGGGCCTAGCAAACCTGTTGAATAAGTGGGGAATTATTTCCTCCGCAGTGATCGGTCATTCGAGCGGTGAAATCGCTGCTGCGTACACTTCTGGTGCGATTACCATGGAGTCAGCTATTATAATATCCTACTATCGTGGACAGGTAGCAAAATCAATTCTTAACATTAAGGGAAACGTACGGGGTGGTATGGCTGCCGTTGGGCTCGGCCCCGAAAAAGTGAAGCGTTTTTTGATAAACGGCGTGGTTATTGCGTGTGAAAACAGTCCCCAAAGTGTGACACTTTCTGGGGATAGTGATAAGCTCGACAAGGTTCTTGCTGAGATTCAATCTACCGACAAAGAGATTTTCTGCAGACGTCTTCGTGTGGAGATTGCTTATCACTCCTGTGAGTTAAATAGCTTTTTATCTACCATTTCTGATCAAGTATACGAACTAATGTATGGCTATAGATCATATGCAAAGCTTGGCCGAGCTATACCATGATCTTATAAAACCTTACATAACCTTCAGAAATACCATGATTCCCCTTCACTCTAGTGTGACGGGTAAAATTGTTATCGAACCATCTCAGCTGGATGCAAGCTACTGGGTTCAGAATTTATTATCGCCCGTCTTGTTTTCGGCTGCAGTTGCGACAATTTTCAATGGAAACGATGCAGGCGCCGCATTCCTCGAAATTGGCCCACATTCGGCCCTTTCTGGCCCCATTAGACAAATATTCGACAGTTATAAACCTAAGCCAGATGCGATCTATATTCCTACTCTTATCCGCGGAGACGATCAGGTAATAAACTTGTTGGCCGCAGCCGGGAGAGTGTACCTGAAGGGTAACTCAGTTCTATTCTCAGCGATTAATGGCCCTGGTACTGTGCTGACGGACCTTCCAACATATCCATGGCAGCATAATCAAAAATACTGGGACGAGAGCCGAGTATCACAACGTTGGAGGAATCGTCGACATCCCCATCATGAGATCCTGGGCTCACGTATTTACGAATCAAGTGACCTAGATCCCACATGGAGGAACTTACTACGTGTGGAAAATACCCCTTGGATTTGGGACCACAGATTGAATAAGAAGATCGTATTTCCATGTGCGGGCTACATTGCCATGGCCGGAGAAGCTATCTACCAAGTTTCAGGATCTCATGATTATTCAATCAAGAATCTATTCATGAAGACAGCTCTCACCTTAGAAGATTATTCAGTGATAGAACTTGTTACCAGCTTGCATCCTGTACGGCTCACTGATACTGCTGACTCGAAGTGGTATGACTTTACGATTAGTTCTTGTAACGACAATGTTTGGCAAAAACACTGTACAGGTCGTATACGATCGGGGGACACAGAAGGGTGCCCACTCACACAAGATAGAAGGCTCTTTTCTAGACAAATACAGCCTGACCAGTGGTACTCCGCACTAAGTAATCGAGGCTTAGACTATGGCCCTCGGTTTAGGGGATTGGAAGATATTACAGCTGACCCAGTTACTTATCGAGCCACTGCGGTCATTACTGACGACGAGGATCTACATGATAGCAACTACAGCCTTCACCCAACTACAATTGACCAGTGCTTGCAGCTTTTCAGTGTGGCTTTTACACATGGCATCCCTCGACAAATGACCAAACTCAGCATTCCTATCTCAATTGAGAAAATTTACATTAACAGAGGGGGGGCATCAATGTCAGTCCAGGCCGAAGGCATTGGAAGTTCCAGCAGCATGGCAAGCGGAAACGTACTTATGTCATCAGAAGCGGAGGCTGTACTGTGGATGAAAGGAGCTCAGTTCTTTACTGTTGATGATGAGAATGCAAACGAGCTCAATTCCCGCCTCGTGTCGCGATGTCAATGGAAACAAGATATTGACTTTGTACCTACAGCGGAATTACTGCCTCCTATCCCGTCAGATTTATGCTCTCGGGTCCTAATTGGAAAGCTGTCTAGCCTTTCAGTTATCGAGTGTTCAAATCGAATAAAAAATTTGACTACCGAATCCCCGCACTTAATTAAATATCAAGAGTGGATCGTATCTCAGGCAAATCGAATGAGTGAAGGACTGGATGAGCTTGTTCCAGAAGGTCCACAGTGGGCAGCAGCTTCTTCTGAAGCTCGTCTAGCGATCATGGAATCTATGAGGCGGGAGCTGGAGATAGAGTCTCCAATTGCAGCAACCCTAATCAATACCTCTCAAAGGGTTCTTGAAAACAGTCCCATGATTATAGAAGGCAAGATCGGCGCACTTGAAGTTCTCATGGAGAATGATGGGCTGAAGGAGGTGTATGAAAACGGATCTCCGTTGGCAGATTGGCCCGAGTTTTTGACGTTGCTCAGTCACTCAAATCCTCAGCTGAGAGTTCTGGAAATAGGCGCCGGAGTTGGATCGGCCACTGCCAAAGCTTTGAGAAGTCTAACCCTCGCAGGGGGTACACGTATGTATTCTAAGTATACATTTACTGACATATCTCCTGGTGTGCTACCATCAGCGAAAGAGAGGTTTAAAGATTTTGAGGAAATCGAGTACTCAATACTCGATATTACACGAGATCCAACGACGCAAGGATTTAAAACTGAAAGTTTCGATTTGATTATTGCTTCAAATGTGAGTTGAACATGATAGCCCCATTACTGAGCTTGCCATTGATATGTATTAGGTACTTCATGCAACACCAGTTCTAACTGCTGCCCTGAAAAACGTGCGAGCTCTTCTTGCCCCCGGTGGTCGTTTTCTGCTAGAGGAGCTTTGCCCAGGTATGCTACGCTCCTATTATATTACTCATATTACGCTTAAGTAACGAAAATTGCCATAGTCGTACCCTTTTTTGATTTTGTGATGGTGTGTATCTCATTATATTCATCTTTACGAGACTATACTTAACTTTGAAATTAGGGTGTCTTGCCCGGCTGGTGGCTTGGGGAAGACGATGGCCGAGGTACTGCTCCCTATGTCACTCCTGAACGATGGGATCGGGAACTTCGAGAGAGTGGTTTTACGGGCATTGAGGCAACCAGATACGATAGTGAATATCCATATCATTTCGGTGCCGATATGATAACACGGCGAGCTGAAGATTGCCCGGATAAAGGAGACGTGTATCTCCTTCACCACTCCAAACCCCACCATTGGGGGCATATGGTGGAATCTTTCCTTTCTGAGAAGGGCTATGCAGTTCATTGGTGTATATTAGACCAAGTTCCAGCAAATAAAACTGTTATATCACTGCTGGACTTGGACGGCCCATTTTTTGACAACATTTCGGAGGAAGACTTCCGCGCATTCCAAACATGTATGTCCACCAGGAGCAACTGCCGGATTCTCTGGGTAACACGGGGGAGCCAACTTGAATGTGCGGATCCTCGATATGGTTTGGTCTTGGGCCTCGCTCGAACGCTTAGATTCGAGATGGACGTAGACTTTTCTACGATCGAAGTTGATAGGTTTGATAAAAACACTGCCATTTCCCTCTGCCATGTGCTGGAAAAGATCCAGAGGAACCGAGAGAAACACTGGTTGGACCCAGAGTATGAATTCTTTTTACAGAATGACATTGTGCACATCGGCAGATTTTATTGGACTCCGCTGAACGAAGAAAAGGCCACAGCCAATAGAAGAAACATGTCCAGATTTCTAGACATCGGGACATATGGCCTTTTAGACTCAATTTTCTGGGCTGAAGAAGAAGAACCCCCGGTTGGAGAAGACGAGATTGGTGTGGATATAAAGTATGTTGGGCTAAATTTCAGGGTATGCATACTACAATGTGTTATTCTCCGGGAGAGACACTAACTTTATGATAGGATATCATGGTGTCGTTAGGAGCTATGGGTGATAAACGCGAATTTGGGATCGAGAGTACAGGAGTCATCTCTAAGATTGGATCGAAAGTGAAGGACATGCAAGTTGGACAAAGGGTTCTTCTTACCAGCTCAGGTGTCCTTCGCTCGTTTAAGGTGATACCAGCAAAGCGCTGTATCCCTGTCTCCGACGACCTATCTTTAGAGGATGCAGCGACAATGATATCAGTATATGCTACTGTGATACATTCTCTCATGCGCCTTGGGAACCTTCAGAAAGACCAGGTATTATGCACCCCATTTCTTTGTTTTTATATTCAAACTAACAAGTTATACAATATCAACAGTCAGTATTGATCCATTCTGCTTGCGGTGGTGTTGGTTTGGCAGCTATCCAACTCTGTCGGATAATTGGAGCTGAGGTAAAGTTATTCTAGCTTTTTGTACCAGTATTTTGCTAACTAGACACAAGATTTATGTGACCGTTGGAAATGAACAGAAACGAAATTATCTTATAGAGAAACTTCAGATCCCTGAAGACCATATATTCAATTCAAGGAGCACCTCATTCCTCACTGATATCATGCGAGAGACCGGCGGTAGAGGGGTTGATATTGTTTTAAACTCTTTATCTGGCGAACTATTGCATGCTTCGTGGAAGTGTGTTGCAGAACTTGGTCGGATGATCGAGCTAGGAAAGCGAGATATCCTGGGCCATGCTCAGCTAAGTATGGATGGATTCTCAGGAAATAGAGCTTATTTCGGAGTTGATCTATATAGACTTGGTGAGACAAGTGAGGGGGCACTTAGAAAGTAGGTTTTTGTTTACTTCTTGACCTTCAAAACAGTGAACTAACTGATGAGCAGGCTGTTCCAACAAGTTATCGACTTTTATCAGGAGGGAAAGATCCATCCAATTCGTCCGATAACCGTCTTTGAGGCTGGTGAGGTTATTGATGCCTTCCGGTACATGCAGACCGGTAAACATATGGGCAAAATTCTGGTAAAAATGCCTGACAACCCATCGGAGATACCGCTCACCAAGGGCTGCCAAACCATCAATTTATCCCCCCATGGCTCCTATCTACTGGTGGGCGGACTCGGCGGACTCGGTCGTGCCGTCACGACGTGGATGGTTGAAAAGGGGGCCAGGCACTTCATTTTCTTGTCACGATCAGCTGGAGAATCTGATTCAGACAAAGCTTTCCTACACGAGCTAGCTGCTCAGGAGTGTACTGCCACTGTAGTTAAAGGGAGTGTAGCAGACTTTGGTGATGTAAAACAAGCAGCTACTGTGGGTTTAAAGCCAGTTGTTGGTATTATCCACATGGCAATGGCCTTAAGGGTAAGTATGGGACATATACAACACCCATTCACGTGTGACGGTAACTAATGCGAATGTATATAGGATCAAGCATTTGAAAAGATGACGTATGATAGTTGGCACACTACACTTGCGCCCAAAGTGCAAGGAACGTGGAACTTGCACAACGTCTTCAAAGACGTGCCTCTCGATTTTTTTATTCTATTCAGTTCTGTCGTTGCTCTTGGAGGCAACACCGGCCAGGCAAGCTATACTGCGGCAAATGCCTTCCTGGATACCTTCGTTCGCTATCGGCAATCCATGAATCTGCCGGCTTGGGCGGTCAATATCGGGTTCATGCAAGGCATTGGTTATGCGAGCCAGAATCTAAAGCTTGTGGACACGGCGCTTGCAAATTCGATAGAGATGGTGGATGAATCCTATCTCCTTGATGCCTTACAGGTGGCAATGTCAAACTCGAAGGGTGCCGGATCAGGCCAATTCGCTATAGGACTGGGCACGTCAAAGCCTCTTTCTGATGCTAAAACCCAGCCGCTTTGGCGGCGAGATGCTCGGTTTACTGTCTATGAAAACATTCAAAAACAGGTTGAAAAGATTGGCACTATTAGCGGAGCGGACCTTAAAAGCTTAGTTGAAGAGGTCGAGAAGGACCCGAGTATCCTAGACACGCAAGACACTGAAGAAAAAATTGCAAAGGAGCTGAGAGTACTGATCGGCTCACGTGCAGGTCTTGATGAAAACGCGGATAAAAAGGAAATTGATAATATGGCTATTGATTCTTTGATGACGATTGAGATTAGAAGTTGGTTCCGCCGAAATCTGTCCCTGGAGATTCCATTAATGGAGATCTCAAACGCGAAAACTGTTGGGGGCCTCACGACGACTACTCTCAATGCCCTACGTCTCAAGTACCAATCACAAACCTCCGAAGAAGATGAAGAGGATTGCGATGCGCCAGAGGGTGAAGTCTCGGAGAATGGAGTATTCGAGGCAGACTTACAGTTAGGGAGCAAGGTGCGGCCACTCCCAGGACCAACTATCGACTGGAAATGCGAGTCCGAAGGTCGAGTGTTCCTGACTGGAGCTACGGGTTTTGTAGGGGCATTTTTGCTTGCTTCACTCCTTGACCAACCATATGTCAGAAAAGTTGCTTGTCTTGTCCGAGCAAGCAATGAAGATGACGGAATGGAACGCATCAGGAAAGCTCTCGAAAAACACGGGATCCAGAGAGAGCTTGATGGAAGACTATTAGTGGTTCTGGGAGATTTATCCAGTCCAAACCTAGGTCTCGAGCAGCAGCGATTTGACGAGCTGTCCGAATGGGCAAGTGTTGTCTTCCACCTAGGCGCGCGAATAAACTACCTACAGCCGTATTCAGCTCATCGTATAGCCAACGTCCTGGGAACTTTCAACATACTTCGTTTTGCAGCAAACAAAAGGCCAATAGCCCTCCATTACAGTTCGAGTATCGCAGCATGCGGTCTCGGTGCGTTTGTTGGCGAACAGCATATTCTAGAAGACGAGAAGCCAGCTGCTGACCTTGGTAACTCCAGCTCTCAAAATGGATACCCACAGAGCAAGTATGTTGTGGAAGCCATATTATGGGATGCCATCTCAAACGGGCACCCTGTAGCTATCTATCGCTTTGGCCTGGTTCTGGGCCATAGCGTTAGTGGCATTGGCAGCACCGACGATGCCATCTACAGACTGATGTCCAGCTGCATCCAGATAGGCAGCTATCCCATTGCTCCCAAACAGCGGAACCAGTTTATCCCAGTGGACTATGTGGTTTCATGTGTTTTGGAGATATCTACTTCAAATAAGAACCTTGGCCACACCTACAACGTGGTACAACCAGATCAGAAAGCCGTGGTTGATTTCCCAGCAACATTTGACATGCTGAGCCAATCCTGCCCATTCCCGCTACGGCCTATTCCGTATGATGACTGGGTCCAATCTCTTGCCAAGTTCGAGACCGCTGGAATGGACGCGTTCCTGACGACTATGCAACAACGAGATAATGAGCGCCACAGCTTCTGGGGGAACATCCAGGCGGAAGCGCATACTTATGGCACTGACAACTTGCGCCAGGCGCTCTCGCATCGCCCGGAAATTCTCCAACTTCCGACGATGGCTCAGCTGATGAAGAAGTGGTCCATTCAATGGATCCAGGGGGCCACTGCAGGTGTGAGGCAGATGTCACTGGCTCATAGAACCAAGTAGACAGCCGGAAAGTCGTCTTCTGTGTCTTGATTTCTTAATATATTGCGGTAACATTTATGTTTTCATATCATTCATATATTTCAGTCCAGCAAGTCGAAAACTGACAGTGTAATATTAATACATTACTGTACCATTTATAAACAGAATACCCGCTGAAGCTCTATAAAATACTGTATTACCAATACTAATGATTCATCAAATGTAAATAAGTCAAACATGCCAAAAGAGTATATGATTTCATCACGTGATATGACCTTCGTTTTCCATATTTTGAGATTAAAAAAAGAAAACAAAAGAAAAAAAAATTGAACGACTGAAAATGATATTTTTATATAATAAATAAGATAAAAAGAGTGCGATTGATAGACGTTGGCGGTGTTTTTGATTAAGTGGCTGTCAATAGCATAGCAAGCAGGCTGGAGCGTGCAGGGCAGGGGAAAAATACCCTCCGATAACGCTCCATCATCATCCATCGGTGGGCGAAAGTAAAAGATCCAACGCCCCGATAAGTTAAATATCAAGAAAGCTCAACAAATCATAAAAGCTGCCAAACTGCATCTTTTCTCTTCTTCCACTTGCTCTTCTTCCTTAAATTAGTTCGACTCTTTAATACACTTTAATATATAACCATATCTTGCTCTGTTTTAAGCCGCTTGTCTGCTGTCTAAAGGTTCCCTCCCCACCATGTCTTCCCGCCCTCCAGTCTACATTGTATCTGCAGCTCGAACCCCGGTGGGCTCGTTCCTTGGGTAAGCCGTTGTTCTTATGCTGCTGATAGTTGAATCTGATACCGGAAGGGATTGGAGGCGTATAGATATCTTATACTGACTTGACTGTATAGCTCTCTATCGTCCCTCACTGCCCCCCAGCTGGGATCTCACGCGATAAAGGGTATATGTTTATCTTGCTGCCTAACGACTAGATGCTATGGCTAACTGGTTTCATAGCTGCCATTGAGCGGGCTCAAGGAATCAATCCGGAAGATGTAGAGGAAGTCTTCTTTGGCAACGTCCTCTCTGCTAAGTAAGATGACGCTCCTTCGTCGTGAACAGCTCCTCTAGCTAACGTTGCTGGACTCGTTGAATAGTGTTGGCCAAAACCCAGCCAGACAGTGCGCATTGGGAGCTGGACTCACTGAATCTACAGTCTGCACCACTGTCAACAAGGTGTGTGCCTCAGGCCTCAAGGCCGTCATCCTTGGTGCTCAGACTATCATGACTGGAAACGCCGATATCATCGTTGCTGGCGGAACAGAGTCTATGTCAAACACCCCTCACTACCTCCCGAACATGCGTACCGGTGCCAAATATGGCCATCAATCTCTCACAGACGGTATCATGAAGGACGGTTTGACCGACGCCTACGGCAAGAAGGAGCTTATGGGGCTACAAGCAGAAGAATGTGCTGAGGATCACGGAATCACCCGTGAACAGCAGGACGAGTATGCCATCCGCACGTATCAACGTGCACAGGCTGCGCAGAACTCCGGTGCTCTCAGCGTAGAGATTGCGCCAATTGAAATTCCCGGTTTCCGTGGTAAGCCAGCCACTATCGTCGACAAGGACGAGGAGGCTAAGAACGTACGTCACAGCCCCCTTCAGATGAGGAGGCGAGACCACTGCTAACAAGACATCCAGCTTAACCCCGATAAACTCCGAGCTATCAAGCCCGCTTTCATCCCCAACGGTGGAACCGTAACGGCTCCGAACTCGTCCCCCCTTAACGACGGCGCTGCCGCCCTCGTCCTGGTGTCCGAAGCCAAGCTGAAGGAACTCAACCTCAAGCCCATGGCTAAGATCCTCGGATGGGGTGACGCAGCCAAGGCACCTAGCAAGTTCACTACTGCTCCATCCCTTGCTATTCCCAAGGCTCTCAAACACGCCGGCGTTGAACAGAGTGCCATTGATGCCTTCGAGATCAATGAGGCATTTAGCGTCGTTGCCTTGGCAAATATGAAGCTTCTCAACCTCTCTGAAGACAAGGTGAACATCCACGGTGGCTCTGTTGCACTGGGGCACCCGCTAGGAGCCAGTGGTGCGCGTATTCTGACCACCCTTTTGGGTGTCTTGCGTGAGAAAAAGGGGAAGCTTGGGTGTGTGGGTATTTGCAATGGTGGAGGCGGTGCTAGTGCTATGGTCGTTGAGTCTTTGCAGTAGTTAGATGCGTATTGCTGCTAGGCGTTTGATGTTAATAAATGCTATAAGACGACCTTTATGATGCTTCAAAGAAAAAAAGGAGAGAAAAAATGAACATTTCGGGGTAATAAGGAGCCAATTCCAAAAATGATATATAGTTAGTTTAAACAAACATGGATAGAAATACAAATGTCCCAATATTAATGATAATGCCGATAACTATTAAAAAACCGAAAGTCGCGGTCTATGCAAAAGCCCCAACTAATGCCATTAGCGATGCACCAGCAGCAACGGCAAGACAGGCTTCAAGCCTGTTTCTTCCTTGCAAAACTTCATAACTTCTATCACTCAGGAAATCCTCAGCCAGTAGCTCCACCAAACCGGCAAACAGTAAAAGTCCACTACTGAACGCATTCGTAAGGCCAACCATAAGCAGACCCGTAGTGCTCGCGGGGTCATATAAATTATGTACCCCTAGCCCGATAGCCTGGCCTATAGGGGTGGTTGCACCGTACGCAAGTGCCATAAGCCACGGTTTAGGTGATGAGGCGGGGAATAAAGCTGGTATCAAGGCAGCTATGCGTGCTCCGAGAGCAAAGCCTTCAAATGTCTGATGGAAAGATATAGCAACTAGCAGGACGAGGAAGTTTGCTCCCGTGGCCACGGAGAGAGCCATACCGATAAATATACTGTGGAAGAGTATGCCGGCTTCAAGAAGTAGACATTGAAGGAGCTGCTTTTGAGCATTTTGCTTACTCATGTTCGGGTCATGACTGTGTGATAGGTTGCCGTGGTGTGCATGGCCATGTCCTCGTCGTCTGGAAATGGGTACGATGTCAGACTCATTATCATCAGGCTGCGGATCGAGCTCTTCAAGGTCGAGATCTTCCTCATCACTTGTCTGGCCGTTATCTGCTTCTTTGCCGTGTTGATTGCTTCCACTACCATTTGGCATGAGCGGACTGGCTCCCTCAACCAGGTTCTCTGTCGAAGGGCTTATCATTAATCCGTTCACGGGCGGATTCCGGCGTACTTTCCCCAGCGGGACGGATGTTCCATGCTCATGATCTCGACCATCTGCATGTACGGTATGCTCATCATAGCCATGATCATGGCTCATCTCGCCGATAAGTGTGTCGTACTCGGACCCATGGACGTGGCCGGCGCCCTTCATTGCAAAGAACATTTCTATGCACACCACCATAAGTACAGCAACCATAGCAACCAGTCCCGCAAAGGCAGGATAGCCCTTGTTCCAGAATCGCGGTAGACATGGGCTTGTTAGGGATATGAATGCGGTAGGTAGTAGGTGTACGAAGGCAGTGGCTATAAGCACTCCTGTTCCAAAATGTCGTGATAAAAAGAGAAATCGACGGGGGATAGGTAATCTGGGGAATCGGCGAGCTATTATAGGGAATGCACATGCTGTAGTAAACACGTTAGTACCGAGTACAGCATTGGAGATTAGAAATGGACGGGTTTCCGTACCAAAGGTGCTGAGAGCTAATATGAGAAATAACGCAGCAACGTGGGCTGAAGTGTTATATGAGCTCGTCTTTTTGCTCCCACACGATCGTCGAAGGTATTCTTCCTTCAACTTATCAAGCGGTATGGCGTCCAGGCCTGGAGCGGCAGGGGCTAGATAGGAACAGAACAACGTTAGCAATGCACGTACAACGCAGCAAACGGTACGTGATAAAAACTAACACTCATCCATCTTCACTTATTATTGACGGATTCCCTTCTTTTCCCAGCCAGTCACTAGATATCTGTATCTGTATCTGTACTCTTGCCCAGCTGCCTTCCTGCGCTTCTCCGTGCAAAGTGTTCACTTCAGCATGTAACCATCCGCCTCATTCGAATGTCCGTGTACCCATAACCTGGCAATCGGTGGACCAGAACTCCAATGGCCTTCTCGTATATGCCTTCGTCGTATCTCGCTTTTGTTCGTTGTCTGCGCTGTTCAAGAACGGAGTATAGAAAGGAGTCGGATGGGTTGAAATGAAATTAAACCGGTTTGCGCATAACAGCCACCACAACGGAAAGAAGGCAGACGTAGTACCAAAATTGCAAACGTCCAACGCCGTCAGCGTGTAATTGATATATATATATACGGCACGGAGTGATCTTAATCTCGTGGATAGAAGTGTGTAGCTGGAGGTCTTTTTCTTTGCCGTTGTTCGCGTGTCAAGTTTTATTATCGGAAGTCACGGGATGTCGCAGACTGATAAGGCAAGGAGTTGATATTGCTTGTGTCGAGATTATGATAGTAGAGCTGATGAGTCCAGAGCATCGTCTAGGAGATGGGAAAAGAAGACACCTTTGACAGTATGAACAATATTGATTTCCGCCGGGGCTATGAAAGTAATCTACAAACATGAGCAAATATACACTACGTATAGCAATTTATAGACAACTTGATCATTGAAAGAGTAGGTAAGAGGTAAAAAAACGGCAGAAAAGGACAGGAAAGGGGTTTCGTCAGCCAGATATCCGGATTTCGCTTATCCCTCCTTAAGAAGAAGCGGAAAAGGGGGGGGAGGGGGTGTGTAAAAAGTGGAAAAAAAAATCATATCATGAATTTAAAAAGAATAATAAAAGAGGAGACAGGGAGATCGAAGACGTCGACGTTCACTGAAGCCTTCTTTTAACGCCGTGAGAAGGGGACGAGAGTATGTATATATCCGGAAGGGATAAGATATGATACATCGGAGAGGTATAAGTTGTATTTGCAGGTGGATATCAAAGTATAGGAGCCGAGCAGAAAACAAAACAGAGAAACGACCATGGCATTGGCGAGAGGATTATGCGTCCGCTATGGCTGCTGTCTAAGCGCCAAGAGGGAAGGTGTTGCTCTTCGGAGCATCGGTGCACAGGTCCTCGACAGTCTTGCTGTCGAGAGTGGTAGGGAATTCACCCATGTAGTCGATGACCTTCACGTGGAGGATTTTGGCGGCAGAGTTGAAGACAACGGCAACGGTGATGGGCTTCTCGGGGCGATTGAAGTAGTAGCTGGATCCGCCGGCAACGTCGGCGTGGAGGGTAGACTTGCAGCGCTTGTCACCTGGAGCGAGGACCTCGAGAACATCGAATTCACCGCATCCGGATGCCCAGCAGGAGCACTCCTTGTTAGTTGGGTATTGAGAGGTAAGGGGAATTCGAGCGTTGAGCAACCAGAAGGCTGGCATGTCGACAGGGGTGTAGATGGACTCAGCACGGGCACCAGTTAATGGCATGTCAAGGCTAACGAGGAAGATCTTGTCCGTGCCGCCAAATCCATCTAGAGAACGGTTAGCTGTTGAAAACCCATGTATGTATGTATACATTGATAGGTGAACTTACGGTTGGCAGCAGCGCCGGGACGGGTGAAGCCACAGCTGCCGTTTTCGCATTCCTGGTCAGTCAAGATGGTGACTTCCTTGCCGTCAGGGATTTCACTGTTATTGGGGACGGCTGGAGAAGAGGCAATTCCGAAAATGTTTGCAGCAGCGTAGGAGAGAGCACAGCCGAAACCCTGGGTGACACCCTTGCCCCAGGCACCCTCATTGTTGAAAAAGGTGATGCCATCAGCCTCATTGTCTTTAGAATTATAGTGGGCAACACGACCCCACTCGCCAGGTGCGACATGGACTGGGGGAGAGGGCTTGGGGGGTGACTTTGGCTTGTCGTTGTTCTTGTGGCCGTTGTCAGGCTGGCTGTAGCCCTTGACCTGTGGGTCACCGGCATCAGGAGCATCGGTGGGAGCAGTGCCGCCATATTCGTTTTTCCAGGTGACGGTCTGGCCGTCAATAACGGCGGTAACGATATCTCCAACGGCGCGCTTCTCGTGGAATCGCTGGTGGGAGTGGCCATGACGGCGCTCGTGGATGGATGGCTTGAGTTCACGCTTGCGCTTCTCGGGGCCCTTGTTGTAGACTGCGACTCCGTAAAGGTTCATGGGACCACGGAAATGCATAGAGAGCTGATCCTGTTAGTTCTCCTTCGTACCGGAATTATCAAACCAGCGAACTCACCTCCTCCGCTAGGGGGCCGAATGGGCCACCGAACGACTTTGGAGTAGTGCCACAGGTGAGAGAACCAGCGTCCATACTGGTGACCATATCGTAGGTGCCATCGAAGTCGAAGTTGGTGTACTTGATCGAGTCGACCTGGTCGCAATACCAGTTGCCGCCATCGTTGACGCACTCAGCAGAGACGGCTGAGATGGAGGCTGCGAGCGCAGCTCCAAGAATGAGAGTGTATTGCATCGTGCTGGTCTTGTTAGCTCTGTCTCTCTGTATCCTGATATCTGATATCCCGGTATCCTGATGTCCTGGTATCCTTGATATCTATCTATCCTGACAGATGAAAGGACGAAGATCTGGGGCGGCGGTATACAACTCACAGAGATGAAGCGACAGAAAGAGTCTTAAAGACTGTCTTTGAAGGAGTGGATAAGGAGTTGTCTCAGCAACAGCCTTGAAACGGGAAAATAAAATGAATGTACTGAAGTTGGAGATGTTCTTCTTGCAATCCAACAACAAGAGAAGAAGAGGAAGAAGAAGAAGTTCCGAGATTGAAATACTTTTTTGTTCCTTGCGAAGAAAAAAGGAGGGAGTGAAGTTACGGTATTACGCGGTACCCGTTACGGCTTTCAATACAGGGGGTTAAGCTGCCGCCCCGCAGTCCCCGCCCCCTACAACGAAGACGGCCGCAAAGGCGCTTGCTTAGAGTGTCAAGAGTCGGCACGCCGTACGGGAGTATCGGCGAACACGGCATGACAATACCAGCATACCAGCGGCATGCGTGTGTGTCGGTATAGGGATATCGCTATAGAGTCTTCTGCTATAAGAGTAATTCATGTACTCAGCACATGTCTAAATATACGCCCCTGATTCAGCAAGCGGCACGCAATATGCCATGTCGGCCCGTGATTGGCCGAGGACAAAGACTTGCGTGGCCGCCCTAAGCCCAAAGCATCGTTAGCGCCAGGAACAAGGTTTTTATGACAGGAACGAGTTCTCGGCGCGTATCAGGGCGGTATTGAATACATGTCTGACATACCGTTACAAGACGGAAACAGCATGGAGTTTCAGCCTCGTCGATTATCGATATTTATTAAAAGTCGATGATGTTGATGTTGATATTCGGTGGCGTTGCTGTTGGTTACGCATGATTGGTATCTCGATGGGTCCCTGTGATGAGAGAGATGAGGGCGGCCGTTCCAACTGCCTCTTTGTCCCATGGGCTGGCAGGGAAGGGGGAGGCCAACTGGAAACGGGGGAACACAGCCTGTTGTTCTCTTCTTTGCTTTTTCTCTCTGTTGCTCTTCTTTTCTTTTTCTCCCAGTGGGCAAGACAGGGACGGTGGGCCTGGTTTATCGCCTTCGCTGGGAGGATGCCTTGGCTGGCTAGACCTGATCGTCGTTGGTGAAACTAGGGGCTGTGAGGATGGGATCGCGCGAAGGGAAGCTTGGGAGTTGACGTCAGGCAGGCCATTGACAAGCATCGGGGGCTCGTTGGGAGAAGCAGGAAGCAGGAAGCAGGAAGCACAGAATAAGATAGAGCAGAAGCAGAGAATAAGAGATGAAGAGATGAAGAGATGAAGTTGAAGGATGCGGTCATGTGACGCGACTTCAGCTTCAGCTTCTGGCGATGATAAGTCAAGACGTCAACATAGCAACATATACTTATATGAACGGAGGATGGCGGACAGACATGGCTGCCCATACTACCACACTCCATGTCCTCTCTGCCAGGAAGACGTCGATGTCAAGAAGCCTGCCTGCTATCGCGTCTTGCCCTTACGCCGGACCTACTTCAACTACCTCCAGGAGGCCCCCATTGACGTCCGCGTGTCTTCGTCCAGGTGTTCTTCTTCAGCCCGACCGCTTCAGAGGGACGAGGTACACGGACAGGGCGGTGCTCATACACCGCAGATGTCTCTCTTTTGTCCGCCACCTGTCACCAGGCATGCTCTGCCGTCTGCTCGATCTGATGGAGCCAACGTTCTTGCGGCCCTCCACAGGGCCGCCGAGTGAACACGGTGCTTTCCATAACCCTCACACGTCTCCTCCATCACCAGACCTGGATGTGGCCATCACCGGTTTGCCGGGTGAGATTTGGAACATGATATCCAGACACGACGTTGGCAGGCTGGAGTTTCTCGTCAGGCTGGTCGGTCAGCTTGAAGCACCGGGCCTCGGTCCGCTGGTGATACCGGATTCCAGATTCGATGTGGACACCGTAGATATCCCGGGAGCCATCATGCGGATCCATCTCGTCAGGCTTGGAGGTCGGACATATATCAGCCACGTATCTGATCCCGGCAGCAGTGGGGATGCTGATACTCGGCAGCCCTACAGAGACTATCAGTTTGGCGAGAGCAAGTATCTGGCCGTCAAGACCGATGGCATCGGCGTAGTGGACCTGGCCCTGGATGAGAGCCAGGGTCGACCGAACTGGATATTCGACAGCCATACCTCTCCGTTCGGTAAGGAGATGTCCAGGGTCAGAGACGCGGATCTGCACAGACTACGGCTCATTCGTGATGTATACATTACAACAACCTCTTATCTCCCTTGTTGCACACACCGTTTATACTAACATCTAACAGTCAATGAAATGCCGGGCCATACTCACCACAAACCGAGGCGGTGTAGAACCGTACTTTGATGCAGATTCCATGCCCCCCGGGAACTCATGGATCAACTCCAGCCTCAGAATAGGTTCATGGCCCACTGAACAGACTGACCCTTCCACCTACCTTGCACATGCTCGATACATCTCATTCGAACATGCAGAGACCATCACTTTCTACCTAAATCTCATTCGTCTAGGTATTACCGAGATATACGTCAACGACTCGCAGCACCACAGAGGCCACTGCGTCCGCTTTCCCGACCTGCGTTCAAGCCGGACGCTGAAGGTCTCCGTTTGCCGACTGGGCGCGGGCCAACAGCACCCATTCATCCAGGTGACCACTTCTTCTCCTCTGTGCATAACTGATGCCTTGCTATCTAACACACTTGTATAGTTTAATATTGATGGCCAGTGGGTTCCTGCTCTCCCGCACAGCGGCATTATCATTCAGCAGGTAGTGCTGGATAATGTCATCGGCATCTGGCTAGGGGATACCTTCCCGCTTGAACCAGTGCATATCGGCGTCGTGAGAGACGAGTCTGCGCCCTGTCTTCTTCCCAGGGACCAAATGATGAAGGTCCCGGATTTATCCATGTTCACCAGCCGATGGTAGCGAATCGGAGATGCCTTACTTCTTTCCTCTTTCCCCTTCAAGACGATAACTTTGTTCTATCTCTTTTCAAGGATTTAAGCTTCTATATACATCTAACTTTGCACGGGAGCATCGGCACGCTAAAAGCCTCAGTGAGGGCCATTTTAAAGACTCCATCGAACAGATTTCGACCCCACAGCCATTTTCAATGAGAAATAAAAAAATAAATCAACGCAACACTACATATAAAGGACGGATGCGGCAACGGCAATGACAACGACGCTACAGTAAAAAATTATTAAATTTTTTTCATCTGCCCTAAAGAGTACCTAGGTAAACCAAAATCCACGTCTATTTGCACCATGCCTCAAACTCCTATTTTGCCTCTTCACACAATATGTACACGGTAACCCAATCACTTGAGAAGCACAACTCCTCTGTCAGAGCTCTCATCATCCACCTGTTGCACACCTTCCTCTTCCCACTCGTCTTCTCCGAGCAACTCCCACTCTGCGTTAGCCATTTCCCCCAGTAAGGTAGCTTTCAGCTTATCCGCAATCTTCACGGGAGAGGGCAACTTCCACGTTTTCATAAATTCCACTCCCTCTACCGAACCGAGAAATGTGTGCGCGGATCCATGTGAGAAGTGGCCAAGGATAGGAAGTGATCGCGATCGTCGGAGATTATTCGTATTCCCTTCACCATTAGTGTTTTCCGGGCTATCTTTATCCTGGCCGCTAGAAGGGCCGGGGTTATGCTGATTTTCGCTCTTTACCAGTGCCTTAAGCAATGGTTCCGGGGCGACGAGAAGTTGCCAGAGGTTTCTTCCAATGTCACATACGTCTTCCCATGACTCGGAGCCGATATGAAGGCCTTGGGTCCTGCACAGCCAGGATATATCCCATGCTAGAAGGGATACTCCTTCGATAAATAATGCGTAGCTGGTGGGATCCTCCTTGGCAAGTTTTGGAAGGGAGCGGTCGATAAAAAGCGGTCGGGGGCGGGGGAGTAAAATCGCCTCTGCGCTTCGTGGGGTAATTGAGTGGCCGGTGATGGAGTGGGAGGGGGACAAGCTGGGCGAGGAGTCCTGTCGGCGAGCTATGTAGGACGACGATGGAGTGAAAATGGCGGGTAGTGGATGTCCACGGTGAGGGATAACGATCTCTGCGGGCAGCCTCAGAGCAAGGTAATGCGACACCAGGACAAGCATCCGGGAGATGTGGGTCAGCGACGCAGTTATTTGCGCGGGATTCACGCCTAAATTAAAGATGTCAGATTCTGAAGATATAGGCGGGATAATCTACATCTCCATCTACTCACTATTCATATGACGAAGGTCAACGATGTTGACGCCTCCGATGGAGAACAGGTTCGCATGATCGCCTTTTCTTCGCCTTGATCTTTGACGTAGACTGAACATGCTCGCAACCTCTCGGATTAAGAACGCTCTCGACTCCACGGCCTTGTCATGGACGCTGTTCCACTGCTTCTCCCTGGCCCTGATACTCTTTTGAACAGTTCCAAGTGTCCTGGCCCGCCTGCTGGCCACTTCATAGTTGGCCGATTCTGCATCAGACCGTCGCTGGGCGAGTGCAGCTCGTCGTCGAGCAATCTCCTTCTTCCCATCTTCGATCTCCTTCTCCAGAGCGGCGATATGAGATAGTATATCTTCCGTTCTTCCAGCTGACTGGGAAATAGCGGTGCGTTTGGTCTGAATCAGCAACCTTGACGGCTCCGGCTCAGCTCGGTTGGCATCACCGGATGGCCTCGGGCCACCGCCGCTCAATATATCGGCATTCGCCTGCGTATTCTTTGCTATGGACTCTTCGATCTGCGCTCCCGCCACATCCTTGTCCAGCAGGACTCTCGCATGGTCGAAACGAAGGCCGTAGAGCTGGTTGCGGGCGCAGGTTGGGCAGTAGAATCCCAGCCGGGGACTAGGCGGCTGCGAACATACGTGGCAACCCATGTCAGGTAATCCTCAGCAGCTTCGTGGTAACAACGCTGCCACCGTCTCTCCAATCCAAGCCGATCGTGCCTATTCGCCGAACACCAGGGAGCAGCGTTGAACCACCGAACATGTATTGGGTCATGACTTGGAGCCGTAACAAAGAAGGTCCCTATTTAGCGTAGTCCCTAGGAGCGTCTCATCATAATATCAGCCGGGATATCGTTGCTCAAACCTGTGGGAGACACAGAAATCGCCGTTTGGTTGTCTTCGTTGATAAGGAAAAGAAAGCATCGATGATGATGTCACCTGATCCAGGCAGGCGGCAAGTGCTGAAAGCGTAGAGTTTGTCTTGTTTGCACTTTGAGCTTCCCCAAGCAAACAAGCCGAAAAAGGCAACTTTTGACATCGTGAAAGCCGTACTTAGTCAGCTGCTGAGTCATGATGTGTTCCTTGTTTGCACTTTGAGCATTTTGTTAGCAAACAAGCTAAAAGGCAGTTTTGATATCAAAGGAAATGTCAAAAACCGTACTTGGTCTAATGTGTTGCTCGTTTGCACTTGTTATCAAACTGAAAAGGAGTCAAAGAAAGTGTTAGAATGCTGTAGTCAGCTGCTTAGCTAACTCTTGTGTTGCTTATTGCACTTATAGCAAAACTTAAGTGTTAAACAAGCTAAAAAAGGCACTTGATATCACAAAGACGTTGAAGGCTCGACTTGTGTTGCTTGTTTGCACTTGTAATATCGAGTTATTGTCAAACATGCTGAAAAAGGCAACTTGTGGTTTTATCAAGAAGTACTTAGTCAGCTTGTGTGTGAAGTATTTAAGGAGAGATTTTGTCTAAACCAACCTAAGCTCTACAACTTCACAACCAGATTCAACTTTATACCCACGCGTTTTATCAGTTTCTTTACTGTTTCTGTTCTCTAAGGTGGAGGTTTCATCTAAGCATAGCTTGATAACTCTGCTACTTGTCTCGTTTTATACCCTCTGCATGTCTAGATACGCGTTGTTATGAGCCCCGCATTACAGGACGACAAACAACGAAGCACGACAAACAACGACGAACGACAACAAGCAATGATGAATGACGACTAACTTACAAATCTACTGCTCTAGCTGTCAAATTAGTAAGCGCCTTCTCTGGTCGTGATCGTCATAACAAACAACAGCCCACCTATAAAAAGCCCATTTCTCCCACTGTCAAGTTAGTAAAAACTTTTCACTTCTCATCCTTTTCTATCCCTGCTAATGTACTTTATAAAGATACCTTTTTATAATGATCTCAGACTCTGAGATCGAGGAGGGGAACGGAACACCCGTTCCGGGGTCTTCCCTTGACCCCGACTCTCCTCTTGTGGACTCTCCTGTTTACCCGGGAAGTCCAAGAAGGGCCGTGGCCTCTTACGGGGAAGAGGATTCCTTTGTTTCAGAGCCCGTGGTAGAGGCCACGGTTGAGCCCACAACTCAACCGAATAGATCACCCATACCACCACCTAACCCCAGCTGCAAAGCTGATGATGGGTTCTCTGCCTTGGCCCAGGAACTTGAGGGTTATACCTGGGAGCAACTACAGCAACGGTTCATAGAAGAAATGGACGAACGGTCAAAGACCGAAAATATCCTCCAGAAAGAAACTGCTGATCTCCTCGAAGTTAGTCTTCTTGTCATGCTACCTGTTGGAAACGTTGATGCTAACCGTTTTGATTGCTGTCTAGGTATTTATGGCATGGTCGCAGACAACTACTTTCCGTGACGAAGACAGAGCTTATAAAAGGTAGGCGGTACATTTTGCCCCTTGACAAGAGACCATGATCAGTTAACCTTTGACAGATTTAAAACTCGGATGGATCACGTACGGAATTCAGAAGCGAGCCTAGAAGAAAAGAAAGCTCACTGTAAGCAAGTCCTCATCTCTCCAGTACTGCAGTCTTACTTACATGACTGTATAGATGCCAGTGTTGTCAAAGCTTTTGAAAACGCCCTTGATCTTCTACGAACCGGATAATACATCTTAAGATTACTACCAACTATCATCATGGAGACGAACCTGGATTATTTTATATTTATGACCGACCTCCGAAATTATGAATACCCACAACGGATAAATGGCGTACGCGTGTGTGATAGAGGCCCTCAGGGCTTTATGGAACGGTTTAAAAATCCTGCATTCTCTCTTTGTTTCGCCTTCAATAACTGAATTCCTGTTCCTGTCTGCATCATCATATTCAGTGACATCATTGCCGCGGTTAACTAAGTGCTTGTTAAACATCACACTTTACTCCTGCCCTTTCATACCTTTCCTTCCGTTATCTTTCCGCCCAACCTATGGACACTCCAGGATTACAAATACGGATAACAGATAAATGGTGTACTCGTGTATGGCGGAGACCCTCAGGGCTATCATGTTTAATAGTATTACAATTTATTCTTGCCTTTCCATACCTCCCTATCTTCCGCCCAACCTATAGACCCTCCAAAATTCCATAAAGCGAGACGCTGATATTTGATCATCCGTTGTTGGGGTAGCTATGATCTCGAGTCTGTCTACCCTCAGAGCCGGTATGTGGATTTGCCGCCCGGCCCATAATATCTTCCCACGTAGCTCCAAACCTCCTACCGGTAGAGGCAAGCAGCCCTTCTTCCTCAGCTTCCTCCGCATCCTCATCCAGCTGTTGTTCATCAAGCCTAGGGGTTCGGAAAAGCATGGTAACGAAGACAATGAATGAGATACCTGCAGAATCACAAGTCAACAACTATTTGTTAAATGGAGAAGATAAAAGACACCCCTTACCTAAGAAGATGAATTGTGCCCAGAAATTAACCATGCCGAAGAACGGGAAGTTCAACGTAATCCGATTCAAGAAGACACTAACAACACTGGGCGTGCACACGTCCATTGCCGAGTGGTTTCTTGTCAGTTCAGAACAAGGCTTGACATCCTGAGGCCGGCTTCTGCAGCTTATTCCCTGTCCTGCATGTTCAGATGGAATGTCGCAGAATGTTTGCGGCCCATATGTCGCGTACTGTGGAGCCACCATCATGGATATCGAGAAGTTAAGGGCTAGAATGATAAGAGCGAGTATCACCGTGGCGAGGAGCAGAGCCTGGGGAGTGGTGTGGCCCTTCCTGATGCCGAATATCCTGACCCATAAGAATCGAATGCCAACCGTTGCGACCCCAATAACTGAGCTGCTGAAGAAGTGTAACACTAAAACGGTGAACAGAACATAGTCGATGGGGAAAACTTTCGCGGACTGAAGAAGTGCCCAGTTGATGGGGTTGAACAGGTTAACCTTCCCGAGGATATAACCGCATTTGTGTTTGCAAACAGAGTTCATCGCCTTGTCAATTCCGGTGAGCAGCATCGAAACCCATATCACGATGGAAAGCAGAAGTAGTAGCAGTCCCCCAAGAAGCTTGACGGGTCGGAACACGGCCTCTATCTTGTGCCATGTTTTCACAAGATAGCCTCTTCCATCGCCCGCATTAGATTCCGCCAAGCGCTGCCGACGTCTCAAAGTGCGTTCTTCGCGTACTAGAGAGTCAAGCTCTCGTCGATCCTTTGATGATAAGTGATCAAGATTACCTCCGCATCTGCCTTCGAGCTGGCGTTGACGTTCGATATTCTCCTCGAGCCTTGAAGCCGTCGTGGCATATAAAGACGGACTGGAGACGGAGGGAGCTGATTTGATAAATGACACCGGAAAAAGCGCAAGACCGGTGGATGTATATAATACATAAACCACGATACCAATCATTGTCAGCAGTCCCAGGGCAAACGTCAGAGCTCTTTCGCCATCTAAAACCAGAGAAACGTTAACATGTGACACCGACAAAACCCACGGCAGTACGTACTATTTTCTGTGAGTAGATGTTTGAAGTAGTCCAGGTCAAGCCCAGCTCCACCTCTATTCCGGGCAACCGGAACGAAAAACCCAACCAGGAAGAGGATGACCGTCACTGCAAGGAATGCAGCCGTATATCGAAAGGCGCCCCAGAATCTCTTCCCGAAGGCATCCCAGTCCTGGTGTTCAGCGAGCTCGTCATATTCTTCGTACCAGAAATACGTGAACGGAATGACCAGCAGGCAGAGGATGGTATCAAGCGAGTAGAGAGCGTAGTATACAATCGTGAGAGACTGTACAATACTGGCGACTGCATCTGGCGTTGCCCAGTCCTTCCTCTGACCCAGTTTCCGTGAATTGGTAGATGATACCAAGGCAATGTCTACCGGCAGCAGTAGAACGGTGGCTAAGAGAGCCGACACGGTGACAATGCATACTGCCGAGACCAGTCCTGACCTTTCTCTGGGAGCTTGGTAAACGTAAACAAATACCGAAGCTATCGCGATCAAAACCACAACCACAACCGCGTACACAATCCATATGAGGGTAGATTGGAGTAGCGACATTTTTGTAGGGCTGAACGGGCTGGACCTGTTTCTTTTTACGCAACACTCAAGGAAAACAAGGTTTAGTGAACGAGCTGGCAAAGAGGCCTATCCCTCCGTCATTCATCGCGTCCGTGAAGCTGTCGTGGGTTTCTTTTGCTGTTTTGTTTCATGAGCTCGCTTTTGATTTCAACCTTGGAAGCGTTTGTCGTCATAGTCACGTGATGCGGCTTTGCAAGTCAACATCAACGTCAACACCAACTTCAACATCAACTTCAACATACAGTCCAAGTCTTTTCCTCATGCTCTGTGATACAGTCTATAGAGATATCAGATACCCTGAAACTGGTCTAGTTGCAATCTACCAGTGCAAACCACATACCCCGTCACTTACAAGCCTATGCTGAAAGCTTCGCGCTACGGATAATCCTCACCTTATAACCTCAAGGCCTAGGCTATTTTATTCATGGCTTGCTTTGATTCAACCTTAGAGACGCCTATTGTCGTATCCTCGTGGGATAGATTTGCGAGGACTGACGTTATTTTCGTGTTAGAGCGTTAACATCAACGGTCAACACCAACGGTCGACGGTTGTGTCTTGCCACTAATTATCTCTATCACAGACCCAGTTCACTTTATTTATTGATATGTAGTTGGAGCAAACTATTCAATGCCGATGCCCAACTTACCATCCTCAAGAAACTGAAACTGCAAGATGTCTCAAACACAGAATCCTAGCACTGCTACAAAGGCCGTATACTTTGGTGAAGTTTCGCCTCGTGATCTTAGGGACCTAGGGCGCAACGCTGCGAGGGTTAAGCCACGTCAGCTTGCTAAAGCTGCGTCGTACCTGGAGTAAGCATTTAGCAGCATGAAAACTGCTTGGTTTGGCGGATGAGCACTGAATCTACAGGGATCACGTCGAGAGACGCGCGACCTAGACCTCCTTGTCTTGGCTGAAAGTATCAACGACGTTAGATCAGTCCTGGAGCGGTGTAGTTGGTATGTTTTGATCAGGAGTCCATGTTTGATGCGCCCCGCGTTCAGCTGAAGCTCACTAACCTTGGAATGGGGCGGTGTTGTCATTTCACAATCTTAATGGCTCCATACGAGAGAGGCTATTTGTTGATATCGGTGAAGAGGGCCAAGTTGTCGGCGTAGACATCGCCCTTTCAGGCTAGAAATTTCGCTTTTCACTTCCTAACAACATTCACATTTAACTTCCTATAGCTTACGCATGTCTATAGGCGCGATAGGCACTCCGAATCCCGACGAAGAGAGTTCCTATGAGCTTATGTCCTCATCGTTCCCAACACCATAAGGCAACCAGGTCAAAGTTATCCATATTACTTAACAAGTTGGGATAAACCTTACTGCGTGGTTCCCGAGAAGGAAGCACTCAGACCTTCTGGATCTTAAGTTCCTCTTGCTCACATACGGTGATGAAATTGCAAAGTGGAGCAAATTTCCGGACAGGAACATGCGAGAGACCTTTTATGCAGTCTATTTTGCAGAAGCAGAGAATAAGTCGATATGTGAGGCTGTACACAAATAACTTTCGTTATAGCACTTTGCAGCCTTTGCCTTTAGCACGTACCAACGACCTGAATATTATTAGATAATATCATCCTAAGACATGTCAGACAGCTCCGTCCAAGGATCCGGTGTACCTATAACACGATGTTGTGTTAAAAAAACATCCTTCGGCTTCGTCCAATCTAATCTATCTTCCTTTGTGCGTACCAAAGACTGCCACATCTCTCGTTTGCTCTTCCGTCCCTCTCGGGCAAACGCACCATGTGCCCATTTCCCACCAAATTCCTTACCCTTCTTATTTTTTGCTTTGGCCCATTCCACATCGTTAGTCCCTTCTAAGTCAAGGTTCTTCTCTCCCCATTCCTCCGAAACATTGGTACCATCAATGACATCACATAGCGGGAGCATGCTGTAGGTATCTAGGCAACTTTGAATGAAAACATCTAACTTGGGATATGGCAAGCCTCTAGGACTGCGGGTGAAATTTGAAGGGTGGCGGACAATGTGCACGTCTACTGAAGGGACAAGCAAGAAGTAATGATTAATCCCTTTACTTTTAAACCGTCTGTAAGTGTGAGTTAGGGCACAGGGATCGTAGTAGGGCCATGGCTTAACTAGGCGGTATCGTTCTGCGTAAGGGCGGGACTGCAACAGTTCCGTAGCTTTGTCCACTAGCTCTGTTGGAACACAAATCTCTCAGTCCTGTATGGAGAACAGCTCTTGTTAGTGACTAAATGATACGGACAATGGGGGTTTGGGATACGAACAGGCCGGACCCGATCAGCACCATAAAAAATAAGCGCAGATATGCCAACAAGACAACACGGAATATCATGTTCTTCTAGTGCTTGAGTGACAGCAAGGGTATTGTCGGTGCCATGTCCCCCGTTTGACGCTTCTTCACTGCTGTAGATGGATATAGCGTCAAAGTCAGCAGTTTCGTCCTTGTCCTCCTGCTCCGCCTGCGGAGTGGTATCTAGAGAAGCGGGGGGCTGTTTTTTTAGCCAGCTCATGCCTAGTCCAACCAAAATAGCTGGTATAAGTAGGTTGGAGCTCACAGAGCAACCGACGTGGTATCACTTGAAGGGCAAAGCCGTGAAGTCGGAGGCTATTGCTGACTAATTGCGTTTAGCCGCCAACAAATTTAAATCCAACGTTTATTTATCTTTTATGACAGGGACATGTCGCTGTGCTGTGTTTTACCGAATCTAACAATGCAAACCCTCGTAACTAAGTTGGTGGTGGAAAAAAGAAACGAAATTCTCCTACGGTGAAGACTTCTCACGATCAGCGCTGTGATCTGCCATGAAGTGGGAGGATAGGTTTCTCATCTAACTACTCCTGCGAACACATCCCCGCCGACGAAAAAAAGGAATCTATCTATCTGGCGGTTGATCAAACAAAATGGCCCGACCAACTCATCTATTGACTACAAGTTTCCTCTATCCTACTGGTAACACTCCAGCAGTGTGTCTTACACATTCTCTTCCTCCAGATCAGGATGTGTCTCTGCTTCTTCTTGGATGCGGTGATGTCCGCAATGTGCTTTTCACAGCATACTCGGATCTAGGCTCTGGTAAGTTCTATACAGGTTATGCAATATAGAGCTATGGTGAGAATACAGTCCAACTAACGAGAATTAGGAAATCGAAAGGTAGATGTTACCTGCTGTGATTTAGAAGCAGAGATCATAGGTATGGAGATAGGCGTCCTTTGCTATTTGTCCTGTTGCTGATTTGATAATAGCCCGCAATATGCTACTGTACACTCTCATCCTTGATGATCTAAACAACGAGAACGTTAAACATATTTGGAATATCTACAATGATGTCCTGATCAATACCACTGCACTCGGGCTATTGCAAGCTCAAGCAAAGAAACTAGTTGAGAATACCCATAATATTGCAGACTGGAATAACGGCAAATATGGCAAAATACTTCGGTTCTGCACAAATGCTAGCTTTCTCCAAGTTATGCATTTGTGGAGATTTTATGCATTAGACCCTTCAGATGAACAAGCGTTCAAACATCAACAGAGAGAGCTCAAGTTAGCAACTCAGAAAGCAAAAGAACTGCAGAGCCAAATTATAGGGGAATCTATGGTTGGCACTGGCTGGCGCTCTGCCGCGCCCTGCAACTTTAGAGAAGCCGAAGAATGCTCCAAGTTCTATGAACAGTTTTGGAAAGAAGGAACTACCATACCAAATGTGAAGTCTACAGCCAAGGCACTCTATATGAACCCAATGTTTGGAACACAAAATAAACGCAAAGTACTTCATTACGGTACTCAGCCATTACTAGGATATCATCTTGCCACCGCATACACGCCCATAACTGAAGGTTCACCTTTGAATTATGTTTCGGATGACTTAGGAGATGCGCCCACCGCGGTGAGGGCAGCGTTTGCCCAGTTTTGTGCCTATGCAAAAGCATTTCGCACTGTTTCTACGCAGTGGGTAGTTCGTTTTGTCTGCGCTGATGCTCTTGTGTTTTGTCATACGCTTCAGGGCCTAGGGGTTTATGGGATGGAGATTCGTCCGGAGCAGTATTGTCATAATTGGTCCTTTGAGCCCTTTATCCTAGACTCGCATGAATATTCTGATCAACGAGGCGGAGCTCCAACATCCTTCGACTTGATTGATACATCAAACTTGGTAGATCATCTGGGAGCTCTAAACGTTTTAACTGCGGCGAGTCCATTGCTGAAGCCAAAACCCACGTCGACAATATGCACAGAACTATTAGTTCTTCGCCATAAAAATACAGATCAATACGTTAAATCTCTATTGTCAGGGGATATGATAACTATTGGCTTGTTATTTAAGCTCACCCCGCTTCAGTATTGGACCGGCGCAAGTGTGTCATCAAATCTCACTGAGAGAATCCTCGGTGATGAGACTGGGAGCCAAGCCCGCTATATCGTGCGATGGACCAGGGTGGTTGCAGACCCTATTACCCTAGAGCCAAAGCAGCTGTCTAGGCTCATATACCAAATGTACCTCTCTATTTTCAAGGATGAGAATCCCATGAACCTCCTGAAATTGAATGAGGAAAGAACCTTGCGGGTTGAATATACAACCTACACGAGGGCCAGTTTCTGTTTCATTTTGGAATTGATGCAAAAATCGAACATCGTCGATTGGCCAGCTTTCATCAGCGCATGTTGTGATTTGATAACCGAAGACTCTAATCTTCTTATGGGCGCTCATTATCTTCAGGGGTTCTATTTGCATCTTTATCTTTCAGGTTTGCATACAATGCCAAACTTTGCACCGGATTTGGGTGGAAGAATTGTTGAATTACCGAATAGTCCATTTAAGGGATGGACTACTATTCCTCCGATATTATCTATTACACTGGTAATCCCTCGTGAGAAGCTTGCATTATTCGGGGACTCGCCTGTGCAGAAATATGGAACACCAGCTTGCCACATTATGTTGGAGCTCCAAGGTGGACAGAGCATTTTCCCAGATGTTCAGCTGAGTTTTGGGAGAATACAAACATCGGGCATGAAATTCACGGAAAACTACGCCCTTAAAGTTAGTGTTGATGAGGGAGGATGGGACGGTACTTCGCCCCTAATTGCTTCTGTGATGGTTCCTACATCAGTGATCCTTTTAACCCCATCTTTGGCAACTGAGGTTTCATTTGGGCTGAAAACAACTCCCGTGACTCTCAAGTTATTAAAAGACTTAGGAATGAACCTGAAGATTCATGAATCAACAGTTCGTGGTAGCGATGTTTTTATAACCAAGCATCGCCCGAATATGACTGGAGATATTCCACTGAGGAGCAGAGAGGTGTCTATAAACCCACCAAATCTTCCTGGATGTATGGAAGGAACAGACCTGAAATTCCATGTGCTGCTTGATCCTGAAAATTCAAAGGCCATATCACTCACTAGTAGGGTCGACATCACACGCCCAAGTTACCAGGATATACTACGGAAGGGTGCCGAAGTCCTTGTGGAACAAAGTTCTCCATACAAAATCACAATCAGGCTCCGAGGAGAACATTTTCACCTGAATATTAATCTGCCGCTCCCTATCCAAATGGTGAATACCAAAACTAGGGTCGCTCGAAAATCGTCCTACATTGAATTCATTGCGCCAATAGCCTCGCCCGGATCTCTTGCACGACACACTGATAATGTGTTTCCGATTGAAGTCTATGAAAATATTCCCATATTGCGAAATTTGGATTACACTGCACTGGACAGATTGCCTATCATTGACCTGAGGAATAAATCGAAGCTAATGTGGCTGAAGTTACTTTTAACAGATATGTTCTCTGCCAGGGAACTAGATCTAAGAAAAAAGCACCTCACATCGTCTGATTGCAGAGATGTACGAGTGAATTTTAAGGAATCTCTCAACACATTATTTGGCTACTTCAGCGGCGTCGGTGTCCAGTCCAGGTGTACAGTTTTTGGCCTTGACAATGAAGCGTCTGGTGGAGTGAACGTACTGATTTTTATCTCCTGTTTGCGACTAGAGGCTTCGAATCAGAGCGTTGTCCTTGACGGGGCGGTGGTTCCTCTGACCATGGAACTCGTACCGAAGATACGCTCAGCCCTTAGTGACTTGGTCGAAAGAGGTATGAGGACAGTCCGTGTTGACGATGATGAGCTTCTCCTTTGGAAACATACTTTGCCAGCTTTTGTTGAACGTTGCCGAACATGGAAGCATTTGCCGTCGTGTGAGTATAGATCCACCAGCAAGATACCTCTTTCTATCGGCTTCGCACAACCAGTTCTTTGCTCGTGCGGCCAAGGCAAATTCCCTAGCGGCTATGGAATAAATGACTGTCGGGGGTGGAAAGATATCAAAAAATATGCGGTTCGCGTCGCCATATCCCCTTGCTACTCCGTCCCGTTCGTGGAGGAAGGATTCATGCCCAGTATGGCAAACAAGGATACAACCACGCCAGGTATTTCCTCGACGATGAAAACGTTAGCTGTGAAGGAGGAGGCCTGCTCAAATTGCGGAGGGACAAAACCTGGAAGTGGAACAAAGCTACTCAGGTGTAGTGGCTGCAAGGTCACAAAATATTGCTCAAAGGAATGTCAGAGAGAGGATTGGCGGCTAAAACATAAACTTACTTGCAAAATGCAGGCTCAACTGAACTGACGGTGAAGTCCCCAGTCTGAGGTCTCTAACTTACCCAATAGTGTCATAATAAGAATTTCTACATACTTTGTATGCTCAATCCCAATGTCAATTATCCACTCTAGTACGAGATTTATAGGTATTCAAACGTAGACACTGCATATACTACGGAGTACATACTGGCAATCGCCAAAGAAGTTGGCCCTTATCAATAGGCGTCGTGCTCATGGCGGCATCGACGTCACACAGATCTACATCTAGGTTGATAGAACAAAACAAACGAGCACTGATATTCCATCACGGCAGCTACTTTAGAAGCATAAAAACATATCGACGCTAACGAGAACTAGTCTCCGGTACGCATATCCGACATCCGGCCTAATGTATATCACCTCTAGTGTTTCGGTCTAATGAAGGTCAAACGTCCAAGGCTCCACAATGCCATTATATTCTCATTGATTTGACACTTGCTGCCAAAATATCCACTGCACGATAACAAAATGCACTATGTAGCGTATAGACCGGGTTGATTAATCGGGAAGGTTTCTGTAGAAAAGCATCTGCATATATCAATAGAACATTGATCCATACATAGTACGTTGAAGCGCATCCCCAATCCTCCAGACGCAACGGTGACATGGGTCATACGCGCTAGATAACGGCAGACTGAAGTATAAACGACCACAGCACAGGTAGCCGTCCGTTATAGATATATTAATTATAAATAAACCACATGACATCATTATTGCCAGGGCTTCCGTGCAAATATTCAACAGCCGCGGACAGCGATTAATATATGCGACCTTGTGCTTGTGTGTTTGAGATCGAGAGGTCATCCTTGAGCTCTCTGGCCATGGCGCCAGTCACCGTTATTGATTTAGGTGTAACAGGCCAATGCAGGTTCAGAAGCGCCCATGGCACCAGGCTTTCACCACCCTGACCTTGCTCAGGTACCCGAGGGGGTAACCCGAAAGGTTCCCTGAGATCAGCTGTGGGACAGGAAACATCGTAGCTATAGCGTGACAATCAGCCAGAGAATATACGAGCTTGGTCTGCCTCAAGAACGAGTCAGCCGTATCGCCGCCAAACAATGGTGAAAATGCCATCAGCTCGTCGGACGAGAATACTCAAGATGGACTCAAGTGAAACTCTCTATATATAAGCGAGCAAAGGGAGATAAAGGTCCGATCTGAGAGGAGATGAAACGAATCCATACGAGGATTCCCATCCACATCTTCCTTGCGTCATAACTTGGAGCTTTGAAGCCTGGTCGACGGTGGAGCTTGGATTGTGGTCTGGTGATAGCTTGACTCCATCTCATCGTGCGGCTTGTCCGTTAGTTAATATTGGCTGTGGTCCTTGGTATATATCAAGATTCTTCTTCACTTTCGTGGCTGAGAAGTTGGTCGATGGGAAGAAAAAAGGGGCAGACCACGTGAGACGACTTTTTCCCAACGACTTCGACTTCGCGACTCCAAGTAAACGACAAGCCATCGACAAGCCATCTACTCTTATTATGCAACAGTCAGCCAGAAGCACTGGAGCAGATATGGGACGTTATACTCTGTACTGAAGGCCAGGGATGTGTAGAGCAGTCCGCTTTTCCACTCCAGATCATCGCCGGGACAACTGGGCGGTGGAGCACCATCCCGCGTGGTGGGAAGACCAGTCTCCCCGGCCATGAATGATAATATGTATGTAGCCTGAATCTGAAGCTGGTTCTGTAGGATGCCTTGTTGACAGGATTCAGGCATGGAGATGCCTTTCTCTTCTCTCGCTGCTCCTCCGGAGTGCCCATGCCGTGAAATATATTTTGCCTGTCGCCTGGGTGGTGGCTGAGACACCGGAGTACATACAGATCGATAATCTCCTGCAGCACCATGAGGATAAAAAAGCCAAAATCAAAAAGTCGCCTCTCGAAATGCTGATACTTGGGTACGGCAATGTGCACCAGCACAAACTCACCGCTCCTGCTGGCTCGGTTGGGCACCGCCGCCAGGAACTGCAGCGCCCTTCGGAATGTTTCAAGCCACTCAGAGGCGATCCCCAGGCAACTGCTCTTCACTTAGTGCATTATACATATGCATGTATCCATCTACAGATATATATATATTAACTATACGGAGAACAGAGCATGGTGACAGAGACTGAGTGCCCTTCCCGTTAGTTATACGGGTGAGCACTTTCGCGCGGGTAGGTTTGCGCACGGAGTCAGCGAAACGTGGACGAATTGTATACAGGATGGGGCAACATAGTCACTTTGACTCGGAGATGCAACGATGGTCAAACTATCCCAGTCCCTTGCATAATCCTTAGCCAAAGGAATGACACGCTTTATGGGGCACGGCTGCCCCCGCTTGTTCTGGAAGCCACAGGTTGCTCAGGAGGTGGTGTGGGTTTCAGGCCAGGCTTCCTCTTTCTCGCTGGCCCGCTGTCGCCAAAATAGCTATCATTCCCTGTCCCGGTCTGGGCCGGGGCAAACAACCTGGCTCTCTGTTCTTGTTTCCTTGGCCCTCTTTTCCCTCTTCAACTCTGTTCTCTCTCTTCCTTTTCGACGTTATCTCGAACTTGTTTTCTTCTCTTTCTTTCGCTCCCCAGCTTCCGATCCTTTTTTTTTTTGCCTGCAGTGTTTTGAGCTAGTCCCTTTATCCTCTCCTTTTGGTGTATACATCTTACCAACCGCTATGCGACGATCTGGATGAGGGAAGGGCGAAGACCCTAATCCCCCGCATAGAGTTGTATTTTCGGGCTTTTTATTTCCGCTTATCTAGCATTCGAACCGAGCGAGTTGGTCTCCCATCCTGTGGCCTCACATTCCAGCGATTTCGACATTCTGATGGGCTTTTATTCGTCGTCTTTAATAAAGCAACTCCTTCAGCCTCGTCAGACACCAACTTCCCCTCGATTCGTATTCCATAACCATTCTCTCATTGATTGGTTGGCCGAAATCGCCATTTCACGTGGGAAACACTGCTTAATAGTTCACTCCTTTCTTTTGCTCCTGTCGCTCATTCTCCCAGAAGAAATAAAAAAGAATTGGGGTTTTTTTCTTTTGACAACAGAAAGGAAGGCTTGATACTATTCCCCCTTGAAGTCCTCTGATCGCTCCATCCTTGTCTATATCTGCGTCTATCATGATACCCTTTCTGCAAAAGTGAACCGTCCACACCTCTCTTTTATGGCACTAGGTGTGCATTCCAATAAGGAACAGAGTTTTGTCATCGCTGACTATCATCGTGGCGCCAAAATATACGCTCTGTGCAAGCGATTGATCCCGTCCCTAGAACTGACCATAGCTCAGTCACAAAAATGCCTGTCCGCAACCATCTCCGCAAAGACGGGCATCGAGGGCAGCTGTCACCACTGTTTCCTCGCCATGAACTGAAGATATCAGGCCCTCTTCCACATCCTTTTCCTGCTGCATACGAAGCCGAGCCTCCGGTCACCCCAAACGTCCTGCCGGTTACCCCCAACGCCGCAGCTTTCAATACCCCTTTCCTGGGTTCACCCCGCCAATCTCACCACTATCCGCAAACACCAATTCAGTCTACCGCTTCTGACACCTCACGCCCAGCTACATACCACCTACATCCGTCCCCAGGGGCGCATGCGTCCCATTCTCATCAGGACTCCCTTTCGAGCAATGTATCCAACTCCTCCGTCATGCATCGTCGGCGAGGGAGCACCCTCAAGACAGTAATGCGGAAGATATTTGGTCGAAAGCCACGAGATGAACTGGATGATCTTAAATCCCCGCAAGAAATCCCTGAACCATATCCTCAGTCGCCAGGTCTTTCTAGCTTACATGACGAAGTGGATGATATCGCCGTACAGCCTTCCACTCGCTTTCACAGATCCTCGTCGCTCCCGAGCCTAAAAGGTAGTTCCGAAGACAGTGTGAAAGATCCAATACAGATCGCCTTAGGCTCGTCTTCCCAACCATGGGCCTCCTCGGAGTTCTTAGACGTACGGGCACATCGAAGGCGGGCTACCCTACCGAGTGTTGCGCTCTCAATAAATGATGCCCTTGAGCTTACTTCGAAACTTGAAGCAGCTGCCACATTCGACAGAAAAAGTTCAGCCGCAAGTCTTGACGCCCTTGCAATAAAAGCTGATAATATGTCGAAACGCCGGTCACGAAGTGCGTGTGGTTTGCGGGATACCGCGAAGTCCCACCGTATGTCCCCAATCCAATGGCGACGAAGGAGTGATGAGATCAGGTTTTGGAGAGCAAGCACCCTCCATGATTTTTCGGAGTCTCGACCGGATACCAGGCCTGCGTCGCCAACAACCCATCCTGACATGGAAGAGAAAGGAGTGGACGTTAGCGAAGAGGTCACCGATTGTCCTATTGAAAGCACTGAAACGAATGAATCCGCACCAAGCGATGAAGAAGGGTTTGATTTTAAGAATTTGATGGAGAGCATGCAGATTGAGAATGATGTCACTTTAGCACAGCGAGTAGGGACTCTTGAAGTAAAATTGATGGATCTGGAGTTTGCAATCGCGAAACTACAAAACAATAACGCTGAGGCAAATGCAGTCAAGAAGAAGAACACAAGCTCCCCAGCCCGAGGAAGAACCATGGGACCCATTAACGACTCAAACCAGTTCATCAGTTCCTTCATATCCACACCGAGCATCACTCCCCCCTACGGATCCCCTGCCGAAATGGAACCGATGCAGCGCAGCAGCCCTATTACGCTGTGCAAACATTCTTCTTTAGAACATATTTCACACTCACGGCGCCCTCCGTCACCATACCGTTCTGACTCGGGATTCCAAGGGATATCCGTAGAACAATATAGTGCTCTGACCACTCTAATGCGTCGGGAACAATGCGCTAGAAAGCTCCTGGAAAGCCAAATCCTGTCTATGCAGCAGGAGATCCGGCGTCTCCAAACCGGCGAGCCTTGGGGTCCATCACAGGGAAGCTCCTTTTTACGATCCTCAAGTCCTGACTCGCAGATGTTGCCTGGCCCATACCTTCATGATTCCCCTAGACAGGGGCTGCCAAATCCCTGGCAACAGCCACGCAACACAGAACCCTCTCGAAACCACAGCAACTCGTCTAATAGCTATCGCCATAATTCCGACTCCAGTCGTTATAACACCTATCGCCGTTCTCGAAACGACTATTCCGTACCACACTCTAATCATATTCCGGGGATGATATAGTAACGACCATACGATGTCTATCGTCAGTCTGCATATGACTTTACCGTTTCTTCATCTCTACCTGCATTTTAGTTGATACTTTCTTATTATTATTCTTCACCCAGGCATGACTTTTTACATGTACTCACATATACCTCGTCTCCTTTGTTTACTATACTACCTGGTACTTTCCTATGTTACCTTCGCTTCAGATACCCAATACCAATTTGCACCTACGAACTTTTTCCATTTGACTACCATGTTTCCTAATCAAAAGGCGAGTCTGAGACCTACCTGTCTCCCATCTCCATTCTTTCTCTGGCTGGGATCCCTGGGTATACGAGACTAGCTCCGTGATCCAATTACCGGTTAAATTAAATTTATTTACCATGTCTCAATGTCCTTTATTATGTTTTGATGTGCTATCTATCCGACCTTGAAGCGTAGAAGATGGGGCCTTGTAGGCCATTCCTTCAAATATAACTGCTAACTCAAATGCTATTTCTCCTCGCATGCTACCTTACTATCCAGCCAGGTCCAATGTAACCGTCATCCATGTATAAACAGTTAATGCAACTAAAGTGTCATCTCATATTTATATTTTGTACGGATATTTGTTTAAGTAAGAACCATGCAAACTATGCAAACACATCATCTTCCTCCACCTAAATCGCAACTTATCAACATCTTCATCGTTCATCGCCGTATCAAATGTCTCGATTAAACGGCCTATTTCCAATCTCATGAGTTCTCAACTTGCTCCCGCTGCGGGCGCAGGGCTAACAGCCCCAACCGAGATCAAAGCCCAAGTCCAATCCCACCCTCCTATCCGCATACTCTCCAATCCGACAGCGCAGGCATACTCGCACCTGCACCCAGCTCTAATAGCATCCATCTTTGGCCTCCGGTTCAGTGCCCTGGTCGCTGATCCGGTAACAACGCTTTCTACTCTTTTACCCGTGTTTGCGGTATTGCAGATAATATACGTGATTATCTGTCTACCTGCTGCGGGCACAACTCTGGGGAGCTCAAATAAAGCGCGTTCCAACGGCAAGATAGGGGCAGGACTCAAGCGGAAAGATGCAGACAATTCAATTGGTCCCAAGATTGTTGTAAGTAACTTCGCTTAATGTCCTGGAGAGCTGGCCGCTAATTGATTCCGTCATCCTTGTAGCCTGCAATTCTCTCCTTGAGCCTTCCATTGGTACTAGGAACCCCAGCGCTTACTATCCTACTCATCTTGTTTGGTGCTCCTTTAACAACTCATCTACCGCATACCGCTCTATGTGCGGCGCATATGTCTATCCTTGCAGGAACTGGCTTGGTATACGTCCACGGGACTGATGCGTCAGTTTGGCGTGAGATATGGAGTATCTCCAAGGCAGTCGATACAGTGTGGGGAGCTACTATTGGAATGGCATTGGGCGCATGGCTAGGTGCCGTCCCTATTCCATTAGACTGGTAAGGATATGTTCTCACGGTACCTTTGCAACTCCTTTATGGGGCAGGTGTTGAAGTTAAATATGTGAACGTGGAATGAATGCTAATACATGCGGGTGATCAGGGACCGGCCATGGCAAGTCTACCCAATTACAATTATTACAGGAGCCTGTGTCGGATATGTGCTGGGTTGCTGGGTTGGCAGAGCACCTTTTCTATATGGGAAAAGAATACAGTTTAGCGAAGAGGCAGAGCAAGTGGACCCAGAAAAGAAAGATATATAGTTATACATTTTGCTGGAAATGAATACTACATTTCTATTTTATTCAGGTTTGTCATTATATCTCTTCTACATGATATTTCCTGCGAGCATACTTTAATTACTAATTTCATAGAGAAAGGGTATGGTGGACCAAATATAAAAGACCCTAAACGTATTTCGTGAAACATTGTCAAGCAGGAAGAAATAACCGGAGTTAATGAAACAATTCAAAATGCCTTTAGTCTTTCTTCGCATTCTTCAAAATAGTGTCAACAATCTTTCCAATAGCCCAAATTTTCTCCTCTTCGTGCTTTCGGCCAACTAACTGCATACCAACAGGGGTCTTGTCGAAGAGTTCGGGGTCGTCTAATCATGCAATTGTGTTAATAGATCTTACGTGCTAAGAGGTTTGAGCAAGAAACAACATATTGGGTTTCTTACATAGCTCCCAGTCTGCCTTGTCATCTTTACTAACAGGCTCGAAGTCAGGATCTATCTTGTCAATATTCTTATCGGCTGTTGTGACGGGCACTACAGAGACACTATAGTCCAAGAGGTTCAAAACCTCCGTATAGGCTAGAGATTAAGGAGGTCAGGATGATACTAATAAACAAATATTAGATTTGGAACCATACCTGTATGGTAGTATTTAGTCGGGATTACCGCCGCCCACGGGGCCAATGGGGTAATAAAGGCATCGACAATTTGTCCTATAGTTTGAATTTACCCAGTGTAAGTACAGACAAGCAATGTTAAACGGTGACGAAGTGTTACTTACCGTCGTCTTCAGCAGTGGAGTTCCAATAATCAGAATAAGCTTCTGAGTATTTGATTCCTTGGAGGATCAGGTCCTGGTAGTCCAACAGAGGCACTGGGTCTCGGAGCTTTATGATGTCCCTGATCTGAGGAATAGGGGGCTCCCCAGATAAATCAAGCTGCTTATTGACATCATGGCCACCATCAGCCGAGATAAATGCCAGCTAATATCCATCCTATCAATAAAAGTTACAGTGCTTAGATGTGGGGAAGATAAAGGGACTTACGTGAATTTTGATACCAATGCTATGTGCAGGCGGATTCCAGGGAACAACCTTATGGCCGGCTTTTTTAATTGCATCTTCGATGACATGGAGACCTCTCGTAACGGGTGGATGGGGAGTAATTATGTTATCCGTATAAAGGATGCCGAACTTGAGTGGTTTCTGATCACTCTTTGCTGATCCGTTAGGAGCAGCTCTTGCAAGCGTTTCTGCCGCAATTTCATCTCTCCAGGGGATGCTGAAGACCACTGGATCCCTGAGCCAGGGTTGGGTAGACAGCATGGACTTCATCATCAACTGAATGGCATCGGGGGAAGTTGATAGAACACCGATGGAGGATGAATATGTATTTTGTCCAGGGTTCTATTCCTCAAGCGTCAACATATACCATTACTCATTCATATAGATATGTCAATTGGACATGTCTTGAATGATCCAAAACTTACGGTATTTGCAACCTCTCGGTATGGCAGACGGTCATGAGTCGGCTTCAGACCATAGACACCGCAGAATCCTGCGGGAACTCGAACGGACCCTCCTATAAAATAGTAGTCAGTTCACCAAAAGAGTTCCCAGCAAAGAGATGATACGTGTAATGTGGTAATGCCGAACCAACGTCTGTCCCAAGACCCGCAGAGCTTGCTCCAAGGGCAAGCATCACTCCTTCTCCTGTTGGAGGTATCCGTTAGTATCTGGATTTAAGTATGATATTGTCACCACAAACCTCCCGAAGAGCCGCCACATGATAGGTTATTGTTCCATGGGTTTAGAACACGGCCATAAATGTGGTTTTCGGTTTCCCCGATCTAGAATGACAAGAGTTAATGTTGATGCCTTTATAGGGGTATCAAGTATTCGAGAGACACACCAGCAGGGATTGCGGGACAGCCGTCTAAAGAAGGGTACTTATTAGCATATACACCAGGATATTAACAGATATATTGATATATACCTTGCAGTATAGAATGGCTCCAATGGAGAGAAGATCAGTAATTAGCGGACTCTCAAACTTATGCACTTTGTCCGAACTTTTGTCTCCCTCAAATGTGTCAATCCAGCCAACATAGCCCATGGTGGTATCATTTCCTTTCACATGGAATTGATCCTTGAGGCTTATGGGCAAGCCATGTAGAGGGCCCATAGGCTTCCCATTCTCTTCCAGATAGTCATCCAGATACTTTGCTCTTTCGAGTGCTTGATCAAAGAATACTTCATGTAAACAGGAGGTCTATAAAACAATCAGCATGAGCAGTAAGGGGGTTTATACATTTCACATATAACTGACCATCTGATGAGCAATAGCAGCAGCTTTGCAGTATGCTTTGGCAACTTGTAGAGCAGAATACTCCTTGCTCTGTATCTTGTCCACGATACCAGTGCTCTCCTCACTGGTAATCTTCTTCTCCTCGTCGGTAAGGAAGCCCTGGAAATAACCACCAGCAATTTGTCTCTGAGACTTTGCATCCTTGATCTGCTCTTTAGTCAGACGCCATTCTGCTGGGATCTTTGCCAGAGTCACTGCTCTTTTGACTGCTGCTTTCTCCTCCCAGGCCTCGGGTTCGTGCTCCATTGTATTTGACGCTGTTGTTTAATAATATATATCAAAGAATCGGTCAAAATTGGATTTCCCGGCCTTGAGGTACTGAAAATACCTGGGATGCCGGGAGCTTTTATAGCCTGAGGAGAGTCGAGGGATGGTGGGATGTGCTGCATAGATCCTTGCATATATATATGTACACTATGATGTAGCCATAGAGGACGCCATCTTCTTGCATACGCACTCTATATTACGTAGTTAACTACGAAGTGTGGATTATCGGATGTTCGTTCGTATTTGAGAATGCACTACTATGTAAAAAGGGGAAGATGATGATTTCTTTACCTGCATCTATATATATATATATACCTACCGTTGCAGGAGATATTCAGGCCACCATGGGACATTCGAGGAGCGTCGTAATAGTTATCTATACGCACACTCCGTATCGTTCGTTGCCCGCCATCACGAAGAGGCATGAATTGCTTTTTGGTGGCGGTCGAACTGCTCACAAACTACAACATGGGCTGAATGGATCGTACTCACCAAACCTTGCCCCTTCATGCGTGGTAGATTTCAAGGCCTGAGTTGTAACTCATTACAATAGTTACGGGGTCATCAGTCGAGAAGGATATTCTACTTTCCTGCATACATATGCCTCTATTCACACAAAGTGCCTGCCCATGAAAAGTTCACATGTTACTAGATTTTCTGCTAGCCTACATAATAACTCCTTGAATAAGGAAACAGTCTAAATAAATACAGGGAACTTATTATCAATGAAAGGGCCACTCTTTGGTACATGTTCCCCAAAATCGGGACAACCTAAAATAGCAATCTAAATAAATAATATAACAGAAGAATAGTCACGTAGGGCCCCTATCCCACGAGGGTCCCCTGGTAATGATATACATGCGGCGGAGTGGGTAGTGATCCTGCAAACCCATTACATCGTGGATCTCTAAGGGGGGTTATCACAAGTGCAGTTGCATTTTGGATCAACTGCATAGCCATTGAAGGAGAGGTGACATTTCGCCCTGTAGTTTAAGAATCAGCTTCTAGAATACTAGATAGTGGCGGTAGGTTGGTAACAGTCTTACGATAGAATGCAATCACTATTTTCAGCAACGAAAGGCTCCTTCACATTCTTGACAAAGTCTTTATATTCCTCTCCCACATAATCGCAGCGCACAGTCTTGTAGTCTCCATCCGACATGTGGCAGTTTATAGGGAATATAAGCTTGCTCGAATCAAGGTTGGCAGCATTAACGGTGTCGGAAAGGTCGTCGTCGTAGAGCTCAGGTTTTTCATCGCCTTCTATCGATCGCTTCCTGCGGGCGAAAGCGCCGCTAGAATCCCAGTTCTATTTGTAGTGAAACCAATTGTAGTTAAAGAACCAAGCATAACTATCAGCTATAGTAATATTAGCAAGATTTAGTACAGTACTTCAGCAACCTGTGGGAGGGAATATACCGTTGAATGCAGTGTGTATGTTTACTCCTTGACCCGTTCCAATCGAATCGACGTAGAGCCATGCAAACTTGTAGCATAAACTATCCCCATATATTCTCTGTATGATTGTTAGAAATGATGGAAGCACAATTTTATTTACCAAGGACCATCTTACTCGCTCGCCATGGAAGGGTATATTTTCGACAACATCCTCAACTATGTCTGATCAGCTAGTGATAGAATAAAGTAAGCCCATTCTACTTACTATGTGCGGGGAAACCAAATATATCGGAGTGCATCCACTCATGAAGAATCACATATTCATAAGAGAGCAACCTAAATATCTCAGTGTAAGGTCGCCTTCGCTCGGTGATCCTATTAATGTACTCGACTTTGTCCTCGAGGAAGAATCGTGGACAAAATGTGGTTTCCCACCCTGAGAAAAGAATTAGTAAACATATCGGATACGGAGGAACAAATTACTTACCAGCCCCAGTGAGAGTTGGCTGTTGAGTATAAGCTGTCCTATGAAAGATCCAGCTTCTATAAGATTGAGCAGCGTGGGGTATTCTTACGGTCCAGTCCAGAGTCCACCACTAGACGGGGCTTGAGCACATCTTTTGCGCATCTCAGGATTCTCTTTGCATCGGTAGGTCACCTGTTTTTCGCGAACATAGTCTTTTTTCAATTTCGTCGGCTTTCCTTTCCGTGGAAAAGCACTAACTTGTTTAATATTGGCTGCAACGGTATTAGTCGAGGTTATATATTGTTGGCAGTTTCGGTTGGAGGAACAATACTGTAGATGTCGACGAATGTACGCCCTTTCGCCTCTGAAGACTATGAGGATAGAGTCAGTCAATAAAGTGGGCTGCTCCTATAGGATGAGCATATATATATACCTCCCAACCCCCAATTCCACCAGGACCAACAAAGTAACGATTCCAGGCTGGTGATTCCCATACATTACCATCTGTGTGGAAGGATGCTACCTCCAGTGCAACTCTTGTAGCCTCGGCGAGAATGTCAAATTCTTCATCACTACAATCAATAGCTGCCTGGTCCCAGTATATGCCACGGTAAGCTTCCTTTAGGGGCTGGAGATCCCGATTAGCTCGAGGCTTTTGCAGCAAAGGAGTGGCCGATGATAGGGCACACAAGCAAAGATAGACAAAAATGGGAGAAAATATCATATTTGTCAGGAACAATATAGATGCGAAATAGGTTGGTGTATTTGATCATAGGAACGGGGAAATATAACAAGATATTGGCGGGTATGGCTGCATTAAATACCTCGCAGAATACAGAAATCCATTCGTAACTGTATCAGCAGTTTCTCCAAAACATACTAATCACGCTGCGGTAAGCTGATATAATAATATGCCGAGTCTCCTATTGTCCAACATTCCATGCTCGACCGCGTTTGTATTTGGGGCTCGTAGTGGCAGTCTCCGCTAGCGGCATCAAGCATAGATAGGGTACATTCACGCCTGGGGTATTGGTCACCAATAAAAGATTTCATTAGATTCCCTATTAGATCTCTAAACCATATCTAGAGCGCCACAGTAATGTAGCCAGCGTAGTGGGGGCCATGCTTGAAACCCAGCATTCTGCGAAGACGCTCCCCGTGGATTCACGGCGGCTAATTGCATACTAAAAAGTCGGTATATGTTCTCACACTATTTTCCAGTCGAAAAGGGTATATAGGATGCCGATGGCGAAACGTTGGCCAGCAAGTAAAGATGATCCAAATGACGGTGTGTCCTGTAGCCCCAAGGTATTTCTGGTATAATTGAGTTATGGCATTACGTTAGGAGGTAGATATTCCATGCTCGAGAACAACTCACATCCATATAGATCCAATCTCTGATTGGACACGAGGCCTTCTTGTCCCTTTGTAGTTCGCTTTGTGATATTACCTCCTGCAAGGCGTGTGTCAGTCTGATGTCCAACAGGTACTATTGAAGATGCGAGTCGTAGAGCCGATGGATGACTAATCAAACACGACCTCCTATGATTAGTCAGCAATCAGGTAGGGGCATAAATCTAAATTTAGACCTATAGGATGCAGCCGCGCGCTGAACGGCGTTTCATATTATCACGGAAGGACGCATTTAAATACTCATTTACCGATTGTAGAACACTATTTTTTGCTTAATGACACGCCTATCTTAATTTATATCCATCTGTAGCACCTAAAAGCGTTCACAGTTCGTCATGGAGCACCGAGGCATCATGTAAGAGCTCGCTGTTGAGAACCTGAAGCTTTGCCCATTGCGCAGCTCCCACCGCGTTGACAGATAAAGGATCAATCGAGTCTCGGATTTTAGATTTGTGTTCTGGGAGGACGGCGGCAATCGCTTCTCGAATGCTTGCAAAAGCTGGCTTTGGTGCGTCACCACTCATCACAATTGCACGGATAACTTCAATAGTGGTAGGATAGTCTTCCATGCGGATGTTGTTGCTCTCCTTGAACCTTTGAATTGCGTCCTGTATTTCGTGCTGATATATATTCGAGTCCTGGTTACCTACCTTGGGATTATCCAGTCGCTTTGCTCCAAGATTATGTAGCCTAACGCTATCGAGAGCAACGACAGAGAACTCTCCCACGCTAGCCAACACAAGCTCTAGATATTCGTTGTGATAGTCAACAAACATAACATGTTCTGGGTCCTCCATATCGCATGTGTCAGAGTCGAGCCCAAAGCCTTCGCACGAATTGAGGCCGTATGCAAGTCGTACAACATGGAACTGTTTTCTGACTTGCCAGGGGCGAATGATCCCTTTTTCGTTTTCCATAACTGCATTTATCATGGCAGTAGTTGAGGTGTGGTTGAAATGGCTAGGGATTGAGATTGATGTGATACTGGAGACCTGTCCCTTGCTTTTGGTGATCTCTTCACGGATACTACGTATGGCTGCAGTGAAGATACCTTCGGCCTCAGGGTTATTATCCGGCTCCGGTAGGATTGGGACGAGAGATTCGCCATCCCGAATATACCATTTCCCACGAGACTGGCTGTTCTGATGTTTAGCTAGGCCCTGAGACGGAGCTATATGTACTCACACTTTTACTCCTTCGTTTATCGCAGAGTCTGCAACAAAATCACGGTACTCGTCACTCCCTCTTATGCTGGCTACTACTACCGGCTCACCGGCAGAATCGATATAGGCTGCGGTACTAGTTCAATATATTCAGTATTTGCGAGAAGGAGGTACAGTTGAAAAGAGTAAAACCTACATATACGTTGGCCCAAAGCTGATGCCCAGAGCTATAAGATAGTTAGCATTTTGCAACATTAAAGAGACGCAAAATCGTACGGTATGGCTTCGTTTCTGCATTTGAAAAGATGAAGCATAGCAAGAAAAGCAGAAAACAACATTTGGATATCATAGGTATAGCCATGCTGAGAGAGCTCGAGGGAGAATAGAGGTGTGATTGCATCCTTTGTTCGAAAATGGACTCTAAGTTGCTTTATAGCCCTCGACTATTAAGCAAAGGAAGGGTATTGATGCTATTGGAATTCCTGCATAGCAAGGCAGCTAGAGACATGCCTGTATTCGACCCTGGCTCTAGCGGGTTGTCCGTTTGGGGGCGAGTTGGGTGGCTTAGAGCATGCGTGTTAAATTTTCAAGCATCAGTTACTCCGTTGGATGTACTCGGTGTCATGCCGCGAGGCTGTGGACGTCCGATGCAGAGGTATTTATCATCCTTCTCTGTGTATTGATGCTATGAAACAGCCTTCGGTTTAACCGTCCAAAGTACTCTAACATCGAGATGGAGATTATGCTCGCTCTTACGCCGCTTTGGCACCAGAGAATTCCACTGGATTTCAATGACAGCAGCCTAAATCCCTACCTATGTAACGAGCTACAAACTTAGAGGGGCGCTGCTGACGGACTGGCTATGTGTTATCTACGTACCTCCGCCGTTATACAGCGATAATCCAGACAGAATATGTTACTCACGCCAGCAGACTGCCCAGCAAAGCTCTAGCCTACCTTATTCCCGTGAATATGGATTCCGTCAGGCTTGCCTTTTGAAAGGTACGTTCAACCATGGTTCAGGTCGACGGTCAACCTTGGAATATACATCTAAGCATGGATAGAACCATCACATCCACAAGTTCCGTACTCACGAAAGGCTCTATCCCTCCCGGTGATTCCCTAGCATTCATGACATCATTGATTCATGGCCTATATATTTATCCCAGCCGCCCAGAGCCTCTTCTCAGTCTTCTTTTCATCAAACTTATACTCGTTCGAATTTTTATACCCAATACCCTGGCTTGAATATAATCAAAAATACATCAAAAAACAACATACGAATCGCCATGGCTCTGTGCTCCAGCTTCGGGATCTTCGCCAAGTTGCCATATGAGCTCCGGGAGCTAATCTGGCTCGAGTTCCTCCCTGCTGGTCGAGACGATGAATCAAATACTATAGCATCAACATCCGTCAGGACCTCGGCCGCGGTAGACCTCAGAGTACTCCGTGCTAGCAAAAATCTCTACAACGAGATATCATATGTGTTATATTCAAAGACACATCTGTGTTTCGATCTCCGTCCCCTACAGAATGAAGACGCTTCATTCTGGAGTACCCTTCGTTTCAAGAGGCGTGTTAGAAAGAAAGAATTTTACGACGGCGGAGCAGTCTGGAGACTTGAAAGCGGATATGCTAAGAGAGACACCTACTTTGATCACTTTCCCTTTCATAAGGTGGCCGTCATTGAAATCGGTCTACGTGGATCAGACAACGCATCCCACTTTTTCTGGATGTGGAGAAATGTTGTCAGAACGCTCGAGTTACTGGGGACAGCGCCATCACTTCCACCCATAGTTATTCGACTCTATGGGAATAAGGACGGCTATAATATTGGCTATAACACCTGGTTGCCTCTTCGAAAACGTGTGGGGCTAAAATGGGTAGATAGTGGCCATGGGTGGCGTTATCGTGACACCCTAGTGCCATATATATTTGATACTTTGGTCCTCCCATTCTTTTCCAGGCTAGGAAGCGCGGTATCCATTCGAATTAAAGTCCACTCTAGACAAATAATGGATACTATGGACTGGACGGAAATTCGCTTTGCCAATGGGGTCCTTTCCAGGAGGTTGGAGGGTTGCGATTCCCCTGAACTCCAACGAGATGAGCGTAAGCTGTTCCAGGAGGTTTATTTAGCTTACTTTGAGATGTATGACTTGCTCTCCTATCGTATATAGACCTATGGCCTTATAGACTAGATCCCACTTACGCACTGAGTGGTATGACCAGACCCTCCTATCTATTATCCAACAGCCTGCCGGGGTTTGATCTACCAGTGAAAAAGGAAGAAGGAAGAAAATGGCCGCCATAGATAGCTAGACAGTTATTACACTCACTTATTATACTCTGTGTTGTCTAGGAAGAATGTCGAAATAACATATATTATGTATCAAATATCTCCCATCTAAAATTATGAGCCCAGTAAAAGCCCAAGTCTCGCTTCGTGATGGCTGAGCCGGGCCCGTCGGACTCAATAGATAGCAGCCTCCCAGTGCAATGTCAACCTATGTATTCTTCTGCTTTTTCCCCCGGCAATATTGATAGCAAGCAACTCGGGGGGGAATCACGCCAGGCCAGCGGGAAATATGGTGGCAGAGAAAGAACGTCCAGAGAGTCACTTCGATCGATGGTTTTGAGTGGTTATATGTATTTCCTTGGTCGAATAATAAACGGGTTTATATAATGCTTTAATCGTGATATAATGTGTTTGTTAGCAGTGGAGGTACTGCTGGGTCCAATTTGGCAATCGCTTCTGGACATTTGCTTTGCCGCGTACACTGGAATATTCCCGTCCAAGGGAACAGATGAGGTCTGAAGGGCCCATGAGTATACTGCTTATAAGAGCCACTTGTACTGCAGGTAGATATGCCAATTGTTAACTCGGTTCACTAGCATGTTCGACTCTTCCATACACTTTTCAGCTTGGAATGAAGAAGTATAGGCGTTATGACCAGTATATTTAGGCGTTAATCCGGGGCTGAACCATGTCAAAGTCGACAGAAGGACCGCGAGTTAGGAGGAGCAGCTCTCGGGGTAGTTTTTGTATCGCTACCGCCATTCAGTTGGCGTTTTAATTGTCGAGATAGCCAGGTATAACTCGTGGGAGTTCCGGGATACCATGGTCAAGGGTTCGGCCATTATAATAGGATATGTGGTATTAGGCCTTTTATGATGAGGAGAGAAAGTGAAGACATGATTCATACACAGAGAGGAACAAGCGGGAGGATGAGGGAAGATAAATAGACGAACATCCAGGGCAGATCAGAGGCAGAAACAAGTTAGCAAATAGAAGAAACAAACGATCATGCTTCTTCCCGTAAATCAAGGAATCGTACCGGAGCCCGCTGTAGGGTTAAAGAAAACGGATATGCATGTCTAACACCAAAGAAAAGACCAGGAGATGCCAAAGCAGCCGACTATATATATGAAGGGATTCTTCGGGTACTAGCAGAAGTGAATATAACATGTAGTTAATGTTGGCTGCCTGTAAGACGGTCGAGTGACTAGCTGTTTCAGCATCAGTATTCAATATACCACATTTTCTTTCGTGAATTCTATGCATGATCGAGATGTTAGATGGGCTAATGGAAACTGTAGTGGCTGTCTATGTGAGAGATATCATTCCCGGGGTATATCCATAGGCATTGCTGCGGTGGAAAGCATAAAGAATTTGGATATGTAGTCAAACGAGAGCAAACGACGGCTGTCAATGTATCCGAGAATACTAGAACAGGAGGTAGAAATCTTGTGTATAACTTGGCTACTCCTTAGATAGAGGAAGTATTTGGTACCTGATAGGGCGTACTCTGGGGTCTTTTATGTGAAAACATTCTCGTTTTAGCAATAAGTAGTTAGTTAATTCCCAATCTATTTAACTATGGTTAACTAGATGGTCTTTGAGACGTGGTCATCACTTTGTCATATCAACCACGCATCGAATACAGTCACCAGCCTTCATTTCCTCAAAGGCAGTGTTAATCTTGGGTAGGGTCTCACGGTGCGTGATGAATTCGTCCACCTTCAGCTTACCGTTGAGGTAATCATCAACGAGACCGGGGAGCTGTGTGCGCCCTTTGATTCCTCCGAAGGCGCACCCTTTCCACACGCGGCCAGTGACGAGTTGGAATGCTGTTCAGCAAGGGGGTTTACGTTAGTATATGAGGCCGCTTTCCTTATTCTATACGTAGTGACAAAAGAGCAAAAAAGAAAAAAACTTACGTCTGGTAGAGATCTCCTGGCCAGCGGCCGCGACACCGATGATGATACTTTGGCCCCATCCCTTATGACAGGCCTCAAGAGCAGCTCTCATGACGCCAACGTTGCCGGTGCAGTCAAAGGTATAGTCACACCCGCCATCAGTAGTTTCAATCAGGTATTCCTGAATCGACTTGCTCCCTAGTTTGGATGGATTGACGAACTCCGTGGCACCGAATTTACGTGCCCACGCCTCCTTGGAATCATTCACATCCACAGCGATAATCCTACCAGCTTTGTTTTGGATAGCTCCCTGGATAACAGAGAGGCCAACACATCCTGCACCGAAGACGGCGATGTTTGAGCCTTCTTCGACCTTGGCGGTAACCGTTGCGGCTCCATAACCGGTGGTGATACCACACCCGAGAAGACAGGCTTTATCTAGCCCAATCTTGTCTGTGATGGCAACCACTGATATATCAGCCACAACGGTGTACTGAGAGAAAGTGGAGGTTCCCATGAAATGCAACAGGTCTTTTCCACGGGCTCTGAAACGGGTAGTCCCATCTGGCATCACTCCACGACCCTGGGTAGCTCTGATTTTCCCGCAGAGGTTTGTCTTTCCGGACTTGCAGAATTTACATTCACGGCATTCTGGTGTGCTGTAAGTCGATATTATTAGCATGAAACCATGTATATCAGCAGAGAGTGTCATACTATAGCGCGATAACCCTGTCGCCGGGCTTCACAGAAGTGACGCCCTCTCCAACGGACTCAACGATACCAGCACCCTCATGGCCAAGGACAATGGGAAAAGCACCCTCTGGATCTTTGCCGGAAAGAGTGTACGCATCTTGACTCTGCCGTCAGCTTGCCCAGTCCTTGATTGTCGTTTCAACGCCGATATTCTGCCGTTTAATTTCGGGGAAACGCACCGGTATGGCAAACTCCAGTATAGTGTATCTCAATTCGGACCTCGTGTGCCTTTGGAGGATCTACCTCAATCTCTTCGATGGTTAGGTCCTTCCCAGCCTCCCAAGCGACGGCGGCCTAGACGCACAAGGTTGTCTTAGCAGTATATCCTCGTAACCCTCTTTTTGGCTCACAGAATGAGTTCCAATGTGTTCCACCTAGTCTCCTCCACTCATATCAATTATATTGGGGATTTCAGTCGTGCGGCTTACTTGACACTTGATGGTCTACCAATCTAATGATTAGCCTTGCTATCAATAGAGTACAACAATGAAATGAGGCATAATCAGCAGCCTACCTTTCCAGCTGTGCTCGCCATACTATTCTGCGTGTCCTTTGATCCTGGAATAAGTAAATATCTATTCCAAGTCTATATTGGCCGGAGAAATGCCGAAGACCGTTGCTGGTAGAAAGCAAGAACGCAACGAAATAAACAATATCTTACCTATGAAATTCTCCGGTAAAAATAGGAGATATAAGACGACAGGTTTCTGGTTAGACACTTGAACGCTTTCTCAACGAAGGCTGGCTTGTCCTTCGGCTTGTTGTTGTTTGTATTTGTGAGGGGCAAGAAATGGCAGCGAGTGGGGAGTTTTTACATCATATTTTCGCCTCCAAGGCGGAAGCTGGGGAAACAATCAACCGCCAGACAATTGGAAATGATTCGGCTGCCACAGGCAACGACACTCTTTTGACACTGCATTGGTGAGTATAGGAGGCAGCTTTAGTCCCGGTATTAGAAAGGATGCGTTCATTTGCTGAGAAAAAGAACAAGGTAAGCCACCGGAGGTAGGGGTTAACGCCGTGAATGCCGTCCTGGTGTATCATTGTAGAAGATCGAAGGATATGCAGTATTGTACAAAAAACGAGCTGTCGTCGCCTTTGCAGACAGAGCGAATCAGTCATAACAAACAATCGCAAGAAACATAGAAAGAAATATATAGTAACATCCATCAACGTCCTCTCAGATTCCCAGTATCCAAAACAACCGAAAAGACCGGAACCAAATATTCAAGAATCTTGACCGAGAGGTTTATCGCTCTAGCCCACTGCGTATCAAAATATGATCCCACCTTAACCCCTGATAGTGTTCTTTTTATAGGGAGATGTAGTTGCTGCCATAGTATGCGGGGACGACATAGGGCCGGATCAGCGAATTCTCATCACCAAACGCAAGGAAATAGCTTTCTATAACGGAATAGTAAATGGTACACGGGGTTCGTGGAGCGAAAGTGGTAATGGTGGTCTAATTCGTTTAGCTGCTTCCCGGCAATTTGCCGGACTGCGCCATAGCAGCGTTCTGTTCCTGGAAACGAAGGGAGACTCGCTCAGATGCCTTGATAAATTTGTCAAAGCAGCGGTTGGTGCAGCCAATTTCTCTTGGGGTCATGGATTTGGTTGTGAAATCAAAGATGCAGTCCTCAAAGCAGCGTTGGACAACATTTGAGTACGCCTGAAGGTATCTCATTTTTGATTAGCTTCCCTTCATCGCATTGTCCAGCCGCGAAATCAAAGGCGTATCAAGACCGTAATGGAGGTAGAAAGAATCCCTCAACATACATTCATAACCTCTTTCATCTGCTTCTGTTCCATGCGTTTGGCAAGCACCTGCTGCTCATTCGGAGTAAGGCTAAACACAGCTATAGTTAGCCAACTGTTTTTCTATCTCTTCTTTCATAACGATAAGATAGGACATTTCGGGGATAACTTACGCGTCCATGATGGCTTATACGTGGACTGAACTGTGTAATTGCTTCGAGTTGATGATGTTTTGCTTGCTCGATTTCATTTTCAAAGCTTCAACTTTTTTTGCCTTGTCCCAAATAAGGTTTAGCGTGACCCCGATCGGGAAAAGCGTCATCATGCGGAGAAATGTGATTTTTGTCTTTTGCAGGAAGTAAAAATACAAATGATATAAAAATACAAAATTTATTCAGTCTTCCCAAACTTCCCAAGACCTTTCATTAACCAAGGATCGAACATAAGCTCTCCCGCAGTTGGTCGTTCTTCTGGCAGCCAGCGCAGGATCCGACGCAGAAAAGCTATAAAGCCTTGTATGTCTTCGCCTTCTATACCTTCCGCAAGTGACTCAAGGGAGATTTCGGGAATCGGCGCAAGGCCTCTCCATTGACCTAGGAATATTCGTTAGCTCTATATAGGTTGGAGAGAGAGCAGTGGAGTACATACCATTCTCATCCCAATACAAGAGACTGACTTGGCTGCGCTCCAAGAACTCCTTTGGCGGCGGCCCCATAATTGCAACCATTTCCGCGAGATGAAGTCTATCGTCCAACAGTTTTTCTTCATTCCTCGCATTGAAGAGGGTGGGACCTTTAACAAGGTCCCAGACCTAGAAGAAGCATGGCACGTCAATCTCGGCTTTGTAAAAGCAACGGTATACCTGATTTTTCTGCTTCTTCTGACTTACTACCATAGCAACGCTCCAAATGTCTACCCAGATGTCCCATTCCATCCTCAGAATCACTTCCGGGGCTCTGTATAAATCAGGCATGATGTCCTCACCCCTATGCGCTTCATCTCGAAGCCGGGCTTCGCCAAAGTCGGTGATAATTGGCAAGCGTCTCGAGAAGGGAACCCGCCTGCTCACATAAATAATACGATCATCTAGGACCTTACGAGGACACGGCTGGTGTTCGATCTCAGCCTCTTCAAATACGAAGAAGATCGAAGGGTCATCAATCCCAAGAAGTAAATTTTTAGACTGAATATCTATTTGATCGTGTTAGTTATGTGTTTTTCCAATTCATAAAACCAACGTACCAGTGTGTATAATGTCAAGACGGTGCAGAAAGTCAAATCCCGCTAAAATTTGACGTAGAGGAGGCTTGAGTAGCTCTAGAGTGAAAGTTCTCGTTGGCCTCGTGTCAAGCAATTGATCCAAACTCAAGCCCAATGGCTGCTGGACAAGGCAGACGTGCGAGCCATGGGGTCCTTCGACATTGAAGGAGTCGTATAGTCTGCGATAAAAGGCTTTTCCGGCATGGTCAACTTTGGATTCAGAGGTGCTTATATGCTCATATATTTTGATCTCATTGCTTGGTTCGACGGAGGAAATGCACATCTTAAGTATTACGTGCCGGGATTTCCTATTAGAGAGTTGGGGAAAATGTAAGCTTATGCGGTAGCGTAAGAGGTGCCAAGTGACAACTTATTGTACGCATACGTACTGGAAATCACGGGCAAGCCATACAGTTGAAAAAACCCCGTACCCAACTTTCCCAACGACCTGATATCTGTCCTGGAATATTTGCCCTAGGCGAACAGGATAGTATTTTTTCGGGTTGTAGGTTGGAAGTGTCTCTTCCTCTATCTTTTCATTAGTATCAACCAGCTCAAACCCGGATGTAGGAAACGTGAGTGGAGTTTGTAATTGAGACGACATCATGCGATGATTAATAGGCGATGGCTTGAATGTACGAAATAAATTGCATCTCGACCTGAACAAATGAAGGCACAAACGAGGGTTAAGTATAATGGGCATCATCAATACAAGAAATGTATGTTCTCCCTTCTCAACCGCTATGGTAGAACGATTCGCAAGCAGAAATCATTTCGCTCCGCTACAGCCATGACATCTGCGTTTTAGTTTTGATTATATAAGCATATAACTACTAGAATCCGGACGAATTATACTCCGTATTGCACCAACCAGACGTCCATGTGAGTTCCAAGGCTCCATTTTAGACTTTGGTAATTGCGACGGCCCGAGATCAACCCCACTGTCTCCAGTTAAGCGCTGAGGTCCAAACTTGGCATTAGTTCTCATCTACCACTATGTCCATCGAGTACGGCGTAGTATGACACGCTGTCCTATCTTCCTTTAGGCGGACACTATAATTAGATACAGATAATTATACCCTGCAAACGGATGACTAACGTAATGCATATTTCCTCCTCTACATACAAGGAACTCCCTGGATGAACCATACATATTATGCATTCTGCTTTCAGTGCCACCGCATGGACATAAAACCAACAATAAATATTCCACCCAACAGCGCTTAGAGAAATGGTTGGCTAAGAAAGAGCCTTGGGTGTTTCAGAGGGTCAAGACGAGGTAGGACAGTCCCGCACCTCCCCTCGTTTTGACTAGGTCCTTCAAATGAGTATATAAATACCTATTTGTCCTCAACTACATTCATACCTGAAAATTGCCTCAGAGTTCTTTAACTCTTATGAGAAAGATATTTTATTTGATAACTAAACTATACCACACCTACCCGTCTTGGGCAAATATGTTAAACCGCATCGCGACCAAAGCATTCAGCACCACTGCTCAAAGAGCACTTCAGTTTTTGGAGCCCATAAATGTTACCGATCTTGTATCAGCTAATGGGTCCGACGGGGAGCGCTGGCTCCAGTCTGTGGAAGTAGGATGTGAACGGATAGAAAAGGCCGTTAGTATCCCGTTGTCATATGCTCCCTATTTTTTATAGCGGATAATTAACTAATGGATCAGGATCCACGAATTACAAGCGCCAAAATTCAGTAAGTTTATATATCGACATATACACTCATACCGTCCCATTTGTGGCTATGATTTAAATTGAGCTAACCTTAGTCAAAGGGGTGCATTGGCACACATGTCTAGCAAGGACAAGTCCGATCCTCACAAGGTTGTCACGATAGCAATCCTAACAGTGAAGGGGAATCGTGTTGGGACTGCCCACTTTCATCTTGATGGATCCTTCAAGTTCTTTCCCTCACGCTATGGGAAAGACGGTGGCTTCGCTGAAAATTTGCGCAACGCAGGGATTACGGTCGAAGAGGGGGGACAGTAGATGGCAGGAGTCTACCTACACTGCATACTCAGCGCGAGATGGATATTATATTGATATTGATATCGATATTTGGTGGAAATGAAGTAACATACTACGCATAAGTGATGTTATATCAAGCTATTGTGATTTCTAGCGGAGACAAGATTTACGCCAGTTAGTTTGTCCAGTCATTTTAACTATTTAGGTTCTCTTGTTCTAAGTTAAACTTAAGAGCAACCTTTGTTAACCAGTTATTGGCTTTGTGTTTACAATTAACTAACAAATGAGAGAACGCACTCATGTAGTTAGTAGCACCAAGGTGGCATCCGAGTCTTTTGATCCTCAAAGCGGCCATCTACCTAGAGGAAATTGGCGTTTGTAACCTAGTAGTTAATAGGTTCATTACTGTTTTTGTACTTCAAGTAAAGGCTTGAATTACTGTAATTATTAGGCTGTTTTTATAGTGTATTAAATGAAGAAGTGGAAAGGGTTTACTTATAGATAAGCCCGAAGCAATTGTAACATAGATCCACGAATCTCGCTATGACTAGGGAGTACTTTGAGGGAAAATGAATAACTATTTAGGAGCGCAAATAAACATCATTGATTCATAATATCCAGTGAATACATAGAATAAAAGAAAGTCTCAAGAAACACCTCCTGTCCTTAGTTTCATGTCTATCTTGGCAATAAAATAGAACGGGGCCAACGTTCCTTTGCGCTATAGAGACTTAACATCTACGTCTATTGTTAGCCTGTAAAGACTTACGCCTTACAATGCATGAATAATGTTCATATCGCTAGCTTTCAACCAAGTGAATGACCCAATAGAATGACTCAATTTACGCGCCTGATACTACATTACATATCTGCCTACTGGGTTGCGGCGTAGCTAATACTGCCCTGGATTGAGCGAGCAGTGTTATTCGTTAAGAAGCTTGCGGCTGGATGTGGCCCTGTTAATAGCATTGTGCACGAAACAGTTGACCATAGAGAGACGAAAGAGAGTAGGAAATAATCACAGGTATGAAACAGCTAGGTTTCATTTTACCACTATCAATGTTGTGGGCGGCTATTTAACAAGTCCAGGCAGAATTCCCATGTTGCGGCTGGGAAGGTATAGCTGGGCTGGGTGGCTATATAAGAGCTCTCAACCCTCGACAGTGCCTGCCTAGATATATCAACAATTCCTACTACCTCCTTCAAACTATTTACTTACAATATCTAAATATTGGAGAAAAATTTCCCTTGCCATTTGGCCAACACGAGACATGGCGTTCCGCGAACTGTACCTCGCCACGTTCAATACTTCTCCAAATCAATCAAAGCATTTTGCGATATTTGTTCCCAATGAAAATGACCGTCAGAAAGGCACACTCATTCATGTCGTCGGGGCTCCAGGGACCGGATATGGACATGTATTCGAGCGGAATTACAACCCTTTCACCAACAAATCACTGAATACAATCACGCTGGTTGGACATATTGATGCACACCATGTTGTCGACCCGCAAACCACACAACCATCCAAGGACAATATCCCAAGGGGAGACTTAGAGGTCGTTGCACACTACATTCCTCCACCATCGGCTTGGAACTTTCTAGCTCCAAAGGGCGGCGTATGTAGACCAAAAATTCCCACTTGTCTGCATCTATATTAACAAATTGGTAATATAGCTTGTCAGGAGATGCCAGGAGTGGACTTGGGACTTTGTTACAAAGCTTGTTGCAAAACGATATATAACTGGGCAAGCTCAGGAGATTGTGAGTTCTCATTTTGATCCTCTCATTTACGGCCTCGACCCGCAGGCTGCTGGAAGAGGGGTGCATGAAGTAGGGGCCGTCGGGGGTAGATTTGGCGGAGGGCTACAGCGAGGTCTGTGAAGGAATATCTGATGGGGGTGTCATGCGTGTTATCGAGGCTGGAGGAGGTATCTGCACTTCTAGCGCGTCACTTGGTTTCGATTGGTTAGCGTATGTATGCAGGTTCAAGTACATAATCACATCCCTTTGTCATTATAAAAGGAACATTGCACTATTATTCTATCTCCAACTACAACTTGGTTTTTAGGAGTTCAAAATAAATAGGGATGATGAATTGATTATATAAGTGAGAATTATCATCTTATATAATCAAACGAGTTCTTGGCTATTTTTAAAACTTAGCAGGAGCACTAACCGCTATCGGCTAGGGTATATGACATAATCAGTTACTAATAATATATGGAAGTTTTGTTTAAAAGAAAAAGTCGCGACGAAAAGTTCAACTTCAAGTGATTTCGATCCGTGTTTTGAACGAAGGTTGGGCAAACTAGTGAAAACCACCAAGTACGAAGATGCATCAAGGTCGGAAGCTTAATTTTCCTGTCAGTTTTACGCCCTGCCTGTCACGACGGCTGAAGGGTTTCCAGATCAACGTCAAGATAGAGCATTTTCCAGAAGAGGCTCGAGGATGTCTATATATACACACATGACATACGACGAGATGTTGATCTGGCCTGAGAGAAGCATCTTCAACAAAGTCTCTGAGAGCGTGGTCGTGGCCTTGGTGCTCTATACGAGGCTTTAATCGATCATCTGCGCGGACCAGAGGAAGCTTAGGCGCGTTTCCTGAGGACCCAGGGTGGTCAGCAAGAACTTTGCACCAAATCCAGGACCAAGGATACGTGAAAAAGCAAAGGCATTGATGTTCATGGCATACATAGTCCATAGTAAGCGTTCAAGGGTTTTCACAGGCTAACAGCAAGATCGTCAACTCAAATAAATGAAGAAGGATTTTAAATGTCGCTGGTAGAAAGTATCGATTTTCTGGAGCAAAGGGTTGTTTGTACCTATACCAACGACCCCAGAGCTTGACGACGGTCCCTGATGTAGGTATGCAGCCTGGCCTGAAATGTCGGTAAAAAGACCTTCTCGTCGTTTGACTTCCGGGTCATGGCCATCTGGGAAGGCAGCGCTGGGATTGCTTGAACATATATAGTATGCATGCCCAGTCCCCCGACTTGCCGAGTGCATGTGGGAATGAGATTCGAGCCTCCAGCCTGCTTTCAAATCACTCCGTACGAAATTGTATTATATATTATTATTGGATATTCGCTTTTGGCCTGATCCAACGAGCCTTGTGTCGGTTGTTGGAAGGCTGCCCCAGAGTACTTCCATGGCCCTGTCAACTGATTAACCCCCAGAGGACCAGCTCTCCAACTCATTCGAACCCCCTTTTTTCTCATTCCTTATACTCTCCCCTGCCCGTTTACCCCCTATTTTATCCAACAGTATATATTTGTGCCAAGGCAACAGGCAACAGGCCCGAGGAGAGAGAAGAAACAGTTGGAAAGCGACGGGTACTTTACATAAAAGGAACATGGCTACAGAGTATCTATATGCAGCAACCTGGCATTCAACAGGGGCCGTTGTGGGCCAAAAGACGCTGGAATCTGATATACTCCGGATACAGCGTATAGTAATATAAACTGTTATGAACCCATGGAGGATTTGTTTCAGCTTTCGTCTATATCACATCAGTCGCGGTGAGCCATCATGAGCACTCTCTTTCCAACCGAAGCAGAGGCAGAGGAGGTGATATTAGAGCAAGACTTTAATGAACGCTTCGCTTCGTGGAACGAATTAAAATGACAGATGATCTAGAACGTCTCTGGGCATAATCTCTGCTCCGTTCCTGTTGTCCCTATACTTGCAGACATGATATTCGTCAAACACCTGTACACAACGCGCGAACAACTCCATGGATGGGTTCGTCATGGCTGGGATCAAGACGAAGGAGATGGGACGAACATCCATCACTTGCAGCCAGCATTCGGGGTTTATCCTCTCGTATCCCCCTAGCTGCCGCTCAAAGACGCACCATGACGGTCCACTCGTGTTTCCTCCCGCACACATTCTTCCCCCGAGACCAGCTTCCCCAGTGCGACCTTGCAGGGGTGTCGTTCTATTTATTCACACTGGCTGCCTTTCTTGCTTACACGAAACGCAGAACAATCGGCTGTACTGGGTACATCATTCACCTGCCTAGGCTGCGTCACCAATTCCTATGTATGGGATAGTCCATGTTTTCTACCTCCATAGCATATCGTTAACTTCTCCAGATCGGCCTGTCGAGGAAGAGCGGAGGAGGACGGACAGCCGAATCATCCTTCGTCCTTCCCACAGACAAGGGCCCGCGACTGTCAGGATACTGGCAGGCTCTGCTCTTGACTTTTTAGAATGTGATCGGGCGCGCGTTGGCATCCTTGTCTGCTGCGACATACTGCACTGCCGTGCCAGGGGTAAGAACTGGAAGAAAGCCAACCATGTCCATACAAGTAAGTACTTAAGGGAAAATCTGACCCGGCGGCTGAGCGGGAGGAGGCCCTTGAAGAGGGAATGGGGGGAGGAGGAGTGGTAGGGCTTCTTCGTTTTTTCTTATTTCCCATGTTAGTTTTATATTCAAATTTACCAACGACTATATTTACTTCCGCCGGGCCAATTGTTTGCTTCGTTCAATTCCATGTAGGAGTTGCCGCGGAATTCTTTGTCCTCTCGTCTGGGTGCGAGATTAAAACCATAATAACTACGCGAGCCGCACTTCCTCCGGAGGACTGAGGAATGCTGTGATTTAGTTCCACCGGTTCATCTACTACACGATCGAGCTGGTCCAAGATGGTTGATCTTGGGCGACCGACGGCCGACGTTCCCAGCCGGGGATATCAGCTCTGGTTGACGGACGTGGTGGTTGTCATCGTGGCCGGAGTCTTTGTCGTTATCCGTCTGGTCTCGAGATATCTGCGGAGTGGCATCCAGGTGGACGACTGGACCATACTGGCCGCTTTGGTGCGTTTGAACATGGACCTATCGCGGTGCATTGTGTATCCTCTGCTAACTTGTTGATGATAGCTGCTGTCAGTGCTCTTCTCGACGGCTCAGAATATTGGTATGTTTGTTTATTCTCATAGATATCAGTATCAGGACCCTGACCATGTTTTTCAGCTGTTGAACACGGATATGGTAAACATGAATGGAATATTACCGATGAGCAGGAGAAGCAGTCTCTCAAGGTATGCTCCATGTTGTATCATGTCGAAGCATTGCTGACTTGTCTGTACAGTGGATTCTGGTAGCTCAAGTGCTGTACAAGCTGGTGATCTGTCTGGCCAAAGTGTCGATTCTCCTGCTATACCTGAGGATCTTCTACGTGCACCAGTACTTCAGACGGATCTGTATCTGTCTCATCGTGTTCACCATATGCTCTGGGATAGCCTTCATCCCGCCAACGATCTGGCAGTGCTCGCCTGTAGCCGCCTACTGGGACAGAAGCATCCCGCATACCTGTCTGAGCAGCTTCCCGAACTGGCTGTCCTATGCGATAATCAACATCACGACAGACGTGATACTGCTGATTCTCCCGGTCCAGCAAATCCTCCGTCTCCAGCTGACCAAGCGCGACAAGATCGCCCTGATACTGGTCTTTCTGTTGGGATCATTGTAAGCAGAATCACTCCGTAGAAGCGAAGATTTTTATACTGACGAGGGCCAGCGTCTGCATAACCAGCATCTACCGGGTGACTCTGCTCGCATCATCTTCCTCGACAAAGGACGTATCTTGTAAGTAGTGCCCTTCAACCGATCTTGGTATAAGCTGACAAAAAGGGCTGTAGGGTCGACGACTCCGACCTCCAGCTGGAGCGCGGTGGAGATCAACTCAGGCATCATCTGCGCCTGCCTGCCGATGGCCCGCCAGACGCTCTCACACGCCCTCACATGCTGTCTGCCCCCGCAGACGACGAAGAACAGCACCTCCGTCTCCCCTTCCCAGGGATACCACTCGGGCCACTTCTCTCGCATCTCACGGGGCGGGAAGCCGGTATCTGGCCACCACACCAACCGCGGCGGCCTTCCGTGGGAGAACACAGCGCACGTCCAAGACAACATCGTGCTGACATCGATCCAATCAGACAGACACCGGCAGCTCCGTCGCTCGGACAGTGAGGAGGGGATCCTGGGCCAGGGTTGCTACCTGGGTAACGGAGGCATCATCAAGCGGACGGATGTGTCTATTATCGAGCACTCAAGGGCAGGCTAGGCGCACGGCATACCGCATTCCACCATGTTGAATATTATTGCAAGGTGTAACATGCGTCCAATACCCGGGAGGATGCAGTTAATTGCAGCGAGACACTGCTCAGAGACACCACTCAGAGACACCGCGCAGAGACACCGCGCAGAGACACCGCGGCATGCAATGGCCGGACGATGGCCTCCACCCCGGCCAGAGGACCATGATACCGACAAAGACTGGCTTCAGGATACATCCGTTGGATATTCTGGATGCCTCCAGACGTCTTGACGTCCTGACGTCCCCGGCATCCCGTTGACCAGAGGAGGAATGAGGCGCCACTCGTCCTGCAGACGCCAGGACAGACGGTAAGGCCGCACGATAGACCGGCAGGAAGAGGGACGAAGAGGAGGAGGAAGAAGAAGACGCTGAGATAGAAGTAATGTCCATGAAATTAAGTCCTTTCATATGCACCGTCCTCATCTCCTGAACCCGTAGAAACTCCACCCTTTTCCTTTATCCACATCATGGAGAAGAACCACAGGCCATCTTCTTCTTCCGCTCCACCGAGTTAGACCGTCTGAAGGCCGTAGTTGGTTGTTCTGGTCCTCTGGTTCCTTGGTTGCTCTTCGTCTCCGTCCGCGGTTTATCATCCAGGAAGAAAACATCCTGACCCTTGCAAGCCTTCTTTCGTTTCTGGCCCCCAAAAGAGCGACGGTCCTTTTTCTCTCCCTGCACTTCTGTCTCTCCCTCTGTTTATTATCGTTCTCGACGGTCTTTATTTCTTCTCTGTCTCTCATTTCTGTCTCGTTTCTGTCTCGTTCCTTGTCCTGTTTCTGTCTGTCCTCGACTTCATCGACTTTATCGCACGAAGAAACCAACAACTCCCACTTCAGTCCTTTTCGACCGGATAAGAATAACAAACGTCTTGACTTCGCCCCCACGAGAAGAAGAATAAGAAGAATAACGCATCAGGCGGGCTGCTTAGAAGAAGACTTTAGAGAAACGCCCCGAACAGCCACTGGGCCAGGCCAGAAGAAGGGAGAAAAAGGCCCATCCTCGCCCCCAAGAAGTCCATCTTCTGCTTTCACTGCCTCGCTTTCGACTTATCTTCGAGCAACGAACAACAAGCAACGAGAGCAACGCCAACGCATATGAGAAACGTTGCTGGCCGCCGGTAGAGTCTATATATTATTATATACTCTCTTCCCATCTGCCCTTGGACGTCCTCCGTCTACCTGGCCGCTTTTCCGCCACCCCAGGCGCGTCGAACAACCACCAGCAAGACAACAAGAGAGGAAGAAAAAGAAGACAACAAGAAGACAACAGGATAATAATAAGAAGAAGAAGAAGATATCACGCTTGTCACTGTCTGGTCCGGCCAGCTTTGTCTTTCCATGGCGCACTCGCATTCACAGGCGCAGCCTTCTTCCAACGTGAGCGCGCAGGAGTCTTCTTCTGCTGCCTTGCCCAACAACGCTGCCCCCTCTCCTCCTTCAAAGAGAGACCTAGCCAGCTGGTGGAGGCAGTTCAAGAGAAGCACAAAGAAGGATGGCTCAGGTAGGTCTTCACACTACGTCTTTGCTATTTGTTTGACCGTTTGCTGATACTTGTGTCAGTGCTAGCCCCCCAGACTCCCTCTGGCATATTTGGGATCCCCCTCAACGTGAGCATCAAGTACGCCAACGTGGCCATCTCTCTCACTGGCGATGACGGGAAGAGCTTCATCTACGGATACGTGCCCATAGTAGTGGCAAAGTGCGGGGTCTTTTTGAAGGAGAAAGGTGTGGTTTACATAGCTCCTTTTGCTTTTTCCTTCTTCACCTCTATCTCCATCTTGATCTTCGTCTTCTTGTCTGGTGTGAATGTTCTAACTGTTGGGAAGCAACCGATGTGGAGGGAATCTTCCGATTGAGCGGCTCTGCGAAGCGCATCAAAGACCTACAGGAGATATTCAACTCTCCAGACCGCTTTGGAAAGGGGCTGGACTGGACCGGCTATACCGTGCACGATGCTGCCAACATCCTGCGCCGCTACCTCAACCAACTGCCCGAACCGATCGTGCCCCTAGAGTTCTATGAGCGGTTCAGGGAGCCGCTGAGACATCGACAAGGGAGGCCAGACGGCGAAGAGGCCGCTGTCCTCGTCGACAAGGAGCATGGATTTGACAGGGATGCAGCAGTCGCAGCTTACCAGCAGCTCATCAAGGAGCTCCCGCCGCTCAACAGGCAGCTGCTTCTCTACCTCCTCGACCTCCTGACCGTCTTCGCGTCCAAATCTGACCTCAACCGGATGACCGCGGCCAACCTGGCCGCCATCTTCCAGCCCGGCATGCTCTCCCATCCGTCCCACGACATGTCTCCGCAGGACTACAAGCTCAGCCAGGACGTCATGGTCTTCCTCATCGAGAACCAGGACAACTTCCTCTTTGGCATGACGGGCACCGCCGCCGATGCGCAGACCGTCAAGAACATACAGGGAGGGATGTATCCGCCCCTGCAGAAGACCACCATCAGACGATCAGCCTCAAACGCCAGTGGAGGCGCAGACAGCTTGAGGAAGTACGAAGCTCTCCGCCGGAACATGTCTGTCTCCTCGAGAAATTCCAATGGAAACGTTGCAAGCCCTACCACACCCAACTCCAATTCAAAGACGGGCGGCATCGGCCTACAGCGCAGTAACACCGTACCCTCGAAGAGAGCTCCTGGATTCTCACCCTCGAGCACGTTTACGCGGCAGCAGACGCCAGCTACACCAGCTTCCCTCAGCCTGTCCCCCACACAGAAGGCTCCAGCTTCTGCCGGTTCCAGCAAAGCTCCCCCAGCTCAGGATATCACCAAGTTGGCCGAGCACCCAAAGAAGACGTTGGAGCAGCCTGAAAACGGTGTCGCGGTTGCAGAAGCTGCACAAGATGTGACTGCTGCTGCTGCTGCTACTACCACTACTGCTGCTGCAGAAACCGCCGTCGAGCCTGATCAGGTATCTCTTCCTGTTCGGAACGTCGAGGCTGCTCTCCCTAAAGAACCTGTCCAAGTACAACCTGCCGAAGCTGCTCCATCTCAGCAGCCTGGCGAACCTACCCATCCCGATCACACTGTTGAAACCCCCAGACCTCCTCAGCTGGCTGAGCCTATTGAATTTACAAAGCCAGCTGAGAAAGCTCCCGCTACCCAGCCTGCTCCTGTCACTGAACCTGCTCCGGCCGATCAACCAAGCCAGCCCACTTCACCTGTCCCGCAAACTCAACCCGTTCAACCTGTTCAACCTCAGCCTGCTCAATCTTCTTCGCAGCCTGTCCAGCCTATTCCAAGAGCCCAACGGCCGACATACATTGACGCCCTTCCCCCTCCACAACTTGATCCAACAACCTCCAACCCGACAAACACCAAACCGTCAACTCCAACCAAAGAGCGCAAGCTAGCCTCTCTATTCGCCTGGACCAGCCCTCCCAGCGACAAGAGGGACACCAACAAGTTAAAAAAGAAAAGACGCATCCCAGGCAGCGCGAGTGAAAGCGCCCAAAGCTCTACCGCCTCCCTTCCACCGGGGTCCGATGATACTACCACCCTCTTGAAACCAACAACTTCTCACCCCGTAACCTCGAACCCAGACGATACCACCATCGACGAGTCCCATGTCTCTACCCCAAAGGTTCCAAACCATCCCATCTCCCCTCCTCCAGCCCACGTATCGCCCTCTCAAAGCCAGAGCAGCCTAGATGTGGCTTCCCCTCCGCATCAACACAACTCTCTGACAGAGCGCATGCTGAGGCCTCCACGCTCGCGCACACCTTCTCCAAACTCGCACTCTGTGACAGACCAGTCAGACATCGAAGAGTCTTCCAAAGGCGACAAGAAAGATAAGCGGCGAAGCTGGCGCTTCCACCTATCCGGCAAGAAGTCGGAAGATTAACGGCGTTGTTCTAATCCTAATTCTCATTCCCTTTTCTCATCTTTTATGTTCAATCTCCTTTTAATGCGTGGCGAACGGATCTTGGTTTCTTCAATTGAATTGCAACTGCATAATGTTGGAGTTAGTTATCTGCTGCAGTACGTTTTGATGCCGGCTTGCTATAGGATCGATAAGGAGCAACCCACTCCATCGACCTGTTCGGCATACATTGAACAGTGGCATGATCGTACCTGGTACTCTTTGCCTTTATGTCTCTCTCTCACTCTCGCTTGTGTTCCTCCCGGTACTTTTCCTTTAATAAACCGTCCATCTGGTCTTCTTGCCTTACGTCGTCTTTCTATGTCGGATTCCCCCACGGCTTTCTTTTTGTTTTACCCTTAGCCTAGAGCTTGAAGATAGTTTTTATTCCGCGTATATTTTATATTGATAATATTTTACATACATAATTCAGACGTAACCCGGAGCCTTCGCTAGGTATGAAGGTAAGGATAAACCTCTAGTAGTCCAACATCTTGATAAGCCGCGATTCTTCTGTCGCATACAAAACCAGCATCAGGACAGAAATTTCCATCTCAAGGCAGATAAAGAGCTAGAAGATCATCCAAGGGATACTTAACATATATAAGAAATGCAAATATTTCCAAGCTCGATTCTCCCAGCTTGGGCGGCATTGCAGTCAATATCAGAAACATTCACCCTGTTCTCTCTTCCACCAGAGACGCCTCGTTTCGACCCGACAGAAGCAACAATCCAATCAGTCCATCGAGCTCTATACGCAAATATAACCCAGAAAGACAATAGACTGACATGCCGTGAAGTGATAACTGCGTTTCTGAACCAAATAGATGCCTACAACCCTCTGATAAACGCTATAATAAGCCTTGATGCAGGCTCGTTGTCTGTTGCCGATGAATTGGACGCGCAACTCATACATATATTGAATGAAAATACATACAATGATACCCATAAGAACTACAGCTCGATCGATGATGTACCTTTGGCCTTCAACCCGTCGTCTCTTCCGTCTCTGTTCTGCATTCCAGTTCTTTTGAAGGATAACTTCGACACGGCCAACGTCTCTACCACGGCAGGCTGCGCGGCGTTATACAACTCCACGCCTCCTCTACACGATTCACCCGTCGTCAAGGCCCTGCGTGAGGCCGGCGCGGTCATACTGGGCAAAACAAACATGCATGAAATGGCTCTTGAAGGCCTCACTGTGTCTTCGCTGGGTGGCCAAACGCTTAATCCGTACGACCGTTCGAGGACGCCTGGCGGTAGCTCCGGAGGGACTGGAGCGGCTATAGCGGCGTCCTTTGCGGTATTCGGTCTAGGAACCGATACGGTGAATTCGCTGCGTAGTCCGGCCAGTGCAAATAGCTTGTTTAGTCTGAGGCCTACTCGCGGTTTGATTTCGCGGGCTGGAGTGTTTCCTGTTTCGTATACGCAGGATACCGTTGGCCCGATCGCAAGGTGTGTTTGGGATTTGGCTGTGAGCTTGAATGTTATGACCATGAGGAGTGGCGGGTTGTATGATGGAAGAGATAATATGACTGCCTTACGACCGCGTCATGTTAGAGATCTGGATTATACTGAGCTTTTACCTCGGGATCAGGCGCTGCGGAGGAATGATAGCCTAAAGGGAGTTCGATTCGGGCTGTTGGAAGGATTTATCAATCGCACTGATACCCTGGAGACGACGCCGGTCAACACGGCGATAGATGCGATGGTCTCTAAGCTTGAGAAGGCGGGAGCAGTTGTGGTCCCCATCCGTGACCGGATCTATAATTCCACTACGATTCTAAACTTGGATGTTCAGGTATATGAATACCGGGAAATGGTAGACTCATATCTCCGGAGCCTTGGACATGCTGCGTCTACGGGAGCACGCACACTCGCTGATATTTATGCCCAAGTCGACGGTGAAGACCCTTCATTCCTAGTGATTCCACACCAGTATAATTTTATACAATCTGCACTCGTCTCCTCTCCACAGAATATCTCCTACGCTCAAAAGCAGCTCTCTATCAACGCCCTGACGTTAGCAGTAAAGCAAACATTCTCCTCTCACAACCTTGATGCACTGATATACCCGCAGCAACAAAATTTGCCAGTCAAGCTAGGCTCTCAAAACCAATATGGTAGAAATGGAATACTTGCAGCTCTGACAGGTTGCCCCGTTATAACCGTACCGGCTGGATTTTCGAGAAGGGATGTGTTTCGGAATATACCGGTTGGTGTGCCGGTTGGTATGGAAGTCATGGGATTGCCCTGGGAAGAAGAGAGATTGCTAAGTATAGCTGCAAGAATTGAGGCTTTGGAGAAAATTAGGCGGCCGCCGAAGCTGAAGAGGGAGAAGGGTAAAGGAAGTGGTTATAACAGAGTGATGAATTCTGTCCCGAGATTGGTCCCTAACAGGCTAAACATTCATGATGCGTACCCCTTAGGGGTATTTGAATAATAATATACATCAGTTCTTACTGATAATAGGCAATCTTGGGTATCATTATTCTCCTCTTACACAGGTATGACAAGCCCAGCATAAGGATAAAAAGATCTCACTTGATCACTTTGCAAATTGCCATCTTTTGGTCAGTAGAACACCATCCAAACAGCAATATGATACGGGAATACATTAACCTTGCCTCGAGCAGCCGAAGCGATATTAATATTTCGGCTGATTCATCGTCATGGTCTATTAATATGTCGGCAATATCACACCCGAGAAGCTGGTGCATTGCATCTGCTGACCATAGTAAGGGGGATGTCCCTTTTCTTTTCATATGGTTCACCTTGGTTGTTTGGCCTGCGACACTGAGGCGAGCATCCGAGCCGGTTGCATGGTTGAACATGGGAGGGAAGCACGATATCATTCCTGTCTCATCAACAATCGAGCCAACCTAGGGGTAGTATTGATTTAAGCAATTAGCTGGTGATTGTCTCACTTCCCTCGGTTCAAGTAGTCGTTTATCCCGGAAGTTTATACTCCGTGCCTGAGGCAAAGGTGTTGAGGAACTAAATGATACCATGGTTACCCAAAAATACAGGGCAGGGGTAAACTCACAATCTGTGGATTGAGCCTTAGTTTGACTTCTGCCTCACACTGCCCGCAGGAGGCCGCCTTGTAATTGGAGAAAATTGGCACCGTGCAACTAACCATCAAACACGTTAGAATATACCGTTAGCCATTAACTATATCCTTGCTTTTGTAGAGTTTATAGGGAACCTACCACTCTGCGCAGAATAAACAATTTTGTTTGTATAGAGCTGCTAGGTTTATGTCAAGGAGTACCACTGATGCATATCCCATGAAGTCTGGGAAGGATCAGCTTCGGTATACCTGATGACCGTGTATTGCATCTACATACCGGTGCGGGTGGAACTAGCCCTATAAGCTCAATATTAGCATGATGGGGGAACTTCTTGACAAAGGTGTTCCTTCATACAACTCATCAACATCCGCCAAGGTGAATTTGATTTTCTGGATGGAAGATTCAAATTCTTCAACGTCGAATACTATTGGAAATGTAAGCATTAGAATCACAGTTGACCCCTCCATTAACCACGCAATCGCCCAGTTTGGACATACAGTCAGTCGGAAAGGGAGGGTTGACATGTACCGCTGTACGCGTCGCAAGCTTCTTCAATTCTTCCGCTTCGATAATATCAGGATCTACCTCTATGAAGGTGAGGGATGTCATATATAGCCTCGACCCAGGTTTCCAACTTGCATTGGATATCAGAAGGACTGTAGAATTGGGTATCCATTTCATTGCGGATCTCATAGCTTCTCCATATAGGCCGACGCAGGCTTTGCTGTGTCCGTCAGTGACGCCTATGTCGATAGTAGGGACTATCTGTTTGTTGGAGTTGGTTGCTATATTTTTTTTTCCTTGTCAGCACTGATAGCTAGTTAAGCCAGTTCAAGAAAACAGATAATAGACTTACATTCACGAACAGGTCCAATTGCATAAACATATACTAAGACTTTGGTTGGTTTACCAACAGCATGTTTCTCGGGGGCATCGACGAGGGAATCCAATGCAAAGGGAAACTTGTAGCCTAATGGAATCCGGCCGATTATTCCTATATCACCTCGTTCATGTATCTTGATACCACACCCATTATCCCTCTCTGGGAAAATGCTTGTCATTAGCTTCAACGGGCAATCCTTAAGCTGTATGGGTGGAGATGTAGGAGTAGAAGCTGTATCTGCTTTCCCAGGATTCTTTGGCTGTTGTTTAAAAGGTGAAATATGCGTCGTCCATATCGAGACTAATTTTCCCAAGTGAAGGTCGTAGGTGGTATCCGCATACCATAGCTTGACCTGTATGAATCGTTCGGCTAGCCTCCAGAGTGCATGCGTATAGTTATGATAAGACAATACTCACCAGAATACAGCCCATATCATCCTTTAAAATGATTTTCAAGCATCCTCTTGCCTGCTGGCCTGCCCCCATACCTCCACTCTCTTTTGACGGCTTTTTCTTTTTAGTTGATCTGCCAGTGTTTTCCGTGCTGTCATCAAAGTATATATTGGACTGATCGTATATATTTACGATCCTTGCATCGAAGCCGATTCTCTTTGGACCGGGAGTGAGGTCTCCAAGGGATGAGACGGTGTCGTACGGCTTAGACGGTTTCTTCGAGCCGTCATCCTGGTCTGTGGAATCAAGCTTCCTTTTAGACCCAGCCCCGGTGACCATCAGGAAGTAATCTTCTATCCTCGAGTTAGCCATTGTCATGATCCTGGATGTAGGAAAAGAGTAGAAGATTTCACATAGAAGAAGTTGACGTCGAGGTTGACGTCGAAATCCCCTCACGAATTACCCCTTTTGGACGAGATCACATAAGCAAGACGAGAAAAAGGAAAAAGAATTCAGTAAAAAGATTTATATCAATTTATTTCGATGGATATGAAGAATCCACGAGTGAGGCTGTTGATACCTGCTAAGGAATGGACGTTGAGGCTTCATCAAGCTCACAACCGCAACTACTAACATAGACAAGTAGAACAAGCCCGAAAGATGTTAACCACTTCTCCACCACCGTCTGACCAGAGTAGATGTCTTCGTCGATGGAAGCCTGGAGTTTTCACAGAAGACACGAAGACATCGGTTGAGGGTTCTTGCTTAGAAAAGCTTGTGCTCAAGAGTCATGTCGGACTCAGGCTGCAGGCCAACGCAGGCACGGAAGATGTTGGTGACAGCAGAGCGTTGCTTAGCCAGAGCGTTGACAACAGGAGTTCCGGGAGGGGTCAACGGGGCCTAAAGAATGTTAGTTGACTTATAGCAGTAATAGAGAGGAAGAAATTACCTTCAACATGTAGCTGAGGATGCTCAGGACGCTGTGGAAGCCCTTGTACTCCTCACCTTCGGCAGCCTTCCAGCTCACACGGGTCATCATCTCAGCGATAACGACGAGATCGATGATCAGAGGCGAAGCCAGGAGCGAGTCTTCACAGACGTTGAAGATGCTGATGGTCTGGTGGCCACCCATGAAAATCTCGGCGTAGTACTCGTCGAGAGCACGCTTGTTATCGCCGACAGCGGGCATGTACTTGATGACGACGGTGTGGTCCGGATGCTCACCCTTCTTGTACAGCACAGAGTTGGCAGCAACCATGTCGTCGACGACATTGGACTTGGAGATCTCCTTGGATCGGAACTGCTTGTGGGAGCTCAGGTTCATGCCATCGTTGTTTCCGAGATGGTTGTAGCTGGCGATGGAGGTAAGCTTGATACCTGCGCTGATCAGGAAGTCAACGAGAGCAGACTTCATCTTGGTCTGGCCGGACTTGAAGTCGTCACCGCCGATGAAGGCACCGTGCTTCTGGGCAAACTCGATGGCCCCGGGAACGAAGGTGTTCTGAGGAGAGCCGTTGATGAAGGGAGCATTCTCGAGAATGGAGGCCACGGCAAAGACGGTGGACGGGGATACCTCTTCGTGTCCTTCCTTGATAGCCTTGATGAGGTTGTCGGCAGTATCGTTGACGCCTTCGATGATATCTGCATATCTCTCGGTGTTGGCGGTCCACATAACAAGAACCTTATCGAGCCCATTGGCGGCTTTGAAGTCACTAGTACAATATTAATAAATTTACATTATAATACCAAGGAAAGTTTAAAAGTTGTTGTAAACCTACCGAATGTCCTTTTGGATCTTCTCGACATGCTCCCAGCAGGCCTTGGAGCCAGGGAGGACGTTATCGGCACGCTCCTCCTGGTTGGCAGCAATGAAGTCCGGGTAGTAGATGCTGGGAAGGGGCTTCATGGCGGCCATCTCGTCACGGACCAGGTCCTTGAGGGTTGGCTCGAGGACCTTTGCGCGGTCCATGGCGTCGGCAAGGTTCATGCCGCTGATGTCCCAGCCGCCGATAACGAGGTCATTGGGGTGGACCATGGGGAGCATGTTGTTGAAGGGGATGTTGATCTCCTCTCCGGTCTTGGCATCAGTACCGAGCTTGACGGTCGAACCCATGACGAGGGAGCCGTAGTAGTTGGCAGCACGCTTGCCCTCACGAGTATCCCAGGTCAATCCACGACGGTTGGCAATGATGCCGGCCGTGACGGTAGAGCCGTTGTTCCCGCCCAACCCGACAAGCATGACGCCGGTCTTGCCGACCTTGCGGTCGACCTTGAAGTCATAAACGGTCTCCTTGGGGGTAGCAACGAACTTGCCGTCCTCAGACCTGGTCACGGCCGTCGTACGGTAGACATACTTGGTGTTGATCTCGCTGTCGGTGTAGACGACGTTGGGGGACTCGACCTTGAAGATATCCGACCCAGGCTTGGGAACCGACCCGTTAACAGAGCCATTGGCAGCTGCATCCGCGTGTGGAGCCATTGTTCAATTTCTTTTGGTTCGATCTGGCTGAATTGAAGAACGGATTTATATTATATAGATTGGCAGGCTGAGGACCCTCGGGGCAAGAAGAACCGCAGAGGTTCGATATGCCGGCAAAGAGATCGAGGGTTCCTTTACTTGGTGTGGGGAGATTCCGAGGCTCCTCCACGAGCGGACGAGCGTCGGCTTCCGTTGAACGGGTGGTGCGACCTGCAGATGAACGGTCAGTCATGGCTTCAACGTATTGCTCCATGGGTATATGCACTCACGATGGCAGGAGGTTGGAAAACGTTTTGGCGGTATTGACTGATCAGCTTCTAAAGGAAGAAGTGATCGAGCGAGGGGGAGAAGAGGGTAAACCGGACGTCTTCCGCAGAGCTGGACGAGGTGGACGTAGACTGGGGAATCGAAGCTGAACCGGACGCTGTGGGGTTGCTGGCTGCGTTGATGCTTTGGTGGAAGAGAAGGGAAAAAGGAGGTGAGGACGGCGTTGCGGCGGGAAGGGAAGCCTTTTTATGTTTAGCTCCGACTTCTCGCCCGCCAAAAAGAAACGACGAAAAAAACTCCACAACGTCGGAGAGATCAGGACGAGAGTCTTTGGCCTTGCTCCTTGTCTGCTGTGTAAAGTGTCTGAGCCAGCCTATGCCGTCCTCGCTTTCATTCCACTTTTCGCTCTTCCGCCTGCACAGGATGATCCACCGGTGCAGCCATGACTGAACCTGTCCCGCATGTTTCTCCACGGCCGCAGCCCGCAGATATATATTGGCGCACTGCACGAAGCCCTGTCCCGGGCGGGTTTGCTGCTCGACGGCGTTGGAAGGGCTCACGAGAGCAGCCCCTCTTCAACGGTGATAACTATCGACAGCGACGGAGGGACGAGAGGGGCGCGCGCCGTTCATTGGCGGGAAGCGTGCGGTGGCTTGATATGCAGGCACTAAATATCAGATCCAATGGCTGTCAAGCTGTCATACGAGAGACTTCACACCGACAGAGGGGTTCGTCTCGTCCCCCGGTTGGGCCTCGTTTTTGTTAATTCTGCTGCCTTGTCGCGGGTGGGGGTGGATGGTATTATACACTTCTGGCGGAGTCCTTGGGGTTGCCCACGCTTGCCCACACTTTTCCTTGCCCACGCTTTTCCTTGCCCACACTTTTCCTTGCAATACGCATGAAAAAGCTGCAGGGAATTTCTCTCTCGTCCGTGTTTGTTCACTTCACGACGAGCCGATGTCGCCGTCCAGTTATGGAGCACAGAACACTGCGTATGCTGATATGCACGGAAACCTGCAGATATCAAAGCGGACGGTGATGAGACTGCAGTTCCGAAGATTCTCCGTTGATCTTCATTCGAGTACATACTATGTAGTATGTACATCTTCCGACTCGCTGAGTTGTACAACTTCACGTCTGCAGGTCGCCTTTCCTTGAATATCCTACCCCTTTGCGTACCCTTTGGATGTTTGTTATCTACAGGCTACGGATCACCATTCTCTTCAGTCGACTCTCCTTGGAGCACTCAGGATGTTTGGCTGCTGGTTCCCGAGATCTGCGCTTGGCTGGCTGACGGAATAACCAGGTCAACTGGCCGGGTATTGACCGGAAGACGGTCGACCCCATTCTCGAGGGACGAAAATTTTAATGCGGCCTTGGATTGTGAGACAGGCCGTTCCCAAGTGACTCGTTGCTTCGGTTCCCTTCTGCCATTGAATCTCGTGTCACTGGGAATCAGTCTCTGGGCCCACGGTGTCTTTACCATGAAGAAAAAAGCTTCTATCTGGAATTACCGGTATAGGGGCCTACAACCCTTCGATTGGTTTCTACTAGCGATATCGTCCATCAGTAATTGGCCATGATTGATACTCGCCCGTGAATCGAAAATTTCCGAAGTTAAAGGTTTTTTTTCTTCCTTCTGACCGCCAGTCCAATCTGTCCAAATCTTTTCCCAACGTGATTTTTCGTCCTCCAGCCTCCTTCCATCTTACCGATATTTCCCCTCAGTAGGCATTCCAATATCGCTTCTCGGCCAGCCAAATGATGTCAAATCTTGGGGGAACAAACTATTCCTCGCGGAGAGAGGATTCCGAAGCTGTTGAGGGCATCCTGGACTACTCTTTCAAGGACAAATGCCTAGTTTTACAGGCCTTGAGTCTTCCGGGGTCAAGTGCTTACTCCACAGGCAACAAAGGCCTTGCTCAAGTCGGAGATGCCGCGGTTAGGCTGCATATAATCTCAGAAGGCCATCAAAGGGGAATGTCCCGAGGTAAATACCAGATGCTGCTAGATACCGAGCGCCGACTAATGATCAATGACAGGTCAAATATCTGCTATCCTGGGCCGCGTCTCAAATAACAATAACCTCGCGGAGGTCGGAGTGAAGAAAAACCTTGGGGAATCCATCTTCATAAACCGGAGCCAGGTTGGCTCTATTTCGCCTGGATCGATGGCTACAACTGTCGAAGCATTACTAGGAGCCGTGTATATTGACAGCGAGAAAGACATGGATAAACTAAAAAACTCGATGAATGCACTAGGCTTATCCTTTTCAGAGCAAGCCTAACAATGCTCTTCTCGATTTTGATGTACAATTTCCTTGCCAGCACGGCCTGAGTTCTGTTACCTTTGTTATTATAGATACGCTTGAGAGCCAAAGGTGGGTTTTTTCTTGAAATTCAGATGATGAGATCTAGCGTTCTGGCTGGATCTTTTATTGATATACTTATCTCTATTTTATGCTCAATAGAGTACTCTTAAACATCGGTTCAAACCCTTGTGCAGTACCCACAGACTTGTGCTAATCTAATGCCCTGTTAAGCCCTATTAATATCTACAGTAATCTCTACGGGATTATCGTTATGTCTCTAGGGTAATCATATTCATCCATACTGCTTCCCCGTAAAGAGCTCCTATCCAATGCTGCCCTTTCATTTTCAATAGTCTCATCATCCCGGGGCCCGTGGGCGTTCTTCCGAGAATATATATTGAAAGCTGGCTGTTGTGTGAGGTTTATCCGACCTTTAGTGGCAAGATGTAACCAATATCTCTAGAAGTTATCGGTGTGCCGGTTAAGTTTCACTGCATAAGGGTCATACAAGCCCGGCAATACTGCAACTGAGTGTGCGCAGTAGCCCCTGGCTTTGCCTGAGAGACGCTCCTTTCCTAAGAGCTTGGAAAAAAATCCGACCCAGCACTTTCTCAGAAGAAAAAGATTTCTCCGCCAGTCTCGTAGTTGTCAGTGTACTTTATCATCCTCGGACTATGAGCTGTCGTTTCGGACACATGTTACCAGCCCCCTGACATATTCCTTTGATCCATTTCTGGTTGCCAGCTCCATAAGCTGAATATTTTCGACTCCACCCAGGATGTCCTTATACTGGTCAAATAAGATATCCGAGCCATTTCGAACGTCGAATACGGCTTTGCGTAGAATTTGACATCCAAGGATACACCTCAGAGTCGTTCCGGTAGAGTCTTCAATGCAAAAGGCCTACATGCCGAGCATCTGGATGTTGATAAGGTAGACTTTCTCTTCAGGTCGAACGTAGATAGAAATAATGGATAGAACCGTGGCGGCCCATAAATTCAATAAATAGCGGTAATGGGTCCATGCCGAGCTCTCTTAGGTCCGCTAGGAGGCTCCGAATATTGCTTGGTGAGTTGACAACGATCACGCTGAATTGGCTTAAGTCCTGGTGTGAGCCAGGAGCTCATTTTGGATGAAAAGTTCTTGGATGAAAAGAGGTAAAGTGGTGGATTATTGGGTATGATGATTTCAATTAACGGAGTTACAGCTTAGAGCCCTAATATCTCTGGCTTAAGATGCTGAAGCTTGAAGGGCTATCAAAAAAAAAAAAAAAAAAAAGGCAATAATTAGAACAATGTTGCTTCAAGGTACAAGATATAGCTTTAAAGCGTAGAATTCATGGACCAAAATTCCTGAACGGGGCAGCTATTCCAACAGGATATTAATAGATAAACATTGGCCTTATGGGTACCCTTAGAAAAACTGAGGGCAAGAACATACAATAGTTGGATATCAAATCCGCAAACTAGATCCCCATACAAAACAAGCGAACAGCTTCAATGCACGGCAACCGTATATATTCTTGTTAATATGGCCTTTACCACACAGGTTTCCAGGGATACTTGGTAAAGAGCGTATGCAAAGATATCCATAGAACAAGATATAACCGAAATAGAGATACCCATCTATTCGAGTGTGATTGAAGTATAAGGGTATAAAAATAGAAGAGAGATTCCAATCACCGGCCACCTTGGCCTATTTCCTAACCATGTACATCATACTTTCAAAAATCCTGAAACATACCCCAAGACCTTATTTCCTCCACGTACATTCCAACCAAGTAATCGAATATATCCAAAGAAAATGAACTCATAAATCATAGATCTCCAATTGTATTTCATAAAAGTCATGCGCCGGTTAGATGCTAAACAATTATTCGCTGTTGCCGGCCGCCCTCCATCCAGCTCTTCTGAGTGGGCTGAGGTTTGGGACATTCACCTGGTGCTTGAGTTGGGCTTACGATGATATTGTTCACGATGCTCGCCTCTCCTTTTTGAACCGCCTCAATTTGGTTCTGCGCACACGTCATTACCAAACTCCAGATGTTGCAGGTTGGCGGGACTGTCGGTAATGGGGGCTCAGCATGTGTTGAATTGGTCTCTCCTTGCGTAGAGTAGTTCTCGATACCCTCGGTGACCGTTCCGGTAGCAATATCCATATTGAACATGGCACGGCGGAAAATCTCATAGCCGACTTGTGGCTGGTATGCAAGCATCATGTGTCCGGCTTGAAAGACGCGGGTGAACGAAAAGAGACCGTGTTGACGGACTTGAGCTTTGGGGATGTTCGAACCATCGGTGAAAACATCCGTATAGCCTGCCTTTCGGAAGTTCTTTGCGTCCTTGTAGTCGATGGAGAGACTAACATTCTCAGCTCCAACCCAGTTACATATGAAGTCACGGTCGCCATATACCATGGCTACCTTCACACCAGCGTCCAGTAAGTTGGCGATATCAAGTAGATGCCCACCCTTATCGCTTCGTACGTAGTCTCCTGTGACGTTGAAGACATGCTCAACTGTGTAGGATGGGTCAGTATGGTTTGCAGGTACGCCTAATGCCTCCTGAACTTCAGTCTTCGCTAGGTATCCCAGAAAACTGTTGGACGGGTATGGGTCCAGGTGGCATTGGGCGATGTCAAAAAGGCCTCTTTTCGTTCCGTAAACGTAAACACCGTCTACCTCGGTATTGCAATAGTCGTTGGCACGTTCGCATACGTGATTGACTTCATCAACGTGACCATATCCATCTGGATCGAGCCGCTTAGCGAGTGCATGACAATCTGATATTTGGTCAAGACATCCTCCCCTTTTGCCGTAAGCATGCATAGCTTTGTCATACCCGGCATCATCGATTGCTTCAATGCCATACGTGTTCTTGTTATGCGGGAAATCAATGTTTGACTTCTGTTGAGACAACAGATCCACGCAGCCGTTAATTATTCCAACAGTATCTAAGTGAAGAACTGAGCCAGCTACGAGGCCAGCCTCGATACGTTTGTTCTGTGATAGGAAGTATGCCATAAATCCCGGCGCATAACGACCCCCGTATGACTCGCTCCAGAGCGAAATCTTATCGTTCCCTCTATTGTGAGTGTATGGTTCGAAATCTTGGGTCCAGACCTGGACGATATTCCACATATGTCTTGCAGCGTTGAGAGTAGTATTTGCAGTTTTACTAGGATCACCGCTACCAAAGGTTCCAGAGATAAGAGTACCATCATTACTTGGCTCATGGTCAGGCCCTTCGGGGGTCAATATGTTGGTTTTTAGATCAAGAGTGGCATTGGTGAGCACATCATAACTGAACCCTGTCTGCACCGGTTGGTCGACATATAGCAGGTTGGCCTCCTTGTTCCACGAATGTTCGTTCGGAAAAGTTGACTGGGTATCCTCACTCATACGACATGGCCCACTCTCAACGAATACTCCGACCATAGATCCAGCCCCCGGGCCACCGTTGATGTAGATAGCCAAGGGGGCGGCTTCTGGGTTTATTTGAGACTCAAAATACCAAAAGTAGATATGAGCCGGAAAATCTTGAGGAGCCTCGCGCATAGAGTTGGGAGGGAAGTTGATATAGCCGGAGTATGACTTGGCATTGCCACAGACTCCTTTCTATGATGTGTTAGCACTAGGGAAGCATGGGTGGTAAGATGATGATGGGGAGCATCAAAGTCGGCGTAAGCACTCACGGGCACCTCTTTGTAGGTAATGGTTGCCCCCGGAAGGGATTTGGACTTTATAGTTACCAAATCCTTTGGCCTGGGGGGATAACCGGCAGCAACGAATCCTGCCAGCAAGAAGACATCACGAAGCCTTGAGAATAACATTTCTCTAGCAACAAATCAGAGAAGCCGGCAATATATGCCAACAGGAAAAAAGCCCGAATATCAGACGCTTTATTACTTGCACATGGTATGAAGGGGTGAGAAAGAAAGTCGAGTATCAACCACCCTGATGGTCCCTTGTCCCATGATAAGGCCCTATCTTATATACCACATGCCTTATAAGCGTGGCAATATATATCATATTGATGGCCACAGGTATCGTATCAAGTTCCGAGGGGGATCAAGTGCCGAAGGGGCAGATATGATGAGTTCTCGGTCCACACGATCTGTTTGGTGGTTTGGGAAAGTTGAAGTATATTATCGATTAACCTTTTGTCGGGACAATAACTGCAAAGATGCATGATATCATCTGCAGCCAGCACGAGGAACAAGATAAACTATGATGCGGCCTCTTTGGGTTTCAACGCGCCCAGATTTTGCCCTCTTACGTTAGGTCATGCGACACATCTCTCGGCCATGGCCGCCTACTGTCAGCCAGTCATTCCTTTGTACTATGATAGGTATCAAAGTTGTCGAGAGATAATAATCAGGCTGGATATCATGCGATTTCGTAGACGGATGTCTGCGTGGATACTCCCAGAAAACAGTATTTAGTGGCGTATTGTCCCGACTTTTTGACTGATAAGGACCAGAGTAACTCGATGCATATAAACATTTTGCGACTCAAGACGTTGAGAAGTTAAGCCTCTAATAGCCAACGCCTTTGACGTAGCAACTTTCCCGCCTGGTTTTACCTGCATAGTATATGACCGTGAAGCCGGAATTTTTGCTGTTGGCGATAAAGCATCATGGAAGTTTCCTTGGGGTGTGCACACGATGTTTCTCCGGCCGGCCAAAGAAAGGCTTCCATCGCTAATGCACAGAAAGTTGTGTAATCTTATGCATGCAGGGTCTGCCTAAATCAAGGCTGTAGTCGAGATGGAAATTTTGACAGTCAGATAGTTATGTAACTCTGTATAACTGGCGACGTGCGGTGTCAGATATTTATATCACAAATATACAACAGCTTGCAAAGGGTTGGTGTATCGGATGATCTTCGAAATCGAAGGAGTAATTGGAGTGGTTGCTTCCCTCGTTTCATCACGGGTTTTAACTCCCGATTCGCTTAGGCAACCATCATGTGTCCAACTTAAATATAGTGATCATAAGGGCTATTGGGATGGGATCGGGGCCCCTCTCTTTCATCAACTCAGGTACTGTGTTTTAGAGCGGTGTACCGCATCAAAATCGCCATCCAAAGAGCCATCTTGCCCTACAGCTGCCATGTATAGGAATAGACATAAGTGTGGCGGGTACTTTGAGAACCCATGCCTCGGGTAAGTTTCACTTAAATGGGCTCAGTGAGGGTGCCCATATTAACCCTTAAATATCATATTGATGAAAGCCATAGGGCAGTGTGTATACAGCCCAGATAGAGTTTCTTCGCTTTTATATATATTTAAGAGCTGCAGCATATTCACACCAATGATCACGTTAGTGTTATCAGGAAATTTTCTTACTCTAACACAAGATAAGCAGAGGAATATACCCAACACCCATGCCTACCAGCCTGACGATAGAGACTCGGAGTAAGCCAGGCTCAGATATGAACCTTCTTGTGCAAACTGTAGCTCGCCGAAGCCGTGTTATACCCATGTTCGATGCTGTGCTATCAGTATAGCTGATAGCTTTAGAAGCCAGACAGCCAGCGGGACATTGTTGAACGGGACATCCGATGGTTATCCTGGCAGTGAGATTCTTTTTTATATCTTGTCGTCACTTTCAGGTTGATAGAAGTTTCGGGTTTCCAAAAAGGGAAAGGCCGGGGGTATACGTAACATAGTTATTCCGTGAAAGGCTGCGGTTATATCATGTGATGTCCGAAAGCGGAAAGCTGAGGTTCTATGAAGGAAGACGTCAGTCGAAGTTCTTCGTAAAAAGGACATAGTAAAAGGCCGACTTGATGATGAGGATTGTGGACGATTTCCGTGAGTATTCTGGTGATTTGTGTTGCCAAACCCGGCATCGGACGCAGAATGTTAGTAGTCACCTTCATGTGACGGGAGGCAAGTTGATCTCTTTAATACTCCGTACAGTGCGGTTGATTCCATGTATACTTGCATGGCTGACTCTATCTTAATATAGGGAATCGTCGATCCCAACGGCATTTTACCAGGAGAGTTTGCCAGATTGCAGACTGAGCATGGCCAACCTGAGGCAGCAAAGGCTCCATGGTCGGTGTGGACTCGCGGGAAAGGCTTGCATATACGGCGAGACGGGCGGAATCCATGTTCCTTGTTGCCTTAACAACTGCTCTGTATATGCCTTGCAGCCTTTCTCACCGTGAGAGATGGGAGGCCATCGTCCAATCTGCTCACCAGACCTGCACGGCTCACACGTTCATGCAAACGATTACTCCGTCCAGCAGGGCGAAACATCGAGATTTGTTCCCATCAAGCTACCTCCCCCCCGCAAGAAAGATCGAGCTACATCGATTGGCTGGCCAGCCTTCTCGTCTCTCTTAAATGAGTAAATATAACATGCTTTCCACCATGACCTGCATAACCAGCGCTTCTAACTTCTCTTCGTTTAACCCCTTTTTTTTTCCTTTCCTTCTCTCAGGGGTTTTTGATACCTGGTGATCGCCGGATCCACCGCGGCGCGTCCATGTCACTTTGCTCTGATTGGCTAATCGCACCTGAGTCAGCATAAACAGCGTGGACGGGCCTGGCTCTATTCCATTTTGGGGCAAAGAGTGCCTTACGCCTTTCCTAAAGAGGAATAGCTTGTCGCTCGATTGGACAGGGGAAGCTTGAATCACGTGACTATCTAGTAGTCCATTGCCTTTCCGGGCGTTTTGACCGAAAGGAGAGCAAAAGGAGAGGACGAAAGCACAGCGAGTTGACTGACATGCGTTTTTCATCTCTATTATTGTTTCCTTTGCATCTTCACCTTCATTCACTCACTCTCCCTTTCACGACTTCCACCTTCTCCGATATATACAACAGCTCTACCCAACCGTCCTCTACCCGAACGCTGACAGGGCCCCGGTTCACCGCTCTGCTTGGATTTTACTCTCACCCGGCTTCTAGAACGGACACCAGCCCCCCCTGGAACCTCCTATACCTCCCACAGCATAAGAGTCAGTCTTGCCTGGCTGCAGTGCGCCTAGGTACGCCGCTTCATACTTTTTCCTCTTTACAAACATTGCGCCGACCAGAAGACTAGATTATTACCTCAATCTAATCGGTCTTAAGATATTTAATTACTCTCGCTACACTACGCACTACCGCGGACAGCCGTAAGGCCCAATTTCCGGAAGCAGACTTATATTATTGAGTACACGCAATATAGACGACGGACAGGCGGAAAGGACAAATTAGATAGCTAGAACGAGACGGTCACAGAGAATAGGAGAGACATCGACTTATAGCGAATGGATGCGCTGTTCTCTCTCTCTACACACATGCGGTGAATCTGAACTTATCAACGACAACGGTGTGGGGGAGGGATCATGATGGACGCCTTGCCCAAGATCAAGTGCTCTGACTGCCATGCGGAGGTCGAGCTGGTCACGCTTGGAGACCATGTTTGCTCAAAAGTCGCGAGTCCTACGGTGACAACCTCACCTGTTGAAGAGAAGTTGTCTGTGTCAGAATTCAACGAACATGGCCCGCCACCGAAAAGGAGCCTCAGTCGTGAATCGCTGTTCAACAGACTAGGACGTGTGCAGCCTCCTCCAAAGATAGATCCAACAGCTGCCAGTATGTACATATTTTATATGTTCTCCAACTTAGTTGATTTGACGCAGGTCGCTGACAGTACGATACAATGCTAGATCGACCATATCTGACACATGGTACACAGCTCTCTCCTGGGGGGTTTGGTGCACTCACTCCGCTCTCTGCCTCGCCACTTTCACCTCTCCAGCAACTGCAGCGAAGCCATACCAGCCCTACTATTCCACCACCATCGCCTGTCGCTGCCGTTGTGCCTGAAGGCAAGGCGAATCTGGACTGTGCTTTTCCCCCGTTCCCCAGGCCAGCCTCTGCAGGCGGATCAAAGGCTAAAAAGATTGCTGCATCTATAAACACCAATGTTTCCTCTCACAGAGGCATTACTTCCCCTTCTCCTTCAGATGGTAGCTTCATGTCTCCATCAACAGATGGTCGGAGCTCACGCCCAACCACGGCCAACAGGCATAGACGGGAGGCATCAATAGACAGCAAGAGCTTTCAGCGTATATCCATGGCCAGTTCCAGAAATGGACATAATCTCCCATCTCCAGTCTCATCTCGCAGATCGTCCCGAGGCCGGTTTGGGGACGACAGTATTCCTCCGATTCCGTCGGGGCCTATCACCGCCCTTGCCAGTAGCCCCGTGTTTTCATCTGGAAATTCGGAGCCGTTTTATTTCGGCAGTAATAATAATGACGATAGCAATAATCGGGACCCTGGTTTTGGGGGAGAGCTTCCTCCTAGAGATAAAGTACGAAAAATGGACGGCATGGAAGGCCTAGATTTTGGTTTCACTACTAGGACCAAATCCCCCGAGATGATGGACGGTGATGATAAATCAGAAAATATGGACGGTTCAGACAAATGTCCAGACAGCCCTGGTCCATCTATTCCCGAGCATAAAGTCGATAGGGAGTTCTCCGTCTCCAATTTCGCCAGTGGCCTAGGGCTCGGAGATCCATATCATTCCACCAACGACTCAACTTCGTCTTCTAACTCCTCCCCATCTGAGGCACCGTCAAACAGTTCTTTCTCGAGCAGACCCTCACAATCGTCAAGCGTCTCCGAACCCAAGTCAGCCCTATCAGATAAAAATAATACCGACCATCTAAGTCTTCTTGAAGAAGAGCCACTAGTACGACCTATTGCAGACCCATATGCCTATGACCTCGACTCTCCAACTGACCCTCTATTCCAGCAAGGTCGACTTTCAGATCCATCGGCCAATTTACGCCCATCGAGCAGAGAGAGAGAATATGCTCCCCCGCCGCGGCTCGAGGCAGTGCCACCAAAAAAGTATACCCCGTACCGCTCTCCAACTCCATCTCCAGGCTTGCAACGTCCTTCTTTTGATCAACAGCAACAACAATCTCCGCCACCGCCGCCATCACCACCACCAGAGCCTCAGCCTGAGTCACAGCCAGAGTTGCAGCAGCAACAGCCTCCTCCAGAACCGCAAGAAAAAGAACCACAATCGCAACCGCAACCTCCACCCTCCCGGTCCGCAACCCCCGGGAAACGTCGCCATCCTTGTCGTGGCTGTGGTGAGATTATCACCGGGAAATCAGTGTCCTCTGCGGATGGCCGTTTGACAGGCCGCTACCATAAGGCTTGTTTCGTCTGCCATACTTGCCGCTCTCCTTTCCAGACAGCAGACTTTTATGTCCTTGACAACCATCCTTACTGTGCGGCAGATTACCACAGACTCAATGGCACCCTTTGTGCAGAATGTGGCGAAGGAATCGAGGGTCCCTGCCTAGAGGCAGAAGATTTCAGTCCCGATAACGCGAACAAGAAGAGCCAAAAGTTCCATCCGGACTGCTTTAAGTGCCGCACCTGCCGTGTCGTATTGAGAGGTGATTACTTTGAGTGGAACGGGAATGCATACTGTGAACGTGATGGCAGACGAGCCGCGGGTATGATGCCTCCGCGCTCACCAGGTTACCCTCCACCACACAATTACCATGGTCAACACCCTCCGTCCCCATTATCGATGCACCCCGTCGGACCCCATGGCCATCCAGGCCCTGGTCCCGGCTCTAGCCCAGGGTACAGGAGGCCACCGTACGCTTCCTCACCACTCGCAGGCCCTCCACCTAACGGCCGTGGTGACCCGCGATTTAGGCCAATGAACCCATCATCTCTTCGACCCAGGCCTGATCAACGTAGACAGCACCCCTCACAACAGCAGTTTGCGAACTCCCCATCACTTTCCCCGAGCCCTGGAAACGGCGCACCTGAAAACGGATCAAACCCTCCCGGTAGAAAATTCCCAGAGCGACGAACTACCAAGCTGATGATGGTATAAACATCACATTATGTTTACTCCACATTTATCTAATTCCTCCCTTTTCGATCTACGACTTCTCTATTAATACCATACTATCAATGCCTTACTATGCTATGCTATGCGATATAACTGACGGCGGGACAAGAAGAATCTTTACTACTGCTCTGCCCTCTATACTCGAAGAGCGGACGGATTATTGTTTAATGTTTTTGTGTAATTTTTATTGCCTGACTTTATTTCTGCCTTACTTTTAGGTGGTGATTTGCTTTGATACTTTTCTTGTGCTTTCCGATGTTTCTCTACTCTTTTATCTGCTCTATCTTTTGTCTGCTTTATGATATCCCTATGCCCACTTCCGTTCTATTCGTGCCTTGAAGGGACTCTTTATATATCTTCTGATTTCTCGTCGCTCTTTTGGTGTATCTCCACTTCAACCACAATCCCTGCGCTCTGCTTGATGCTGCTTCTTTTTCTTGATGGGTACCTCGAATACCACCCCCTGTCCCTTTTTGCCTGCTGCTTTTTGTATACCCGTCTTTTAACCCCTTTGTGCTTCGCTCAGCATTTATATATTTACTATTTATTATCTATCTAGTTATTCCTCCCCGGACTCCCAGCGCTCCAAATCAATCAACCATGTCACCTTAACAACAAACATCGGCCAACCTGTTCTATCTTCATCTTTGGTAGTCCGCCTTGCTTCTTCGTGGAAGATCCCCGCGCCTTGTGGGGTGTTCAGGGGTTTTCTGGCCGTATTTTGAAGCTTATCGACATGGTTTTCTGGTATACGAGATGCGACAAGCTCCAACACGAAGAGTTAGGTGCCATTCATCGATGGCACGGTGGCAGCACCAGAGGCAGGTCCGAGTATGTTGATGCAGCATAAATACGATGTGTTGCATATATTGAAAGCTTCGACTATGCTTTAAGGCTGGTCTTCACGGTCGCTGGAGAATGCTCACGAATATAAATTATACCACAGCCTCCCGCCCATACGGGAGGATATATATCTAACAACAGCATAACTACATCAACAGACAGACTATCGACCAAACTTGATAATAAACATGAAGCTTGCCCTCTTTGTCCAATTGGCGGCCGTATCCGCTCCAGCTCTCGCGGTTGACCTCGCAGTTCAAGTCGGCCAGCATGTCATATACTCTTACCCAGGCCTTACGCCTCCAGAGAGCCTATACAAGCTCACCTCGCAAGGCAAGGTCGGCGGTCTCATAATCTTCAAGGAGAATGTCGGCTCCAACCTACCAGCCATCATGGACAAGTTCCAGGCTCTCTACAAGGCCTCACCAGCCTACAACGGCCATCCCATGATCATTACCACCGACCAGGAGGGCGGCAACGTCCGTCGTGTCCCCGGCGGTCCAAACATGACTGCACGGCAGATTGGCGATTCCTCGACTCCCATGAGAGATGCTAGCCAGGCCGGACGGGATGCCGCAGCTGCATTGAAAGCACAGAAGTTGAACGGAAACCTGGCGCCTGTTTTGGACATTTATCGTGAAGAAGGCAACTTCATCGACGAGTTTGGCCGTTCATTCGGTAACAATGCCGAGATAGTGAGCGAGTGTGGTTCGGCCTTTGCTATCTCGCAGTCTCGTGCTGGCGTGCTGTCAACGGTGAAGCATTTCCCTGGCCTTGGAGCCGCAAAGAAAGGTGAAAATACCGATCTGGTTCCTATCAAGATCGATACCTCCTTGGCTGAGCTTCGTGCTATCGATGAAGTGCCATACCATACCGCCATTGCCAACGGTGTCGACATGATCATGACGTCTTGGGCGGTATACCCCGCCATGGACGCTAAATATCCTGCTGGTCTGAGCAGGAAGTGGGCCACCGATGAGCTGCGAACTAGACTTGGCTATAAGGGCGTTATTATCACTGATGCTATCGAAGCTGGCTCTCTCAGAAGCTTCGGAACCGACGGACAGCGAGGTGTGATGGCTGCGAAAGCCGGAGTTGATATCTTGCTTGCTTCCGGTAGGAATGCAACTCAGGGGGAAGCCATCGTTAACGAGGTTGTGGCGGCCTTGAAGAATGGGGCCTTGTCCATGACCGAGTTCCAGGAGAGCACAATGAGAATCCAGGCTCTCCAGAGTAGGCTTTCCGCATAGCTGGCCTACATGTAGATAGTCATTGTACATAGATGATTGGTAGATATATATTTACGGATTGATGAATGGGATAAGACTTGTGTCATAGACTATTGTTTAAATATTAACTAGCTATATATATATATTCATACATTTTTATGAAATGGTTAACTCCAGGGTATCTCAAGATATTACACCACCCAGCGCTCAATATTCAATGTCGTAGCTCATACGGCAAAACTAGCCGGGTAAAAACGTCCTCTAACGCATTCAAAACGATAGAAGAAATAAAAAGAAGAAGAAAATAAAAGAAACAAACTAACAAGGCATGGGAGTTACAGAGCGATCTTCCCCTGTAGGCGTGACTAGGGTCCCTGCCCTGCCAGTCGGAGCTAGTTCTTCCAATGAGGCCGTTGTCTCTCCTCGGCTTAGGTGTTGACTGTCGCTTCGAGAGCTAAAGGATTTTAGATTAATGAACGAAATGACTCTCTGTTCCCTATGGCCTTGAGTAGATGGATTCGAACTCGACGCGGAATTGGCACAAGGCATTTTAAGCGAGTAGTTGGGCTGACCCTCCCCTGGAGGCGATTTGAAAAGTAATCTGAAGGTTGGAAGACATCCAACAATTATAGCTGAATGCATTGTCAGTTATAGTTTCTAATCTGAATGATATATACGAGATGTTCGTACCAGTGGTAGCTTCGACTGCCCCCCAGAGAGATAACCATTGGACGTTCGGGTTAGTGATGCCAGTTTTGGAGCCGATCTGAACGAGACGGATGATGGCAGTGATCATGCAAAGTACTCCGACAGAGAATAAAGCGCCAGCTCTAATCTTCTGGGAGTGAGAGATGTGCATTTTATATAGGAGTCTCAATGGGAGCATCATGACTGTGATATAGTTATCAGCATCTCTATCAATGTTAATGTGTATCAAAAAAACTTACTTAGAATATCAGTCGAAACATCACCCGCGAACCAACCGAATAAACTCAAGTTTCGGGTTATCGAGTCCATATGACTCTGACAGTACGCTGTACATCGTCAGCCAATTTTCCAATAAGCGTGTGTGTTTAAAAATGGGTCAGCCTACATTGACCAACGTGGTTGAGCTGTTGAGGCCCACCACAGGAGAGCAGAGTCGTAAGGAACCCGAACGCAAAAGTGACGATAAGGTAGGCTATAGTTATATTCAACCACCAAACTTGGTCTGGTAAGGCCCTCAGGAACGGACGAAAGAAGAGAATCAGGGAGATCTTGATGCACCAAAGCGACGAGTAGAAGAGGTAGGTCGAAACGTAGGCTAAAACAATGACATCGTGTCTGTCGTGGATGACTTCTGGGTAGACCGGCTTTATGCCCAGCGTCACATAACTGAGCCGGTAGACTCGCGGCTGAATATTGAGCAGAACAAGTTCGTTTGCGAGGTAGAGCGCATATGCAAGTATGATGGGGAAAACTTCTGGTTCCATGAGCCGTTTGTGCCGCCATCGAATGTATGCAGTAGGGATTAGGATCACGGAGCCTAGAACAGTCATGGAGACAATGAAGATGAAGAGGCTCTTTTCACTTATCCATATTTCCGCGGTAGGGCTGGCCTTTGCTGGTCCCGTCGACGTCATTGTTTCTATTCAATTGGGGTCCAGCACACTTGTAGAAGGTGAATTGGTGATGTTCCAACAAAACCAACTGCTCCCAGGGCTTCGAGCGATGCTATTTATTATATTCAGGACCCGAGCCATCGGAAGAGCCGACAACTAGGTTTTTCTGAGCGAAGAAATTGCCTCCCCCCTCCGGCGTTCTGGAAGATAGTTGCGCCCTCCTCAAAGACTTGGGGAAACAAAAACAAGGCTGGAAAAGAAAGAGAGGGAAAAAGAAAGGAAAGGATGGTAGGCTCGTCACGCCACAGTTGCTATATATATGTTCAGGAACCAGAAGCAGGACGATGCCGGCCAGATATACGGGCTGTTCTGGTCACCACTGACACCATCCCCGTAGGGGCTTAGCTTGCTTATGGCTTGCAGCCGATCAAGAGGTCAAAGCAAGCCCAGCAAGCCCAGCAAGCCCAGAAAGCCATGCACTACAGTCTGATCTCGAGTCCACTTCTCCAAGGGTCAGCTAAGTGCGTCCAAGGTATGTACGGAGTACATATTTATGCTGGTGATCAGACGAGAAGCGCGAGTCTCTGAGCGAACTGGAGTTCATACACCGAGCGACCAACACGGCACGGAGGGTCTAGATGAACGTTAGGGCGAGCACCAGGGCCTCCTGTATAGTTGCATGTTGATACAGCCATCAAAATGATTCAAAATCTTTGCCACTGCCGTAAATGAGGAGACATGAAAAGGGACAACCCAAAAAAAAAAAAAAAAAAAAGGAAAAGGAAAAGGAAAAATAATAGGATAAATCCACCAGAGCTAGTTGATGCTTTTTCGATGGCTGATGGAGTGATCCTTCACTGGTGGACTTGAGCTTCTTCCCTGTCACTCCACGAGTTGCGCATCAGGGCCTTCTCGCACTGCATGGTGTGAAGACCCTACCTGAGGCTGAAACTTGCTATCTCAAAACATAATTTTCCCTCGCAGAGGGGCTCGAAACACTGGGGCTTGCTCCTCGTATCATATTCTGTAAGTGATATTGGCCACTAGCTAGCCTTTGGACAGTCGGTCCTCTAGCGTGGGTAGGCTGGAAGTTGGCTAATATATCGAAGAAATGGAGCGAAGATGGAGGAGAGATGAAGGCCGTCTGAGCAAGGGAATACAGGGCAAAACACCATGCAGGGACTAACGAGGCTCCATCCCATCGTACATAGTACAAACACCCGGATGGACCGGCCGGTTCAAAAAAGGATACCGTAGACGCATCCTTGCTTCTTCCATGAAGTCGTACAATCAATGGCTGTAGACAACCCCCACGGAGCCAGACAAGAATCCTTCACAACCACCAAAGCATAACCACTGAACTATTACCCCGAGTGAAGACGAGCTCTAATCCTAACGCTTTTTGCACCCCTTAGACGAGCCAGTCCCTAATCATGGCTAGGGTGTAAAGACAGGACGCTGACGGACGGGACGGCTGAGCATAGACGTCTTCCTCCCCTTGCCAACGGCAACTAGCGAAGTGAGACTTCGTGATATGTACCACCCATGCCTGTACTTATACAAGGTTTTTGATCCGTGGGGGACAGAGTTGCACACTACGGAGTACTTTGTGTGTGTACATATCCGCGTAGGTTGGGCCAAGCAAGAGCAGATGATGACAATATAGACTCTGCTTGACTTTACCAGTGCGATGGCCATGGACTATCGGAAACCTGCGTGGGCTGGCGTGAAGCTACCATGGCGACGGCATACTTTGGCGTCGACAAGGCTGGTTTATGCCAATGAGACATAATCTCTAACGGCGACGTTAAACCGTTGGATGTTTCTTATTTCTTATAACTGGCGACGGCTCCAATCACATGGAAATGAAATGAAGGCTTTCAAGTTACTCCGTCTGCTGACTCTATGGTCTGCCGTTTGAATATTAAATCATAAATATTGGGTTGAAGGCGAGTAGAGAGCCAAACCCCGAGGTCCTTAGCAAACCATAAGTGTATACGGAGTATATAAGTCTAGATTGTAGGACAGATAGCATCATAAGCTGCTGGGTTGATGAACTCTGGGAAGGGGCTGTTATCGTATCCTAGACGGGCCACCGTGTTGGCTGATCATAATAGATGTTGCAGTGAGCGACCAGGCTTGTAACGAAGGGGTGAGGAATCCAACTTACCGTTCTTCTTATAGACAGGCCATCCATGGTTATTGAGCCCGGTCCAGGGATTAGCTGCAAAAGTGGCCCAGGCCTTTTGCATAAACCTCTTCAGCACGGTTTGCTCTGGAGATTCTGGGTCTCCGGTGACACCTCGAGAGTTGCCAAATATCATGTGTAAGTCAACTCCGTGATATGCGCCACTATTAGGGAACAGCCGGGTGTTATCCCAGTCGGCAAAGTAGCGATATCTCCACACGGGAACCTTGTGCTGGGTTCTGTAGTCTGCTTCCTTCATGGTCGGACACCCAAACACTTCTGTAACGAACTGTGCCCATTGGTCATCGGTGAGGACGGTGCCCCGAGCCCATGCAGAGATGTTATAGAAGGAAGATTCACGGTCTCCGTGGCCAAGTATCATGGGCTAGCACAATTCAGTCGGCGATGTTTACAGTAAAAATGTGACAAAAACTTACGACTTGAGTGAATTTCCCCTGAGACGCCAGCGTATCATAATCGTCGAAGACGAGTTCTCCATCGGGACCAGGCTGGAACACAGGCTGGGAGCGCGCAACGCTCGTATTCGGCGGTGGACGGACCTTGTCAGCAGCTACTCTGATCTCGTCAACACTCTTGCTCTGCATGCAAGCTAGGACATCTCCTTCTGAACCGCAACCAACGAAGGAAGAAGCGTTGTACCAGTTCCCGGCCGCAAGTTCCCTTGAATTCAATGGGAAGCTAAAGATTGTACCGGAATGGGCTATGAGGCCAGACACGATTGGATCATGCCGATATGCATAGGAATACGCATCGACAGCAAGGGCACCAGAAGACTGGCCAAAGATGGTGATTCGTTCTGGATCTCCGCCAAAGGCCTTGACATTGTCACGAAGCCACTCGATGGCAAGCCGCTGGTCCCGCAGGCCCAGGTTCTGGCGCTGACCAGGGGCGCCAGGGAAGCCAAAGATGCCAACTCGATAGTTGACCGTGACCACCACAACGTCCTCTGCGTCTGAGAAGAACTGGCCGTCGAAAAAGGGCGTGTTGGTGTCTCCGATCGTGAATCCTATGTCCCTCCGTCAGTAAGTGGTATGTATACACAGTAGATAGAGCGATAGCATACGTCCTCCGTAGAAAAAGACCAACACAGGCCTCTTCCGGCCCGCCGTGCCCTTCGTCCAGATGTTCAGCGTCAGGCAGTCTTCACTGTGAGCGTTACCTCCGCTGCCCATAAACGCTGTCAGGATCCTGGCGTAGTTGGGCGTCGCGCCAGGAAAAGCGACCAGCTTCGACGGCGTATATACACAATCACTTCGGACAAAGACAGCCAGTCAGTCAACAAGGGTTGTCTCGCTGGTCATTTGAACATGATATGGCACTCACGCTGACTGCGACGAGTTAGCTGGAGCATCTGAGGGGACGGGAGGTTGTGCAGTTTTTGACATACAAAGGCAGAGGCGACGTACGGCTTGTCGCCAACGTATCGCCGCGGCGGCATGAATCGCAGCTTGTCGACAGGAGGCTGAGCATAAGGAATCCCAAGGAACTCTTTGACGCCTGACGCTGCTCTGGCTCGATGGCCGGTGATGAGGCCGTTGGTCGTGTTGACCGTGAAGGTGAAGCAGCTCGCCAGCGCAGCCCATAGCAGGCATGCCGTTGCTACACAGAACATCTCTCCGGGCTTCATGGGCCGTCACGTATCAAATATCTATATTTCCGATCGCTTCAGGCGCTGATGAAAAAGAAGATCACAGGTTTACAGGCTCGGGATGCAGCCCGTTCAGCATTTAAATATGGGCGTTTAGTTACCCTTGTCCTGCCTGTCATTCACCAAGCAACAAAGCCTTGCAGCTTTTACTTCAAAGGATTCGAAAAATTCATATACCAACGGGGGGCTTCTGGGTTCACGGCTGTGTCATTCTTTATGGCCATGACGGTCTGGCCAAATTATCCATGGTTTCGCTGGAAATTCCTATGGATCTTTCTGCCCTTGAGACAGTTCCCTAGACTGTGGCTCAGTTGTTACAACCAGGGAATCGATGTCTACAGCTTGTGCTGGATGCTGCAGTCCAGGAATAGAGCTATTCATCGAAGGCAGCTCAAAGGATATATCCCCTTGATGGTCCTATACCAATTCTTACTTCCATTCCCTGAATTAAGGCCGACTCATAACAGGACCATCTCTCCTACTGGCATCTACGACCACATCTTAAAGGAATACCACGATTATACCATTTATAATGATAGACCCCTTATCATGATACTCCTATTATTCCCGATATGAATACCACACTCTTTGCCGGTCACACCAGGCCTCCAGAGTGGCAACCAGCCTGCTTAAGTGTAGATATATACTTATCTAATATAGGAGTCCCTTTTTATATACAATTAAAGGGACTCGAGGTCTAGTCTAGAATCTATATTTTCATGGCCTCGACGATTCCATCGCCACCTTCTTCCGCTGGGTCCCAGAATTGGACAACCTTAAGACCTGCCTTCTCCAATAGCACAGTCCACTGTTCCTTTGTACGCTCCATCCCACCATTAAAGGCCATCATTGTCATATCTAACATTGCTTGGAACTGAGATGCACCTACTTCAGGAATAATCATCTCGTGAAGGAGAAGCTTCGAGTAACCTGGTGTCATGGCGGATGCAACTCTTGCAAGAATCTTGAGGCACTGCTCATCGGACCAGTCGTGTAGGATATGGTGGTAGAAATAGGCCCTTGCACCTATAAAGAATTTAGTAAGAGTTCTTTTTGGAGAGAGTAGACGAGCAGTAGCTTACCAGTGATGGGCTGTTCCGTAAAGAAATCATACGAAACCTTTTCAATCGCCGAGTCCAAACTTCCAAGCGCTTCCGTAACAGCTGGTAAGTCTTCCAATACCAGCCTGCCGGTGTTGGGGAACTTCTCTTTATACGCCAACAAGTCATGACCCTTTCCTGCGCCTACATCCACAAGCAAAGCCTTATCAGGTGATGCTCCATCTATAATTCGGCTCTGTACTGGATACCAGTCAATCCAATATGTACGGGCACCCATTGTATTGCCCATAAAGGAGTTGAAGTCCGCAAGCAGGGATGGTATGGAACTAATACGTTCAAAAGCAGTTTTCTCCGTGTTGAAAGCGTACTGGATAAGTCCGTTCTTTGGGTCAGATGGGCAGGTATACCCTCTTTCTAGCAGGTAAGCTGGAGCACTTTGAATAGCAGGAACAACTAGCTGGGAACTAAAAGGCACAGTTAGTTATCATAACGGGGGAATCAGGGCAACTATATATGTGTAGTAACGTACAGCATTCGATGGCCAGCAGCAATTCCCTCTATAGTCATGGCATGAGTAATACGAGTCGCTTTCCATGTTTTCGGAGCTGTTTCTTCAACGAAATGCTGTGCTGTTAGAGGTCGTAAGACACGGACTATAAGGTTTCGGCATTAGTATGGATACCATAAAGTCTGGATATAGGGTGTTTACCTATCAGCAGCTCCTCTGCGCCAGACAATTCGGCCAATTTGGCAGAGTTAACGGGCTCGTTTTTGACTATGTGCGAAAATAGATTCAAGTCGACAGCAATTCTGACAGTGGCGGCAATCATAGGCTATAGAGGGGTAAGTATATAGGTATAATATATGTGACGAATAGAAAGAAACAGAGAATAAGACGGGTTAAAAGGTATAGTACCGAAAAGAGCATGTCAACCGCTGTGGTTTCTGGCTGCTCCAGCTGGGCAGTGAGAGCTCTACTGATTTGTAAACATTCTCTCTTCGCTTCATGGTCTGCATCGTCACTGAGTCTCGGAGCAAGATGCTGCAACTTGGCTATGAGGGCAGCAGGCTCTCCATTGTTGGTTACCGTGGCTGAATTCATGGTGGCAAGAAGATATTTGTCTCGACAAACTGCACGAAGTTGATGCAAAGAGGGGTAAAAGTGAGCCAGGTGCCTGGAGCAACACAGGGTGCTGTTAATTAGTTATATATTTCATATAACAACTTCGTATCTCTTTCATGTTGGTGCACCGCCTTGTGGACGCCATCCCCATGTCTAACGAAGCAGAAAAAACAACTAACGGTTAATCATTCGATAGTTATTCCTTTCTGAGCTAGACAACAGCCTCTTACGGTTAGTTCCGGTTCATGATTAACAGCCAGGGCTTCTCTCACCTGTACAAGCTGTGGGGTTGGTGTATATAACCACTAGCTATAGCCGTAGGTCTGTTCACTGGAGGGTTGCAGAGGGTTCGCTCCGCTAGAAAAAACCATTTCATGTGTTCAGCCATTTGCTACCCACAGCAAATCGTATGTGACACCTCGCAAGCCAGGAAATTAACTCGTGGAGGACGAAGAGTACGATGTACGTAAATGTACGTAAACAAGATGTTCGAGAAGGCGTCGAGGTCTGATCCCTTGGGAAATCTTAACCTTGTTAACTTGTAAGTTACGCTTAATTTGACGATCGAGAAGCGCTCCTGGATTATCATGGAACCTCCCGCTCGAGTTCTCCAGCTCTCCGGGGCATTGACTAGTTGGACTGTGGTCTGAGAAGAGACTTGGACCATTCCTAGACCTGGTCGGGGGGTAGCAGCCTGTGAGAGACAATCCGTGTTACCGAGAAACTTATAACTAACGGTTAGGTATAGATAGAGCAACGCCGTGAGTGCGATACGAGAGGCGGAAATCTTTAACTATTTAAATAGTTTAAACGTTGATCCACGGATAACTACAAGGGTCGAAGGGTATATCGATGAACTGGAAGGCTCGGTCACATCCTCAGTTTTCAAGCCACAGGGTGGCCATGCGGCGATAGAGGGTAACGCTACTATTGAGGGCTTGCTCTACATAGTTTTTCCTAGGTGGTATATGGGAAAAATAAGCGTTATTAAAGCGAGGTTTATGGGAGAATGTTCGTATGCCATATGGCTGTGATCGAAAGGATCTTCGCATTTGGCATCTAGAAGTTCGTCAAGCGCCAATACAAGCTAGTACGAGGACTCGTAGACTATGACTAAAGTGACAGATATTTGATCAATTACCTGGGGGTTTGTGGTAAGTACGCAGTATTCATAGTTGAACTATTAGACACCGCATAGCAATTTCCTGAGCAGATCGTCCCCGAACGATCGCCATACAAAGCGGCTTAACTACTGTTAGGCTTTTACTAGCATAGAAAATAAGTCAGAAGAGAAGAGATACAACGTTACGATTGACCGTGGGTCATAAATTCTCCGTTGGTTGTTTATATAGACACTCCCGATTCCCCATAATTACGGGGTACAGCCAGTCCGGCCCGTTATACCATAGTTCTCAATGTCTTTGATTGTTCTATAGAGATTCCATCTCACCTGTTCCTCTCTATCCTCTTCCTTTGTTGGATCGAAGGACTGTTCACAATGCTCATGTCCGGGCCAGCGTACATGGGGACCACTGTGCTGGTCCTCGCCTGGTTTCTTGCCGGCGTTGCTATCTGTGTTGTTGGTACCAGATACTATGTCAGGTGGAAAATCGTCGGGAGGTTCACAGTGGATGATGCGCTTATTTTGATCGCACTCGTGAGTCCGGCTTGAATCCTTTTAGAGAGGGAAAAGGATATAGCTAACCGGTTGCTTGATAAAGGCCCTTGGGATAGGAAATTCTACATTCCTAACAATTTCCACCCATTGGGGGCTAGGAACCCATATAGCAGAATTATCCAAACAGCAAATTATGTATACGGTGAAATGGGTATATCTCTGCGAATTCTTCTCCATCATGTCGCCTGGGGTTAGCCGCATCGCTTATGCGTCGTTATTGCTTGGTCTTCTTCCCCCGATTCAATGGCGAAGTCGATTGCTTTGGACCCTAATATGGATTCAATTTGTGGTTGATATTGGGACCGTAATAATCAGCTTCGTCCAGTGCCGGCCGATATATAAGTTCTGGGATCCCAGTGCCCCAGGTCACTGCTGGCCGCCGACTGTGCAGCAATATGTAGGCTACTTTCAGGGCAGTAAGTTTACTCCCCTTATGAACCTTTTGTTTTTTCATTGAAAAGAGATACTGACATTGTAAATTGAAGGTGTATGCTCCGCGGTTGACCTCGCCCTTGCCGTCTTTCCAGCCAGCATATTTTGGAATCTGAACATGGAACTTAAGAAGAAAATATCGCTTTCGCTCTTAATGGGCCTCGGAGTCATGTAAGCGCCGTTATGCTTTTCTGATAAGACAACCGAGGCTAATGAACAAAATTCAAGTGCAATGATTGCATCAATTATCAAAACTATCCAGTTGAGAGCAATCACAGCAAGAGCGGATATCACTTATGCTATGGCCCATCTCGCTACTTGGTGGACCTTGGAAGCGTATCTCGTCATCATCGCAACCTCTATACCCACACTAAGGCCCATCATGACACCGAATAAACAAAGAGACGGCTCGAACAAGAGATCGAATGTCAGCGACTCCCACCAGTCCAGCTATATTCACAACAAACAGTTTGAAAAAACCGATGATCGAAAGCTTCTGGATAGAAGCTGTGGCTCAAGGAATAGTACCCCGAATAATACTGAGGTCTATCTTATGGAAGAGGGCAAGGGGCATGACAGCTATAGCTCTGAAGGAATAGATGGAATAAAGAAGGTGACAACCATTGGTGTGGCATATGAAGCCGCCACTGATAAAGACCAGAGAAAGTCGATGGGAACTGGTTTTGAATAAGGATACCCTACCGGCTTTCGAGTCATGTACATTGAATAAAAAAATATACGGCGGACTATAGCTTACAGCCGATCGAACTTCCCAGTGTCGGATTTACATATGATCCGTCAATGCAGCAGGGCCGTGATAATCTAAACATAAAATCACCAACGTTGCCCTCTTTATATTTTATGTAGTTTCACCCCTTACATTAATGCGCTATTTCATGTGCTATTTAACGTGCACAAAATGAGTCTTATTAAACAGCCGCCGAGGCTAGCACGATATCCTTTCTTATCTCTCGGAGCTATTGGATTAGTGTACAAGATCGACGAGGAGATCGTTCTAAAGATACACGAGGAAATAGGAGTGATGCATTCTCACGGGAGATTAAGATGTTTGACCTCTTCGAAAAACATAATCCGTGTCCTATGGTTGTCCAGAGCTTTCTACGTGTTCCAGAGGGCAACTTCCTCGCTTTTCTTAGAGGTGGTACGTTGGACCAGCGGTTTCGAGCACACCAGGTCCGCGTTGGCCATAGTTACCGCGGCCGCGTCGAGACAGTTACAGCGCAAGAGCCTATCGAGCTAGTTAAGCAATGGAGCATGGAGCTATCCCATGCTGCAGCTTGGTTGGAGAACCTTGGATACGTCCATGCTGATATTCGGCCACCGAACCTACTTCTCGACGGAGATGATCGGTTAAAACTTATAGATTTTGATTGTGCTGCGAAGATAGGCAGTCCGTCAGATGGTTCCGCTCCTCCTTGGGCGCGAATACTTGGTGTAGAGGCCGTGGACGATGCAGGCTCATTCGGTTTATATGGAGCCCGAACAGAGCAATTTGCCATCGGATCTGTTATATATCTTATGACACGAGGTTACGAACCGTATGAGAACGAAGATCCAGGTCTTAATATTGTTGACCTCTTCCGCCGTATGGAATTTCCGTCGTTAGGCAATGACCCTCTTGACCGGATTATCGACCGGTGTTGGAAGGGACAGTTTGAGTACTTGAAAGATCTGGCGGAGGAAACTAGCACTCTGAGCGGTGGTAACCATCCTAAGTCTTTGTCATCGCTCACAGAACGGTATCGTTTGGAACGCCAGAAAAAGTGCCAAACGCTGGTCAACCAAGGGCTTTTAGAATGGGAGGTCTAGATATCGTCCTACCTATGTCGGGTCGCTACTCTGCGAATGGGAATTTTGCACTGTACTTCGGCCAATGCCAGAATAATATCTATACCGCAACACCTCGAGGCATGTATTCAAGAAGACCAGTTGTATGTGATCGTGGAAGCCGTTACGGTCTTAGCACCCATCGCGAATGAAGCCGTGGTGGTTGAAGGTTGGGGCTGTGGCGGTATCCCGCTGTGGAGCGCGGGATAACCTTAAGTCTAAAAATAAACTCCTGACTTTCGCTAAGATTAGACCCACTAATATCCTAATTAGATTTAGGGTTATTAGTCATATGAACGATACGCCAAGTTACACAAAAATACTTCATAAACCAATCATATACGTAATTTTTCGTAAAGCTAGTACACGCCAGATGGGCCAATCTTGGAGTCAAGACACGGACAATACTCCAACTGGCGATGGAAAGAAGGATTTATTCCCTCGTGAATCTTTTGTACGCAATGCTTACTCCGTAAAAGGGATTATATGTTGAATTAAGATAGCACATGTGCTTCTCCTGACGATTTTGCACTGATACTTATAGGGCCTACTCTGGGTCAATCTACCAGCTAAAGGTCAAGGTCATGGCAGGCTTTATCATTCTACGACATCTCCGTTTGTTACCAGAGGGATAAACACAAGAGGTCGTATAACAGCAATTGGACCAGAGGTGCCATGGCATCGACCGGTCTTCTATTACTTATCATGCGGGAACGCATGGGGCCGGCGTACGAGAATATGAGGTTACTTTGCACATTATGAATGATACCATTATATCTCACAAGCACTACGCGTTTACTCCGTTGTCTTTGAAGAAATATAAAAGAAAAGGCCGTCTACCGATCAAAGTGACCTTTCTCATACAACATCAACAACTCTTTCAAAGGACTAGATACCTGCTATCCAAGCTCCAAAACTATACCTACCAAACACGGGATATAGCTGTCCATGGTAATCACAATTCTAACTCAGGTATATATGGTGAAAAAATATCCTGAACCCTAACTACCTCTACCTTTGCGTCGCACCATTTGAAGCGCGGGTCGAGATGTGTTGCCGCGAATGCTACGGCCCCGTCGCTCATTATTAATCTTTTCAGAAACGTCGTTCTTTGGGTTGATCATGCTAAATCTTCCAACATTATGATAGTAAATGGAGAACCGTTGTTTCGCAGGAGTAATAGCTTCAACACATATTACCCCAGTCCAATCCATAGCCAGAAATCATTACCCAAATATGTACTTCCACGAAATCGGGGCATATTCAACTGTTAGAGTCAAATATTCACCCGGTCGCAATAATAATATCATAGACTTCCAACTAGTAAGCTCTAATATACCAAAGTAAATTATAATGATGGACTGCGTAAAGGCTGACATTATAGAAGACATACTCTCAAGCTGGGCATTTGGCCTACCACTATCTCCCAGTGACTGGATGATCAGTGGAGGGCAGAAATACCTATGGTCTGCCGATATGACTTAAATAAAGCCTCCATAAGGGGTCCATAATGATTAGTTTCAAAGTATTTCATTGCTATGCAAGACTATATACCTAGACTCCATGAAAACTAAAATGGTAATCATCTGCTGTTTTCTGACAGCACAATCGTCAAAATGGCTTGTTCATCAGCCTACAAGAATTTGCAGGATCTGGGTAAATGGAATGTAATTTTGGTTGTCGAGGAAAGGCATCTCTAGCAACAGCTGGTATCCGCCACTTCTCGTGCATTTGATAGTGGTTGACAAGGTCATCACTGGTTCTCCTAACCTGAATCCTGAATTTGTCTCCAAAAATGAAGATATCGGGGTGAGCCGAGGTGATATATATGTCGAAATCTGCCATTCGGCCAGGGGGGTGAGCCCGCGCTGATTTGCGGCAGAGAGACTGGTTATATATTGACATATATGCATGCCACCACCTCAGAAGGCACACATAAGAATATTCTTGAGTTCTTCGTTATAATATGTTAGAGTAGGTATGATTTCCTGAGGCAAGTATTCTTTTTCAGTGGCTATGTAAGTTGTAGGTTTGTTCGGTCATCTGAAGCGCCTCTTCGACTGTAACCAATAACTGACTGTGTAAAACTTCGAATGGACTTTCTGCTCATAGCTGAGGGCATGGGGATCCCATGTCCAGGCCTACCAGTAAGGGGGTGTTCTGAAGACCAAACATGATGAAGCGGTGCAGAAGACTATTTTAGCTTCTGAAATATATTTATTGTTCTTGTAATCGTAGCTCCTTAGGCCCGTTGGCAGACGGAGTCCCAGGCATGAACCAAGCATATATGCGAGCGGTGCCATCGACTCAGCGTCACCGATCGAAGGCAGCTTAAATAGCTAGCCCAAGTCGGGGTAGGGTGTGTGAGCCAGAAGACAATGTTTCAACATCAGCGATGACTTTAAGGAGCCTCCGTGTAATAAATTTCTCAGGAAGTGTACAATAGCTAATAACTCCCTCTTGTAGGTGTGATAACGGCTCATTACCATGCCAATGGCAGGCTCGATAAGTGGTAGCAGCCAGGCCAGAACGCATGCTGTTGAGCATCTGCTGGCTGGCCACAAGTTTGTTCAAGGCGACCTAATATTATTCCTCATCGCTAGGGTTATTCTCGAGACAATCAAGCAAGACATCATAGGCTTACGGCAAGGTATAGGCAAAAACATAGACTCTCCATCAATATACAAGCTAAGCCTGGGGTTTCGGGGAATCAGGAAATCAGGGGGTCTTTATACAGAAGCCCTTCAACCTCCACCATGTGAATACAGAGTAGGAGGCCAAGTTTCACTCACTGAGGGAGCATAAACATGTAATAAAGAGATGCGTGAATCCTCTCTGGTGAGTGGGTATATTCAATACTGGCTCTGTTGACACAGTGAATCATTCTTTCACTCCCTTTGACGTATTCAAGTGGAGTCAAAGAAATACATATATATACGCCTATGTATGGGAATATGATAGAATTCCTACTTCCTCCTGGAAAACGCCTGTTTGTCTCCCATGTCCCTCTCTTCTATCTTCTTCGTGTGCTTCTTTCTGCTGTATCTTGCCTGGTGTCTCTCAGCCTTGTCCACCGTATATGCCCGTATAGGCATACAGAATGGGCAGAAGCTCCCTCTCAGTCGCAGCTATATTCTCTCGCGGGGGTATACATCAGGCACACCATACGGATATACACAACTATTGCAGCGACTCGTGATGCAATCCTAGTATGATCTTTTGGTTGAATGGTATATGTGGTATCACCAGATAACAAGAAGCATGTTCTTCCCTCTAAGCTTGTCCCTTCCGTTCTTTGGCCCACGGTAAACGAAGGTTCTATCGCCACCACCGCTCCCAGGTTAGGTCTCTTACCTCGCTTTCCAGAGCCAGAGACGGTGTCATCAACACATGGACAAGCCGACAACGAAGAATTTTAACAAGAAAAGACCCAAGAAGATCAACACCTTGCAGATACGTCCCTATCTATCTAACACAATATTAGAGGTTTAATTGTCGTTGTTATCCCGGCCACCGCCGCACAGGTTTTTCGTGGAGGTGATGAAAAGCGAGATTCAGGCAGGCCTTGAGAAGGAATGGGATGGATTAATGGACAAAGCTTATTCTGTGAAGTTATAGAAGAGGTGGTCCCCGGAAGGGGAAAGAGGGCTAAGGAAGCTGGTCTGCGAGGCTTGAAGGGAGGTAGATATTTCCCTTCTCCTTAAATATCTATCTATTCCCCTGCTCACTATATTTCAACCTAGGGTTATGGGCAGCAACTGTCCTCACAGACTATGATCCCCGCTGCCGTTCCAGAGCCATCTTCAATCAACGTCACAATGCTTAACGACACCGGAAGCAACATGTTGACAGTCTTTGACACAGATCTGATCGCTTTGGCCATTCCTCCAACCTACGGGGGGTTCGGCTCGTACGTCTCAATGTCGACGGCTGGTGGGCAAGTCCAGCGGCAGCATATTGTGGTTGAGGTACAGCTACTCGACTCACAAGGCAATCCTGTGTCTGACTGGGTTTTGGAGCATGGCATTGTCACACCAGCATCCCTTGGCACCGCCAGACTCTCAGGCGATGGCATGAGACAATACCTTTACTTCGCAACGGCCCCTGGGAACGCACATCTATATGTTGCTGAGAAGAAGAATGGCATTGTTCAACAGCTTCCAGTTGTCTAGCCTCTTTCGGGCCCCAAGCCCCTTGTATAAATAGTAATGATCAGTCTCAATATCAAGATCTCTAGTTACACTGCCTCTCTGGCTCGTATCCATCGTTCTTACATTCTGATCGTTCATCAGTCGTCAAACTCCTTTTCGGTTGTATAACTTATGTATACGTTATGATTTCTAACATTGCAGTCAGCAAAAGCTATAGAGGTCCCTTTATCAGGGAGTCCGCCACTCGGATTCAAGTTGAATGTTTTCATATACTACCAAACACACAAGGCAAAAGAAACATTTTTTTTTTTAAATAATATTGAGTGTAGTTATGTGAGATTAGCTTACTACTTCAGTAGCTTAGCTATTCCTTGTGAGGGGCAAAGGAGCCAATATAATTTCTCTTTTTTTAACTTATATTGAAGGAAATGTACGTATTTGATACTGAATACTGTTCTTCCACTGCTCGATGACTATTAGTACTGGGCTATACAGACAACTGGTAGATCAAAACATATATTCACGATACTAATGATTGTAGTCATTATAGGCTGATATTTATGCTGTGAGCTTCATAATGAAGGCTGCAAGGCATAATAAGTAAACAATAGTATAACTGAAAAACATAGCAGATTTTCTCTCTATAACTAGCAATCCATGACAAACATTGAGCCAGACTCAACGCCCTTTTACAAGCTCAGCTTAAAGATATCCATTAGTATTAAGAAGACTAATTCGTTTAGCGAGGGTTAGAGAGTTTGCTGAGCTATGCAAACCCATATACCTATTGTGCCTACCAATTGTTAGGCGGCGGAGTTGGTATAAATCTTTTTATCTCATGACTTAATACTTCAATCTATAATGAACCAACAAACTTGTATTCAAAGGGTATTTAGGGATATATATAGCCTCTTGCATTAGCCATCTGGGAAAGCCAACTTGAATGCTCTAAAATCCCATAGAGAGACCAGCCTTCTACTAATCGTATCCTGAGATCACCGAGATTGACCTGGCAATCGGCTTCTTCCAGAAATACATACAATCCAGAAACCCCAACTCCAGGCGGAGTGCCTCCTCTAGCAGTTCATCTTCAATCAACTGTCATCAAATGCAAAATGCAACGTAAGTGGGGCGGGGCGAAAAAAGCCGCCAACAAAGGCAAGGAGAAGGTGGAAAACAGAATATATCTGCCTTCATGGGTCAGGAATGCGGGGCATGACGCCCAACGTGCCAGAGGTGTACAGCCGGTACATGACAATCCGGGATATGAAACGTTCGTACGAGATCCATTTTTAAGAAATCCTCAATCCGATAGGACTGCAGCCAGGGGTATCAGAAGAATTGGGCAAAATCCAGATAACAATAGAGCTGAGCCTTCGTCGTCAAGGAATCCAATGGCAATAAGGGGTGCGAGCATAGATGACGTGGATTCGTATGTATTTCTCTGTCATTAACCCGCTATCTCATGCAATGTCGAACATATTATTAAAAGCGAGTTTAGGGATGGGAGTTACTATCGCGTCCCCAGTACTGAAGACTTCGACACACTCGATAACAATGATTTGGACTTCACTCTTCCGGCTAAAACTCAGGATAACTCCAGTGATAGCCAGACAGCTGCTCCTGTTCCCCCTTCTATATCAGAGAATGGGCACATGGCAATTAATTCGGATCTTGGCCGTCTGCCAAGTATAGTGGTCGATATAAACCAGAATAACAAAGAGGAGCCCGAAAAGTCTTCACCGCGACGGGAAATTCTAGAACCCCTGTTGGCCAGAGGTCCTTCAGATCTCAGTAAGTGATGAAACCCCTAGAATGTGGCTTATTAGGGCTGACAATCCTATCCTTATTTAGATTTGAGGTACGCTCAAACGGAATCTCGAATCTTGTTTGCCATAGGGCTCAGTTGTCTCTGTTTTGGGTTAATATCGGCCTATTATATTCACTGGTTTTCTTGAGGTTAATGTGCCACTTCTAGAGTCAAGCAAGATCTTGTTTATTGCAAACGTGTTATTGTCTATTAGCGGCGGTATGCTTTATCTCATGTCATTTAATTCGGAAATTCGCTGAGGTCAGGGTATCTAAGGTCGGCATTTTCTTCTAAAAAGGCCAACCACCTTTTAAGAAAAGGTGATCCACTATATCATAGTCAGCACCTGGATAGAAGCCTAGACGAAACGGTAGAAATGATATGAAAATATTCATCAAATAGGGATGACGCACCTGCTTACAGTCACTGAGTCCCCGCAGACGCACAGGTGTCGGCGCGGACGTGTCATGGCAACTACTCCAAAGTTAGCACAACAGCAATGCAAGATTATAAGGGCTTAACATACCATTCAATCTCCTCTTCTCCCCCAGAAATCCCACCTCATGGTCCAGATTGCTCCTAACGAGACTAACGACAACTGCCTCCTTTTCGCGGCCCTGGAACCCATCCACACTACCTAGTTCAAGGGTAGGAAACTTCTCCTTCAGAAGCTGGGATAACAAAGCAACTTGTGCATTATAAGGTGTGATAACAGCAATATCATCTGGTCTAACACCCGCTGACACCAGCTTCTCAACATGCCTCGCGACAACTGCCGCCTCCATATCGTTACATTTACTCTCAACGAGGACCGATTTGGCAAGTATACCAGTAGAATCAGGAGATTTCTCGGGAAAATCTCCACCTTGAGTATCGTAGAATATGAGCGGTTCCCTGGTATCATCTGTCTCCTCGACTTCATATGGGAGATCCTTGAGGAGCCTTTCCTTGACTGCACCGGCAGCTATTAACTTGGATTCATACAGCTCGTGTGAGGGGAAGTCCATTATCATCTGGTGCATTCGGTATTGTGTGGTTAGCATCCGCTTTATCCCAGGGCCATGGAGAGAGAGCAAGCGATCGAAGAGTGTTATCTCCAAGTTACGCATATCGAGCTTGGATAAGTCGTTCGTATCCAGGTCTGTTTGATCCCTTAATACAGAGTTACCTTCACTCGGCTTGCTGGAGACTTTGGATTTGATCGTTGGAGGAAGTTGAAGATGATCTCCAGCTAGTATGACCTTGGATGCAGCGAGTAATGGGATCCAACACTGGGCTTCACGGGCCTGACTTGCTTCGTCGATAAGTACTACGTCGAACTTCTGATTCTTGAGCTGATGGCCCCCGGCTCCATGGAGTGTACCGAGAACCACCTGGCTACCAGAGACGATATTATCAACGCATTTCGACTCACGCTCTCTAAACTCCTTGCGGAGCTCTCTCAGATCACCGTATATAGCTCGTCGTTCCCTCCCGTTCCTGGTCTTGCGGATACTAGCCTGCTTTGCATCGATTTCCTTCCTGACGTCCTTCACGATGGCAGCAGCCTCGGAAGTCTGAGACAGAACCTCGAGGGAATGATCGAGGACCGAAGACAGCAGACGTGCCGGATGCCCAATTCGGACCAGAGGGACCTTATGCGAGGCAAGACGCTCGACGATATTGTCGACAGAGATATTTGATGGGCCACAGACTAGGATGCGTTTTTTGCGCAGGACCAGCTGGCGTATCAGCTCTATCAGCGTGTGCGTCTTGCCTGTGCCTGGCGGTCCATGGATCAGGGCTATTTCTCTAGATGCCAGAGCAAAGCGGACGGCTTCTCTCTGGGAGTCATTCAGAGACGGATCCATGAATTCCAGCGGCCCAACTGATTCAAGATCCAGAGGCGAAGGCGTAGTATGGCCGAAGAGCACTCGTATTAACTGAGAATACTCTGATTCTTCCATCTTCTCCAGCTTCATCATCGTTTGATTCATGCTGTGGCCGTCAGTATGATTCTAGCTAGATGGATGTACAGCACCGCTCACCGTCTATAGGTAACATCGTTCGCTAGCTTGACCCTAGTTACAGTCAGTCATTAATTAATAGATAGTAGATATATATGATAGAAACACTCACAGCCAGAGCTTGCGGCCCCAAAGCTCATCGACTCCGTCATCGTCCTGCTTCCCCTTCCCTCGATCCCCAAAGGCAGCCCAGATAGATCTCTCTCCAACGCGAGTGACAACCCCCTCGAGGCCTCTCTGACTCCTCTCGTCATCCTTGCCAGCCTTGGATCGGGTTGTTGTCTTGCCAGAAGAAATCTCCTCGACCCTCACGATGTCTCCCACAGTGATTCCATGCACACCCAGTCGAGCACCATCTTCGCCCTTTTCTTCCCTTTCGACTCCCTTACCGGTGCCTTTTGCTCGTCCTGGTCCAGATAGAGCGGTATCAAGGCTGACTTCACCCACTTCTCGACCACCCATGCCTGTCCGGCAGTTGGTGAGAACCAGGCCGGTGAGTGCATGGCCGGCCTGCTGCAGTGCCCGGCGAGTCGATGCGGATGCAGCTGCGGTGCTGGAAGAGAGAGGAGAAGATGCTATCTCGTCTTCATGTTCGGCAAGGAGGAGACGCTGTTGCGTCTGCGCAAAGCTGGATATCGACATGTTGTTATGCTACGATGTATGAAGAGGAAGAAATATTTGCTCCAAGAGATAAAAAAATGACTATGATATAATAGCTACGACTCGACTTTGATATCAATCTTACACTCCTTGACAGGGAAATTAATATCTTCCTCCTTGTCCGTCTTTATTCTCTTCTTCTTCGGAGCCTTTGGCCTGACCTCTGCTATACACAGCCCAGTGCCGGAGAGATCGCACTCAGCACACCGTCTGCCAACTGGCAAGCAGACGGTCTGACCGAGCCCGACGAGCAGCTTGTTGATCTCATGCCACTTGTCTCTGGGCAGCCAGCTCTCGAGAGCAGCCCTGGTAGCCTCCGGAGTCTTCGTTTTGTTCCATCCCCACAGGTTTGTGATGCGGTGAACATGGACGTCCACTCCAATGCCTTCATGTCTGTTCCACGCTGAGCTCATACAGAGGTAGGCCATCTTGGGCCCCACACCAGGCAGTCTGGTCAACCCCTGTATGGTAGACGGTATGTCTGAACCGAACTCGTCTCGTAGTATCTCCGCGGTGGCCTTGATGTACTTGGTCTTGTTGTTATGGAAGCCCACGGCCCCAATGAGCTCGTTCAGCCGGGCAGGAGAGACGGCCAGGACGTTCTCGAGCGTCAGCGTGCTGGGAGCAGCCTGGTGGTCGTGGTCCCAGACTTCAGATACCGGTTTGTCCTTGTCGTCTGCGGTCTCGTCTGCGAGCTGGGTGTGCAGCTTCTGCATGGCGGCGGCGGTGACGGTGTCCTTGGTCTGGGAGGAGAGCATGAGAGCTATCAGCGTCTGAAACCGTCTGTCTCGAGGCGAGGAAGAGCGCCAGTAGAGCTCTGAGCAGCCCATCGTGTCGACGGGGGCGGTTGGGTTGCTTTCTCTCATCCGCTTGACGGTCTCGTAGATGGCCTCCCAGTTCGGTGGCCCAGTTCTCTTCTCTTCCTCTTCATCCTCCCGTTTAACCTTGATCTCCTCTTCACTCTTGATCTTCTTGACTGCTGCTCTGGGTGTTCTCGTCGGTTTCTTTCGTTTCTTCGTCTCCGTCAAAAGGTCTTCGATGTCTGTTGTATGCGCCGAAGACAGGCCAGAACTTGCTTCTTCCTCCTTGATTGCATCTTCTGCTCTCTGTCTCCGTGAAGAGAGAGTCTCTGCCAGCCTTGCTGCCTCTCTCGATACTCTGGACGTCCTCATGTCGATGCCTTTTCTCTCGATATAAAAAATACTTGTAGCTTCAAGCTCAAGCTCAAGCTCAGCCACAGCCGAGGTTGACGTTCAAAACATCTACAAGAACCAAAAGACGACGAGATAGCTCGATATACTCGATATAACTCGATATCTTCTACTGTTAACAATCACAATGTCTGATATACCGGTATCTACGACTAAACGACTCCTCCGCGAGCTCAAGGAGTACTCCAGAGAGCCCAACGACGCCCTCGTCTCCCTCGCGCCGGTCAGCGACGACGACATCTTGCACTGGGAAGCAGTCCTCAAGGGCGTCCCAGACTCTCCATACGAAGGTATCTCTTCTACATTACGATTGTATATGCTATATCGATGGCTGATGGACTGAGCAGATGGACTCTGGCTGCTACGCATCGAGATACCGACGACGTATCCCAAGCATCCGCCCAAGATCACCTTCGCGACACCCATCTGCCATCCCAACATCTCCTTCAAGACGGGCGATATTTGTCTGACGCTGCTCACCTCAGAGCACTGGTCGCCTATCTACACTATCTCTAGCACCCTGTCCGCCATACACCAGCTGCTGGCGGAGCCCAGCCCGGACTCGCCGCTCAACGTCGACGTCGCTGCCCTGCTACGAGACCGCGACCTGCTGGGTTGGACCGCCCTGGTCAGGTACTGGACGGCCACAGAGAGGTGGAACGGTCAGAGACGGTAGCAACCTTTATTCTGTATATTTAATATCAATGTCGACTCTCTCTTTCTTTACTCTGTCAACCATCTTACTCTGGCAGCCATCTGACCAGCTTGTCCGTGTTCGCCCGTCGCCGTCTCGTCCTATGGTGTACGGCGCTCGTACTCCGGCCAGTCGCAGGCCAACGGAAACTCTTTTGGGCATCCCGCAGCAGAGCCAGGCCGGAAGGGAAGAAAAAGAAAAGCGACGTTCCTTCAACTGGCCACACCGAAGCCATCTCTGCGCCCCATTCTCATAGGCTGCGGGGGACTTGAAGCGAGCGGGCCGTCAGGGAGTTTAGTTTCCTTCGCCTCCACATCATCCCCCAGAGGAATAGTTTCCGTCTTTCTCTGTCTCTTTTTTCTCCGTGTCTCGATAACAAGCTGTTCGAAGTTGGAAACGCAGGGGTTCTTTCGGGCTTTTGCAGCTGTGAATGGCGGATTATAAATGAAAAGCTGGAAGATGTCTTGAATCCCCTTGTCAATAATATTCATCATCTTCTCCCCGCATGTTCTAGTTTTTTAATTTCTTTTATTTTACTTCCTAATTTCTTGCTCGCTACTGGCGCTTGATCTCTATCAATATCAACACCAACCGGAACAAATATCCGACTACTTCAACTGACACCCAACTGATATTTTCGACTATTCAACCGATATTACGATGGCTGGAGAAGGTCAGAGACCATTCTATACATGTCGAGTCCACAGCTAACGTCCGCTAGTTCCCATGGTAGCCTCGAACGAGGTGATTGACGTCGATGACTCCGTACGTCAAAAAAAACCTTGATACATTTGATATATTTTAGCCATAAAATACAAAATCCATGCTTATCAGACTCCCTGTAGCGCGATACAATCCTGGACTCTGCATTCTCCGACCAGTGGGTGGTTTACCTTTTCCAGAAAAACATTGCTCCTTGATAGCATTTGCCAGACTGACCGTGGAACTCTCCAGATCAAGTACCACGGCCTCGCTGACCTCGAGTATTATGAAATACACCTACGAGCATGGCCGTCGCTACCACAAGTACCAGGAGGGCCGTTCGTCTTCCCTACTCCTGACTCCCCGAATGTATATATAGATATATACTAACTTGAGAAGGATACCTGATGCCCAACGATGAAAAGGAACAGGAACACCTCAACATCATATCACATATGTTCAAACTCGTCCTCGGTGGTAGACTGTTCCTTGCACCTATTCCGCAGGATGTCAAGCGTGTTTTGGACATTGGTACTGGAACGGGTGATTGGGCCATTGATATGGGTGAGTACCTGTAGCTACAAGCTATATATGTGATGTACATGGCTAAAAATAAGGTACTAGCTGATCGATACCCGGACGCTGTGGTATGATATTCCCTGGCTGAGAATGCACGAACGTAACTAAGCTGTCGAACAGGTTATAGGAAACGACCTGAGTCCGATCCAGCCGGGACTGTACGTGGTACTCCCTTATCATGATCCACTTGACTCCAGCTAACTTGTACAGCGTCCCGCCAAACGTCCAGTTCGAAATAGACGATGTCGAGAATGACTGGGCACACAGTGTCCCCTTCGACTATATCCATTGCCGCTTCATGGCTTCTTCCATCCGCGACTGGCCCCGTCTCTTCCGCCAGGTTTACGAGTACGTTTTCAACTTGCCTGAGTACAACATTATACATTAAAGTGTACCCTTACCAACATATACAGGAATCTCCAACCAAACGGCTACGCTGAATTCTACGACTTCGACTTCTTCTTCCGCAGCGACGACAACTCTCTCAGCCCCACTCACGAGATGTACATCAACTGCTCTGAAACCACCGGCGCGGCAGAGAAGATAGGCCAGACAGCCTGCCCCGGACCCCATCTAGCAGACTGGGCTAGTGAGGCGGGCTTCGTCAATATTAAAGAGCATAAGCTGAAAATACCTGTTGGGCCGTGGGCGAAGGACCCCAAACTAAAGGAGATAGGAGCCTGGAACCAGCTGCAGGCCATGGAAGGCATGGAAGGGTGGACGATGGCGCTGCTGACGAGGGTGAACGGGTGGAGCGAGGAGAGGGTGAGAGAGCACCTGGTCAGGCTGAAGAGGGATTACCTGGACACCAAGATCCACGCCTACATGACCGGGTACGTGGTGTATGGGCAGCGGCCGGAGCATAAGAACTAGCTTTGGGCGAAGAAGTCCTGTTAGGATGTGAGACCTGTTGTTGAAGACGAGACTTGGTGCATGGAGCTGGAGTTGGCATTTTAATGATGATGACTTTATTAATCAGTACTTTATGGTATATGGCTACACTGACTCGCCGGGACAGTCGATAATACTTGTGATAACCGGAAAAGACGAAGCAAGGGAACGCGAGGAATGAATACCCTGATTTATATTATGAGCTCTTCGAGTTCTAAGAGTCTGATCTCTCTCTCTCCAACCACGGCACAGGCAAAGTCAAACAGATGAACGGGACAGGACAGGAACCTCGGAACCAACATCCATGAAAGTAACATCTGCCGATACTAGTAAATAAACAATAAAGGTAAACAGAAACGAAACGCTTTTTCATAGATAATCGTATGAATGAGTGGATAGGAAAATCGTTAGTGCTAATAAAAACCGGAACATCAGGTAATATCAATTTTAATGCAACCCAAGAGAGAACGTAAGGAAAAGAAAAGAGGACAGGGGGAAAAAACCGGTCTATAGAGTGCGATTACAGAACCAGAGCAACACCGACGGCACCACCGAGAACAGCGGCAAAGACACCGGTCAGGCCAACGCTGGCAACCTGGGAAGCCCCGTTCTGCAGAGTTGGAGAGGCAGATGGCGAGGATGGGGATCCTTCGCTGCCACCGTCAGATGGAGTTGGATAGACGACCACGACGGAAGTGTAGGTGTGGACTGAGCCGTCAGCCTCGGTGGTAGTGCCAATACGAGTGGAAGTCGAGGACGAGCGAGGCCTGGAGGTGGTGTGCGGGTGAGAGGTCGCTGAACTGGTGCCGGAGGGAGTGCTGGTGGGCGGGGGAGTGGACGTCTCGGTGGAGAGAGTGGTGTCTTGACTGGTCGGTCTCGAGGTTCTGGTAGGCTCAGAAGTAGTTGGTTCGGACGTCTCAGCTGGAGTGCTGGTAGGCGTATTGGTCGGGGTGTCTGTCGGGGTGTTGGTGGGAGTATTGGTTGGAGTGTTGGTTGGAGTGTTGGTAGGAGTGTTGGTTGGAGTATTGGTTGGAGTATTGGTGGGAGTGTTGGTTGGAGTGTTGGTAGGAGTCTCCGAGGGCGTGGCCGTGGGAGTATCAGTGGGAGTAGCAGTTGGAGTATTTGTAGGCGTGTTGGTAGGCGTATTGGTAGGGGAATCGGTAGGAGTGTTGGTAGGAGTGTTGGTGGGCGAGTCGGTGGGTGTGTCTGTAGGAGAAGAGGATGAGCCGTCTGTGGGAGACACGGTTGGAGAAGCCGTTGTAGGGCTTGGAGTAGCAGTAGGAGTAGCAGTGGGAGTAGCTGTAGGAGTAGCAGTGGGAGTAGCTGTAGGAGTAGCAGTGGGAGAGTCCGTACTTGATGGCGTGGGAGTTGATGGAAGGTCGCCGGTGTTCTGTCGTCTCACGATCTTGCGGCGAGCAGCCACCTCGACGGCGCCGACAACGCCAGGCAGTGGATCAGCCCCGGCAGCTCTCTTGTGGAAGAGCTTGAGCGAGAGATTGTGTAGTGAGAAGACGGCATTCTCATGGGCATCGTCGCGAGGACGGTGTTTTCGCAGCTGGGGATGGCGGAGAGGCTCGCCGGAGACGAGGCAGAGACAGAGAGCCAGGACGACGATGAAGCTGAGCAGGCGAGCCATCTTAACGGTCACAGATGAGAGAGATGGAGGTGATGAGGAAACGGAGGGAAGAGAGAGGAAGAGAAGAGAGAGAGACCCGGCCTTTATGTATGGTGTCTCAAGTGAAAACTCCACCTCCCAGCCTCGAAGCGCCAAGGAAGAAAGAAAAAAGAGACTGATAGAGGCAAAGAAGTTTCAACTATCCCAAAGGTCGCTAAGACGTTGGCCAAAGAGGAGCCGCCAGCTCAGCCTTCCGCCGTTCAAGTACTTCGGCTCATCGACTATCTCGACTCATCCCAGCATAGCCACGACGGGACGGGTTACTATTAATACAGCCTACGAGGAGAGCCATCTGGCCCACAGGACGGATATTCAACATGGCGTCAACAGGAAGAGGTCGAGAGAAGCCGCCCATCGTGAAGAGAGAGTCGGAAGACGAAGAGAGAGGGCAGGACGTGTTTCAAACTCTGCATCTGGAGGTGGTTCCCAGCAGAAAGGCTTGTTCGCTTGGCCTGCCAGGCTGATCCATGGATTTGACGAATAATCCCTGGCAAAAGTCTGGATCTTGGCCAGTGAGCATGCAGGGATACGATGCTCTCTGGTTTCCATGGCAGCCTCTGGTTCCTATGGGATGGGATGGGACAAGCGGGCGGACGGAGTAACAAGAGTCAATTGCGTACTCAATCATACTCTGTACCACGTAGCAAAGCAACACACTTATCAACTCTTCCACCTCCATGATGTCCCGTTTTCCATTCCATCTCCATGATCGTGCTATCTTCGCGATGCTGGCCAGCCAAGGCAGGTGTTTGGGGCTTGTTCGGAGGAAACAGGCTTGTTTGCCGGAACCAGAGCTGCGGTTTTGAGCATCCTGTTCTAGGGAGATATTGATCTGGCATCCGCGGTTTGACCTTGGATGGCGGGGAACCTGCCCAGGGTGTTTTGGCTCTTGTCTCTGATTAAACGTCATTGCAAAGTCAAGCTTTCCATGACCCCTCGACGAGATGAAACGCACAGCAGATATAAACTCTACCAGCGGCAGTTCGCCGTGGACAGTGACCGTCCACATGAGACATCGATACTTTGGGTCGGTACGAAAAGCGTTGCAGCTAACACTGAATTGCCGGTTCGGTTAGTGCCATATATGAGTCTGTAGGACGGTTCACCGTGAAAAGGATGGATGGTAGCGAAAATTTAACCAATTAACCAAGATACTGACACAAAAATAAACGATAATCATAAAGAAGAATAGAAATAATAAAGTAATAGATGTAATCAATATATCTCTCGTCAAAATAGTCCTAGTACCAAACGGACAATACTCAGAGGAAGAGGCGCCGTTTGGATAGCTCGCAGCAGCCCTGGGTCTTGACACGCCCATGGAAAAGTGTTGTAAACGAAGATAACGCCCGCCGTAAACACCAGGGTCTGTCGTATCTTCTGAACAGCCGGGTGCGCCTTCAACTCTCCCGCAACGCTTGTAACCGAGAAAGCGATGTACTCCTGCAAAACAACACCAACGGGTTGGACACAAAAGAAGAGCAGCACCCACATCGTGGCCTCGGTATCGAGGGATGCTGAATAGGACCCTGCCGCATGAAGAAGACCGGATAGAATGAAACATACTAGAAGTACACCCGGTCCATTGGGAACCACAGCTTGACCTAGGGAGAGAAGCCCGTTTCTGAACAGGTCATGCCACACCCGACCCCAAAGATCTTGCTAGGTTGTTAGCTCTTTGCTTACTTTATGTATACGCATGGCCGGACCAGAGCATACCTTTGATACGCATCCGCTTAAAGTGTTCTAATTTGCCGAATAGTGCTGGATACATCCATTCTTCTCCATCGAGTAGCCCTACGCCGACCAGGGTTGTCAAAGCATGAAGCCCATCGGTGAATCCAAACAGAGCTAATCCGGGAGCAACTATCTCAGCTAGAAGGGAAAGTGTGTTAGCATAGCTTTGTGTCTAAGATTAAGATGATTTAGACATACCCGGAGTTCTCGCCCAGAGCAAGTTATCAGTCCAAGATATATGCAAGATGCCCTGAGCAAGGTCCAATAGAACATATGCAGTGATTATCCGCCGTGCCTGCTTGGATATACAGGCTAAACGCTGGTGGAAGTTCTTTCTCTTCACTCTTGTGTTCACATTAAGGGGGTAATAACCACCCTTGGGCATAGCATGCTCCCACCCGACCCCACGGTAGTTTGTCGTTAGGTCCCAGGCCCATAGGGCCCTCTGGTAAGTGAAAGGTGGCGGTAAAGGCTCCCAGCGGTAGGATATCTCTATTGGAGAATTGTACCGTTGAAGACGCTGTAGCTGCGACGGACGGTAGATAAAGAGGATGCTGGTGGACCAGATAATGTACCAGAAGGAGAAGAACCCGCTCAGATAGTTAAGAAAAGCATTGTTGAACGGCGGGTTGAAAATTGCCAAACAGGCACTTGCCGTGATAGCAGCATATATGGCCAAACATGTGAGATATGAGCGCTGTAATATGCCAATAAAACATGCCGAAGCGAAGAGAATAACCGGAGGAGTAAGGGGTAGTGCTGATTCGAACATCATTGCTCCTTGGCTTGACCTTGACCAGCCGAACTAACGTCCTGATAGTTGCGCTGGTCTTCTACCTTTCTTCTTCTTCTTTCAAATAGGGCCGGATAAAGATGTCTCTGGGATGAAAGATGTGCTTTTTGACAGCATTACTGGCAAAATAGATCTGTCATATGGGTCCATGTGCATTGGTGAGGCCTCTATCCCAACGATCAAATGACTGAACTAAACATGGATCAGACGTAAACTTTTCCAGCGGAGCGGCCAAATGTCCACGGGTAGGTGTTTCGGCTTGAAAGGAAAAATAAAAAGAAAAAGTAATGCATCGAATGCAATGATTCAGCTTGAACCCGCAGAGGGGTTTATCTTTGTTACACGGATGCAACATGTCACCGCCTCCACCAGATATCAAATCGAGCCATTGCGCCTTGTATGATATTATTTCAACGTGTTGGGCACCTGGCAGCCTAACTTTAATTGCTCATCGTTTGTTCTTTCGTCGAAGTAGCAAGTGCATTCATGTTTCTTCTATCTTACCTAACCGGTATCAAGGCACAACGGTATTGACGAGGGAAGCAGTGCACACTCCACCAGTAGCTGTCCCAACACATCTACTATGGTAGACGCAGCTCCAGCGGTGAAAATCCGGCTCGTCCACTAGTTTCTTTCCATACTCCGAAAATTGACCTATCTGCATCTAGCAGTCTACCCCCGAGATCTTTTCAGGGGGATCATGCAGGCCATCATCTGTTAACCGTAGGTGCTCAAGCGATGTGGCTTTCGCAGGGTGCAACAATCGATATCGGGGCGCCACGCTCGTATAACAGCATTGTGGAGTATGGGTTCATTGACCGATTCGAAAAACGGCCATGCCTATGACTGTTGACTGCATATGTTCTTGGGCACAAAAGCGCATATGAGTTATATTTTCTTTTTTGGATATCATGGCCGTAAGGAGCCTTCCAGATCAGTGGCAACGACGGCAAATATGGGAACCAGCCCAACCGCGTACGTCGCCCTTCCATCTTTCTGTAGACCGCCAGTTCTGGCTTGTGTCTGCTTGAACCGAACTGTCTTGTTGAGAAAACCGTCAAGCGTTTATAAGTTGCGGCGTCAAGACTAAGTTGCACCGTTTTATGCGAGTTCGCTTGCTCTTCTCCGTATTCGGTTTAGCGCCATCGCTTAACTAGCTCTTTTAGCTGACTAAGTCTTTTGACAACCGCGACTGTGGGTAACTCGTTGGCCGTCGTCTTTCTCTCTCGCAGCTTCGTGGCTGTGGCTGATAATATCAAGTCGATAACTGATCATGATTCAAGCGATGATCAGGCCGTGTATCCACCATGCAGCGGTGCTCGGATGTTTTCAGGCACTCGATAGGGGCTTTCTTTGAAGAGGATTCGTCCCATCCCTGGAATGCGCCATCATGTGTAGTCAATAGTCGTATATATAGATGATCATGATCATGTAATGGTTTTGAGTGCCAATCTAATTCAGTTTTAAAATACCCAGATCATGGAGAGTACCTATCATTTTGTCCGGCCCCGGCCTCCAACACTCATCCGCACCGAATATCATTTGCAGCCCTGGGTAGCATTTATCATCTTGCTAACTCTGGTGAGTATTATTGACCTAAACAGAGGTTCAGGTGTTAATTTGGTAGTTTGTTGCCTACTGCGTCTACCAGGTCTACTTTTCTCCATTGGCAAGATATCCCGGACCGTTACTTGCTAAGCTCACCATTTTTCGAAATGGTTATCATGCATGGAAGGGTGATATCCACCTTGACCAGTGGATGTGCCATCTGAAATATGGTATGTCAAGTTAGCCCATATGTCCTTCAAGATAGTCTCAAGACTGATTCTGTATAGGGCCTGTCGTGCGATATGGTCCAAATTTTGTTTCATTTGATACCAGCACAGGGTTGAAAGGTGAGAACTTCTACATTACTTTCACTCGCAGATATGCTAATAATTCTCTCTAGAAATATATAGCGTGGGTAGCAATACGTGGAAACACCGTCACTTTGAAGCTCTAAGTCCTCGAGCTCAAAATTTGGTCACATTGCGCGATAAAAAGGTCCACGCTAAACGGAGGCGAATAATTGGACGGTCGTTCAGTGATGCGAATATCAAGATGTTTGAAGATAGGATACTTCATCATATCAACACTTTCTGTGAAAAAGTTGACTCCTTGCCCCAGAAAGATGATGCTTGGAAACCTGCGATAAAGGTGTCTGACTGGTGCAGCTACCTGGTCTTTGATATCATTACTGAGTTCGTATTTGGTTCTAGCTATCATATGCTCGAGTCAAATAAGTACCGACACATTCTACATGATATCGAGGATGCTAGCACCCGCAATGCGGTGCTCATATACCTCCCATTCCTTGCCCTTGGAGGGCTCCACAGGAGGATTTTTCCCGAAGCTGTAAAAGGCACAAGAGGATTCTGGAATCTTATCAAAGCTGCCATTGGCAATTATTCGGAAACTATGAACAGTAAATGTGTTCTTTCCAACCTCATCCAGCCGACGCATGCACCCTTTGAACCACATCTTGAGCCACAAGTCATACAGTCAGAATCAGGAGGTTTAGTACTCGCAGGCAAGATTACCTTCAGTGTTACAGTGCAAATCCCCTTCTTTTCAAATAATACTAATGTTAATTATTTAGGCCTTGATACTACTGTTACTGCGATATCCAGTATTTTCTTTTACTTGGCTAGGAATCCATATGCATACGAAAAGTTAGCATCAGAGATTCGGAACACGTTTTCCTCCGCTGAGGAAATCCGGTTAGGCGCAACGTTGTATAAATGCAAATACCTTAATGCATGCATCGACGAATGCTTACGCATCACACCTCCTATTGGAACCTCTCCATGGCGGGAGGTTGGTAAGGGCGGTATCAGTGTCGATGGTAACTTTGTCCCAGAAGGCACCAGTGTTGGCACATGCATCTACAGCATTCACCATAACGAAAAATACTTTCCCCGACCGCATGAATTCATACCAGAGCGGTGGATTGCTAATGAACAAGACAGCTACAAGACGGCGCAGGTCGCTACAGCGAGAGCAGCATTTAACCCCTTTTCCACCGGTCCGAGAGGCTGCATTGGTAGGCCGCTTGTCAATTCAAACCTTTTACTTACAGTTGCCATACTCATCTGGAGGTACGATTTTCGAGTGCCAGATGGAGTTCTTGGAAAAATGGGTGCAGGCCATCCACTTGGGGGAAATGGGAGAACGAATCCAATGGAGTTTCAGGTGCTCGATCGAATTATGAGCGTCATTGATGGGCCAATGATTCAATTTCGACGAAGATTTTATTAGAATAGATTTATTCATAACATATTTTAGATTTTAGCGTGGCATATTAATAGTACCTAATCCTTGTTATGTCTAATGGAGATGAAATCGGTCCGACTAGTTTAGTTATGTGCGCTGGTACGTGCCAATTAGTTAATGTTAATGATTAGGTATAAGTACCCTAATGTTCAAATTCGCGCCCGTCCCAATCCTATGGTTTGATGGCTTCACCTGGCTTGGGCAAGGAACAAGTCTCCACTCCCGGAGGATAATTGTCAACTTGAGCGCCGTTTCCGCTGCCAAAGTAGATCCTAAGAATATCTTTCTTTATGGGGTTCCCAGTTAAAGTAAAGGCAGCTTCTCTTCATTTATTAACACTCTCAGAACGGTGGGCATCATGTACGTAGGCAGTTTACCCTCTAGATCTAATCTGACCCGCTCTAGAGTCGCCGTATTCATAGGGAATGTAGCTTCGGGCCTAAGCCTCACAGCTGCTCCACATAGCTGCCTGGTTTTCTTATTTGACACGGCCATAACACATGCCTCAGAGATGTACGGTAGTTCGGTTAAGCAGTTCTCAACCGCAAGGGACAAGAATTGGAATGCCGTATACTGTACGCCTGTCAGTATTGTTAGCAGTGTTTATAAATCTAATTTGTATTGAAGGTTAGAGCAATAAAACCCACAATTAGTAATCACTCGACCGGCAAATATATTACTTTGCCTCTTCAGGGAGCACACCGCTGCCTGTTAAGGAGTTAGTTCTTATTCCTCTTCTCGAGTATCATGTATGGAGAAGCTCACCTAGTGGCACGCATACTGTAGATTATAGGTTCTACGGCTGGCTAAAATGGTGCATGAGCTAAGAAGCCGTTTTACATGAGTGTGTAGAAATGAAGCCCTATAAAAATATATTCGAGAGGTTCTTAGCCGTTCGTGTTCGCGTGGTGAGAGATGTACAAAACAGGAAGAATATGAACGAAGGCAACTAACCGTGTCAACAGAGATAAAGAGCGTCCTCCTCCGAGGTATATGGAAGATGATGCGCCCATTCATGTCGAATTAGATGGTAAACATGTTGCCCAATCCCTGTAGTTATGATGATGATGATGAATAATAATGCTGAAGTTGCCCTTCCTCTACAAGACTAAGAAAGTCTCTTAAAGGTCCGTCAGTATGAGCAACTTACTCGCCACAATCGCCCCCAGGTCAGTGGACCCGCTGGGATCAATTCGGGAAGGGAGAAATAGAGGAGATATCATCTTCTCAAATCGACCCTTTAGCCCACCCACATGTAGAATCTTCCCAATTCTCGCATGAACGGAAAGAAGAAATGGACTTGGCATCGGAATTGAGCTATCGTTGCAATAAAAGGTTATTCGATTATCTGGAGGGAGATCACGAAACTCAGCGGTATTACCCTCTTTATACCGTACAACTGTATAGATGTGAGACTGGATCTAATTTAGTAATATTTGTTATCCACCAGCACTTAATAGAAATTATGAATAGAGTGACTAACCGTTTCTTTAAAAGCGAAATTTAAAGAGCCAAACTGGCGGTGAAGAGGAAAGTAGAGAGTAATAGCATTTGCGGGGTTATTGATGGTCTCCGGAGAGACTACTTTATCCAGACCCGGAAAGTACCTATAGAGGCATTGCCAGATAACCGCCTTATTATCAACCTAGACATATTTTTAATCAACTGATCACGTATAGAAGTACGAGTGTAACTAGAAAGGGCTAACCTCAAAGCTTTTATCCTCATCAAAATTCCCTAGAGTAAATGGTAAGATATGAGCAACCTCTGTATCTCCTCTAAAGTGCTGGTCGCCTTTAGGTATAGTCGTCTGTTTATCCTTTACTGATTTAGAGTCCCAGAAGCCAGTCACTTTGCATCGATAACCATCTCTCTTGAGACAATCTTCTTTGAGCTTAGATTGCTCGTTGCGAGTTGAGGGATTCATGATAAGAGAATCAACTTGTACTTGAGCATCGGTGCATGGAGATTGAGTAGCTGCAGGAGTCTTTCCACCGGATGATTGGACTAAAACAGCATTAACTAGGGGATTTAACTTTTCTGATATAGTAGATATGCTCACCTGGCTTTAGAATCGCATCAACTAGATGGTTCTTAAGTTGACGAAGTTGTTCATCATCCTTGAGAGTAATAATGTCCTGCATCAATACAATGGAGCCATCTTTCGGGAGATAGTTGACGAATAGGTTGAGAAGACGAACAACTGTATCACTCCCACCGAGAGCCACGTATTTCTGAAGGCGTTCCCCGGACCAACGAACAAGGTCTTCAGCTGGCTCAGGAGACGCGTTTGTTAACTCGCCGAGAGAGCTGCTTAGAACAGGGCTTGGTGTAAGTGGTATGTCAAACTTGGGCTCCATTTCTCAAGAAACAGGGGGTGAACTGGGTACAAGAGACGCTTGACGTGTCGAAGGAGCAACGAATTCCCAATATGGTTAGTTGACCTTTGTTACCTAAGCAGTCGAAGAGACACCAAGCATAGCGATCAGTGGATGGTGTGTATGGCTGAGAATAATGACTTTTCCAAAGAGATGATTGTCTTACCGAAGCTGAGATGTATCTACAAACGACGACGCAGCGGGATTATTACACTATGTGGAAAGTTCATGCATCCATCGGCGGTCATGTCATTATTCTCTAGCGATAACGAAATAAAACACCGTTTGAGGCTTCTCGAGAAGACCACATATATCGCATCCACCACTCGTGTCAGCGCAACTAGTGACAACTCCATTAACTCCATATGAAAATCAACGTTCCCGAATAGTTGGTAGCATACATTATGTACACTAAATCAATTCATATCCACCCACCGTCCCTAATAGTCGAAATATCTTCTCATCATAGCTTTGACGGACACGCGCAATCCTTGGCCTCAGCCGTCTCAGTATCGACATGGAGGGAAGACTGGTTGAAATTCTGCGTTGATTGCGGAACGTCCAGGGCGGGATTCTTCTCGAAGAATCCATCCGGCCTGAGCATGACGCTGATCTTCTCCATGGGCATGACCGGGAAGTCTTCTGGCCGAGGGTTATGCGTGAGTGCGAATGCTGTTTCGCACGGTTAGCATTCATCAACAACATACAGATTCATGTAGATAACTTACTATGCCATAGAACGACGTCTGTGTTCTCGACGTTTTCGTCACGAGCAACCCACTCCTCGACGCCCGAGCTTGTCTTGCTCTGATTCGTGAATTCGCCAGCAGCGTATAGTTCGTCTTCGTGGTATTTGGTCACCCATATCGGCCTTGTGGCGAACTGGGCTCGTTTCCTGTTGAAGCTGCGTGGATGCATGAGCATGAGCTAGCTGGGCAGTGCGTGCAACTTATACGCCACAGGTTTACCAGACGTGGGATTGATGATGTTATCATTTCGGATCTTGAAGACGCGGGCATCAGGTACGCTGAGATCTGCGGCAGTCGAACGCTTGATAACCTTGGTTTCCTGCACATACCCTACGCCATAAGGGTTTGTTGACGGGTCATCTGGCATGGGAATGCTGTCTTGGTATATTACGGTGTTGTTGTATCCGTCAATGGCTGGATCGATACGCATACTGAATATGTGTTGATGGTATGCGGCCATGACTCCCGGGGCGACGTTGGTGCCGAATGGAACGGATATTCCTTCTTCTATAGGCATGGTAGATAATATACCTGTAGCCCTGACCTCAAGCTCGATGTTTCCTGCTTGATCGAATATCCAGGCAAAGATGTATTCGTAGTTCGCAACCGTGCAGATCATTTGCAGTACAAGTTGACGGTTTCGGACTACAGTTGCAGCCTGAGAGCGGTAATTGGTATGTTTATGCTGTATCCCGTTATCTTGCTCATGTAGACAGAGAACGTTCTTGAGTAGGACAGGGTTGCCCTTGGAATCGATTCTGTAGCCATCAAAGTACTTAATATGGCCGAGGCAGTCACAACCCAGGGACAGCTGGTTAGCGTTGACCCCAAAGCCAACATCTCCAACGTCGAAGGCCTGTTTGCGGTGGTATGGTGCTCGTGGATCTATAAATAAAGGTTGGTTATGTTGACCTTAATGGTAACAAGTACACTGTAAATGAACTCACCTCCGTAAGGAACTGTCATCTCGTTCACAGCGAGACGGTAGAAAACGTTACGTCGGTCATATGTTACGCCGTAAAGCACCATCCCCTCGCGAAAGTTGAAACCGACATGGAACCTCCATTTTTGCCAGCATACGAAGTTGCCATCTACCGAGAATGATGGACCTTCGGGCTGCTGCACGATGTACGGTTTGAGGTCTGTTCGGGTGGGCTCATCCAAAAGACTATGTGCATACTGGACAGCCTTGACAGGCTTCCATGGCTTGGTGGGAGAGGTAGAATGATCAGTACCGGTAGGTAGATGGTCAATTCGGACCAGTTCCCTTGTCATGCCGTCGAAAACTGGAGAGATAGTGCAGGGGAGGGAGTAGTGGTTATGCTGAAGGTCGTCTGTGTCGACGATATACAAGTAAAACTGAAACAGGCGACGGGTTTCACCTTGATCATCTGTTCCATAGATCCAGGGGTCCGAACAAACGGTCACGCCTGGCGGAAGGTTCAGCTTCTCGATCTCTGCCTTCACAGCAGGATGCTTCAGACAGATCTCTTCCATCTCAATCAGCTCGTCTATATCACATGGTCCCTATACTCATGTTAATGATTACGTGTTCCTAGCCTGAGTACGACATAAGAACTCACCTGTATATCCTTGGGGATTCCTTCGCATGAAGGAGCACTTTGGTATCAATGTTGATCAACGCCTTCATGAAGCTCTTTGTGTCCATTCGATGGAACAGGGCCATGAGGACACGAGCAGGCTTTCTCGGCAGAGAGACACACAGTCTCTCCGCCTCAATATACGGCACAACATCTTTCTTGATGGGCTCCTGGACTTCGATCACTTTGTACCGCAGAGGAACCCCCGGAAAGGCGTTCTCAAGGACCTTTACGGCCAACCTGAGCTCAGCAGGGGCTACCGGGTCAAATGGGTGTGGTGCCATTAAGTCCGTATTCTTGATGGGGATGAAGAACTCTCAACCCAATTTTGGTATTTTTCTTCCGTCAAGAGATATATAGAGGGGACGGAAGAAGTGCCAGCGTGCTGTGTTTTAAATATCGAAACTAGTTGCAGGCGAAGGAACCAACCAGGAAGACCCCCACGCTGATCAAGAACACGAAGGCGAACCAGGGCTGAAAGCAGGATCACACCATAAAACAGCCACTAGCAAGACCTCTCGTCTCCCATAATGCATAATTATATATGTACATATGTAGGGTGTATACAAATCCTTCCACCCCCCAAAACCCAAGTTTTCCGCCCGGAGCGCCCAAGAAGTCCGAGGCCCGTCCAAGCTTTTCCTGCCTCCCGATTGGCCAGGTCACGGGATGCCGCATGTACTTACCATACCCGGAAAAGACCCTTGAGGTTCTGCAAGTCTTGGCATAAATTCCGGCTTTATCATTTTTTTCTTCTTCCTTTTGTTTCTTTTCTTGCGTTCTTTCTTTGCTTCTTTGGCAGTTCATGTACAATGAGAGATTGGCTTTGGAGATCTAAAACGTTGAGCATCGACCTGTATATCTCGACTTCTCAACACCTCTTTTCGTGTGTACCGGGAGATAGAGTTTCGCGAACACGCGTTACGGCCTGATGCTTGATATCAAGACAACGTTGTCGAATGAATGATGGACAACAACGGCCAAGTCCCAAATGGCTAGGATGGCTTGTGATGTCGAAATGCCAAAGAGTGCTCAGTATTCCGTACAACATGTAAACAAGCCGATCGGGGGGAAGATCAAAAGGAGAAAGTCCATGCGGGACTTCTAGGCCGTCCTTATAAAGGGAAAACCCGCCTCCTCACCGACATCCGATATCTGCTATGTATATCCATCCGTTAACTCCATCTTCCAGGTCATTCTGGTTTTCCCCGCTGGCTTTTATCGTCTTAGGGCGGAAACCTCCGCGGGTCCCATGCTGGAAAATTGCCGACTACCGAGAGAACAAATATAATCCTTCTCCGGTGAATAAAGTCACATGATCACTGTAGGATTCTGACTAAAATCCCCAGCAATCCCTGAAGTTCAGGTTCTACCATCATTTCAAAGCAGCGCACACTTAGTTGATACATATAGCCATCGAGCATCTATTCATGCTGATATCAGCCTGCTTAGCTGCATCCATGGCGGGTTCTCTATCACCATGTGACCTTATCGGAATAACAAATATCCATTCCGGCCTTGGCAGCCCTTCGAGATGCCGAGGCCTCTTCGCATGTGTTTATCCATAAAGCAAAAGAGTTGGATTCTTTCAAACTCGACATATTCCCTGACTTGCCTATTAACTAGACATCTACAGCTCTTCCGTATCACTTGATTTGCTTTGGAGTACTCGATTTTGTATTAGAAATTGATGTTATATATGAACGGAGATACCGTACATCTTCCGCTCCCGGCTATCGCCAGGGCATAAACTCACTCCAGCAACCTCCCAGTCGCCATGGACGCTATAAAGGTATGCAACCCTCTAATACGCCATTTATACACTTCTTTAGTTAATATATTAATCCATCTAGGCCAGCGTCAACGAACTTATCCGCAACCCCGACCTCGCCCCTCTCTTTGCCATTCTCAAAGGCGCTCGCAATGGTGCTGTATACGGCGCCAAAGTCAGATTTCCACATGCACTGGTGTAAGTCAGATGATTTCTTTGCAGATGGAAGTTGACTGGCGAATACACGCTGATTTCACTTTACGCCGATAGGATGATATTTTTGTTTCGGTCCGGAAGGTATGGGGACTTCCCAGCCATGCTCAACTTATACAGTACGATGAATGCTTATTCCCTTTTGATTCGACAGTCTAAAGAAGAAGATATGGATGGTATTAAACGCCACGAGGACGCATGCACGAAACCTCGCCTACTTCGCCGTTGTCTACAAGTCGTCCATGTGGGCGTTGAAATATATTGGCCCTACCGGCTGGGGTAAGGAGGGCCCATACGATACCTTTCTCGCCGGGCTATTAGGCGGATACCTTGTCTTTGGAAGATCTCCCGGAGATGTCAGTTTACAAGTTAGTAATATACATCCCTCAGCACAAACGTAAAATCTCGCCGCTAATTCTCGGGAGTTAGATTGTCATCTACGTGTTTGCACGAGTGATGCTGGCTCTTGGACGGCTCTCCATAGCGCCAAACCAACATCCATTATCATTCCTCATCACACCCAAGGCTCGAGAAAAGATAAGTGATGCCGCCTGGCCATGTTTCGCCAGCTTAAGTTGGGCGATGGTCATGTATATCTTCCGCTGGCATCCAGAAGTTATCCAGAACAGTCTGCGGAGTAGCATGACATATATGTATGTCCCTGTTGACTTAGTATTTGACTCTGCTACCCGTTTTCAGGCTGAACTAACTCGTGCCATAGCTATACGGATTCCGACCATTTTGATTCTATCGATACGCTGCTACTCCGGAATAAATAAGTATGGCCCATAGCGCCATCGACAGATATATACAATTGCCCGATATTTGGTTTTATATTGTTCAAAAGATCAGGCTCAAGGATGCCGGTAACTCGCAAACAATACACCAAAGGCGATACAGTCATATTACATTTTGTACGGGTAGAAGTATTTCGTCCTTGCTCTGTTTCCCCCATCTCATAGATAAAGGCGTTTGGTTCACAGTGCATTTCGTTGGGACTCGGAGTCTGATGAGCAGTTATGTTGGTGTCATTTCCTAGGTCTCCGGCTGTTTATGCTTACTATAACTAGTAAATTTTGAGTGGAAAATTCAGCTGCAATCCATCATCGCGGGGTTACAATATGCATTAACCATAGATTAGTCGTCTTTGAGTTAAGTTGATGATATAGGCATATTTGTACTAAAGGACGTACCGCTGTTTGGTTTACTCCTTTGTTGGTAATTGTCATTTTGCAGCGACTTGTCAGCAAGCCTAGGAACACAGCGGGATATGTGACCTGGGCAAGATTTCTCAAGAATAGAATATATATGATCAAAAGTTATCTTGTATTAGTGGTCTCCATACTGTTATATGTAGCTACGAAACAATCGTATACAGAGGACTCTGTCCAGGAATACGAGAATGGGCACCAGTGGTCTTCCTGGGCTAGGATGAGAGACTGGCTAGTTTATTAGTTAAGTCTTAAATCTATTCTTTTAACTCCTTGATCTCAGGCTCTAAGGTCCTTATCTCTCTATAACGACGTTACTATAGTGGAAATTCTTGTCGTACCTTTAGCAGCCAGTCCCATCATTCGGCTATAGGATAAGGGCCCCGCAGAAGTTCTGCTGGTAATAATGCATTTTCAGTGGTAAGGGCCTCTATGGCTTCCAAGGGCGCTGTATAGAACCTCTTGGGGCTAAGCATCCCTGTCAGCTAGAACATAAGGGGTTCCGTGGGCATTTTCAAAGTTGAAAGAACTGGGCGACATGGCTTGGACGAAGATGAAGCTGAAGAACGTTTTTCCTCACTACATGTCAAATATTGTACTTAGTCAGCAAAGTAATTAGATCACGTGCACTGCCTCTGTTATATCCGGCAGAGACTTACGCCCTGCACCTAAACTCTTCAAGCTCACGTATATTTACATCCTTGTACACATTCAAACCAATCATCATTCGCTGCTCCTGCTCATATTCTGACAAAAGCCTTAGAATCCTACTGTCTTCCCCCAAATTTCCAACATATACGTGCATGAGAGAGCGATATTGTGCGTCGCCACTATCATGATGATTCTTAACGATTATGGGAAGATTGACTTGCGAATGCAAATATTTTGTATCCAAAGATTTTGGATGAAAGCACATTAGACTTCGCTTTCTTGATCTTCGTGACTATGTTTAGGAGGTATGTTCTCTCTTCGTCAAGAATCTTATCTATCCGCCGGTAGTCGTCGACGACGATCTGGTTCTTCATACCCGGCTCAGCTGGAACCGGAGGCTTATCTATGACAATACGCGAGAACTTGGGGGTTCCCCATAAGACAGTTTAACCTTTACTCGCTGCCAATATCTATTTCCACTGTCCTTATTTGAATATCATTTATAAGTGCACATCGTTTTTTATGAAGATAAATGGATAGAAGGTGTTATTCGTACTCTCATTGAGAGACTCGGGCATCTTTCTTTGTATCCCTCATTACACCGCTTGAGCAGTTACAAATTCCTTTCTGTTCACTTCTGAACCATGTACTCTTTTCGCTATAAAATAATTGTGCTCTTTTTTGGGTATATATATGCAAAATATATATTGCTGTTTGGTAGCGGTAGAAGAGCAATCAAGGGATTGAACAAGGAAAATTGCCTTGTATATTAGGGGGAAAGATAGGCCATAATCAGTTATTCTCTGACAAATAACTTACATATTTGTTGCATCAACAGGTTTTTCTGCTAGTCAGCCGTTTTGTAAGCCGTAATATTGTCATGATTGACAGTGATTGCGGGTGTATCCTATTGGAGAAACGTGGCTAAGTATCAGATCTTAGCTGCATTGAGAATATTTGAGCCTGGATTCTGACGTAGTCCTCCAGTGCTGATTTTAGTAAAGATAATTTGCAATTTGTAATTCCGATAAGTTATAGCTGTGATATTAATATAGTTAGAAATATCTATAGGTTGGTTATTGGCTATGGCTTGGCAGGGGAAAAGAACTAGCCCCTAGCTTCATCAAAATCATTCTATTCGCATTTAACGTCTTGCATCTATAACTGTTCTATAACACTGTTTCGTAACATTCAACCAGCTACTAATTGATCCTGATAGGAGTCAACAGGGTATGAACCCCTTTTGGAGTGCTTGCTTCAGCATCCTGCATTCCCACCAGCTCTAAATCACGATCAGCGAAAGCCTTGTAGCCACCACGGACACACCATGCTTCGATTCCCTTTGCTCGTAAGACGCTGGTGGCCACTCGTGACGTATCTCCATTATAGCATACAAGCAGAACCCGTATCCTTCCCGCCTTTAGGTCTGCCAGCAAGGTCGACGCATTCTCTGCACTCTGGCTGAACCAGCCTTCGAATTCCAGCCACTGGGCCTCCAAGACAGCGGAATCAGAGAACGGCGATGCTGTCTTTATATCAAGAGTGTTTAGTGGGACATTTATGGCTCCGGGTAAATGCCAGTGGTCAAAATCGACTGGTTTGCGGATATCAATCACGCATCGTGGGTGGTCCGACTTGAGTTTGAGGCTATCAAAGCCCTTTGCCCTCCCTACCGCTTGGAGAAGACCACTGGCGGGAAGTCTCTCGTAAAATTCTGCGAGAATTTTAGAAGGATGGCTTTCCCAGAGTTCATCATAGCGGTAAATGTCAACTTTACGAAGGCTCTGCAGTCCGCAATGGTTAGCTTGCCCATAACTTGACATATTCCCTGGAGAACTTACTTCGTTTTTTATAGGGCTGAACTCTTCTGGTTGCAGCTTGTCAAAATACTCTTGAATGTATTGGTATGGCAGGTCGCAGCATAGGAAAACGCAATGCACTTTTCCATCTGGACCTGCGAGATTGGATAATATTCCGGCTTCCTTGCGTTTTCTCAGGACCTGGAACAGGCCCTGTAGGTTGAAACCGGACGATGGGCCACAAATCAGTCCCTGTCGGCATAGCTTAAGGGACAATGAGAAGGATTCCGGGGATCCAACTTCCTCAATTACATCCACAGCTGACCTCCATGGAAACGGTATGGGAGACATGAGAGCATATGATCTGGGTCCTGGAACTCGGTCTCCTGGTGCTGTGCAAACACCAACTCTTAGAACGGACGGCTTGGTTTCCTTGAAATATGTCCCCAGCCCTGTCATGGTCCCGCTAGTCCCCATACCCGAACATAAAACATTAATTTCTGGGAGTTGCTTGAAGATCTGGGGACCAGTATACCGCACATGCGCTCTCCAATTGTTCTTGTTATCATATTGGTTTGGGTTGATAACTTCTTCCGATTCCATGGCAATTTTCTGCGCTGTGTAGATCCCACCACGTTCATCTAGCGGTTCCGGCTGTGAAGGGCCGCCGAACAATGTGATATCGAGACCGAAGAACTGCATCAACTTAATCTTCGCATCACTGGTTTTATTGCTCAAGAATGCTCTGACGTCATCAATTCCGTGGAACACTTTTGCAATCATCGCCATCGAGATGACTGTCGAACCAGAACTGTACTCAATCACCGTTTTGGTCTTTCCAGGGACAACTTCTGACTCTAAGAGATTGAGAGCTAGGCAGGCCAGCATGGTTAGCACCTGATCGATGGTACATCAAGGAGCGCAGCTGTGGACAGCTCTGACCTACCTGGAATAGCTTTTACATTGTTTGCGGGATGCATGGACATCATCTTTGCATATATCCGTACGCCATCGTCATAAAACGGGTTCAATTCCTGCGGTATCTCAACGAGAGGCAACGGTGATCCGCAGTCCGGATTTAAGTAATTCTTCATCGAGTCAGGCCCAGAGTAGACGTTAAGAGGGTTTGAATCCGCCATTTTGCATTAATTTGAAAGCGCAAAACAATGACGTGCAGAAATGAAAATTGAAATTGTAGAGAAAGTATGAATGAAGCGTACTCTGCTTTTGAGGTGTAATACCCGGGAGTATAGGTGATTTATATCTCGTCGTAGAGCCGGGTGGGCAGACGAGTACGGCTTCTTCATGATGGATATTCATATGCTAATACCCTCAAGGTAGATTTCCATTTATTTTTATCCTCGATCGCTCTGATAAAAGCTTTAGCTCCTGTGATCACCTCCCATTAGCATACGATGAATCCAAATGACTGCTTGAGGTCCTGACAACCCTGCAATATTAGGTCTAGGGTAATAGCTCTCACTATCACTAAGCTTTGATAGATATAAACGCGCGTCCAGAATCCTCTACTGACCCATGTAGAGGGGCTTTCTCCATGGACGCCTTTTATACATTGGGGACCTTGTATTCTTATCGACCGTATAGAGCTAAGATGGTAGCCTGGTATATATATTTAAAACCCCGTCATCGAGACATGTGGTAATGAATCCCATTTCTATGAGTGGATGGTACCCTTTATCAGATGTATTGTGTCATCCCGCTACATAAAATCTTAAATCTTGCGGTGGAACGGGATTTGCTAGCTATACCGCTTGTTTAGGGGTTTGGCCATCAAGGTTGCTTGCTTCCGAAGCTGCAGCCAGGTCCTGTTGTTGGGAACTATGGGGCCTATCCCGGTTCCACCACAAGGGTACTTTTGCTTGGGACAAGGCGGGCAGGGTACTCGATATTTCGCAATTATTTTTCTCAAATATTCATAGAGGAATATACTGCTCCCGTAATGGTGTCTTCAGTCAGTAGGGGGAGAGCTCTATCAAAAGAGAGCTGCTACTCGTTTGATGCTTTCTTCTTCCTTTTCATTTCCTACTACCGTGCTTTCGTTTGATTTTTTACTGCGTCGAAAAATAGAGCAATTTTAGCTTAATATAATAAAATGGAGGATGAGAGTAGTCGAGACAGTTCACCAGCCAACGGGAAGGAAAAATATACATTCAATGAGCAGACAAATTATGTTTCGGCTCGAAAGATAATAACGGTACGGAAGAGCGAACTCATCATAAGGAATTGAATCGACACTGACCTTTACAATTAGATATTTCTAGCATGCGCCAGCGTCGACCTGGTTTCATTGATGGATCAGACGACCTTAGCAGCAAGTTTGTCGATTGTTGGAGATGATTTAAATGCCGGAAACCAAACCAGCTGGATAGCTGGTGGTTTTTTCTTGTGAGAAGCATCACGTTTATTCTGCTATGTCTCCTTGGTATAATAAGTACTAAAGTTGATATATTCAAGGACCTCTACCTGCTGTCAGCTAGTATATGGACGTCTTTCTGACATCTGGTCTCGGAAAGTCATACTATACGCTGGGCTGGCGATTTTTTTCTTTGGATCCCTTGCCTCATCCTTTGCCCAAACGGCCCTCCAGCTGATAATCTTTCGTGCCTTCACGGGAGTTGGTGGAGGTGGACTGGCAAATGTTGGTCAGATGATTGTCAGTGATGTGGTCCCGTTGAGAGAGCGAGGTAAATATCAAGGAATTCTGGGAGCTGTCGTCGCTATAGCTAACGGAATTGGCCCGGTAATTGGAGGTTCATTGTCTTCCATCTCTAAAGGGTCATGGAGGTGGATATTCCGCCTTAACCTTCCTCTGACGGTACTAACAACGTTGTGTGTTTTATTCTTCATGCCGCTTCGGAAGGTAGAAGGTGACTGGAAAGTCAAGGTAAAAGCCATTGATTTCTTTGGGGTATTCCTAGCCCTTGCGGGGGCAACCATTTTCCTTCTTGGACTTATATGGGGAGGGGGTGAATATGCATGGAATTCAATCCACGTAATTGCCACTCTGACCATCGGGTTCGCTGTTTCTGTGTGTTTCGTTCTATGGCAGTGGAAGGGGGCATCTTATCCACTTGTGCCCATGAGTATCTTCCACGTGAGAATAGTGAACGGGGCTTGCCTAACTATGCTGATCAATGGCTGGAATTTTGTTGTTCAGGTTTATTATATCCCGACTTTTTATCAGCTGGTATACGGATACTCAGCTACTAAGTCAGGAGCTCTGCTTTTGCCGATTGTCCTTGTTCAAAGTAAGTAAAACATCTGCTCATCATTAATGACTATGTGGCTATTTGCTAATTTATCATGTAGCATTATTTAGCACGATATCAGGCCTTATTGTTCATCGGGTAGGCCGTTACCGAGAGTGCGTACTCTTTGGATGGCTTGCCTGGGCGATTGGCCTAGGACTTTTCTCTACACTTGATCAGTCATCAGGGATAGCTAGGCAGATTGGGTATGGCATACTCACCGGGGTGGGAGTTGGAAACACACTTCAGCCGTAAGTTAACTCCTCGCAGAACCTTTGATAATGCCTCCGTTAACATGAACGTCAATATAGATCCCTGATAGCTATTCAAGCAGGTGTCGAGAGACGGGATATGGCAGTTGTTACATCTTTTAGGAAGTAAGTTCTCCAGGCGACACTGGTATATTTCACAGATTGAATCTGACTCAAGCCAACTGTTCTAGCTTTGTGAGAAATCTCGGTGGTACGCTTGGGTTAGCGGTGTGCGGAACAATCTTGTAGGTTTTCCCTGAACACATAGGCCTGGAATTTGAAGGAATACTAATGGTGTAGGAATAACATCGTGTTATCATCCCTTTCGTCCCTTACACTTGCGGATGCCGACAGCAGGGTTATAATGCAAAGTCCTAGTAAATATCTTGCAACACAACGCCCTGACGAAGCTGAGAGAATCCGCTCCGTCCTTATTCCAGCCTACCAGAAAGGGTTCCGGATAGTCTTTATACTGTGCTCTGCTCTGGCTAGTTTAGCCTTCGTCCTTGCATTCTTTCTAATGCCACATATCTCGCTGAAAAGGGCAGATGACAAGGCGTTAAAAGATGAAGCCAGGTCTAGGAAGAGGACGGTGCAGCAAGGTCCATAGGCAAATCTGGCATTATACTTGTACAATTAAAAGGTGGCAGAACAACAGGTAATAGTGTGATGGAGTAACAAGACACATACTTGAATATATCTATATTATCTCAATACATAATCATATCAACATAAAAAACATGTTGAAGAAAATAAAGATAAACTTCTGCCAAGACAAAAAGCCAAAGAAAAAACAAACTCACGTGACCTTTCAAGCTTGACGAAGATGGAAAAAAGAACGACGTTAATTTATTCTATCAAAACATCAAGTTTCGACTTTGGACTGTCTTGTCCTATGCATCCAATGGACTTGATACCAAACACTAAAGCCTTGAACTGTTGAGACGCGTCAATTCGATTATTGCGTTGAATTTTATTTGCCAATCGCTATGTTGGTTTGATAGGCCACTACTTTCTCGACATGCAATGTTATACAGAACTGCTGCTCCCATCTGGGGTAACGCATGCTGTCTCTGCTCATTTTATATCTCCAAGCTCCAATAACCTGATTGTGGCAAAGACCTCCTTGCTCCAGGTATTTTCATTAGTCAATGTTACATATGGCTCATCTCTAGCAAACCATCCAGACCAGAAAAGTCGGCATGACCGTTCACAACATGCAAAGTTGGTGTTAGTGGCCGAGTATCAAGTGTCAGGCACCATTACGGGGTTGGAGAGGGTCAAGATCTCGAATTCCAAAAGTGGCGGAGATGCAATCCTCGTTTCCAGCCGGAATGCAAAGCTCAGCTTGATAGAGTGGGACCCGCGGAATCATGGGATTAGCACTATATCAATTCATTATTATGAGGGGGAGGAGAGCCATATGAGCCCCTGGGTACCTGATCTGGGAAGCTGTGCCTCTAATTTGACTGTGGATCCAAATGGCAACTGTGCCATCTTTAATTTCGGAATCCATAGTTTGGCCATATTGCCCTTTCATCAAACGGGAGATGACCTCGTTATGGATGATTATGATTCTGTGCTCAACGGCGACAGTGCTGCAGATACGATTAATGATACTCAAAAACCTACCGCTGGGGATTCTACAGTGCACAGCAAGCCGTACGAGCCTTCTTTTGTGCTGCCTCTAGCCGCATTGGATCCGGCCTTAACGCATCCGATTCACATGGAATTTTTGCATGAATACAGAGAACCCACTTTTGGAATTCTCTACTCTCAAGTTGCCAGGTCGACTTCTTTAAGTATAGACCGGAAGGATGTGGTGTCCTATGCCATCTTTACATTGGACCTACAGCAAAGAGCTTCTACCTCGCTACTCACAGTATCTCGGTTACCAAGTGACATGTTCAAGGTTGTATCACTTCCCCCTCCGGTCGGCGGAGCACTATTGATTGGGACCAACGAGCTTGTACATGTCGACCAGGCGGGCAAAACGAATGCGGTGGGTGTGAATGAGTTCGCCCGGCAAGCCTCTGCATTTTCCATGGTTGACCAATCAGACCTTGAAATGAGGCTGGAAGACTGTGTTGTGGAGCAGCTAGGAAGCGACGCAGGAGAAGTTTTGCTCATCTTAACAGACGGGAGAATGGCTATCTTGACGTTTAAAGTTGATGGGAGGTCTGTCTCAGGAATATCGCTTCATTACGTCGCAGAACAATCAGGTGGTTCAATTATCAAAGCAAGGCCCTCATGCTCTGCAGGCCTAGGCAGGAGCAAACTATTCTGTGGAAGCGAAGAAGGGGATTCCATTCTTCTCGGCTGGTCAAAACCGTCATCTAACACGAAGAAACCTACCAAAGCAAACGAGGACACGAACGAAGATGGGACCACCGAATTCTCGGGGGAGGATGAGCAGGACGATGACGATGATGACATATACGAAGACGATCTTTACTCTGCCAACCCTGCACCTACTCTCCAGGAAAAGCGGGTGGTAAACGGAGATGATACTGCCGACTTTGTTTTCAAGATTCATGATAGGTTATGGAGCCTTGGTCCGTTTAGGGATATTACTCTCGGAAGACCGCCTAAATCAAAGCTCAAGGATAAGCGGGATAACGTACCAAGTATATCTGCTTCACTGGAATTAGTAGCAGCTCGAGGATTCGGAAAATCCGGAGGGCTCGCGGTCCTCAAACGAGAGATAGATCCATTTACCATTGACTCTCTCAAAATGGATAACGTTTATGGCGTATGGTCCATCCGAGTTACCGATCCCAAGTCTAAAGAAGCCTCAGCGACCGGGAACTCTCGGGATTACGATAAATATCTACTTCTAGCAAAGGCAAAATGTTCTGATAAAGAAGAGTCAGTTGTGTACTCTGTCGGAAACAGTGGCTTGGATTCCATTGATGCCCCGGAATTTAATCCGAATGAAGATTGCACCATTGATATTGGAACCCTTGCCGCTGGCTCAAGGGTTGTGCAGGTTTTGAGAACGGAAATCCGAAGCTATGATTACAGTAAGCCCCGATTTTGGAGACCCGGAACTATGTTTTTTAAGCCTCTAACATACTCTGAACAGACCTAGGGTTGACCCAAATATACCCAGTGTGGGACGAAGATACGAGCGAGGAGCGCACTGTTGTCCAAGCAAGCTTCGCGGAACCGTATCTTCTAGCTATTCGCGATGACCACTCGCTTCTGGTCTTGCAAGCAGATAAAACAGGAGATTTAGATGAAGTTGAAATACAAGGCTTAGCAACATCTGCAGATTGGGTTTCTGGCTGCTTGTACGAAGATAGAATGAAAATTTTCTGCTCCTCCGAAAGCGGAACTGAAAATATAGTGGGAAATAATGTACTTCTTTTCTTGCTAGATGGCAATGGAAACCTTTCCGTAAGTCATAACCTCCCTTGAAAGTGATTTGGAATTGAAAGCTAATTATATGATCTAGGTATTCCGCCTCCCGAATGTAACAGAACCACTTTGCCGTGTGAATAACTTGAACCTCCTACCCTCAAATCTACCATATGAAACGCCTTCAAGGCGGCCTTCGAACAAGGAGATATTAACCGAAATCCTGGTTGCAGATCTTGGGGATGCCATTCGTAGATATCCTTATATCATAGTATGCCTGAATTTCCTCAATTGCCCCTATCTAAGATTATTATCTAACTCTCCTCTAGCTACGTACGAAGCATGATGATTTAATTCTCTATGAACCGTATCGTGTCACTGGTGAAAATGGAGAATCCCGATTGCGATTTCTCAAGGCAGTGAACCATGTTGTTATGAGATCTCATTCTGAAAAAGCTGCGAATGTTGTTGAAGGCAAACACCCATTTCCAAGGAAGCCTCTTCGAGCGTTATCAGATATATGCGGATATAAAACAGTATTCATGCCAGGGCAAAATCCATGCTTCATTCTGAAATCAGCAATCACACAACCACATGTTTTACGGTTGCGCGGTAAAGCCGTTCAAAGTTTGAGTGGATTTCATATTGCCGCTTGTGAACGTGGGTTTGCATACGTTGATGAAGATGTATGGGTTTTCTTTCTTTTTTTTTTTTTCATGAGGCAACTGAGTTGAACTAACGAGTCGTTATAGAATATCATCCGTATGTCTAGGCTGCCCTCAAACACTAGATTTGATAGCACTTGGGCTACGCGTAAGATCCCACTTGGAGAACAGGTTGACTGCATCGTATATTCATCAGCATCCGAGAGCTACGTCATTGGCACTAGTGTAAAGGAGGATTTCAAACTGCCAGAGGACGATGAGTCGCATACGGAATGGCAGAATGAATGTAGGAACCCTCAACTTATAAAACCCTAAATTCTAATAACTGACTTGCAATTACAGTTATCACTTTTCTACCACAGCTTGAAAGAGGAACTGTCAAGCTTTTGGATCCCAAGAACTGGTCTATCGCTGATATGTAAGTTTAATAGCCACTGGACAACATGTATCTCCAATGCTGATTAGTGCCCCGAGCAGCCATGAACTAGAGCCTGCTGAGCGTATTACCTGCATTGAAGTCATTCGGCTCGAAATATCAGAAATCACACACGAGCGGAAAGATATGGTTGTAGTAGGATCAGCGATCGTCAAGGGCGAAGATATTGTGCCTAAGGGCTGCATCCGTGTTTTTGAAATTATTGATGTTGTCCCAGACCCTGACCACTCTGAGATGAACAAGAGACTAAAGCTTTTTGCGAGAGAGGAAGTGAAAGGTGCTGTCACTGCGTTGTCAGGCATTGGCAGTCAAGGATTCTTGATCGTTGCGCAGGGCCAAAAATGCATGGTGCGTGGGCTCAAGGAGGATGGAAGTCTTTTGCCTGTGGCCTTCAAAGATGCTCAATGCTATGTTAGTGTTCTCAAGGAACTCAAAGGAACTGGGATGTGCATTGTGGGAGATGCAATTAAAGGATTGTGGTTTACCGGGTATTCCGTAAGTATTTTTCCGCAGGTTATATACAGAATGCGTATAACGAGCATACTAACATGGTTTACTCAAACAGGAAGAGCCGTATAAGCTCGATCTTTTTGGTAAAGAGAATGAGAACATTGCCGTCATAGCTGCGGACTTTTTACCGGATGGGAATAGGTTATATGTCCTAGTTGCTGATGATGACTGCAATCTACATGTTCTGCAATATGACCCGGAAGGTAAGTAATTATTCAGCGTCCATTTCAGCGCACCGCTAATCCTATCATTCAGACCCAAGTTCATCCAAGGGCGACCGCCTGCTCCACCGAAACGTATTCCACGTAGGCCACTTCGCATCAACCATGACTTTACTACCACAAGGATCCCACACGCCCCATTCGCCTGCTGATAGGGATGCCATGGACACTGACGCGCCTCTACCGCCATCCAAGTACCAGATATTGATGACCTTCCAAACCGGCTCCGTTGGAATTATTACACCGCTTAATGAAGACTCTTACCGTCGTCTATTAGCCTTGCAGTCGCAGCTAGTCAATGCGCTTGAACACCCGTGTGGATTGAACCCTCGTGGATACAGGGCTGTTGAGAGTGACGGAATAGGTGGACAGCGTGGCATGATCGATGGAAATCTGTTGCTTAGGTGGCTTGATATGGGAGCGCAGAGAAAGGCAGAGATTGCGGGACGCGTGGGTGCGGATGTAGGTGCTATTCGGATGGATCTTGAGAAGCTTCATGGCGGTCTAGCGTATTTGTAGCTATTGGTAGTGTCCTTTATAGCTACTTGATTTATACCCAACCGTGGACTTGTTTAGACCGGCACGTGGGCTAAGGGATAATTATTATATTGCGGAATAATCGCGACTATCATACATCATGAAGGATCAAAATCTTCATTGTGACTGGTGATACAAATAATCTAAGTCTATAGAGAAATCAGAAGAGGCAATAGATATACATGGAGAGGGTATAGAGCGCAAAGATGGTAAAACAAAGGTCAAGATTGGCCAGGTGTCAACTCTTTAATTGTATTTTGCAGGTCTGATAATATTTCTATGTTACCGTCAGCATTTATCTTCAAGGTAAACGATAAAATGATAAGCATACTTTTCTTCTCAGCTTGGGTCTCTTCGACCTCCAGTCTCAACCAGCCATAATAGAGGATCTGATAAGTGAGCACTGCGCCAAGGAAGACCTTAAAGAACGGCTTCTTGAATGACGACAGAGTTAACGGATGAGCCTATCAAGACCAATTAGCCGGCTAAAACATCGAATATCAACATTGAGCACTCTGGCTTACCTGCGATGTGCTCGACGCAAGGGAGGGAGATGTGGAGAAGAGCCGCGGCTGGCTGGAAACGGGTCTTCGGTCAAGGCGAGAGAACATCCTCGAGATACTCTGTCTCGACCTTTTTATTGAGGATACCAGGTTCATTGTGCAGTTTGTTATTTACAGTCTAAATGGTTGGTTGATGAAATTTCTCCAGCGAGGCGATTTTGTGACTAATCAATCACGTGATATATCATGTATGATGGCCAGAAGGGGAAAAACGGGCGGGGAGGTCGCACGTTCCCGCAAAAAAAGCCTAAGGGAGATAAGCTTCTTTTTCTAGTTGAGCCTCATGGCGATCCAAAGGAGAGGGATGAGCTTGGGTGAGCTTGACCTGGCCCAGGGAGGACGAGAAGATACTGATCGAACGAGCCAGGCAAGCTTTTATCTAAAAACAAATTTTGAGCCAGGCCAAATTGAGCTAGTTGAGCATGGTCTCAGTTGTCTGCGGTCGGTGTGAAGGAGGGGTGGTGGGCGGGTCGAGGAGGACGAGAACACTCACTGTTGTTGTTGTCTTCTTGACTATTTTAAGGATGTGCAAGCTTCTGGCAGAATCCAGGATCCCTTTTGGGCGAAGGCGGTGGGAAGGGCAAGCAAGGGCAAGATAAGTGGCGCTAGTCCGGTTTGGGCTTAGCGTGGCATCGAAGTTTGTTTCTCCTTTGCGCGCGCCGGCTGATCTTGTGAATATCTTCAAACACAGCAAAAAACAACAACAGGGCAGATTCCGGATGCCAGAGAGGGTGAATAGAGATATTTCTGGCTGCTATTGGTTACTAACATCGACTATTAGGCACCAGTGTGTTGGTCTGTGGTCGTTGTTGTGCCCCAGTCTACCTGGTCTCGAGTTTCAGCCTGCTGTTTCCGTCCACCCGTCGCTCACTCTCTGCCGTCGCGATTCAGCCTCGGGCGTCCAAAGCTGGGCTCTCTGGCGTTATCACGTCGACGACGCAACTTATTCGTCCGATAATTCACCCTTCTCGCGCTCGATAACTGTGAAAGAGTCACTGTCAGCCACCGTGGTTGGCCAAGTGCTGCCTACCGCAATACGCCCTTCGAGCTAGCATCAGCGCCTCAATTTGCTCAGCACGAAAGAAAGGCGGGTTTTTCTGAAGTTACTGGGACCTTGTGTCTATTGTCAAGATGCCGCGGAGACATGAACCTACTCTCGAAGAGCTCGTTAACCGATCAGACCCCGAAGATGATGACTATGATGACACGGAGCCGCGGTCACGCAGACCAGCGAAGAGGTCAAAAACCAAGCCGAAGAAAGCATCTAGAAAACGCAAGCGGGATTCTGACGATGACCTAGACGACGAGTCAGAGCTTTCAGAAGAAGAAGACGATCTGTCAGACGACTTCGAGGACGAAATCGAAGACCCAAATGCTGAGAGAAATGCACGTGGTTCGGTGAAGAGACGGGTTGCTACAAAAAAGGTCTCTTACGCCGAGTCGTCTGGTGAGGAAGATGAGATTGAGGAGGACATAGAGGACAAGGAAGACGCCGAGGATGAAGAGAAAGAGATACAGTCAAAGAAAGGGAAGAAGCGAAAGCTGATTGTCAAGTTCCCCATACGGCAGCAACAGCCTACACCACAACCCCCTACCTCGGGTCGCGCAACACGCTCTCGTGCTCGCAGCGCAAGTGTCCAATACCAAGAACCAGTGAGCACTCGGCAGTCAACCAGACGAAGCACGCGCCTCGCACATGATGACAAGGAAGACATAGTGGCACTCTCGGGCTCGGGTCGCCATGTCGAAACTATACGCCGGGGTACCCGTAGTCCGGACCCCGTCATATCCCATCCACCTCGCCAGGCAAATCAGCTTTCCCATGTCGAGGAAGAGGAGGCTGACGGGGATGAACCAAGGATACCCAAGGATGAAGAGGACGATGACCATGTGGAACATATTGGTGCGTCGCAAGTGGAAATCATGGAAAGTGATCACCAGGGAGGCTTCGATGACGATGCACCTGCTGTCGCAGCTTCTGACAACATTCATCCTCAACCTGATGACGAGACAGGTGAACGCGAACAAGACGTCGATATGGGTGAGGATGGAATTGTTCCAGAATCTCAGCATGACCGTGCCGAACAGGAAGAGGAAGAAGACGACGATGATGACGAAGGCCCTATATCACGAACTAGAACTCGACGGAACAGGGTAGAAGTGGAGCCGGCGGCCGGGGAAGAGCCACAGGCTGAAAAGGAAGGGAGCCAGCCAATTCGCCGTTCTACTCGACAAACGGCTGGAAAAAGATCTCGACCACCAGGAGATGACGGCAGTGATTTTGAGCCGAATGAAGATAGTCATGAAGAGGAGGAACTCTCCGACTCAGCTCCCTCTCAGGCCTCTCCTCAAAAAGATGACAATGGCAGCGGTAATGAGCGTCGTTCCCGCCTTCGCAACCGCCATCGTTATTCCAACTCCCGTGGCGAGTCTGAAGCCAGAGAAATCGCAGAAGAGTTGGCAGAATTGAAAGCAACACGGCCTCGCCGAAAGAAACCTGATATTGTATACGAAGACAAGCCTCGACGAACTAGAAAGTCAGTCGACTACCGACTTATCCGCCCAGAGCTTCTTCTTCCTTTGGAAGAAAGCGAGGTTGAGCCTGCTGGATCCCCGTCTCGCCGTGGCGGACGTGCAGGTGGCAGCACATGGCAACGAACACTTTTCTCAACTTATGGACCCTTTGGTGGTGCTGGTCCAACGCCTTTACTTGGCGGCCCTGCGGGCATGGGCGCCAGCGGAGGTGTAGAGAGTGACAGCTCCGACGACGAACTTGCTGCCCGTTCCAAAGCTCCCGGTGCCCCTGGCGGAATGACCACAACCACCCTTGCACCTAGCTTAGGCCTGGGCATGCCAGGCCAGTCACATCCGGACCCGGCCCAGGCCGCCCCCGGAGTGCCCGCGAACTATGGGAAAATCAAAGACAAGCAGGCCCTTGCGGACGCCGACCCGCTAGGCGTCAATCCGAATGTCAATTTTGATAGCGTAGGCGGTTTGCAGGGCCATATTGATCAGCTGAAGGAGATGGTCTCCCTACCCTTGCTTTACCCAGAGGTCTTCCAGAGCCTAAACATCATCCCACCCCGAGGAGTTTTGTTCCATGGCCCACCAGGGACGGGTAAGACGCTTCTGGCGCGTGCACTGGCTACGAGTGTCAGCACCGAAGGGCGAAAGGTGACCTTCTACATGAGAAAAGGGGCAGATGCGCTGAGTAAATGGGTTGGTGAAGCCGAGAAGCAGTTGAGATTATTATTCGAGGAGGCCAGGAGAACACAACCAAGTATCATCTTCTTCGATGAAATTGATGGTAAGGCTTCTACTTACCGTAAAATCTAAATGTACTATCGTTGCTAATGTGAAACTTCAGGCCTCGCCCCCGTCCGATCCAGTAAACAGGAGCAAATTCATTCTTCCATCGTTTCCACCCTTCTTGCCCTGATGGATGGCATGGATGGAAGAGGACAGGTTATTGTTATCGGCGCCACGAATCGACCTGACTCCGTTGACCCTGCACTCCGTCGTCCTGGTAGATTGACAGAGAATTCTACTTCCCTCTCCCAAACCTTGAGGCACGTCGAGCTATTATTGACATTAACACAAGGGGCTGGGAACCTGCTCTTTCAGATGAATTCAAAGACAAATTAGCTGCCTCAACAAAGGGATATGGCGGTGCCGACTTACGAGCATTATGTACGGAAGCAGCCTTAAACGCCGTACAAAGGGTTTACCCCCAGATATACCAATCAAAAGACAAACTCTTGATCGACCCAAAGAAGATCAAAGTCTCTTTCAAGGATTTCATGATCTCACTTAATAAAATCATTCCTTCCTCCGAGAGATCTGCTTCCTCTGGCGCGTCCCCGCTGAACGGCACGGTTGAACCACTACTAAGAGATCCTCTACGTGAGATACAAGAGCGCATAACCAAACTCTTACCCAGGAGAAAAGCACTTACTGCCTTAGAAGAGGCACAGTTCGAACAACCCAACGATGACATTGGGTTTAAACGTGAGAAGCTGCAGGAAGAGTTTGACAGATCTCGCGTGTTCAGGCCTAGGCTTCTCATCCGTGGTGAATATGGAATGGGGCAGCAGTACATTACCTCTGCTCTGCTGAATCACTTTGAGGGCATAAATGTACAGTCCTTTGATCTACCAACTCTACTGAGTGATTCAACCAGATCCCCCGAAGCCGTTGTGGTGCAACTCTTTGCTGAGGTCAAGCGCAACAAGCCCAGCGTTATTTGCATTCCTAACATCCGGTCATGGTACGAGACCCTCGGAAATGTTGTTATATCAACGTTTATGGGCCTACTACGCTCCATCCCTCCCACAGATCCCGTACTCCTCCTTGGTATCCTTGAAGGTGAAGCTGAGTATGAGGCAAACTCTGATATTGTACGCAACCTCTTTGGTTATTCGAAAAAGAACCAATATTTTCTCAGTTATCCAGAGTTGCCCCAGCGCCGAAAGTTTTTCCAGCCCATAATCAACCTCATCTGCACTGCACCAGTCAATTTCCCTGACCCTGACAATCGGAAGAAGAGAGTGATTGAACAATTGGAGCTTGCTCCCCCAGCTCCTCCGAAGCCACCACCAGCTCCAACCAAAGAGGAACTGAAGGCGCAGAAACGAAAGGATCGACAAACGCTGAATCTCATGAAGATTAGGATACAACCTATAATGGACCAGATCAGGAAATACAAGCGGTTCCGATCTGGCGTTGTAGATGAGGCCCAAATACGGTATCTTTATGACGACGATGATCCAAATGTTGTGACGTCTGATTTACCCCCACAGGAACGGGGAACATTCCGACCATACGAGAAGGACACAGACAAAGCCGGCGTTCCTGGTCTGCGAGAAGTCTCAACAGGGAAGTTCTATTACAATTTAGATATCGTCACGATCGAAAAGCGATTGTCCAACGGGTACTACAAACGTCCAAAAGACTTCCTGGCCGATATAAAGCGATTGGCAAAGGACGCAAAACAGCTTGGTGACCCCGACCGACAGTTAAAAGCAAATGAACTATTGGCAAATGTCGAAGTTGACATTGGTGCAATTGACAATACCGACCCAGCCCTGGTGGCTGAGTGTGAAGTTGTATATACCCGCGAACTAGAACGTGAGAGGGCCGCCTTAGAGAAGGGAAAACAAGCAACAACGAACGCTGATGGCACTATGGGACCTCCGGCCGGCCCGCCGCCCCATATGAACATAGCGCATGGAAGCATGGAGCTATCTAACATATCATCGGCTGGGCCGGTAGTGTTAGGTGAATTATTCAACAGCCCCTGCCCAGCCCCTGGGAACAAGTCCACTGGTGGCTTCCCATCGATAACCAATGGAAATATACCAAGACTTCCTCCGCATGGGAGCGTTGAGGGCTTCCGGCCTCCAACCAGCAACGGATCTCAGAGTAAGCCGGCCGAAGGCGATGGGGACGT